GGATTAGCTTCCTAGAGCAAGGGAACAATGTATAACCAGAGCTTATTAAGGAAGGAATATAATAAGATAGTTACGTTTGTGACTTAGAATGGTATGAGCTTCAGAAGTATGAGAATGTATTCAAACTAACTACTAGCTACGCTAGACAGTTGAATTACAGAGACTGAAATATCTGTAGGGACAGGGCGTTTATATAGACCTTATTCTTGATATCCTTATTGCCTTACTCCTAGCGATCATTTTGATCATTATTGAGCGAAATGATCGCTTCTGCCAATCGGCGTTCCCTTGGTCGTTAGTCATTGGTCGGCGCGCTCATTTTGCTCAATACTGAGCGAAATGATCGCTCCTACCAATCAGCGTTCTCCTGAATCTACTCACGTGTTACTTCGTAACAAATAGTCTGAGCTTCAAGAGTATAAGAAAATATTTAAACTAACTACTAGGTAAACTAGAAAGTTGAATTATAAAGAAGCATAACATTAGTAGAGACAGGATATTTATATAGACCTTATCTATGATGTCCTTATTGCCTTATCCCCCGCGATCATTTTGATCATTATTAAGCAGAATAATCGCTCCCACCAATCAGCAGTTCTTTAATTATCAACCATTGGTTGATGCGCTCATTCTGCTTATTATTAAGCAGAATGATCGCCCTCACCAATCAGCGGTTCTTCGAATCTGCTCACGTGTTACCCCGTAACACATCGATAGAGACAGGATATTTATATAGACCTTATTTTTAGTATCCTTATTACCTTACTTATTCTGATTATTCTTGGTGAAATAATCAGAATGATCACTTTGACCAATCAGCAACACCCCGGTTTTCAACTATTGGCTGATACGCTCATTTTGATCATTTTCCCAAAAATGATCAAAATGATCACTCACGTGACAAATCATGTGTTACTTCGTAACACTGGGAAAGTATTCCTAACACTTATTATACTTCCTTCCATAATAAGCTCTAGTTGTACATTATTCCTTGGCTCTAGGAAGCTTATCCCTTCCGAAGTGGTTCACATTAGTGAAGCTAGTCGGTATTGGAAAGGTATTCCTAACAATTTATAACTTAGAATAGTATAAGCTTCAAGAGTTTAAGAATATATTCAAGCTAACTACTAGTAAAACTAGACAGTTGAATTACAGAGAGCTATAATAAAGGTAGGGACAGGATATTTTTATAGATATAGGAAATCTGGCGCTCATCCCGCTCATCCATGAGCACCATGAGCGTGCTTATCCCGCTCATACATGAGCACCATGAGCGTGCTCATGCCAAGAATCCATGAGCGCTATTACCTGTTCTATTGGTCATTCGCTCTTGAGCCAATAGGATTAGTTCCACGTGTTATGCTCATAACAGATGGTTCTTGATATTTCACATGTTATGGTTATAACAATCACACTTCTATCACCAATCCCTTCCATTTTTGATATATAGAAAAGCACCTTTTTAGTACAAAGACTTTATTAGTCTAATAGCCTTTTATGGCTCCAGCCTTTCGTGGCTCCGTCTTTCGTGACGTACGATCTGTACCAACAAACAGGGAACCCTATATCGAGCACATAACTTATGTGCCTGAGGGCATTTTGGATAGGAGGGGGTAGAAGAGGTTTTAGGGGGTGGTATAAGCAGATAACTGGTAGAGAGCTTCAGATAGTCAATCTGATAAATCAGCTCAGATTTATTAACCTCACCGAAATACTTGCGTACCGATAACATTAGCCAAGTCTTACAAAAATCTCCTTGCTTCCCCCACAGCCCATGTATATTAATCTCCACTGTTCGTTCTCTTTCTCGCTCCTACCCCACCATGATGGAAAATTCAACCTCCACTATCCGAAATGTTCTGTATCTCCCCGCTTCCCCCCACCAACCATGTATAACACTAATGGATATGGTAGGCTGGACATTAATTCTATTAAAATATACATAGAGTATGTAATACTATTATCCAGATTTATCTTAATATTCTCGGACAAGGTAGTGCCGAGAGACTCGGTCTGCCTGCAGTGGTGAGATGTTTTAAAAGAATATTCTTCCGGCCTTTAGAACATATATTAAAAATATTAACTTCAGAACCTTGAAGATATTACTCTTAACTTAACTGATCTCAGCATACGTAGCCTCTAAATTTTCAGTTTTGCCCCCGGACTTTGTTGAAGATGAATCTTATTCCCTTACTCTCCTCCTGTTTTTTGGCCATTGGTGGTATGTTGCCGTTCATTAAAAAGCTATTAAGAGCTAAGAAATAGTAGGATTCCTCTTTGGCTATGACAGCGGTATCATCTCCTCAACCATTGCGCAGCCACACTTCATTGCCTACTTTGAAGACCCTAGTGATTCTGAAGCTGGTGGCATTGTCTCTTCCTTTACTGGTGGTGCCATTCTTGGCTCCCTAGCGATCTCAATTCTGGCCGACTTGTTAGGCAGAAAGAAGACTGTATTCATTGGTGCCGTCATATCCATGTTCGGATGCGCCCTTCAGAGTGGTGCGACCTCCATTGCCATGCTTATTGCTGGCCGGCTCTTTGCTGGGATTGCGGTCGGTCTTCTCTCCGCAGTTGTACCACTTTACTGCTCTGAGATCTCAGAGCCGAGATATCGTGGCGCTCTATCTGGATTGTTACAATGGATGCTTAGCTGGGGATTTTTTGTTGCACAGTGGCTTGGCTATGGGTGCAGCCATGTCGACAGCCATTTTCAATGGCGATTTCCACTTGCATTTCAAGTAATCCCTCCGCTTTTGATGAGCATTGGCATCTGGTTTCTGTGCGAATCTCCTCGTTGGCTCATGGAAAAGGATCGCTTCGATGATTCAAAAGCAGTTCTAAAGATATTGCGGGGTGAAAACACAAACGATGAAGAGATTGATAATGAGCTCCGTGAGATTAAGGATGCCATTATTGCGGATCGTACGATTTCTGCGATTCCTTGGAAAGACATCTTTACACGTGCGTCTTGGCGATATCGTCTATTGCTCGGCTGCGGTGTCCAAGCATTCGGTCAGCTTTCCGGCGTAAATGTCATCAACTACTACGGCCCCCGCATCTATGAATCGCTTGGCATAACGACTGAGACGTCTCTGATGATTATTGGAATCAGTGGCTCTCTTTCAATTATCTATTGCACCATTGGCCTTGCCGTTCTAGACCGCATAGGCCGTGTAAAGCCACTTATCTTCAGTGCTACAGGCTGTGGTCTTGCTCTGGTTGTTAACGCTGCTCTGGCGAAATACCTTCCAACAACGAATGGCAATCAGTTACGAGCTATGGTTGCGATGAACTTTGTGTTCTCATTCTTCTTCACCATGACTGGGATAATTTCATGGGTCTATCCAGCAGAGATATTTCCCACAGAAATTAGAGCTAAAGGAAACAGCATCTCCGCATTCACGAACTGGTCGCTCAACCTTATCTTTGCACAAGTCTCACCCATTGCTCTGTCACATGTCGGCTTTCGATATTTTTTTGCTTTCTTCGTTTTTAATTTTTGTGCAGTGTTATGTTATTCTCTTTTCTATCCAGAAACAAAAGGAAGAACACTTGAGGACATGAATGATTTATTTGGAGATCCAGTGGTCCCAACATCAACAAATGAGAAAAAAGAGAGTTCAAATATCATTAAGGAGAAGGACCAAAATACCGATGTCCAGGTGCTTGATATAGAAAGGGTGTAGGAGGAAATGGCTTTCACAGCAAGAAGAATATGCTTGGAGACTTGGTTGTTTATCAAGATGACTAAGTTGAACCAAGGGGAGTCTTATATGTTGAGATCAGAATTATCTAATCCCGTTGGAGGTACAACTTGGTGGTGTGCAAAGGAACTCAAGCAGGCATTCAAGTTGAGTCATGCTGGGTGCAAAAGATGCAGAAAAAAGATCACTCTTTCAACCACTATACCTTAAGTATTTTTACTTTCTCCTTATAGAATTAGTTTAAATAAGTCAGATGGTTATGCACTCATAGATCACATGTTAGAATATCAATAGTTGTCTGTGATCAATTTGTAAGAAACTCAGACACCTGCGCACTGCCAACTGAACACCGTACTTGCGATAGAGGTATCTCAGATCACACACTGAGTATGTACAGTTATTCAGCCTAGGGCAAATTTGAATCCCTAGTAATCACTCCCTAATCTATATCGTTATCCTCCTATATACCACCTGAGCACTATCATGTGGCTTATCTTCCTTTTATGATTATGCACGAGCTCAAATATCTTAGCAATTTCTGTACTAGGGCGCGCGGTCCAAGGTCGGTGAGTGACTTAATTGGAAAGGAGATATCAGTTGGGAGAAACAATGGACTTTTCACATGCTTGAGATATAAAAATTGCGAGAACAAGGGAGATCAAGAAGATCATGTGAGTGCTGGAGAGGAGAAAGTATATGCAAGAGAAGATTCCTGTTTTGCATTGCTCGCCTTATTTTGCTTTGTTCCATTCTGCTTTGCTTTGCTTTCTTAGATAGATACTTGTTTTCTTAGCATTTAGAAAACTTTCAGTATTATGCTTTACGCCGTTGGAACCCCCTCCTTTTCAAACAGTCTTGATGTGCATGGGCAAGAGAAAATCCCTGCTCAAATCCTATATGCGGTTTTGTCCATAGCAGCTGTATATTACCCACTTTCCAAACATAGCAATCCGATGATGGCATTGATAACGTGAACTGTGTGCGAAAACTAGCAACCCTTGGTTTTTATGAAGATGGAGTATGATATATTGACTTTTTTTTTAAAAAAAAAAAGTTATATATACATTATTTCACCAAGCTATGTAGCTAGCATAGCTAATTTTTTTTTTAGTAATCTTCATCCACATATGGTGTCTGACTAATTGAATAAACCAGGCTTTTTTCCTCAGTAAGTTATGGTAGAATTATCATCGGCTCCACATACTAGCGCTGTCTTGGCGATCGTCCCTCCCCCACCGAATTTGTTTTTCTGGCTCAAGAGTTGGAATCATTTGACGTGAAAAATATCATGATCAAATGTTCCTTTCCAGGGCCCTAAATAATCAACATGACGCTCCAGTAAATAAAGTAGAGACAAGCCCCATATCAACCTTCGGGTAGGCTGGAAAGGCGATTTTCTGTTTCTTAACTTTTCATCCCTTAGCACCAATCCAACTCTGCGACGGGACCAGGAGTTGCCTATGGAGCCATTACCCGAAAATCAAATTGCTTTCAAAAGTCGATCAACATCACTCAACGGGAAATTCGCAGAGAAGGCGGAGTCTCTGATACCCCAGCTTCATGAGAAAATTGTCCCCGCTTTATCTGTGGTTCGCTTCGAGCAAGATGAAGAGTTGTATTTTAAGCTGCGACTGGTGCAAAGCTATGGCATTGCTGAGCTCAATACAGTGAAATGGCGCGGCGGTGAAGATTTCATCCTTGACTTTGGGCATCATGTTGTCGGATATTTGTCTTTTTTCTTAGATGCTGAAGGTGTTAACGTTGATGCACCTACGCGTTTGAGACTAGTTTTTGGCGAAAACCCTCTCGATGTCACCGAAGACTTGCAGCCATGCCGCAGCTGGATAAGTTCGAGCTGGATTCCCGAAGAGACGATTACAGTTGATTGGCTGCCTACACATGTCAACTTGCCCCGACGATATTCGTTTCGCTACCTTCGAATCACTGTTGTTGACACTTCACCTAAGTATAGAGTCAAATTCTCGAATGTCAAGGTTAGAGCGGTATCCTCCGCCAATCCTGACGCACATCTGCTGCCTTTCAAGCATGAAGACAAGCTTTTAGAAGCCATTGACCGTGTGAGCATTGCTACAATGACTGACTGCATGCAAACGGTGTTTGAAGATGGCCCTCGCCGCGATCGAAGGCTATGGATTGGCGATCTTCGTCTGCAAGCATTAACAAACTATTCAACCTTCGGAGATTTCAAACTGGTACGCCGATGTTTATATCTTTTCGCTGCTGTCGCAAGTGAGGATGGATCCCTTCCTGCGTCGCTATTTGAGAAGCCTAAATTGGCACCAGCATCAGACTACATTGTCGACTATGATCTTTTATACGGCAGTATAGTCCACGATTATGTGAAAGAATCAGGAGACATAAAGACAGGACATGAGCTGTGGGAGACGGTCCTCGGAAGTGTTAAGATTGGTCTCGCACATGTCAATGAGGAATATGTATTCTCTTGTCAAAAGCTCCCATTTTGGAAATTCCTTGACTGGGAGGAGAAACTCGATCGTGATGCCGGCATGCACGGTCTGCTCATATACTCACTGAAAGCAATCAATGCTTTAGCTCATATATTGGCGAAAGATCCTCCGTTCTTGCATGAAGTCAAATTTTTGGTTGACGCTGCTCAAAAGTTCTACGACAGGGAACGCGGAGTTTTCGTTAGCGGCCAATATGGTCAGGTTTCTTGGGCATCTCAAGCTTGGATGGGGATCTCTGAAGTGATGGATCCCGACATCTGTAAAAGAGCGCTCCTAACAGCTATGCATGACCCACATGCACTGCGCCCATTGACTCCATACCTTTATCACTATGTCGCTGAAGCGCTCTTTACTGTCGGTGCGAAGGAGGAATGTCTCAAGCTCATTCGAGACTATTGGGGCGCGATGGTAGCTGCGGGCGCTGACACCTTTTGGGAGTGCTTTGACCCAAACGACTGCCGCGCGAGCCCGTATGGAGACTGCCACAACAACAGCTATTGCCATGCTTGGAGCTGTACTCCAGCTTATCTACTTCGCAAGTTGTTTCCATAGAAATGGAAATTTTATCTACATAGTGTTTAGGAATTATCTTGGTTACTGAGAGGAAACAACCCCCTTCAAAGATCCGTTTGATGTGAGATCTTCCCACAACCCAGATGTAAAAAGACCATTCATTCTCTTCACGGCCAATGATTATCTTCACGTTATAGGTTTGGAACTGCGGTATGCAGAATGCTGGCCACACTCTCAGCACATCTTATGTGGAGAAGCAATTCTTGAATAGCTAGCGAGGTGTCAAGATCAAAAGAGCGTGTCCTAATACCTCCTGAGCACTAGGGTGAGGCCTTCCCCCACCAGCTTGTGTGCGGTGAAATGCGCGTCCCGAGACAAGGATGACCCGAAAGGTAAATTCGAGACTTTGGCACATTTCGACCCGAAGAAAATGGCTCTACGGAAACATAGTCTAGCAGAGTAATTCACTCCGTGTTGCAAAATGAAATTGGTCAATAATATGAGCGTAATCGGGACCACGAATTCCTTCCAAATGCATCAATTTGGCTAGTGTTCACAATGGGGGTAACGCTTCGTTTGTCTATAAGATGAAAAGTATTACAGAAATTTTAAGTCTATAAAGAGGAGATAAAGCTGTGATTAAATTCGAAAATAACTCTGCGAACAGAGAGTCTTCCCAGTTTTCAACCTTTTGAATATGCTTACTACCGCCATTTTTCTCTGGACATTCATTTGCAAAGGACAAAATGCACTTGCGATGCCTGTGCGATCCGCTCCGAGTTATGTCAATTGGAAGACTTTTAACGCCAGTGGGGTGAACCTCGGAGGATGGTTAGAACAAGAATCAACGATAGATACTGCGTTCTGGACGCAATATGCTGGAAATGCAACCGATGAGTGGGGGTTGTGTGCGCACCTTGGAAATCAATGTGGACCGGTCCTTGAACGCCGATATGCTACTTGGATCACACCAGGTGATATTGATAAGCTTGCGGGTGCTGGAGTGAGAGTGCTCAGGATTCCTACTACCTATGCCGCATGGGTAAAGGTCCCCGGCTCACAGCTATACAGTGGGAACCAGCAATCCTTCCTGAAAACCATTGCATCTTACGCAATAGCAAAATATAACATGCACATCATTATTGACATCCATTCACTTCCTGGTGGAGTAAATGGTATGGCATTTGGAGGACAAACAGGAGCATTTGGGTGGTTCAACAATCAAACTGCCCTCGAGTACTCCTATCAAGCTGTCGAGGCAGCAATTTCTTTCATTCAAGGTTCTGGTCAGCCGCAATCATACACTCTTGAACCTATCAATGAACCTGTCGATAACCGCGACATCTCAACATTTGGTACGCCTGCAGCTCTATCAGACTCTGGAGCACAATGGGTTCTTCAATACATCCAGGGCGTCCTTAGTCGCGTCAAAAATGTCAATCCAAATATCCCGGTCATGTTTCAGGGAAGTTTTAAAGGCGAACCCTACTGGTCAAACTACTTCACCGCCGAGACTAACCTCGTCTTTGATGTTCACAACTACTATTTTGCAGGCCGGGGCACAAATTCCAACAATGTGACCATAGATATATGCTCTGACGCCAAAGCATCCGCTGGGGACGGAAAGTTTCCTGTCTGGATTGGTGAATGGTCAATTCAAGCCGAGTATAACAATCTATATTCCAATCGTGAGAAAAACCTGAACACCGGATTGTACGCATTCGCAAAGTACGATCATGGTAGTGCCTATTGGACAGCAAAATTCACAGGCACAGAACCAGTAAATGGGCAGGGTACGCAGGCTGATTATTGGAGCTATGAGAGTTTTATTGACCTCAATTACATCAATCCCAGTAAGGGTGCTAAATATTGTGCCTGACGAGATGTCAGGGTACAGGCAAGAAAGGGGCGAGCATTGAGCATGGCTTAACTTCTGTAGATAACATCAGCAGACCTAAGAAAATTGTGTTTACTCTGTAGTGGAAACTGATTATTACACTGCATATGATCTAGCAGTCGAATTTCCTTCTTTGTTCTAACTTTGAATTGGGGATTTTGTGTGTTTCATTGCGACATAACGACGACGTCTCTGGATACAGCGTGTACAAATTAGCCTCGCAGGCATAGCATTACTTGCGCTGCATAGCTTAACGTATGGATTAGCCTACTTAACTTCCGAACAAGATCAGGGCACGCTTCTTCTACTCCCCCACTTGCGCCGTGAATAATTAACACGTTGATTGCTTTCATGACTTGACACGGGGAGTTTATTGCAAGGGCTTCATCCACGCCAGATGGAGATATGTGACCATCAAGCTTGATGACAGGAGTACCACGTCCGAGAGCCACGAAGCGTTGCACAAGTGTGCCCTCGTCGCCATCTAAGTGAACCTGTTCTTCGTCTTGCAGAGCGCATATTGGAGCTGAGTTATGCTTTAGGATTGCATATGCCCAAAAAATGATGCCAACATGATAAACTGTAACCGCCAGATAGTCACGTAAGGCTCCGACAGGGACACATTTTGCCGCACGAAAAATCTGGCCTGCATGCCATAATGCTTTGCGTGCTCGGTTACTCGATACCCAGATTTCCATTTTGGGTTGAACTTTAAGGGCTGCATCTTCTCCATACTTTCCCACAAGCCTTTGAATATCTTCAATGGGAGCATAGATCACCATGGACTCATACTCTACGAGCATTCGTGCCCCCGGGTCACACGCTTCCATGCATTGAACACCCACCAGCCGAAAGTATTCAATTGATTGTTCCAGATCATTTCGCAATGTGTCTATGACCAGAGACATGGTCGAACACGAGGTGTGTGGTGCTGCTTCAAGGCTATTTTGTAAGTCATGGTATTTCCAGATTCTTGCCCATAAATTGGATAATATGAGCCAGATGCAAGCACGAGTGTCAATTATCTTGTCCCATTGTGTCAACAGCAGATTCTCATTGCAGATATCTTGTACAGACGGCAAATAACTTGCTTTCTGTGCTAGTTTCTCATGGTATAGCCTAGCCCATGTTTTGGAATCTGCGGCTGTCCAGAGGTCTGAGCTTATGGGCGCTGAGAGGGTTATTTCAGCTTGAGATAGCAGTGGTTGAGTAATAAAACTCATTGAACCACATGCGTCACGCACCATGATGTGAAAGACAAGACGGCTGAATGACTCAGCCTTAGTCCAATTTTTCCATTTGAGCTCCAAGGTTTGGTGGCCATCAGAGACAACTGGCCAGGCCTCCGAGACTTGTGTGCTTTGGAAATTGCCACCGCGCCGCAACATCGTATTGAGTACATGGGAAAAGCCCTCAGAAATCTCCATTTGACGCCTATCTCCACTCCAAATGCCTATATCTAGCAAAAGAGCAAATGTTTGCAAAGATTGAAGGTCTCGAATGTTGCGATTATCGCGTTCGAAGAGACCGCTAGTGGCTATTCGCAATGGCTCATAGAGTTCGTTAGAAAGACGGCGTATCCCAGATTCGGGAGAAATAGATGCCCCAGCGACCAACATTGCGAGAAGCAGCTCTGGTGGTTCATCGATAAAATTGAGACTTGGTATGTGAATCCAACTCAGTTGGCTAATGCTGTGTGATTTCAAGAATCGTGAAATTAACGCGTTGACTAGATTGGAGTTCAAAGCGGTCTGGATGTACGAGGAAGGGGTTAATGGACTGCACGTATCGAGAACCAGACGGTAAATCCGATCGCATACACTACGGCTTGTGGGTTCAGGAATGATTTTCTCGGCAAGGCGAAAGCGGAGAAGTGCGTGGTACGTTGGTGAAGGAAAATTTATTCTGTCTATGCCACCACGGTCGTTATGAGTGGGCTGCCATATCCATGGTGATTCTCGAAAAGCCTGGGAGGTAATTTTGACTAGTGACATTTGCGGTCCGTCCTCGTAACTGGCACTGCTGTTGCATAGAGGTGGCTGATATCTTATCGGCTGCATGTCGAAATCCAAAACGTTGACCGGCACGGAAGGGGCGCTAAGAGCAAAGTCGAAGATACCCCAGTGCTGAGTAGCATAATTGTTTTGATCACGTTCAACTTGTTGCTCAATACGCGATTGACTCGGACTAACAGCAGCTTCGAAAGTATGAGTGGAAGCAGTGCTATTATTGCCAACGTTTTCGAGGTCTTGCAACCTTGTTTGGATTGGTATTGACTCATCTGCAGCTTGGGATGCGACAGTTGCAAATGCACTCGTCAAACTGAACGCAGAACTTAATTTCGACTTCAGGCTCAGTTTGGGAGTAGATGCAACTCACGACTCTACCACACTTGATCTTGATGTCGCCGCTCTCAGAGGCTCTGTCTCCACTGCGATCATTTCCTCCGCAGCTTTTTCTTGGGAAGAACTTGGATATGCCCCTCGCGCAATCTTGTTTAGATCATTCGGATCTTGGCAATCCGTTTTGTTTCCAATGGTTGTTTTGCGATGAGACTCGAAAGCTTCCGAGTGCCAGCGAGCGATGTGTTTCTTGCAGAGGTCACTACAGACTGTTAGACTACTAGCTATTACCTCGACGCATGCGCAAATCACACACAGTCGAGCAAACTGTTCTCCACAATTCTCGCATTTGTGTGGTCTTAGGCCGGTGTCTGAATATGGTGAGTTTCAACTTGTATCCTAGGGGGATTTGTCTTACGTGATCGAATATGGCGCGTGAGATGGTCGATCCGCGCAAATTTTCGGTTGCAAGTCTGACACACAATTCGATCGCTTCTAACCGTATCCTTCCATGCAGTGGGAGTCTCCATTCTTCAGTCGTGAGCCTGTATAAGTGGATCGAGAACAATTTTTAAGTTCCCCAGAAGCCGTGACCAACTTTCCCCGTGGAGAAGACGGCCCCACCCTGGAACCGCTCGGTAGATTGACAACCGAATGATCAAGTGATCAGTGATTTTCAGAAAACTTGTCTGACTGGCACGACAACCACTGTAAAGAAATTCTTGTTGAGTTTTGATCAACAACGAAATTTATGCTCTCTATTAAATTTTACTTTTCTCAGCATCAGAGCAGAAACTAGAAGTTTCAAGAATGTTATTTAACCATCAGAATGAAAGCTTCCACAAAGAGTACCAATATTTCAACGATTTATCCACAATACAATTTTTTAGCACTAAAATAGCCTATAGAATGCGATGAACTGCTGCGATAATTCTTTAGACACTAATTACTACCGTGACACAGACTTGCTTAGGACGCAAGCTCTTGTCGAATTGGTGAGAGCTAGAGAAGTTATTTTCGATTAGGGAACAATCTTTTTGACCCAAGCTCCGTACGTCGATGTGCAGCGTTCGATGGGAGATTTTCCTACTTCCTATTGATACCAATTTATCAGTAAGGCCAAGCCAATTGGCAATCATTCGGAGGCTGAAGGAATGATATGTGGATCCGCCACAAAGGCATGGAGGCGGATCCGCCAGTGGAGACCATCTGCAATCGGAAGTAAATCCGCTTTAGCGCCTTATCGCTTTATCGGGCATAGATTCGGACATCGCATCAGCCGATTTTGCTTGGAAAGAAGATAAATAGACACTCTGGCTCCAGAAGTACCAATCGGTAGTTCTCTTTAAGATGCTCCACTGTAACATGTGTTTCTTCTTTACGCAATACTAGATATTCAATACAGAATGCCAAGCAATGCAGCATATACGTTCACATTGTCAACGGGCTTGCGAAGCCCACAGAAATGCCGACGCCGTAGCTGCAGCTAAGTCTTCAACCCAGGACTGATCAACTAAAATGTGGCTGGGCGATTCAGGAAGCTAAACTTTAGAACTAGTCAAATAACTCCAGAATATCATGCTATATAGACCACTTGAAAGTCGTCGAATTAAACCTCGGGGATGAATTGGTTTACAATAAATATAAAGGTCTTGAGAAGGTGCAGACTTAACAGCAGGTGGATGTACGGATTATCTTGAAGACATTGTCTTCAAATCATCACCCAAGCTTGCTTATTCAAATATGGAAATGTGAGTGTTCAATTTACTCGGATGTTGCCAGTTCGATTTGAAGTTAGAGTGTAGTTCCCATCAATAATGTTTGTTGCAGCATATGTGAGACAGTCTCTAAAAGAACTAAGACTATAAAACCAACTATCGTGCGATGTTGACGTTAATCGTCATCGGACAGAATAAGATTGTATATGCCCAGCATGAGGTATTCATGGACATTGGAGCTTCGCAGAGTTAAAGGTATGGTTTTCTACTCTCAGCTGTGTGGTGTCTGAGGCGGTCTTATCTCATTATAGAAAAGGGACGAAATTTAGCTAATGCATCTATCTCACAAAGAACAAATTTGCTTCAATCTCTGTGGAACTCTTGAGTTGCTAGCAGAGGCTAGATTACGAATCAAGCTTTATGCGCAATCGATGCTCAGACAGCCCACTATCTTGTGATAGTGCTCAAGCACGATGGGAAAATGTCACTATAAACATTGCGCTGCATTCCGCAATCAATCAGACGCAAAAAAACTATCCCTTAATGATCAAAAGATGAGTTGCGAACAATTGCAAACAGCTGAGATTGCGTTGAAGTACACGATAAGATCTCACGCTTGCTCCAGGAAAATTCCGTGGCAAATCACTCTTGCTTGTCAGCTGTTTGAGTCAGCTATGTCATCGTCAACGAAATGGAACAAATGCATACAAGCTCTAGACCACCGGAACATAGTCGAGGTGGAAAATGCGAATGGCGAGCTTCGCAACCAACTTCCTTGTATTGGTGATCAATATCATAACAACTATACGGCCTGCCAGCTGAGTTGCTCCATACGATTCTGGTACATTATCAACAAGATTACCACATTCGTACGCCACACCAAACGGCTTATTACTAAACATCTTCAGCATCACTCAACGGCTCATATTCCCTAAGCTTAGGACTATGCCCACGCGAGCCGTCTATGCACATTAACAATGAATCCTCCATCGGCAACGATCTTATAGAAACAGCGCCCTGAAATAACACGAAGCTGTTCAGACATTCTGTGCAATGGAACAAGGCTACGGGACAGCTTTGTGGATTGAAATACGATAAATCTCTAGTGCAAGCTAGGATCAGGAGACTAAGATGACGAAGCACAACACAATGGCAATGAGAGTCTATTCATGTGTTAGAGTTTACGCAGAAGCGAGAAAGCAGTAAGCGAGAGTGAACGAATTAAAAAATGAAAGTTGACGAGCTGATCGATCATCTTAGCATTCATTAATGTCCTTCTGAGAATTGAATTCGTAAACCAGCCATCTCCGGAGCAAACTATTTGCACAAGTTTGCAGATTCGAGCTCCACCAGATCGTCAAGACGTTTTCCATATACCTTTCCGTTAACTTCTGCAAAAGACGACAATCGACCAAGTTGGTTCATGGCGTCGACGCAGCTGCGAATGTGCCTCACCATGTCATGTGCTTCGATGTTTGTCTGAACCCAAGCTGCTCGGGCGTCTAATGGAGCAACAGGTTCGCGCAGGATACGCAACCAGGTCAACATGATGTCGCAAGCGCTCTTGAGTCCAAAAATCATAACGTCTGGAGCCGGTTCAGTAAGAATGGAGCCAGGACGAATTGAGGAGTGATATTCTCGGTTCGTCCTATCAATTACGTTATTAGCGATATCTTGGCAGGAAACGTGCGCAATCTCTGCAAGCCTGTAGCTTGCTTCCTTCTGCAGGCGAAGAATGAGACAGGTGGAGAGCCGTAGGCTTCGCTGTATGGTATGTGAGGCTGAGCGTGTATCATGGTCGTCGATCAGCTCGATCCCTCTCAGGTATCCGACATACCAGTGTCCGAATGTTGTGATGTACCACGACCTAACGGTAAATGGAAGCGCTGTATGCTCAGCGATGCAGTTGTCCAAAAATTGACCGTACCGAACATTCCAAGTCCCGCAGACATTCAGTATCTCAGCGATGCAGCGCTCGATTTCATCGTCTGTAGAACTGGCACTGATAGCGGCTTGCAGATGTGCGACCTTGCGTATGATAAGGACAGTCATTGGAGTAGCTTCCTGTAAAACGCTGGCCATACGCTTCTCAAAGTCGGTACGCGGGCACTCAAACGGATCATCGCATGGAGATGGGGCCATTTGTTGGAGCGGCTGCCAAATCTCAAGTCTCTGAAATGCACGCGTGAGACTTCCTACGCCGCTTGAAGAAGCCTCTTGATTGCCCGCAGGATCTTCAGTGCTGGGCAGATCTTGCGGGTCGTGCTTGATGATATGATTTTCCGTCTCCGTATCGACAAAGACAAGGGGTCGGCGGTGCAATGTTGAACGTGCCGTGTCAAGCATGATGGAAAACCAAAAGAGAAGGTTGAATTGTGGACATGCCTGTAGCACAGCTCGGCGGACATGTTCGAGCTGGTTCAGAAGAGGTATGTTCGCAGTTTGTCCAGCTAACGATGTTCTATGCAAGAAGATTTTGATTCGTGTGCTCCAGGTAGAGAGCTGCTGCATAACAACTGACAAATGATCAATGGGATCTTCAGGGTTTAGTAGGTCGAAGAGTGTTTGAGGCTTTCTCGAAGTACGTTTGGTTGAATGCTTAGATGACTGCGTGCCAGCGGCGGCATCCTGAGAGTCAACTTTGGCTGATGCTTCACCTCGAGACTCTTTTGGCAACGCGTCAGCATTAATGAATTCCTCCATGAGAATCTTTTCCTCCCAATTTAGTGGTCTAGTAATAAAGAACAGTATTAGCTTCGCGGTAATGACACGGAAGGAGTCACAGTCGGAGAGACGGGTGAGGCACTTGTTGAGCTGCGTCCACAGGCTCTGTCGGATCATATATTCTAGCTCGTTCGAATCCAAAAGCTTTGGGGTGGTGAACTTCTCACTAATGTCTGCAGCAGATACACCTCCTTGCGATGATGATCGCGTCGATGATGGCCACTGGCTTGCAAAGGCAAGCACAGCCAAACCGAGCACCTCGGATGCTAAGGCGTTCTCTGCTGCGGTAAGAGGATTAGGTCGAAGCGTGGATAGGACATTATCAAGGTAGTAGGCGCGCTGATAGAGATTCGAGGGTGTTGAGTCGGTTGAGATCCGGGAGGCTGTGCGCCGTCTTAAACTCCAGATCCGCTTTTCGTATGGTGAGTTCTCCCTCGTCACCCAGCAAGATAAAGACGTCTCCATGCTATTCTCGTATATTTTTTTTAGGCCGGCGATAAAAAAGGACTTTATGGAAGAACTGGTGAGGTTAAGTTCCGGCCCGGCCAGAAATGATGGGCGCTGACGTGGTACTACATCAGCGATGGCTTGTCGAGTATTTACAGAGTCCATATAAGACTCTTCCTGCCTCCTCTCGTGACGAAGGCCTTGTGTCTGCCGAAGCCGCCACTTAGGATCTTCTGATTCTTCGAGCAGGTCTTCCTCATAGAATGCACCTATTGACGCCGTACTACCTCCCACTTCGTCGCTTCTCGAAGCGATATGAGATAGATTCTCGATCACTGCAGACCTCGTCTCCCACGGGTGTTGGGTCAACCCTTCAGCCGGAGGAATATCATATACGGATAGAGGCGTTGATGACCAAGGGGTGGGGTAGAAAGATTGAACCTCTCCGCCTTCTGATTCAGGCTGACCGACGACGTTTTCCGGCACGGAGAATTGAAATGGATCTTTCCCAACGAAAAAGGCCGTTACTACGTTAGGGGGGCTTCTGTGGTGCACTGCTGGATATCCTTCATTTTTCTCACAACGCGCTGCTTTATCTACACCCGAGGTAGGTGATTCTGCCGAAACGCTCGCTGATGAGCTAGCAACGGAAGGTCTGGAGGTCTTGAGCGTCTCGTTTTCCGTTGGTATCTTGCGAACCTGTGCGGGAAGCTGGATCTTGATACCTGGGGGTAGTTTTTTTGAGCCGTCAAGCAGCCAGTTGAAAGTGCAACTTCTGTTAGCGCGATGGCATGTGGTGCATGCTATTTCCTTCGCATCATCCTGACCTTGCTTAAACGGATTAATGCCGAGTCGAATGGCATTGCAAGCCCTGCGGCGTTTGCGACAATAGTCGCAGCTCTGATACTGTCTCCGCCTCGGCGAGTCACCATAGGCGTTAGCACTTTGCGAAAAGTCTGAAGGCGTCGAAGATGCTCGCCACGCCTGCGTTTCGCTGTTGGTGGCAGTCGTGAGCTCTTTTTCCATAGAAAATGGTATGGATTGAATGTCTGAGGATTTAAAGGTTAGCCTTCTAACACCTCTGACGCTTTGCGACAATTACCTTTTCTCGATTCAAACGCACGTGTCCGAACGGAGGGGTCAGTCATCCGATCAAAGAGCTGTTTAGATCGAGAATCTTGGTTTCTAGCAGTCGACCAAAATATCCTTGCATGACGCGCACACTAAAGCCAAGAATACCTGCTACTTACATTGAACGTCATGTGCGTAAAAATGTTATACATCATATTTTCTTGACCAATCGCGAGGTCGGGCGGTTTTTGCTCCGAGAATTGTCTGCCAAAGAAAATATTTAGGACGAAAAAGCTTCAAGCCTATCACAGCCGCCTGAATGAATAATGCATATGGCATGTATTCAGCCAGCACAGGATTGTTGCGACATCCGGTGGAGGGATCAGCCTTGATGGCAAATCTAGAATGTTTCCAACACGAAGATGGTTTAAGGAGCCTCTAAGGATGAGCCTCTGGTTTCTCATGTTCGGAAAAGCGTGGCCTGCATGTCCAAGATCCTTGCAACTCGATGTCAAAAATTTCGTGCAAATATGAAAAGGGTGTACATTTGAGGTTGTCCAAGTTCGATTTCAAATGCAGCTATCGACTCTTTCGGACAGGCAACGTTCCCTCGAACGGCTTTTTCGTATTGATGCTTGAGTTTGTAGCAGAGAAAAGGCCGCTCGAATGCGGATTGATCTTTGCACAAGAATCACTTATCCCCTAGGCTTGGCCGCCACGAGTGTTCGAAGTAAAGAAGCGGCGGGAGAATTCATTGGTCCAAGAACTACGATGGAATCTGTGAAGACGAGCGAATCTCCTCGAGTTGTCTCTAGCACATTGCATTAGACGGCTTGGTCACCGTTGGTAAATTCCTGATCATGGAAGGACATTTTTAAGGATTTGACTCTAACATTTGTAGTTAAAGATTCAGACACACTCGCCGTCGCATGAATCAATGCTAGAGTTTATAGCGCCGTATTATGTATTTTGAGGTTCTCTAATGTGCAGCAGCTTGAAGATAGTAGCGATTTGAATTGGTGGAAGAAGCACTTAGAGGCGTGCATACCCACGGGCGGACGTTTTGCTTGTCTCATGCGGAACACGTAGGCGTAGTCTTTAAGGGGGAGTGTTTTGCAAGTACAATACTGTTTACACTCTCCACTGATAGCATGCCGATTTTATGGTTGTAGTATATCAATTTTACAAGGCTTGCGATAGACGCAAGGGCCAAATTGCTGCCAAAAAGCCGAATGGGTACACGAGGCAGATTCTGGATGGCACCAATGCCTGGAGTATCAAATATCTTATCCTTCTCCGCTCCTTGGGGCCTTTCATTCACGGATTCAGCAGCATGAACACCACATGGAGGTCGAAGTGCATCATATTCTTGTGAAATGTCAATGGTGCCGTTGTTAGAGATATCGCTACTCTATGATCCGATTCAGAGAAGTATGGATTTCCTACTTTTAAGCAGCCAAGAATCTGTCCGGCTTGCAGACATCTAGTCGAGAAATATGAAGTGTCGTCGCTGAACCGCGTTCTGATCATCCGGTTCACGTGAGGGCTTCCATTGTCATCTTGCCTCAGAAGACGTGATTAATGATGATTTCAGCCGTGACTAAGTTTCAATACTCAATTCGCTTCCGATACAAACAATTTAAAAATATGAGATATCGGACACGTCCTCTCCGGAATTGTGTCGACATTGAGAGATTGAAATGATCATGACCAAGGCCATGGCCCAGGACTCACGTCATCGTGCTCAAAGAGCTCGGCATAGAGAAACTTTGTGAATGAGCTATCACGTAGCAGACCGTACACTTCGTCGAGAGCGGTGGTTAAGAGCCGATTGCGTAAGTCACATCTTTGCAACTGATTGCTTGCGGAGTCACAAGCTGAGGCTCGGCAAACAGTTCTCTGCGGTACTGCGCCGCATCAGGCACCGGTAATCAAGACACGCGAGTGTGTTCCCTCGACCTTCGTCTGCTTTTCTTCAACCACACGGTCCATACAACGCGCTGCTGCTGTTGCCGCAAAGCAGAACCGCACTGGAAGGACTTGCGCACCCAGCATGCGGACACTGTTCCTGCTCGCTGTGGCTGTTGCCCATGTCGTTGCCGTTCCGCCTGCCCCACCAGGACGAACTCCTGTGACCACGCCCACACCTCAGGCTTCATGGAGACGGTTGTCGAACTGGGCGATCGCGAAAATATGGGGCAAGTGTAAGAGCAATGGAAATGCAAATCGTCTGGCTACTGTCTTCCACGACACGTCAAGTGGTGGTTCAAGACGAGCTTGGTCGCGATATGGGCAAGACATCGTACTACGATTCAATATTTCGACGGCAGAGGATGCTATCGCCGTCGGCGATGCCTCTCGAGATCTTTACCTGGACGTCTGGGAGTTCAATGACAATTGGGTTGACGTGCGACTTGCGAAGAATGACGTGCGCTCTGGACGTTTCCTACACAGTGAATACTTGTCGCTTACACCAACATAGGTCCCTATCCTCCTTGCTCTCCTGCCTCAATCGCTTCAAAATGCGCACATGCCGTTGATGCCACATGTTGGTCTCGCAGATATCATCTCGCAGTCGCTCCCGACCTCGCATGCCCCATTTGCGGCCACGCTAGAACCACACTCCAAGGATCTTTTCTTCTCGGACTATCAACCATTGTCCGTCATTTCTCCCTGGCTGCGTCTTATGTCCTCCATGTTCCCTACACACGTGCGCTTAATAAACATAGGAGTCAGTTGGGAGGGCCGCGACATCCCCGCGCTTCGAGTGGGTGTGCACCCCACAAACGACGAATATGGCGCGACACCACGCCGGACGATTGTTTTGACCGGCGGTATACATGCGAGGGAGTGGATCAGCATCAGTACCGTGCTATACGTTGCCAATGCCGTCATCACGTCGTACGGAAAGGATCGAACGTGGACAAATCTCCTCGAGTCCTTCGACTGGATCTTCATCCCCACTCTCAATCCGGACGGATATGTCTACACATGGGAAACGGATCGGCTGTGGCGCAAAAATCGCCAGCCGACATCTCTGCGCTTCTGCAGCGGCATTGACTTGGATCGGGCCTTCGGATTCGAGTGGACTGGCGATGCGTCCGGTGGGAACCCTTGCGCCGAGAGCTTCGCGGGCGAGGAACCATGGCAGGCCGCTGAAGCGCAAAGATTTGCAGCTTGGGCGCGCAACGAAACTGAAAGCGGCAACACAGAATTTGTGGCGCTGCTAGATTTGCACAGCTACTCGCAGCAAGTTCTGTACCCTTACAGCTATTCTTGCGAGGCTGCTCCACCGACACTAGAAGACCTTGAAGAAATTGCACTAGGATTAGCAAAGGCGATGCGCATGACCAGTCACGGACGCTACTACAAGACCACATCGGCTTGTGAAGGCAACGTGGCTGTGGCAGAAGAAACCGGAAGGAAAGAAGTCCTACCTAGGATCGAATCCGGCGGAGGAAGCCTTCTTGACTGGATGTACCATGATTTGAGAGTGAGATATGCTTATCAGATCAAGCTCCGCGACACAGGCAGCTATGGCTTCTTGCTGCCCAAAGAAAACATTGTGCCGCAGGGAAAGGAAGTCTTGAATGCAGTCACGTATCTTGGGAAGTTTTTGACTGGGCAGATTGGAATGGAAGAAGAAAATGCTCAAATTCGTGACCCCGAAACGATGAGCGAAGTGTTAGATCTCACTCAAGCTGCATATGGGATTGTGAAGGAAGTTGAAAGAGCTGGCAACCTTCCAGCTGAACCGGTCATCGCCGATTCAAAACAAGACATGGTATGGGAACTGAGAAGACGGCGGTAAAAAGCTCATCTTGCTTTCGTTGTGTGTATATTTTTTACGAGTAATTTGGACAAGCTTACACAATGCTTCTACCTATGTGCGCTTTCGAGAACGTTCTGCCGTAATCTCGATTTGCAATCACGCTGGCGCCCATGTACGTAGTCGAACCCTGAGGCATTGTCACCTGCCTCTGATCATGACTCTTGTGGTATTCATTCTCGCTACATCTCAGATGAGAACTAAACATGGAGACCCCGGACTTCAAATCGGATCACCGCTGATCTATGAGTATCGATTCTCTGATGAGATCGCACGACTGTCCTGAACGATCGCGCCCTCGCATGTGGGGAGATTTACGGCTCTCCACTTCAACCCCATCCGCTCAATCATAATCGTTTCGCCCTTCATAACATTCTCGGCGACGTTTCCTGCTACAAGATGCACATGATATCGCAATTGTCGGGACTGCTCATCACGCGCAAATACAAATCATGCCCGCAAGGAAGAGACGTGACTCAATGTCTTCCTCATTCAACCAAGAGTTGTTTGTGCTGGATCTTTAGCATTTGCCAAACCCTACAGGGGATGGAAGCCGTGCTCTTGCATCAGATATTCCAGCTCTTGTTTACCTACGACTTAGGTTGAACGTAACCCTTGTCTCGCACTTAACTTATGTGAGGCGTGGTGACAGATCTATTATTGCGTAGGTCATCAAATTGGCCAACATTGTGACAAGATTAGGTCGCGCACGGGTCATCAGATCCATAACCTGAACAACCCGAGTCTTGAAGTGTTGAAGGATGCGGCTATGGCGTGGATTTGTCGCTAGGATAGCACGGGAACTAAGAGAGCACATGAATCGTAGGATTTCCATGCAGCAACCCATGATTGAGCATCTTGAACAAACAGCACAGAGATGATCGCCCTGACAGGCAAGTCAAAAGGATCTCTCCTGACAGCAGTACCATTGCGAACATGAGTTTTTGGCGTGCTTGTTTTTGTCGTCCACAGAAGAGGAAGACCCCGACCCTGAGGCACGCCACTCACCAGGTGACAAGACGGGACGCGGATGCGGATATTAACAAGGAAGCACGTACCTGGACGTTTTAGGCCAAGCGATACGTGACGAACATACCCTCTTCTGTCATCGATTATTAAAAGAACGCAAATATGGAAACGCGCGGCGAGCGCAAGCTGGAAATAAGATTCTCCGAACGATGGGTGGGAGTGAGATGAATGCGTCAAAGTCCAACAAGGCGGGTCGCAGGCCAAACTCTGCCTGAATCACGACAGACTCCTGAGACGTGGAATCGGAACCGACAACCAAATGGCACATTGAGCGCATAGAGTTTGACCCGCCCGATGATGGAGACAAGACAGACTGCTTGGCGTCGGCTATTCCACATTCAGCCTAGGGAACGAAGGTGCAGTTTCGGTTGCAGGCTTGTACGTAACTGCCGCCAGCGCCCTGGCTGCGCAGGCAATGATAATCTTCGAGAAGAACATGCCGTCCTTGACGGCCTTGCATAAACGCAAATCGCCAATCGTGCGAATGCTCGGGAAAACGCCCTTGCGCATGCGCGGGCAAAAGAACGCAGCACTGCGCGGTGCTAATGTCGAAGGAAAGCCGGCACGACCTTTAGCGGGGTTCCAGCCTCCAGGGGAACGCGCACTGCCCTGGGAAGAACTTTTCGAAATGGCCACCACGGCTAGCTTCTGGCGCTATGCCGGGGGGAACATGTCCAACCTCGAGACTAGAGGCCGAAGAGGACGAATCCAAGGGTGATTCGCAAGGTGTCTCTGGGTGGACCGAGCCGTGGGGCAGATTGTGCATCTAGAACGGCAGAATCTCAGGCACTGGAACCGCGTCCAGCGCGGTGCGGGCAGCGTCGAGCTGCTGCGAATCGTCAGGCTGTTCCTTGAGCGTGCCGAATACATCGTGTGCGTGCAGCGGCGAATGGGTCAGATAAGGTCTGTACGTCTTGATGGCGCTGATAGACGACCACGCTCGTACTGCACAGTAATGCGCTTTGCCTGCTCATGATTCGTGACACGCTGCGGGTGTAGGTATCCTCGCTGCCGAACGAAACTTTTGTCTCGGCAGTTGTCCGCTAGTGCCAGTCTCGAAGGCCAACAAGGTACACTTTCGACCCTGGGGGCGTCGTCTAGTGCTATAGCCTGGGAATGGATGCAACGGGCCAACCAGCCGGCGTCCGGGTAGCTCTTCGCTAGGACCACCATCGGGCTCTGAGCGGCTTGCGCCATGGTAAGCCCGCTCGTTTGGCCTCGCCACTGCTCGTCAGAAAAACTGGGGACGGTGGTCTGCTCTGCAGCTGTGAGCGCTCGCTGAAATGCAGAAGCACTTTTTTCTCGCCCGCCGCTCGGACGATCTAGGAGATTTGGCTCTCTATGGCAGTGGTTTCCGCCCGCAGCATGGGCTATATTAACTATCTTTACTTGAAGCTTGTTCTTCCCTGATTGTTTTTTTTCCCTTCCCATTCTTTCTTTGTTGTCGTCGATCTTTTTCATCCTCTCAATCCAGGCAACACGCCGACGATCTGAGTACCATGTCTGAACACGACAAGAGAGCGACCGGATTCGAGCTCAACCAGGTTGAGAGCACCTCGAGCCGGTCGAAGGTGTTCGACAACAGCATCAGCCATGTTCCGGAAGAGTACAGAGGCACGGAGGCCGATGCCCACGACATGATTGTCATGGGCAAGAAGCAGGTGCTCCGCCGCAACTTCGAGTTCTATACCATGCTTGGCTTCGCCTCCACCTGCGTTGCTAGTTGGGAGGGTGTGCTATCGTTCGTTTTGCCTGCCAAGAGAATATAGAAAAAGACGGACGGATGCTGACTGACTTCCAGATACACCAGCTTCTGGCTCACCAATGGCGGAACGGGCTTGGTATTCTGGGGTTCGATTGTCTGCACCATTGGTCAAGCCATGGTGTACGCCAGTCTTGCAGAATTAGCGTCCATGTACGCGATCAACATGCTGTATTGTTGGCGCACACTTACACCGTGAACAGGTCCCCAACAGCTGGAGGCCAATACCACTGGGTCTCTGAGCTGGCCCCCCGTCGACACCAGAAGTTGCTCAGCTACATGGCCGGATGGGTCACCGGTCTCGGCTGGCAGGTGTACCTGGCCTCCGTTGCTTTCCTTGTCGGCACCATGATCCAAGGCCTCATCGCCATGAACGACTCCAGCTACGTCTGGAAGAACTGGCACGGTACGCTTCTGGCCATCGCCACCATCATCTTCTCCAGTTTCTTCAACACCATCTTCGCCAATCAGCTTCCGCTGCTCCAGGGTGTGACTCTGGTCCTCCACGTCCTCGGTTTCTTCGCCGTGATCATCACGCTGTGGGCGACGGCGCCCATCAGCAGCGGTCACATTCTCATCGAGTTCACCAACGAGGGTGGCTGGTCCACCACGGGATTGTCTGCCATGATCGGCCTGCTCGCCCCGATTGCCGTCCTTATCGGCTACGACTGTTCGGCCCACATGGCTGAGGAAATCAAGGGCGCCTCCTCGGCCTTGCCAAGCGCCATCATGAGCTCCATTTTGCTCAACGGTCTGCTGGCCTTCATCATGAGCGTGACCCTGATCTTCTGTCTCGGAGACATCGAGAGCGTCCTGTCCGGCCCGAGCGGATACCCTTTTATTCAAATCTTCTACAACGCGACAAAGAGCTACGCCGCCACGAACGTTCTCACCGCAATCGTCATCATCCTCTTGACCGGATGCTGCATTTCCGAATTGGCAGCCTCGTCTCGTCAGGTCTGGTCCTTTGCTCGTGACCAAGGTCTTCCTGGCTGGAGCTGGCTGTCGCGCGTCTCTCCAGGCTGGAACATCCCCCTTCCGGCCGTTCTCCTTTCCATTACGATCACTGCGCTGCTTTCCCTCATCAACATTGGCTCGTCCGTCGCTCTTAACGCCATCACGTCCCTCGGTGCCCTTGCCGTCATGTGCTCATACATGCTCACCATCGGCTGTCTCGTCTACCGCCGTCTTGCAGGCCCACCATTGCCTCCTCGCAAATGGTCTCTCGGACGCTTCGGTCTTGCCGTCAACGTCATATCCCTGTTGTTCCTGCCGCCGCTCGTCTTCTTCATCACCTGGCCCGTTGTGACTCCTACCACCGCGACTACCATGAACTGGTCTAGCATCATGCTCGCTGGCGTTTTGATCATTGCCTCCGTCTATTATGTGGTTAAGGGAAGAAAGGAATACGAAGGCCCCGTTGTCTGGATGCGCCGTGGCGAAGAGCTATAAGGCTTCATCGGGTTCACAGTTTCATACAATATCCTCGTTCAATGGCTCGGCGCGTGAATAGAGATGTTCAGATAAAGAATTTTACACTTTTTTATGCAGGCTATCTGGCATATGCTCTGTCTACGATACACCGTGGTAATCCTGCTTTCTGTCGCTTGTTTTATCTACAATAGGAAAAAAAATATGACATAACAATGGAGAAAGCATATCGATTGTGCAATTTTGACATAGGAATCCTGTGCTGTAGCAGAAACGTTCTTGACAAGAGGTTCCACCTGTCCGAAGCGTAGGCTTTCGCTTCGCATGAGGATGAGTATTATATCAGCAACGTCTTCAGTCTCCGAATTGACAGCCTAGAACAAAGATAAAATTACATCAGTAACTTGTTTACCGGTTTCCTTGGACGACAGTTGGCAGAGGGTCGAAACCTCGTCGGCTCTCCTGCCATGTTTCAGCACGGCGGGACCGTTGTATTACTACTCCCTGCAGTCCCTGCCAACGGCCTGAAAGCAGGTCTTCCTTGTATTATTCGCTACTTTTTCAGGCCCACTCGTCGCGTCCATGGTACAACGTTAAAATCCGCGTTAAAGCACATAAGTCTCCTCCTTGGGGAAAGGGGACGATCCTGAATAAAGTGGGGCTATCCGCCAAAAGCGATCGCGTGAGCACGCTTCGATCGCATTGCGATGCGATTTCACGTCAACCTTTGTGAATCTGCTTTCGTTTCCCTTGGTTCAACTTTCAACCTTCATCCACTCATAATTTGGACTGGTTGAATTAATCATCTACAAACTCAAACATGACCAACAAAGTGCATGTCGTCTCTTGACCTTTCAAGCTGAGCATTCGAATGAAGACCCACTCGTTTTCAACAACGTAAAGCAGTCGCACTGCGGCAACAGCAAGTTTGGGGTTGGCCGCGAACGCATCGTCGCTTTTGATCAGTAATCTCAGAAAAGCGAGCTCGCTATCCTCATACTCCCATTCTAAGACATCGTTCCAGATTGGATCGACGTTTGGCGGATTGGAATGGTGATGGAAGGACGCGGTGAGGTGGTGCTGACGGTACGGCCTAGTCTTCTGCTTCGACGGCTCCGGGTCAGGACCTTCGTGGGACGGATTGATCAGACTGCACGTCAGATATGGCTTGATGTCACTGCCATCCTGGGCACGATCGGCGGGTACGGGAACGTCCGTCGCGCCGGCAACGTGCAACCGTAGCTTTCTCTTCTTCGCAAGTTTCTCCACGCTTCTACCTCCCTGACGTAGGTAAGTTGGTTTTAGCACGTAGCCGTCTGTGCCTGTGAACAATGCTTCGTTGAGCTGCATCGCTGCGCCAAAGGTCTGCCAGTTCAGTGCACATATCTGCGCGCCGACGTTCCAAAAAGGAACGGGATTGAGGTTTCCAGACGAGACGCGTGTACCTTTTGGATAGACCCTCATAAGATGGTTGGAGTTGTGTTGCGCAATGAGTTGTGCATGTGTCGGCAAATGCGAAGCCAAACCGGTCTCGGAGATGTTGATTAGCGGATGATGAGGCGAGCCGTCAAGAATTCCCTTCTCGAACCAAGCATTGCTTGGTGGCTTGACAGACTGCGCGTACACGCCAAGCTCAGATAGCTCTGGGATGATGATGGCGGACGGAGCCGCCTCCTCTTTCTTCTTCCTGTACCGGCGGAGCTCCTCTCTCTCGTCGTCATCGAGGTCGGACTCCTCTTCGCCGCTCTCCACCTTCTCCTCCGGAAAATGATACTCGACGATAAGCACGATCTTGTTACCCAGCTCTGCAAGCGAGATGGAATCGTCCGGCATGCCAGCCTGTGCTCTATGTCCCTTGTCGCGTACAGGTTTGCTAAGAAGTCGATCTCCAAAGACTTCCTTCATGATCTCGACCATTCTTAGCTGGCCTTGCGGACCGCAGTGATTCTCCAGCGAGATCAGGACTGGCGATGGCCGATGGCCTTGTTGCTCAAACGATTGGGATTGCTCATGGTCTACCACGTCGCGAATAGTCTCGCATACGTCTTTGAAAGGAATATGCTGCGTGAGCGTCCAGCCGTGGGTAACTTTTGGCTCATCGTTGTCCTCACCGTCCCAAGCGTCGATCTCAACACATCGCGCACCTGCTTTGAGGTGCTCTTCATATGCTTCGGCGGACGCCTTACCGTACAGTTGGTGTGCCAAAAGATACGTGTTGTGGCTTGAGCTGACGAAATAGTCCTGAAGAGGGTGCGATCGATCCGTTAGCTCTGGTGGAACGATTGCATGTGGCTGAAGAAGGAGGCGACGTAGTTGCTGACTGTGTTGATGATCTGGGTCATTCAGGCCGGCGTGTTCCTTGGCGAGTATGCGCTCATCCACGAGGAAGTGTCGCAGCGCCGTACTCACTCGAACCTGAAGAATCCGCTCGGTTTCGCGCCCGGCATGGCCGCCACCTGCCAAAGGGTGATCCGTTGTCTCACCTTCGTCTTCGTCGTCGCGGGGCCTGCGATTCCTGAAAGGCTTGAAATTAGAGACTGCAGCCGATAAGGCATCCATTGTGTGGATCTAGTGTCTATTCACAGAGCCAACTGAGATGTACTTGTGAAAGCAGCGGCGATGGAAATATCCCCTGCGTCCAGCTGAACGCAAGCGAGGCTGTGTCTCGCTTCCTCTCGTGCATTTTCCCGGATCGGACCGACGGACTAGCGTCGAACATTGATTGGTCATTGTCACGTGCATCTAGACGAATGCAAACATCCATCCTCGATTTCACTCATGTCATCCTTCAGTGAGCCCGTGGGGTCGATACTTTCTAGCGGAGAAGCAATTCTTATGCGGAGTCAGTCCGAAGAGCTGGTGAAAATTTGGTAAAAAGCAATGCCAAAAAATGATATTGCAGAAAATCAGGCCGCGTATCTGACGGCATTAAGACCCGTCGTAAGGACAGCCGCCCAGACAGTTGTCAGCCGTGCCAGTTCACGAGGTTGTAAGAGAGCGAGTAGCGTCTAATGAGCGAATATGAGCGAAAATGGCTGATACGAGCGGTGTCCACAAGTATTCTCATAGATGCCAAGCTACCTTTTCGCTAAGGCGTTGCATGATGCCGAGAGGATCTTTCAAGACTCTCCAAGTCAAGCCGAGCATGCGAGATCGACGTAATCGACCGTCATAACTTCACATTTGATAAACACAAATCGGGAGCGCGACACGTACGGCAGATGATTCGATTGCACGGTTTAAGCTCAGCGTCTCGGTGCTTGCGAACACTCGAAAGCCAATAAGAGTGTGTTCCTCGTTTCACAGCCTTTCGTGCGTCACCAAGAGAGTCGAAAGAGGACAAAAACTTGTCGCTGTCAGTGGTACAGAGATTGAGGTGAAGTTTAAGGAATTTTAGATGCATGTAAGAAAGTGACGCAGGAAGGAAAGATGATGATTCGAACACACATGGACGTATCAACTGTCGCTAAAGGTCAAACATGAGTATCGGCCAGGCTCCCTCCATTCGCCGAAAACAACCGGAGCAATCATGAAGGCTCATCTAGATTGGACTCACGAGCTTCGTGCTTCCTCAAGCTCAAGTTCCAGTCTCCTGATCTTTTCCAGCAAATCCGCATTTCCAGCGTCTGCAGGCGCACTGCCGCCCTTTCCTTTCAATCTCTCCACTTCTTCGGTCAGGATCATGATCTGCTCCGTCTGCTTTCCCAACGCGCGGCCTTGCTGCTCGAGTAAGCTAAGGATACGACTGTTTTGCTCCTTCATCTCGACAAGAGCCGACCTCAGGCCTTCGGCCGGCCCACCAGATGTGGGAGCCGACGCTGGTGCGGTTGCTGCTGTGGGAGTAGGCGCACCACTGGATGTTGCGGATTCGGCACCTTTGGACCAGGTGTTTCCAGATGTAGTCCGTGGAGCCTGCGACGCAGAAGCAGTCGTGGGCGACTTCACCGACGCCGCTGATTTAGACTCTTCTTTGGCAGGTTCCTTCGTGACAGTGGAAGCCTTTTCCTTCTCGTCTTGCCGTGCCGCTGAAACAGATGGCCTCTCAACCGGCTTTGGGACTTCTTCAAAGCTGGAGGCATCGTCCTCGGACATCTCGTCATCCTTGTCAGCATACTTGTTTGCCATGGCCGAAATGGATGCCTTGTTGTCCTTCATCTCAGCTGGTGGGCCCCGCGACGCGGGGCTGCGAACCGACGACGCCTCCGGTTCTGGCTTTGGTTTGGGCGGCTCAGTCTTAGTCGTCGTGGCGTTGGACGTCAGCGCCTCCCGCGGCTTGTAGTCCGACTTGACTTCGACTGGATCCTTGCCTTCGTACACGCTCTCCAAAGAGATCTTGGGAGGCAGGCCCGTCTTGCCGTCAAACCACTCTTTGCAAGACACACCAGCCTTAAGTCCAGAAGTTGGCGGGTAGATATCCTCCTGGAAGACCTCTGCCCGCCTCGGCACGATGAACGAAATTGGCTCAATCCATGAATCGTTGACCGTCTTGTACGCCCGGGTGATCTCGTTTTCGTGCAGATTGACGCCACGCTTGGGAAGGAAGGCGATGCCTCGCTGAGGGTCTCCGGACTTGTACTCGGAAAGATACTCAAATTTGTCGTTCTCGTACTCATAGTAGCGAATGTTGCCGTCTCTAAAGAAGTTGTTAGCGGTGATTAACGCGCAGACACGTCTCTTTGTTACCCTTTTCCTGCCAGATACAGCATCTTCGTGGCGTCGTCCCAGAAGGGCATGCAGATGGACGAAAGCGAGTCGAGAATCTGGAATCCTCCTATGGGCTCTTTCGGATTCTTGATATCCCACAGACCGAGCTGACGGTCGCTCATTCGTGAAAATCCGGTCGTCGCGATCCTGTCGTGCTCACCCATCCACACGGCTCTGCTGTTCTTTGCGCCTGGGTGGCCCTGAAAGGCAGGTTAGCACCTGCGCACCTCCTGTGGAAGGCTCCTGTACATACCGGGTTCTCCTGCACGGCTTTTTCCTGCCGCACGTCCCAGATCCTAAGCTTCTTGTCTCTGCTCGTTGTGACCATCAGCGCACCGTCCGCACTCCACGACAAGCTTTGCACAATGTCTGCGTGTTTCAGGGTAAGCCTGGCTTGTCCCTGTTCAATGTCCCACAGTTTGATCGTGTAATCGCCGCTCGAACTGGCCACCACGTTGGCTGCGGCCGGGTTGAAGAGCACGTGTCCCACCTTTCTCGAATGGCCAGCTAGTCGGCCGACGGGCGACACGTCGGCCGGCTCTTCGGCGTCCGTATGCAAGGTAAAGCCCTCAGGCACCCTCCATAGAAAGACCTTGCCGTCGTCCGAGCCGGACGCGAGCAGATGATCATCAAAGGGGTTCCAGTCGGTGTCCAGCACAGCTGCTGTGTGGCCTCGGAAGAGAGGTATGCGATCGGGGGCACGGCCACGCTCGTTGATGGGAATGACGGCAAAGGCACCTCCCCCACTAGCCTCCCAATTGACTGCGAGATATTCAGGATTCGCTTTTATGAGATTGGTGTCCCAGGCATTCTTGGATATGCGGAGGCCATCGTAGCACTGCTCCCTTTTGGTGGGCTGTCCAAAGACATGGCCTTGGGACCGTGGTTAGCTTAACGTCTTGAGCATGAGAAAGCGGTGGTGAGCGGGGCGGGCGGACGGGCGGGTGTCGCATGAACATACGATACTTGGATGCGCGCACGAATCTGCCAGCCATTGTTGAAGGGCTCGACTGGGTTCTCTCCTGACCAGATGAGCTTGGTCCGGTCTCTTTTGCAGCTTAAACTCTGCTGATATTCGATGGCAGGACTGGACGGATTGTGAGCACGCGACCTGTCAGCGACTACAGGACAGGTGGACAGCGATGAGGGCACGGTGTGGTGGCAGCAGCAACGGCAGCTTAATTGGAGATGATCGTGAGCAAGCGAGACGGTTGATGCAGTCAACTTTCCGCAGTCTTTGCAGGGTCTCAGCGTCGCTGCTCCAGCCAATCACTCTAAGCTCAGCCTCCTTATTGTGTTTCCCCCACCAGATTACGGAGAACAACGTGCCTTGACCATTGACACTGGCTGTCATATCTAATTTCTGAAATGGAGGAACTCCCAAGGCCCGACGGCTTCGGGTCGCTCCTGGTATGAATGTGCGCTGCTGAGCTTGATTGCGCCAAGTGTACAAGTTTGATGGGCACTTTCGCGGGCAGGTTCATGAGCGCAAGTACGACCACGGTTGCAAAACCGCAGATCCAACTTCGAGAGTAAGCAGTCTACCTAGTGTCCAGCAATCACCTGCGCCAGATCGTCGTGATATATAGCAAGCTTCACTGTTCATCAATGCCCCTGTTGTGCTTGTCCTCGGCAGAGGCCCTGTTCCGTTACACAGGGCTATTACGATGACCCGTCGGTGCGAAACTTTGTTTCTTGCCCTTGTTTGTTGACGGGCGCTCATCTCAGTATAAAGGGCGGGCTATGCGTCTTCTCTCTGGTCATCAAAGGACTCTGCCGTAACTTCAATCGCTACAGAAAAAGAGTTAACCGGTCGTCGTCCACGCTCGGCTCGCCTACACCGAACCATTTGCACCCAGAGACCTCTAAGACGGCCAGGATTCGAAAACAAGATCTCGCCAATACTTCCCCATCGTCTCTCACTCAAGCAACGGATCGTGCTGCCTAAAAACGTATCAACATGGGCCATAGTCAACTAGCACGTTTTGTGTTGGCTTTGCTCGCTATGTTCAGCCTTGCAGCAACACAAAGCGTCAACCCCAGCTCCACAGCTTCTGAACTCCAGCAAACGACATCGAGGACGTATCTGCCAGGTTCGGTTGTGGTTGTGACCACGTTTCCAGCGCAGTCGACGGTGAAATCGACCACGATCATCTACCAGTACCCAAACACAAGCACGACCAGTCGCACGGCAGCAACGACGCCGAACGTGTTGACCACGTCGGGACCCAGCACAGCATCGCCCAGCCCCAGCGTACGGGGCGCTGCGGCAGGGCTTCTGGCTCCGACCGTGTGGTCATCTATTACGTGTCTTACCATTGCCGCCGGCGTAGCTTCCATCCTGCTGTGATGTTAGTATCGCGTGAGACGGTGGAGCTCGACAAGTTGCCGTTTGGCAGGAAGGCGGCCGATCCGAGCCAGAGAGAGTGTGAAAATAAGAAGCCGTTTGCATTTGAAGGAAAGTGTTGTCTGCGGGGGCGTGCGTGGAGAGACGCAGAGGACGGAATAGCAGCTGCCGCTGCGAGTCCAAACGTCTCTCCTGGACAGAAGGTTCAAGTTCTTGAGTTCTCGGCGGGAAGAACGGGCATGTACGTGTATATTTGTTTGCAGAGGATACATGACAGCCGAAGCCAAGCGGCGTAGACGTCCTTTTCTCGCCGTCGTCGTGCTTCTGTCGCCGGGACAGAGCACGCCTGCACTGAACTCCAGCCACTGCTACTGCTGCTGCGCAAAGCTGCAGAAGCCGCGACCTGTGATTGGCTGCTTTGGTGGAAGCTTCAGCCCCGCCCTCTTACTACTCAATATGTCATCCGTCATCATTCGTCTTCTTCGACCTCTTGCCCAGCCAGTCCTGGCCAGCTCCTCGCGGGCGCTGCTCGTCGCTGTTTGTCACTGTCCGTAACGTCCTGCTGCTCCAGTGTGTCTGTACGTGTCGATCTGAGCAAAGGACCGAGGCTGAGGCACCGGGCGGGAGAGGAGAGCGGCTGAGCTGTGTGCGCGAACAGCTGGCCGTCTGCTCTGAATCCTCCTGTCGGCAGCGTCAACTCGCCCGTCTGCCCGGCTGCTTGTCGACGAGCGCTGGCTAACACTTGCGCGCAGTTCCTCTCGGCCTCTCTGATCTCCCCAGCCAATCACGCGATGCGCCGTCGAATTGCTGCAGGCAAGCAAGGACCTGACCCCCGAGCTCCAGCACTTGCGTCTCTCCACTGGACTGACTCCTCCATCCACTCTTGGCCGTCTGCCAAACCGTGTCCACCCGACTAAGCCACTCGCCTTCCTTCTTCCTCGTCGACCTCTTCTTCCTCTTCCTCTTCCTCTTCCTCTTCTTCAAATCCTCCACCGCGCTTTTTCGTCTGCCGCTGCCGACGCGTGAGGGAGATCTCCGTCTCATATTTTCTACTGCCTCCCCGCCGAAAATCAACCCATACGCCCGAGCCTGCCTTCTTTTCCCCAGATGTTGCCTTTACGTCTCAATCCAAACGGCGCCGCGATCACCTTCCCAGAGGTTGGCTAACGAACGCTGAGACTGTGGTTCTGGCCATTGTCAAAGCACACCCCCCTGCCCAGCCTGAAAGCTGCCTCTGCTGCTGCTGCTTCGCCTCGTTTTGTACACAATCATCGCCCGAACCGTCGCCTGTTGCCTATTAGTTTGACGCGCTTCAACCAAAGCCCCAAAGGTTGACGGGAAGACCACATTGCCCTACGAGACCACATGGCCTAACTCTCGCATAGCCACCGTCTCCCAGAAGCTCATTTATCTCCGCAGTCGTCCTCCGTCTGCGCTGCAGTGGTTGCCAAATACGTCTACATACACGCCTACGCATACATTCACATACACGCACACAACGTCACCTCTCGCCCCGCCCCTAGTCTACGCGCTCGTCAAACGATCTCGTCGCCCTTCATCCGAACCTTATCTGACGCCCGGCTGATCAACGTTCATCATGGCACCCAAGCAGATGTCGCTCGAAGCCGCTCTTGATGAAGAAGCTCGAGAAATACGGGCCTTGCTCGAGGGTCGAAAGTCGGAGACATCTCCCCCGCCGCTGCCTTCGCCATCTGCAACGACCACATCGAGAGCACGGACAGCTAGTCCCGCTGGCAAGCACCAGTCCCCCGCTCGAGGTTTGTTGGCCGATTTAGCACCTGGCATTCAACGTTCCGATCACCAAAAGGCCCAGCGCGCTGCGTCCGTGTCTGGTGACGGGCGCAGCAGCAGTGCCGTAAGTAGTCCCTCGGGCTCAACCTTCTCAGAACCGCCGCGCAGGAGTATGCTGGATATCGACAGCCCGCCTGCGTCCGCGGGTCTGCCACGCACCCATCGCGCATCGCACGGCTCCGTGTCGCCCAGTCTGCCCACAATCCATCAGGGATTGCCGAGTCCTGGGCGAAACATCGAAAGTGCGTATCAGTTCGAAATGCTGCCCAGCATCGAATCGCACGCCCTGCCCAAGAGAGTGTCCCAAGGCGAAGGCATGTTCCACAGTTCCAAGAAGAAGGCTGGCGCAATGTCGTCTGTCTTCGGCAATGGGCCTGACGGCAGGCCAAAGGGCGCCAAGTCTAGGTCGCCCGCGCCTCGCCACAACGCGCGGTCACTGAGTCCAGCACACCCAAGCCTTGGTGCCGGTGGTCCGCACGTGACAGGCACACCCGGGTCGTACGTGTCAGACTCAGGCAAGGTGATCAATCTTGACCAAGCTTATCGACGGCTCTCAGACGCCGCCCTTCTCAGATCGGGTGGTGTTCTCGCAGAGCTGCCTACGAAGAACGCGGCTCACGTCAAGCGAGGCGAAGAGTTGGCTCCAGACGGAGGCGTACGCCTCACGAAGGACTACAACGACGAAGAGGAAGCGGTGGACTCCAGTGACGAGGATGAATCTGCTGGGAGTTCGGGCGACGAGATGGACCGACAGCGAGGTCGCGCACGTGCCCGTAAAGATTCCGACCCTCCCGAGTCTCCAAGACAAGCGCAAAGTCTGCTCGCGGCCGCGGAAGAAGAACGTAAGTTGACCTGCAAGACAAGCTCAAGGACCTGTCAAGATTTGAGCAGTCACTGTGCAACACACTTCATGGGATAACCCTTGGCAGGGGTGCATGTGAGCAGTATAAAACGTCCTGCTCATGTTCGTATCCCCGCCATAACAATGATAGTCACCCTCGTGCGAGTACACTTGCTCAATCTTGACCTGTCATTTTGGGGGGGATTACTTTCACGTCTGGCTTGCTTTGTGCTAACAATGAACAGGAAAGGATGTCGCGTCCGGTAACAGGGTAAAGTCTTTGCTTGACGTTTCCGTTTCTTCTCCCGGTCTGAGTGCGGATCAGCTTTTCTCTAAAAAGCTAGGAAAACCGGTCATTCATCCACGAACGTCATTTGATGTAGGCGCTGGAGGTGCGTCCGGTGTTTCGACACCGGTGGACAGCGAGGAGGAGCAAACTCGGTCCGATTTCAATACTGCGCAGAAGATGGCGCTTACCTTGTCACCGATTCACAGCTCTCCGGAGGCACACAGGTGCATACGTCAAATTCTGAGAGGTGACTTTCGCAAGTACCAGGCCGAAGCGGAGCAGGGGCTAAGGAGGCAACGAATGTATTTGGTGGCGACCGACTTGAGCGAAGAGGCTGCTTACGCTCTAGAGTGGACGATCGGGACCGTTCTCCGAGACGGAGACACGCTTCTTGCTGTATATGCCGTTGACGAAGAAGTAGGAACGGGTGGAGACGTGTCTGGGACAACCAGCAATTCGGTTGCCATCGGAGAAGGCCCGAATCAGATGAAGGAGGCTGCGGCCATCGTGCGGACGCTGAGCAATCAGCAAGGCTTAGTCGTACCGGGAGAAGTGCGCGGCAAGGCCTCTACTGACGGGCGACGAAGCCTCAGCAACGCGAGAACCATGTCCATGGGCAGATACAAGGACAAATTCGAGAGTGAACGCTATCACGCCACCGAGGAGATCACGGAGCGATGTATCAAGCTGCTGAGAAAAACCAAGCTGCAGGCCAGAATCGTGGTCGAGGTGTTTCATTGTAAAAGTCCCAAACACATGATCACCGAAGTTGTATGTACCTCTTTCCATTTGATCATGTTTGTCCATGTAGAGCAGAACAGTACTGATGACATCTGGTACACAGATCGACTACCTGGAGCCCACCCTCGTCATCCTTGGCTCCCGAGGTCGCTCAGCGCTGAAAGGTGTGCTTCTTGGCTCATTTAGCAATTATCTCGTCACCAAGTCGTCCGTACCCGTCATGGTTGCGAGGAAAAAACTACGAAAGCACTCGAAACTCAAACGCTCGAACCTTCGATTGAGTAACATGCTGCAAACGCCCGGCAGCAAATTGGAAAGCGCTGTCATTGACAGGCCCAGTATGGGTATGAGAAGAAGCTCGCTAACGTAGGACCGCATTTCGCAGGCATTGTCAAAACGTCAGTCAGACCGCAGTTGGAGTTCACAAATAAAATCAGCCCGAAACCCTCGGGTTCCAGACTCGACTTTCCGGGACGGTCATCAGAAGCGTCGTAACCAATGATCTGGTCCAGAGATTCCGGATAGAAGGGGATCAGACCGTTTTGTTTTCATTCTCATTGTTTGGGCTACGGTGTGCACAACGGATGTCATTGCAAGCAAAATTGAGCTGCTTCAAGAGCGTTCGCGTTAAGCATTATAGCAACATTGCCTTGATTTGAGACGAGTAACGATAAATTTACGTAGATGATGAAATGAAACGGAATGGTTTGAAACCGTTGTCTCTCCCTTCTAGTGTGTACATGTAAATATGCGTATTGGACTCACGGGTCAAGACGACGCTCCTGGATTTTTGGCTCCCGTCTCCCCGTCGTCCAGCCCAGCAAAGGAAACGCACACGTCTTTTCTCCAAAAGAGGATCCCCAGCGTGACCGAGCAAAAGTCCTCTTGATTGATTCTTGAACCATTTAGTAGAAGGACCGAAAGGGACGCGCCCGAAGCGATCGAGAGTGCGGGTGAAAGAGGGGAGAAAACAAGTAATAATGAAAAGGCTCACTTCCCAGTCGCTCTACAGAAAAATGCAGTGTAGGAGAAACAAGCCCGAAGCAAGATGAAGGTGTTTAAATTAATTTTTTTCCCCCAAGTTCTTCTTATGACCGCCAGCGAGCATGACGCTGCAAAGCGGGTATTTGAATTTAATGGGGGTGGTGTGGTGGTTGTGGCAACAGGGAGTTTGGCTTAAACCATGTCAGCCAGACGAGTCCGTCAGTAATGCCAGGTGGAGAAATAAATTCAAAAAAAAATCAATTATGCGATGAGAAGGTAGTATAATGACGCCGCGCTGAGCAGAGGTGTATATATATATATATTTTACAAGTCAAGCGACAAGGTCGGCGACGATGCCAAGGATTGGAAGATGGGGTTAATGAAGATGAAAAGTGGATTCGACGAGGAGAGGCGAAGGCGACAAAAACTGCGTGAGAGTCGGGCCTCCCATGCGGTCGCACGTGGTTGATACCTCGAAGCACTCGTCCGGCACAACACGGGTGGGGGCTATCGTCAACGTCCTCGTCACCTGGTCAGTCTGCTTCTGGCACGCCTTCTTCCACTCCGCCGAGGGCTCCCTTCTGCCGGGGTGCCCGTTTGGCTCACACTCCTGGTGCGCTCGAGGCTTTCCCTGGCCCGGAGAGCCTCAATCTGCAGGCTCTTCCTACCACCCTTCTTGATCTTGCGCTCCTCGCTCGGCTCCACGAAGCGATGCACCGTCCTGTGATCCAGCACCCGCTCCTCCGTGTCCCACTTGCCCTCACGCTCAGTCTTCGGCCACGCGAAGCCGTACAGCTTGGAATGTCGCTCGCAGCGGGGACACTCCTTGCGGGTCAGATAAGCGTCCTCCTGGACGAACATTGCATCGCAAGTTTGGCACTCGACCCAGCGGCTGTACGGGCCAGAGAGAAGTCGGCGCGTCATGGTGTAGTCTCCTGGGTGTCGCCCTGGGCCGTCGGTTCCGGCGCTCACGTCCGTCTCGGTCGAGAGAACCGCAACGGCAGGCTCCTCGAGGTATTCAACCAGTGAGCGCTCCATGGATCCCTCGCGCAGAGCGGCCAGCTCGCGGTTCCACTTCTTCCTCTTTTTGATGAGTCGCTCGGAGAGCCGGATCGCCATGCCGGACGACTCGTCAACTGAAAATTGAGAAAGGGTCGTAAGCTCGCCGTCGGATAGATCTTCGTCCGCATTCTGCTCCTGCCCTGCCGTTGCCGTGACCTCGGCATTGATATCTGTTGTACACCTAGTAGCAGCGGTTGTTGTTACGCTGACGGTGGTAGGACACGTCTGCGTCGTCGTAGCTGCGGAAGCCGTTGTGGTAGCCGCATCTACCGCAATGAAGTCGTCCCCGAGGACTTTGACCACGATGCTGTCCATGATCTCGCCGTCCGAGGTGACACCAGTGCCTTGCGACCTGGACGAAAACACCGAGGACGCGGCGGTCGAGCTGGAGCGGGAGTCGCCCGATTCGCCAGAGCTTGCACGGAGCGACCGAGTGCGGGTATGGCAGCCGCTCTGCTGGTGCAAGTCCGGCAGCGCCGCAACGTCCATCGAGATATGTGACTCGGCTTGTGGGGCGCCAGCGGGCAGGTCTCTGAGCGACTGCTGGGCAGACGTGCTCTCTGACTTAACCTTCACCTCTCGAACAGTGCGACGTCCGCGCGGGGTCGCTTGGCGGCTGTTCGTGTCACGATCGGGTGTGGTCAACTTCTGACGCTTAGATGCGCTCCCGGGTGTAGAAGGACCAGTTAGGAGGTCGTCTTCGTGCAAAGCAGAGGACTTTCGCTTCCGCTGCCCATCGCAATTCTCAGCGACGGACACCTTCTGCTCCTGCTCCAAATCCTCAGCTTGCTCCTTTTCTTCGCTTTCTTCGTCCTCTTTCCCGCTGCCAGCGTGCACCGCCCATCCGTTCCTTCTCAATCTCTCACACGTGACGCAGAGGCACTCACAGTTGTCCTCGCCAAAATAGTCGGTGCCGTACGTCACGGTGATCTCCTCGTCAACGCTGATGTCCCGCGTGGCGATGATTTGCATGCCGTGGCTGCCTGTCGTGCTTAGGCGTGCGTTTGCGTTGCAGTCGTGGTTTGCAAACCGCGCCGGGCCGAGGAAGAGGCTGGGTGTTTTCTTCCGGCTGGAGTGCACAATGCTGAAGTCGAGTCGAACATCGTCACGCGACAGGGCCTTGAACTCTTCTTCGGTTATGGCGACCTGTATGCCACTAAGATACTTGATGACCTCGCCCTTGCGGATGTCTTTGCGCGCCATCACGCAGGCTTCATGAGTGTCAATCGTGTAGCGATTCGTGGTGGAAACCTCAAAGGGACAATCCGGAAGGTAGATGTTGACGTACTTGCGCAGGTGGCGCTGAAAGTGCTCTCTCTCGTCCGGCGTCTTCAGCCGATCGACGTACTTCCTGATGCCGGCCAGCTTGAGAATCTCGTCCGTGGCGCGCTTTGGGTCCTTTTCGACGATGACGAAGTCGCGCAGAATGGAGGCGACCTCCTCCTCCTGGATGCCACGCGAGGGCGAGAAACGGGGGCGGTTTTTGCGGATCGTGGCCCAGAAGTAGACCTGCGGAAGCGGACGGGTCAGAACCATACCGTACAATGAAAGTCGACAAGCGCCAAAGGCACAGAGCGGCACATACGCGATCTACCAATGCATCTGTGAGCACATCGTCATAGCTGGCCAGCTGGGCCAGCGTCAAGCCGCCCTTCTTCGCGAGCGCCTTCCCCAGATCCCGCTGTGCAGCCATTGCGCCCGCACGTGCGCCGGCCGAGTTTGGCGCTGAAGCGTGCCCAGCTCAGGAGGCAATCACGAGAAAGGCGCGCGTGTTCGTCGGCAGCAAGAGGGGGTTCTCAGAGTGGAGAGAGAATGGTGTTGTGGAGGTCGCCGCACGGGGGGTGGAGGAGGCTGCTTGAGGCGCAGGTGAGCGACGGGCTGCAGCGGAGCGGAGTTGAGCAAAGTAGAGTGGAATTGGCCGGCTGCTGGCAGCACAGATTGTTGCAGCGAGGAGGGGAAGGCGGGAATGGGCTCCGGAGAAGGCGACGGGTGCGCTGAGGAAGGGCGGAAGGAAAGGAGCGAAGCTGGGTGAAGCGAGCGAAGTTGACGATGGCGGGAGGGCAAAAAAAAGGGCGGTCGCTTAATCAAATCCACAGGCCCGGCATGCCAGTCGACAAAACAAAAGGAAGGCAAAGCGCAGTCAAATCAACGGGCGGGAAAGCAAACAGATTTAGAGGCGCAGAGGGACATTTGTTGTCAAATGTTGGCGTTGCTGTTGATTGTTTCTTGTTGATGGTCAGGGATGTTCTGACGTGAGGGAGCGAAGAATGATTGGTGTCTCTGTCGTCGTGTACTCGGTTAACCGTCACCACGTAATCGCAAGCATAAAGCCCACCGCCGTACGGAGGACTGCGTTCCTCCTGTGTGGCACGCCTGTGCCACCGTTCTGAGCGTGTTCCTGCCCGCGAACAAAGTGCAAGCTCTCTGCTTCATGCCGGATTGTTCGTCATTCAGGGGGCCGGCCGAATGGTGAAAGCAAAGACAGACCAGGGGAACGGATGCTTGTCGTGCACTTGTGGATTCGGATCGGGCCTCTTGCTGTTTTATGAAAGGGCAGCCTTGGGTTACGGTGTTCGAGCGAGAGAAGCAAGAGCATATAAAATACGAGACAAAAGATCATGACGACGGCGGCGGCGGCGGCGTCGGCACCGGTGACTACGACAATGACAATGACGACAAGAGCAGCGCCGACAATGAGAACGACATATCTGCTGGGTCAGATCGTTCACTCAATTCACTCGTTCAGATTCCTTCATTCACTTAATCGCTCGCCCGTCCCCTCCTCCCATGCTCGCTTTTGCGTCTCTCCTGCGTTCATCTTGTCTCGTCTCCGTCACCATCGCCCCAGTCCTCGACGAAACTGAATCACGAGGAGCTCGATGGCACGCTCGTCTCTGGCTGCGGCCGCCAAGGAGTTCCTGCTACTTTCTCTCTCTCCCTCTCTCTCTCTCTCTCTCACAGCCAAGCCCCCTGTCGCTTCGGCTAACAACCTGTCTCGTCTCCAGCGCCTTAACTTAGCAACTTATTAGTCGGTTGCCTAACAGGCTTTCTGTCGTACCACAGTAGGCCAGCCTGTGCGTACGTAGCGCGCCACTCGTTTTGCCAGAGCAAAGCATGCCCGGATCATGAAAGCCGTGTGAGCCTAGACTTGCTGCTCATGGGCCTGGTCTTCTCGCCGTTCCAGCAGCGCCCTCACAGACCATGACGACTTTGGAAGCGCGAGGCAATCGTCGACCAGAGTTCAACGACGTGAATCCACCTCTGTACGCCGTCCTTGGCTCCTCTCCGCTCTGCTCGCTCGTACTACAGGCGCCCGAAAAGCTTCTGTTCTCCCGAGAAGAATCCTCCCTTCAGTCCTGGGCCAACCATGGGTCGTCTAACGCGTCACTTGATAACCCCCTTATTATCGTGATCGAGACGGGCCTGCCGTTCAACACAGAAGTCAACGCCGGACGGGCTCCACGTTGCACATTGCTGATTGAATTTCTCTGCTTTTATTTCTTCGCAACCGAAACGGGTCCGAGTCCCCGGAAATAAGCACATCCAAGAGCTCGCCCTGTCCCCGTCCATCTGTCTAGTATGTACAACAAAATACACCCAGAACCTGCCACGGAAACACAAGAAACGAAAAAGGACGGCAAATACGACGTCGGCAACCTCAGTCTCTCCCACAAGTCCCTCTGCGCTCGACCGGACCTTCCTTTTCGCATTTTCACAGAACTACAACGTCGAACACGCGCACAAAATCTCACTCCTTTCCTTTCCCTTCACGCTGATAAAACGACCAAGAAAATTCAATGTTGTCTTCCCTGTCTCGGTGGTGCTATGCATGCAGTTTCACTATGCAATCAATGGTCTTCTCCCTTTTTTGCTTGTTCATCGAAACGTGCCATGCCGTGTCGTGCCCGCGTAATCGAAATCCTACAGAAAGGACTGCCCTGTCGCGCAAATTTTTGCACATAAGATCGCAACAGAAAGAGGAAAATCAACCCCCAAACCGGGACGAGGTTCTTTCAGTAAGAATATCCGGGCCACAAAATCGATATCAAAATGCATAGCAAAGAGGTTTCCGTGTCCCGTGTGCCGCGCTGAATGCAATGTCAATCAAGAAGCAAAAGAGATAGCAGAGAGATCAATAGGTAAGGAGAGTTGGAGGAATCCCACGAGTATATGCGCTTTGTGTATATCCCGCCACGTAAACGTCGCCGCCGTGTTTGTCACCACGTCCATATCGCGTAGTTGCGAGCAAGCAAATCACACTGTAAAACCACCACCTTCTTCTTCTTCTTCTTCTTCTTCTTCTTCTTCTTCTTCTTCTTCTCCTCATCCTCCTCCTCCTCCTCTTTTTTTGTCCTCCGTGGGAATTTGGCTCTCTTCATTGAAAATGAATGCATCTAGCATGGATATCTTGGAGAGGGACAGATTGAAAGCGTACTTCCAAAAGCCCATCGTTCCTCATCCACCTTTTCGCTCCGTCTCTGGTGCGGGAGCGGCAGTCGATCTTATCTTATCGTCTCCCACAGCCGGCGCGGAAGCGGAAACAACACCTGAAGCAGATTTTGCAGGATTCGGCCCTGAGCGGCTTCGCCTCCTGTTCTTCTTCCTGCCGGTCTGCCACTGCCCGTTGGCACTCGGCTGTGTAATTCCTTGCTTGCTCCTATCCGCGCCGTCGTTCAAAGGCGTCGGTGGTACAGGGTCCATGCCAGAGTTTCCATTGATGAGCGGAGAGTCGCCGTTCACAGGCGCAATTACTCCGTTGATGCTGCTCTGTCTCACGTGATCCGTCCTCCGTGTAGCGGTTGGTGAGGGCGATCTTGTCTCGTACACAGGGCTGAGTACCGGAGCCGTCTTGGGCTCAGGATGCTTACCATGCATATGTGCAGCTTTACTAGTGTCCAGAGGCAGCGTTGCAGATTTCGACGCTGATGTCAGGGCCGAGGGCGCGTTCCACGAAGATTGAAAGCAATTTGGCGATGCCTGATCGTCGCCTCCTGAGTTCGCGACTGACATACTTGAATCCGCAAACGACACGGATGCTTGGGATGGCGAGGGGTTCGTGCTTTTTGGTGGCGGTAAGTTCTCCACGCCAGCTGCAGGTGCATCTGAGAACAGTGCTTTTGGCTCGTGTGTAGAATACATCGTCGACGCATCTTGATAGTTTGAAGAGTCGCCCGCAGCGAACGATGATTGAAACCCACTCAGGCCGAGGGCGTTTGTGTTCTGCACGAAGATGTCACCCTTTGTGAAGAACCCGGCGCTCGTCTCTTCGGTTCCCACCACCGCAGTGGGATCCTCGTCGCTCGTTGTGCTCTGGTTCCCCGGTGTTTTTGGCAACGGCATCGATCCATTGACGACCGCTGGTCCAGCGTTCGGTCGGCCAGTTCTTAACGCAGGCGGCAGCTCGATCCGATCAGGGTGGTGCTGTTCCGCCATTCTAGGTAGTGGGGCCGATCTCAACCCAGCCGAGTTGTGCACGGGTATTGAGAACGTCCGCTGGTGGCCAAGAGGCGATGGAGATCGAGAAGCATGTCTGTTCCCATTCAACGTCAGCTGTAAATCTTGACTTTGCCTGTTCCTGCGATGCGCAAGCTCGCTGAACTGCGGTATCTGCGGCAAGGTGCCGAACGTGGGAATTTGCTGATGCGTTGCAACAGGAGGCTGCGTAGCTGGCACATAGTACCCCACGTACTCCTTGGGGGTTGGATATATGTTGGTCTCACCGTAGATGATGGAGCCGTCTCCACTAGACTGGCTCATCGCCGACGGATCTTGACTTGTGTTGGAAACTGGGTAAGGAGCAAAGCCGTAGCCCGGGATCCCAGCAAACTGCGGGTATCCCGGTACGGCAAACGTCGAAGGAAGGCCACGGGCAGGCTGAGACTGCGACCGAAGGCTTCCACTTCCTTGTGCGGAGCCATTCAGTCCAGCCGTTCGCTGCGTTTGTCGGCGAGGAGCAGCATTCGAGAGAGAGGGCGACGACGGGTTCGTTCTCGCACCGTCGTGAGATATAGACTGCGAGAGGGGGTGTCCTTCATATGCGAACGACTGATACAGGTACTCCGGATAGATCATCGAACTGTGTGACAGCTGCGGGCTGGAATTCCCGGTCAAATACGGCGTCTTCTGCGGTGACGCGTTCGAGCCATTGCCTTGGCTGCCCTTGCTTGATCCCTGCGCAACGGTGTGAGCGTGCACCACAGAGGCATTGCGAGCCTGCTCGGCTGCACGAATCTGCTGCTCCTGAAAAGCAAACTTTGCCTTGAGTTGCTCAAGCTGAAGGCCATTTACCTGCAGAAGCTGCTCCTGCAAACGCGCAAAAGCTTCTGGGGATCCAGCGACGTTCATGTAATCCAGTCCGCTCAACCCGATGGGAGGGCTGTTCAAGAAGGGGAAGGGATATCTGCCAAAGGCAGCGCCACTAGAGGATCTCCGAAAGCTATTTCCTTGCCTCGAGTTGCTGTGTCTGCCTCCTCTCAAGCTGCCGCCTCCTCGTGGCACTCGACTCGACGGTTGAACGGGTGGGATAGCAGCCGACAAAACAGGCTTCGGTCCCGATTTTGGCTTTTGAAATATGCCTTTTTCTTCTGGCGGAAATTCGTAGGCGACCAACATCTTGTCCAGCTGGGCGCCGTCAGCGAGATATGCGAAAGCTTGCCGCAGCTCAAGGTGAAGTCCACGAAAGGCAGTGGAATCCGCCGAGTTTCCAAGATTTCTCGATGTGTTGAACGGTTCCTCAATAGCCAGACGCCACTGTCCCTCTTTCGAAGTGTGATCCCAGCCCTTCTCTTTTCGTGTTAGTATTTTTCCGTGACGTACCGATATCACGGACGAGTCGTAGGCCATCTCATAGGCGTAAAAGCGGAAAAAATAAAATAACAACTCTCCAATGGTCTCTTTATTTGCCGAGCCAAAGCCGCGAAGCTTCGAGAGATCGTCGTTGAAGCCCGACTCGGTCCCATCCTGAGCGTAATACTTTTCGTGCTCCATCTGGTGCAATGCAGGCAGTATAGGAGGGTTGCGGGTCTGCAGAAAATTGATGATCATGCATATCCAAGCATACGAGCTCAGCGTGCCGCCAATGCCTAGGTCGGGCGTTAGTATATACGGCGAACTGTCGATGAGAAGATCGAATCCTACCAGCATCGTTCAGCATCCTCTGCCTCGTCCAATGCTTGATGATCATGGCCAGAGGGCGAACACGGTCGTCAACCTGAACGTAGGTCTTGATCATCCTCGTGTTCTCCAGGGCGAGAGTATTGTTCACGTTCATGTCTGCAGCCAGCTCAAATTCAGGGTCCCAGATCTTGACTATAGGTACCTTTGCAGCTGCTATGCAGACCACTCGCTCCATGCCGTCTGTTCGAATCAGCGTCTCATTTCTGCATAAAAGCGGTCACTCATGATCACGTACTATTATGCAACGTGTCAGCCAGACTGTGCATGGATTCCAACTTCTTCATGGGCGTCTGTATACAAATATCCACTGTAATCCATGGTTAGCGCACCGCCGTTCACGAGCAGCCAAAAGTCAAATTGCAGCATACCGTCAGAATCGCTCGTGCACAGCAGATTGCCAGAGGAGCCAAAAATATGAACCTTGAACTCGGTATCTGGCCACTGGGAGCGTAAGATGCGCTCGAGCTTCTGCACAAACTTGAGCCTTTTCCGGTTGCTCTCCTCCGAAGGAAGTAACCGATCGTAAAGCTCCCGCATGTCGCCGCTCAACTTCTTCTCCTCGTGTGGATCCAGTGCCTTCTTTGGTTCCTCTTTGGGATTTTCGAGCGGCGCGTCGCCAATGTCGTACTGCATCCTCCTCCTGCTGAACGCGGCGCTGGTCTCATACTTGCAAGCGGGGCGGCCCTTTGGCAGCGTCGCTATGGGGCCCTCCGACTGAACGGAACGCGGAGAGTGGCTTCCGAGGCCGAGGCCGGCGTTGGGAGAAGGCGAGCGAGACCTTGACTGGAATTCTCTCGCATGCTGATGCGGCGTCGAGGGCACGGAGTTGGACTGATGGGACGCCAGGGGAGGGCGAGGGGGGAGCGGATGGCCACCGTTCCTGGCAGCCATGCCAGCCGGGCCAGCGCGGATTGCTGTTACCGGCTGCGTGCCAGGCTCTGTTGCGGTATGCGGCGTCGTGATATGCCCATGGAGAGAAGCAGGATCGATGTCTCTCTCCTCTTGACGATCCAGTTCGTGGGCGTTGATGTGAAAGGGAGGCTGCTTGATCGAAGACACGGTTGGAAAGGGAAGGGGGGTGGAGGCGGCGTCGATGACGGCGTCTGTCGATTCGATGAAAGGCAGCTTTGCAGCGTGAGCAGCAGAAGGCTGCTGCTGGACCTGCGCTTGCGGCGACACCTTTGCGTTTTGGGAAGGCAGCTTGCGGAGATTGCGCAGACGCGGGTTGTCGAGGGCGACCTCGCACCGAACCAGACAGATACTTGGTGCGGTCGTGGGTGTTGGGAGCGGTTGTGGGCTAGAGGATCGACCCGTACACGGCAGGAATCACAGGAGACGGGGCCAGTTTTGAGGTGACGGAGAAAGCTTGGCCAGTGGAGTGGCTGCGCTTTTGAAGGAGGAGAGGTGCGAGGACAGATGGGGAGTGATGAGGATGGGGCGAATGGGTTGTGGGCGAAGAAACCTCCGTTCTAAATTTTTGACGAAACGTCGTTTCTTGGGGGGGGGACCAGGTGCTTGCTGGTCGTGGACAGAAGGTGACGGGAGGAAAGTTGGGTGGTGCTGGAGGAGCCCAGGGTTAGACCCGCGTCCACGGTGACTATGCCCGAAGCGAACGGCGCTGGGTCTTGAGGGCGAATCGAGATTGGGAGCCGGGGGGGTGCGCGGTTGTGGGTGAGGAACAGCGAAATGGAAAAGTCCGTGTGGAACGCAGAGAGATATATGGCGTGCAGGTAGCAAGACGAGGTGACCGCCTGATGCGGCGATGGAAGAGGGATTGCACGGATAAATTGCGGGCAGAGACAACGCAGGCGGAAGACGCTGCTGCGCGGTGGTTGTGGTGGAGGCTGAGGTTGGCGATGGTGGTGGTGGTTGCCGACGCCGCTGCTGCTGCTGACAGCAGGAGCGCTGGTGCTGGTGCTGGCCGGGGCGGAGAGAGACGAAGACGGACGAGGAAAGCGCCAACGACGACGGTCGTGCTCCCTCTCTGCACTGAGACCAGCGCGGATCACCCTAAGCTAAGCCCAACCGTCACGGAAGCTGCGTTCGTTCGCCGGCCGGGATTCTGGCGACGACGAGCAGGCGCCCCTCGCGCGCCCACTCAGCGTCGCCCAGCCAGTCGCACTTGCCGGCGCCGCCGCGGGCCTGAAAAGGGAGGTGCGCCTGCGCTCGCAGAGCCTCAGGCACCAAACCGCGAGCTTGTCCGTTGCCGAACTGTGCACGACGTCGACGACGCTGAGAACTGGTTGGAGCTCAGCGCTCGTCGTCCAATGCGTTGACGCCCCCCGCTGGCTCTGCGTCCTCCCTCTCGTCGCTGTCCGCCGCTCCGTTACTCCGCCCCACCGGTTGCTGATGTCGGTCATCCTTTTACCCCAGCACCCGCCGTCCCATTCCCCATCACCCACAGCGCCTGGCACCGAGGCTGTACTGCCTGTCTGCATGTGTCCGTCAGCGGCTCCATCTCCGTCGTCCGCATCGCTGTCGCTCACAGCCTCCCCGCCCGCCCCTTCGCTGTGACCAACGCATCCCTCAGCCCACTCCTGTACCGGCAGAAGCGACCTGAGACCTTGCCCCTGGGAGGTTACAACAATGAGTCACGTGATCAGAGACCGGTGGGACTGCGTTTCACCCGCTCTCTTTTTCTGGACGTTTGCACCTGGTTCGACAGACATCCGCTCTCTTCTGTACAGTCCCAGCGCGAAGAGACCTCGCCGTGATTTGTGTCACCCCCTCGGGTGGCCAATCCCACCTCGGAATTCCCATGTCCTTGAGCAACGTCCGGTTTCAACTAGCAAACTCGAAAGGCGCACGAGAACAAGGCAAGACTACAGACCAAGGACAGCGCTGTCCGCACCAGCATCTCTCAGCAGCGGTGATGAGCACGCCTGACGCGTCACGTTGCTACGCTGAATGTGCTTCTACTGTCCAGCATCGCTGTACTCAGTGCTTATGCTGGCACAACATGCGTGTTCCGTCTGGCCGAGCTGAAGCAGAATTTCCTACCTTGTGACTACCAGGACGAATCCAGGCTGCTCAAGGTCCGTCTTTCGTTTCTCCATTGTAGTTTCCCACGCCCATGGTGCCCTCGGGCACAGCGCTGAATTCCAGATGAGGGGCATGGCCCAATCCATTTCTTTTTCTGTGCTCCAGAATTACTATGCAATTCTGATCGTAGCGCACGTCTCTTGCTCCGGGGCCAGGCACGTGCAGCGTGCTGGTGTCTTCATGGGTGCATCCATATCTCTATATTGCGCCTCGTTTAGATGAACTGGGGAAATGAAAAAGAGCAGGGCGAAATAGGTTTCATGGCCTAAAATGACAGTAAACTAGCGGGAATGCTCGGGCCACGTGAAGAATACAACAAATACCTAGTAAGAACCGCTCATAACCCATGGTAAGCCTGTTCATACCTGTTCATACCTGTTCATAATACGACCAGGTCGGCTGCCTATACTGAAAAGCCAACCTATCATCTTCTCGTCCATTTCTGTCTTTCACTTTGTCGTCTTCACTGCCGCACAACGTCCAGTGCGTGTCACATCAACCTCGGGAAAGCCGTGCCTTCCATCATGTTGCAGGACTGAGGCCAGACGTTACAGGCTGCCTGGCCTCTCCTGCGCACATTGGATGCCAGCATGCCCTGCCTGAGTCTGGTCACCGGGTTGAGGAGAGTCCCGAACACTTTCTACCCGAGCTTTCCTACTGGAATTCAGCCTGTCCTGTGGCATACGCGGGAAGCAATACGACGCCCTCGCTGCGTATATCGGTCGACCGTTGACTACATCGCTTATCAGCAGCCAAAACTCCCCACCTCAGAAGGTTGGCTTCAAGCCACGGAAGACTAACACTCCCAATTTGCTTCGTCACTCTCACCCCGTGCTCGCAAGCCCCCAAACATTTCCTCCTCACGACGACGTTCCGCTTCGTCTCTTGCCGTTCTTACCATGCCGCGCCACCCAGGCACGCCTCTGTGTCGACCACGAAGCCGTCTGGACGCCCGTATCCCCATGCTGCGATGAAAGCGCACCGGGAGATCTTCTTCAATATCCTCGAAACCTCCAACCTCCCCCGCTCGTCGATCATCCTCTTTGTCCATCTGTGGCCTGTGCCTTTGGGGACCGAGACCAACGCTGAACGCCCCATTCTCATCATCTTCAAACAGAGATTCAACGTCCGTGTCAACTGCCCGATTTGGGATTCCTCCAAACCTCGTGGGAATTCGAGTCAAGCCTCGCCGAGGGGGCAGGCGGAGCTCATCGATGTCACTGACGTGTCTCAAATTCCCCATCCGTCGGCGCCTCGTAGCGGGGCCTCCCAAATCTGGCCCTTCAAATCCGTATACTGGTAAGTCGAAGGGCGTCTCATCACGCAAGTTCAGATCTCGCCTTGCTTGAAACGGCGGCGGCGTGCCCGGTACTCTACTCCTCACCCATCCCCAATGATTGCTCAGCCTCTTGACATCCGCCTCAAGCTGTTCCACTCGAGTATGCAGCCCCGACGGCGAACCGCCGCCTCCTCGCAGAGGAACTGGTGTGCGTCTTCGGCCTCGACTCTGTTCTCCATCAGTGCTGTCAACATCACTGTCCGGCTCTTGACGTCTTGCTCTTCGTCGGCCTCTTTTGTCTTTTCTCTTGCTGCTTTTTGCCTTTTTATGGCTATGCTCACACCCACCTTCTTCATCACATGGACATCTTGCCTTTCCACCAAGCTTAAGATCGACATCGTGGTCGCCTACAGTCCCTTTGACCCGAATTCCTCCATCATTAGCCGAACACGTTGGACCACACCCGCCTCCAGCTGCGATACCTTCGCGCAGTGCGGCGCTAAGGTTGTTCAGTCCAGCAGCAATGTCTCCTCCAGAGTCTGTATGGCCCTCCATCCCACGCATGTTCTGAGATCTTCTCCAACCACCGCTTCTTTCATCACCTACAGTCGTTCTACAAGGACCCTGATGAGCTCGGTCTCCACAATACCCGCATATTGTGTCAGGTCTTCTTCGACTGAGGCCATATTCAGACCCGCCGTCCCAAATGTCATGTCCAAATCTAGATCGGCGCTGCGGACAAAATCCGCCTCCGATAAAGCCATAGCCGGGAAGCATTGCCCTCGGGATCATCTTGTCGCGATGGTTGCACATCGTATCGTGATCACATGTAGGGACAATCTGAAGCCTATCCTTACTTCCACCCGGATAAAGGGGCAGGAACGATTGATTGCGTTGACTGATGGCTGAAAACTGAAGCTGAGACTGGCTCTGTGGTTCAACAAGGTTTGAGAAGGAAACTCCCATGGCTTTTTGTTCCTGGGCCAGCGGTACACCCGCACTTTTTTCTCTCGTTTTTGCCAATTTTTTTTCCTTTTTTTATTCTTTTCAATTCCAAAGGCCACCAGATCAGAGAAATTGGTCGGCACAAACTTGAGCAGAGAAAACGGAATGGCTGACGAAACCAACGGGCGAGAAAGGAAAGTCACAAGTTTCGAAAAACCAAGCAATGCGACGGATACCAATTTTAAAAGAAAAGACAAACACCTCCTTAAAACGCAGGTGACGGAAGAGACGGACCATTCGATCGTAGGACAGCTGCATTGTACAACCTCACGGTGTTGTTTGCTCCAGCCAGTACTATGCACGTAGCAACAAAAAGACAAAACTTCGACGAGCAAATGTCAGTCGGGACAAGGCTTAATGATTTCTTCTTGTGCACGCATGGAAATCAACGTCTCCCAAGGTCGTAAGGGTGCATGATGGGGTTGAGTCTGGACGCGGTCTTTTTTTTCTCTTTTTCTTTTTTACAAAATCGTTCGCATTGCGCATAATCATTACAAAGCATGCAGGCATATAACTTAACACCTTCAGCCCAGCCGTCAGAAAGCAAAGCGCGGCTCTCGTATCTGAACAGCGAATCGCCATCTCAAGAAAACGTAAAAAAACGATGGCAGCCCTAGAAATTTTAAGAAGAAGAAAACCCCCACTCAATGGAAACGCCTGAGATCCTGCCCAACTTAGAGCGCACCCTTGGGTACACTGGTCTTGTTTCTGCTGTGGAATTTGTTCACCTTTTTGCTTGGTGCAATAAACCAAGTAGAAAGAGAGAACAAAAAAAGATCAGAAGCTAGAAGATCATGCTTCGGACCTCTTTCCTCCTCTCCGTCGTTCGACCCTGATGTGGTGCTGTCTGAGGCGTCTGAAACATCTCTCTTCTCGGCTTCGACGGCGTAGTCGGCATGACAGGAAATCCCTCCCCGTTATTGCGGTGGGAAGCGCCTAGTCTGTTGGCTTTCTGCTTCATATTCTGCGCTCGGTCATACAAACCATCCGCGCTCTGAGGGCGAGCTTGTACATTCTCGGGAGCCTTTGCCTTCAAAGCAGCCAACTCTTTTTCTCGGGCTAGAACAACCTTGCACCACTCGCGACTTGAGACTACGCTCTTGCCAATAGTCTGCTGCAGCACGTCGATCCAGCCGGCTTTATCCTTGGCGTTGTCGGCGTAGAAGTCAATGGTCTCTCCATTGCCAAAACGGATGCGGAATCCCTCTTCGACAAACTGATAGCCCTCGTCCTCCTCAGCGAAGCCCGACTTTCGACGCCCTTTGGCAGACTTCCCGCCTTCTGGGTTTTGCACTAGCGAACCTCGGTCATCAATGAGTTTGACAGCCTTTGCAAGGTCGATCTTTGCGCGCGGCTGCCGAGTAGTCTCGTGATAGGCCGTAAGCTTAGACCCAACCAGTCGGAAAAATCGACGACGCCAATACTGTTCACTAGTTAGATGAAAATTCGATTCCATTAGAGTGACGGGTAAGTTACCGGGCAGTCGCCTCCCTGCTGACTTAGGAATCCTTCAAATTCACGCTTCTCCGCCTCCTCAGCCTCCCTTAGCTCGCGTATGCAAGCATTCATGCTCTTTGGCATGTCTTCGTCTGAGATACCCTTTGGCCTAGGGACATACAGGAGCTGAAGCGTCAATTTGCCGATTTGATAGGGGGGCCGGCGTACGACGCCACCTCGCTTGCTCTTGACCGAATTGACGATCGCGGCGTCTTCCAAAGCCCACTCGTTGAAAACAGGCATGTCGACAGTGATGGGTCTACCGTAGCACTGGTTCTCGTGATTCTTAAGACAGACGTAAGCGCGACCAAAGCTACCATCCGAGCCGACGAGTTCATTGAGCAACTCCCAAGCCGTGGCGTTTGGATTTGTTCCAGTGCGAGAATTTCTCGAAGCGCGCAGGCTTTCCTGTTCCAAAGCAGCCCGGGCAGCTTCTTCTTGCTCTTGCTTCTCCTTGGCAAGACGCTCATGCTCCCGCCGTTTCTTAGGTGACATGAGAAGATGGCTGAAGGAGGTCTTCTTTATGGGGGACTTGTGTACAAACTTGCTCGGCGAGTTTGGCCTCAACGGGGTTGGCTTAGGCGGTGGCGTCAACTTAGTTTGCAAAGTCAACTGGAACTCCAGATCGTTCAACACGACGAGTTCAAACTCTTGCCCTATGGGAGCAGTGCGCCCGAGCTCCAGCCACGAGGTCGTGACACAGTGAAGACCGTTATCAAGGGTGAGTTGGAAGTACGTAGGTTCTTCTTGAGGTAAACGTCAGCACGCAACAAGAGCAACAATGGGAGCTAGGTTTAGCCTACTCTGTGGAAGGGGCAAGTCGAGGTCCTTGACGCCGACTACCTTGACGAACAGTCGGCCACGTTCGACACCATCTTCGACATCAGCCTCTCCGGCCAGCGCCTGACCTTCTACTACTGTGTCCAAGCCAGCTGACACAGCACTCTCCTGGCCAGGAAGTGGAGGCAGTGGACCGGAAGCCCCGGCTCTCTTCACAGCTCCCGAGTTGCGAATACTCTTTCGTCTCACTTTGCCATTCCATGGCTCCGTCGTCCAGGACTTGGACCGTTCGTGACTCGGCTTGCGCGGACTGCCGCCAGCACCTCGTGTGCCAGCTGACGAGGGCCTCTGTTCCAAAGTGGGAGATGTCGGTGCGATGCTGCTTTCGTTGCTAAAGTTGCGTTTGGCAATAACCACCTTGGTATTCTGTCTCATAAGATAGCCCTTCTGTTCGCAGGATTGTCAAGTCAGCTTCATTTCCAATTTAACAAACGTTGAAAAGCAAGAAGATATTGCGGTAATGCCAATCTTCAGGAGAAGACTTGGATCACGCCGGAAACTTCATCAAGCACAGGTAGGGGGCCAGGAATTACCTTTGAAGATTCAATTACGCGCTCCAACTCTTTGCCAAGCCCAAAGGAGATGTCTTCGCCGAATGAATCGTCCCCAATGTCGATGCCGCGGAAAGACTGCCGACGGGTGATCGGCGACGCTGGTACTTCCAACCTATCTTTCTCCTCGGGGCAGTCTTGGTTTTCGGCAGGTTCAAGACTCATCGACAAGCGCTTTGGACTCTTTTCTGGGATAGGGGGAGGTCCTTGTCCGCTCACCATCCGGCGTTGAGCGGCCATGGATTGCAGGTCCGCAGGTGTCGCCGACGCTCGTGTCTTCAAAAGACCACCAGGCGCCTTGACAGTAGCTTGAGGCTCTGGGATACCTGGAGTCTCTACTTCGGATTCGGACTCCGGAGAGATCGGGCGGTGCACGACTGACTCTGGAGTACCGGGACAATCGGCATTGTCCTCTTCGCTGGCGTCTTGACGCATTGACTCTTGAACAGATTGCATGTCGACTTTCGGGGGTGAAGCGCGCACGTCATCGACATTGTCCTTCTCTGGCGGAGGTGGAGGAGTTGAGGAATTACTCAAGTAGCTGGCTAGACCGCTCTGGAACTCGCCGTCGTCTAGCAGCGAGAACTCCGGAAGACTGCTCGCTCCCTGATCTTCATCTCTGGAATGAAGCGGGGTCGACGTGCGAATGCCGGACTCTTGCTTTGGAGTTGGAGGTCCATCTTCGTCCATCGCACCATCAGAGCCTTGCTGGGCAGCGGTTTCGTGGTTCATTTCAGGCGAGTAGCAACTTTCATCATCTGCCGCATCCCTTCCTGAGACATCGTGTCGAATAACAGAGCCCTCACGGCTGAAGTCCTCGTCGTTGTCGCCTGCGTACATGTCCGGGATGGCGTACAGATCAATGGGATCATCTGCATCTTCTTCTTTGATCTGCACCTCACGCTCCTCAGGCACAACATCGTCGAAGTTTGACGAAGCCTCTCGTGAAGGAATTGGCACGTCAGGATCCAGATCAGCATAGCTCGGTTCCTCGGAGAAAGTGCCTTGTGTCTCTTCGCTCTTGTCGAACGTGCGGGAACGAACCTTGCGCAAGACAGATTCACGAGAGATATGTGGAGGGCTGTAATGATTGTCATGATTATCATCCGCAGAGACTTCTTCCTCGTTAACGTGAATACCAAGTCCGTGCTTGCGAAGCCTAGCAGCTTCCTTTGCAGCAGAGCCCCTGGGAGAAGTGGAATCTTGCAGCCCCATCAGCCTTAAGCGGTCCTCGAGGGTCATCGAAGTCTTTTTTGTCCCGGCACTCTGAGGACTGCTGACACCGTTGGGACGAGGAAGGTTCGGGAGTGTGCGGTTATGCGCCGCGCGCACGCGCTCTGCAATGGTGTTGGGCGAAGCGGGACGAGCCTCGTCGTGGGCAAAAGGCGGGACAGGAGGAAGTGGTCTCGAGTCGCCGTCCGAGTTGACGCTCGCTGTACGATACGCGTTCCATTGTTGCGAAGGCGTACCACGTCCAGTGAAAGGATCATCAAAGGAATTTGAGACCGAGTTGTTTCCCACCTCTGGACTCATGTGGCGCCAGTCTTCGGGCAAGACAACCGGTGTCTTCTCCGTATCCTCGAGCGAGGCGTCAAAACTGTCCTCGTCCTCGTTTGGCCCGCCACCAAGATCGATCTCGTATTCGTCGTCGTCGAAATCCTCATAACTTCCCTCGCGAGAACCAGACGCAACAGACGCTACGGATGGATCAGGAGTCACCATCTCATATTCGTTGATCTCCGGTGGCTTTGTGTCGAACGTAACGCTCTTCGCGTGTCGGCGCAGTGGCCGTGACGGGACGATACTTGTCTCCGTCTCATCGTCATCGGACCAGGGCGCAGAGTTCTGGTTGAAGTTGCGCGGCAGTGTGTTGTGCATCGGGCGGCTCGAGAGGGACGACTTGGTGGGCGATGCGGTGCTACGAGCCGGTGATGGAGTGTTTGATGCCACCGTCGTCGTTGTCGAAGGCGCGTCAGTGCTGGGACGCGAAATGACGGGAATATTGTTAGAGCTCTGCCCACGGCGGTGGCCTTTGACAGCATTGGCGCCTTCTTGACGCTGGCCATCGACGCCGCGACCACCGAATGCATTTCCGCCAAGCTGCGATAGTGGTCGGTTAGCAGCAAGCGGGCGCTCAAGCACGCCCGGTGAAGCCGGGTCATACTCGTTCTTCTGCTCCCGCGCAAACATGCTGCTGTTCTTGACTCGAGAAGCCTGCTTAAGCCTCTCGATCGACGGCCGCTTCGACATGGACGCAGAGGAGTCAGACCGGTCGAGCCAGTTCTCGGCGCCAAATCGTGCCGGTGAGGCACCCTTCTGCCAGAAAGCGCGAGGAGACGAGTTGCCGTACGGCGAAGAGTCGAATGGAGACGAGTCTCGCCCGGCACCGACCATTTGCTGTGTTCAAGATTAATTAGGTCCGGCAGAGAGCAGCGGGGCGCGGAGCAGCCATACCTTTGTGATTTGATTGTAGCTCGGGGAATTTCGCCGTTGAGACATTGGACTGACCTCCGTCAGGGCGCGGGGCACAGAACTGTTGGAATTCATCTTGGCTGGGGACGCGTTTGGAGTGGACTTGTTAATCTTAAGCGGCGAAATGGCCTGTTTGGTGTTCCTGTCAGCGTTTGTGCGCCTTCAGAACAGAAGGGCGACGTCGACAGCGCAATCACGCTGCGAGGGAAGATGTACGCACCCCGACCGGAGCCATAACGGCTGGAAAGCTAGCGTATGGGGAACTTATTTGTTGTCAAAGAATGCAGCGCAGGGATTGACGACGTGATGTGGCAGTGAGGAGCTGCAGAGTCGTGAGGTTGACGTTGGCACACAGCCTAGAAGAGTCGCCAGACAAGCGGACGGAGGACGAGAACTGGTGGCCAGCGCAACGGCGAGAAAAGAGAGTGTTGGGCGAGGGCAGAAGGGAGCGCAGTGTCGATAGAGGAGGTGTTTTATTGTCTGAGGATGTTGCGCCTTTGGCCGGGAGAACGACTGGAAGCGCAGCGGCAGCAGGGTGAGGGCTGGGTGCGCGTGAAACAGCCGTCGCCACGGCAACGCAGCTCCCGCTTGTCCTATTCCGGAAAGGCGCTCCTCGCACATGACATGGCCCTCCCCGACCCCCAGCCCGTCTTCATCTGCGGCCGCGTCTCTGCAGGCGGCGCACAACTTGGCTTACCCTCCACTAAAGACGACTGTGCTGCTTGTGCGGACCTTATCCCATGCTGCCTGTCGTGGCTCTCGCTCCTTTAAACTTTTCTCGCGCCAATCTCGAGCTCCGCTTTTGCCTGCCTATCGCGTATCCGGGGCCAAGTGTGCACGGCTGAACCGCTCTGGATGCAAATCAAGTCCGCCAGGAATCCTTGCCCCCCCCATCATTTGTTCCTACGGACGAGAATGGCCAGATACGAGGCGCATCATTCAGCCGTCTGAAAAAGATTCTGCTCCTACGGAGAAATCCATTCTATCCGCCATGTACTTGCATCAGCGCCGTTCCGCCCGCTTCGGCTGAAGCTGTCCTTTTTGCGCCTGTCGAGTCTCCTCCCATTGTGCTTGTATTTCTTGGCGTCACACATACACAATCCCCCGTCTTCGCTCAGAGATGGCGCTCCGTCGCCTTTTTACGACTTTCCGTCCTGTTTCTTTCACAACGGGCGCTTTGTCCCGGCTCTGTGTGCGTTGCGCGGTTCAGCTGCAAAGTAGAATCGAACGATGCGGCAAACGCGGGGATGCTGTGTGGTTTGATTATTTTCGGTCTCCAAAAAACATAAAAAAAAATAAAAACATCCGAAATCAAATTTCAACCGCCGAGCTGCACAACGAAACTTCAGGTCGCTGGGCTCAGTTCTCCCAATCTTCTTTGTCCATGATTGAGAGACTGCAGCCTGTGGACGAGATGATGTGTACCCAATTTTTCTGCAAGGTCCTCTCCTGCTTTGAGCAGATGGCATCAGCCCAAAAGCACACGGGAGCTTTTGAGATCTTGAGGCTAAATGCGATTAGGGCAAAGAAAGTCTCTGAGTTGATGTCTTGCTTCTACCCAGTACAGATTGAAGTCACTTCGTTAATTCTGCCGTCCATTTCATTCGGGGCAGGAGTCTACGCACTTCCCCAGGCGTAACAAAAAGCGTGATACTTTGGCGTTGTTCCGCGCCAGGGGAGATATTGCAGCTTGCACGCCAAGTCTTGCCGGTTAATGTTGATTGCATATCCTTCAGCGTCCTTCATGTAAGAGATCGGGAGTATTCAGTGTTCAAGTTTCGAATACGTGAGATCCGTGACGCGAGTAAGCTAGAGCGTGGTATAGGCAATAAGCCTGCAGGGAGAAAACAGTCTACATCAAGCTGTTATCTTTGGCACGAGGTAATAGTGAGCTATTTTAGGTGACGTTGGTGGACTGGCATCTTGACTTGATTTATTCTTGGGACTTTTAATAGTGATAAAATGCTCTTGCTCGCCCTTGGCAAAGTTTGAGCGCCTAGGGATTCGGATATTCTCAACATTTGGTGCTCTCGTGATGCTTTTGCTGCTGGTACTGGTTTTGAAAGAGGCCCAACACAAACCCACGCGCCACAGCCTCTTCGATGATATTGCTTAGAGGATTTCCTTTTGAACAGAAAAGCCTCCCAGCGTCAAATTGAATAAAACGACGCCGAAGCTGAAATACACATAATTGAACTGAATAGCGCAGTTTCTCGTCAGTCTTCACATCTCATTCGATAGGTGGGTTTTGTGGTCTCTCATTTTCGGCGGCCAGTTCCGCCATGAGCCCTCCAACATCCCTTTCTACAGCATCCTCCCTCAATCTCTGTTCGATAAATTTGCTCATAGCTTGTACTTTCACTAAGGCCTTGTTTGTCCAGTCCACGATGCGCAACGCATCCACAGGCACGCCTCCGTGTTTGGCAATTTGACATAGTTCGCCGTTCTTGTTCATGGTCACGACGACTTCGCCTTCGCGGACTTGCTCTTCCGCCAGAGTGGCGTCCTGAAGAACAATGGCACCCGCGTCATAGTAAGAAAAGGTGACGCAAAGAGGATGGTGAAGCATCGACAAGGCTACGGGTTCGCGCTCACGTGGCGTGAAAACAGTGACTTTCTCGCCCTGGACCTCGATATCTGGTCGTCTGAAATGTTGCAAAGCTGCGACGAGCGCAATGCAGGACGCGTCGATCAGGTTGCCGTCGTGATCGAGAATGTGAATGTCAGCTCGCAAGGCAAAACACTTCTGGCCCGCGATGATGCACAGCGATTCCGTGTCCAGGGCTGAGCTTCGCCGGATGGCTTTCTCCAAGATCCGCGACAAGATGACCTCGTCTGAAGTCGGACGGCCCGCTTCAAACGCGGGCGAGGCCATGGGCGAGAATTCAGCGGTGATGGTGAAGACGCCCTCGAACTTGCGGTCTGGATACGGTGCAACCACTTCGCACGATATCCTCACGACGACCCTGCTTTACGTCAGCGCAAACGAAATGCAATGAAAAAGAGACAACATACCGTGTCTTTCCTAGTCTGACGTCGACCGCGCCATATTCCTGTCCAAATGAGAGCTCGATGTTACGATATGCATCGAGCGGTCGTCCGTCTAGCCGAATACCCTCGCGCAGGGCATTGAGGATAAACGTCTTCTCATTGACAGATATCTTAGCCTCTTGAGGCATTTTTTTGGTGTGACTTACTTTCGCCGAAGCATTTTTAGGTCGGTTTTGTTGCAGCTGGTCACGAAATATTTGGACATCAAAGTCCGCAGCCAATCAGGTGTCGATGTGAGTAGGGCTTGGCATGAAACGAACCTAAATGTCGCCTCTGCACGTTCGTCGCTCTGCAAGCTCAACTCGACGCTGCGAAGACGACTTATGCGTCCCTTGTCTGACGTGGAATATAGTCTTCGTGAAGCACGTTCGCGGTAACGATTCCATCGCGAAATACTATACATTATACCTAGGTCACCACGCTTGTGCTTTCCGTTGCATATTGGGCAAAATGACCACTGCTCACAGGCCCACGTTCAACCCGGTAAGTACTCACCAGGCTGTTGCGCCGTGGTTAGATAATACTGATACGTCGTGCAGGCACAAGGAAAGGAAGCTCAACGAGGCCCTGCATTCCACACGCGACTGCTCCCTGCCCATACAACTCTCAAGTTCAGGCAAGCTGGTCAGGGCGGAACTGCTGACGAGGGAGCTCGCGACCTTCGTGCCGAACTCCTCAAGGCGGAGGCGGCTGCGAAGGCCAAGAAGCTTGGGAAGACAATTGACGAACATGAAGAGGAGCAGTCTCGATCCACGCCAAAGCGAGCACTCGAGGCAGCTGAAGACGAGGCAGATGATGAGGAGGACCCTGAGGCCAAACGGCGAAGGCTGATATTGGAACAAGCCGCAGAGGAAGACGCAGATTCGGCTGGTTCAAGCGAAGACGAGTCAAGTGACGATGATGACGACGACGACGACGAGGAAGACGAAGAGGCAGAGCTGATGCGGGAACTTGAGAAGATCAAACGGGAGCGAGCAGAACAGCGAGCCCGAGAAGAGGCTGAAAGGCTTGCCAAAGAACAAGAACAACGCGAATATGACATTGCCAGAGGCAATCCATTGCTAAACCCGACTGACTTCAACGTCAAACGGCGCTGGGACGATGATGTAGTCTTCAAGAATCAAGCGAGAGGCACAGAGGATAAGAAGCCGAAAGAGTTTGTCAACGATTTACTGCGATCGGACTTCCATAAGCGATTCATGGTAAGCAATCTTTCAATTCCATAGCAACCAAGTGCTGACCCTGCATTCAGAATCGTTATGTGCGATGAGTGACGCGGTTGCGAACGCATCAAGTCACAGCACTCCCCCGGCAGATTTTTACGTGTACGTCCGTGCAGAAACTCAGCGCAAGCGAAAATCGTCGCTGTACTGAAATGATAATCACACGTCGGGCTTGGCGGCGTGACATCATTACGCTTTATCTATGCCCCAGCCGATCAGCAAGTTCTAGCCGTTCAGAGAAGCATATATAACAGAGATGTACTCTGATTGGATTGGATCAATGAATGAATCCAGTTATTCTTGCACCAGGCTCGGATAGCAAGCGAGATGTACGATCAAGGCTCTTGGCGTGGGCGCCAATGTTCGGGTTCGCCCATCGTTATAGGCTTGACAACAATTGCTTGTGGGATAGATTTACAATTGATTGGATGCCATAATGAAACCTAGGATGTCGTGAAAAAGAAGCATCTTCATATCATCTTTTGGTCGAGATTGTGTGACGAACATGGCTTTCTCAGTTACATGATCTGTGGCCTTGTTAACCTTGCGTGCATTTTTATCTATGTATTGAGTCTCGCCTTGATCCCATTAATTTTACGCTAAACCATCTGCCAAGGCTGTCACTGTATCTCTCTCACCTTGCGAAAAAGTAAACAAATTATGGCAGGCTACGGCAACAAGACTTCCGGGCCCACAATGGACAGCCTCGACTTCAAGGAGACCCGTTTCGGCACTCACACGTCGACAGAACCATACTCAGGTGGGCATCCAAAGCGTAAGTCCGGCACGATTGGGGGAGCAGGCCATGGCAACAAGAGCGCTCCCAAGACAAACATGGACGAGTATGACAACTCGGAGTTGAGGTTCGGCAGTCACAACAACACTGAACCATACTCCGGCGGTCACCATGTGCACAAGAGTGGCAGCGTGGGGGGTGCCGGGTGGGTTGGCTCTTTTTGGGACTTCGTACATCCTTTCGTGAGCTAACAAAGGGTGTACAGATTCGGGAACAAAACTGGCACCTGGGGCGAGGACTCGCGGATGGGAAAGGTGATGGAGAAGATCGGACAGATGACGCATAATGAAGACATGGTTGAAAAAGGCAGAGCAAAGAGAGAGGCTAAAGGGTTTTTGTCAGGGGGTTAGCGGAGACGTCAAATAGTCCGAGTGGACTTTTTATTCTTGAGACGTTCTGAATTTATTGTTTTAAAGTTTACCACACATGTATCGATATGATGTCATGTTGACTGCCCAACCAACTTCATCTCGCTCTTTCTCGATCTTGACACTCGCGACGTGTTCCATTCTAGTCGTGCGTGTAATCTAGCTAAGGAACGAATGATGGAACTGACAAAGCTCGATACGGCCGCGCCAAAGTGCGAAGCCCAGACCTTGAGCTGGTGGAAAGTCCGTGACCGCAAGGATTTTGAGCCAAAAGCAGAGCCTCAACTGGAGCATCAACACTTTTTGAAGAGCTTTTGTTTGCAATTTTTTTTGGGGCGGGCTCCGACGAAATGTGAGAGATTGGCGCAGACCAGCGAGACTTGGTTCTATTCCCCTCTAAGGTTGTCCTGGCTTTGGCATCTCGTTCGGCTGAAGGGGGGTGGTCTGCGCATCTACAGAGTCTTGAACACCGCCGACGACGGGACGAAGAATGCCACTTGGGTCGATGAGCGTGTCGAGATGGCCTTTGACGCCTCGCGGGATCGAGTCTGAACCGGACGTCGAGGCGAGAAGCTCTTCGGCGTCGACGGTCCGCGCGGACGGCTGGGTCTCGGCAGACGACTGGTCCTTCGCGAGGACTGTTCGATCTTCACAGTCGGTCGACGAGACGTCTTGCACGCCGTAGAGGATGCATCGAAGAAAGCGCGATTTGACCAGCTCGTCGAGCCGCGGACTGACGTGGCTGGGGCGCGGGTTCGGCAGCGAGAGGCGGGCGGTGGCGGACTTGTCGATTTGTCTGATAGACAGGCTGACGGCTCTGCGTCGAAGCATGGCGCTCATCTCGCATCCTGTCGCTACGACGGAGTCCTTTTTTTTCGACCTCCATATATACACTTCGCAAGCCGCGTCGACACCTGGGCGAGCTCGACAGCATGATTAGAGTTCGACGTGAAACAGACTTTTGTTTTTAAGAAAGAAATTTTTTTGGCATCACTTCTGTGACCTCACTGAGACTCATAGGACCGGTCGAAGTCATATCTACGCCCAAAACCGTATCCTTTGCTCGAAGCAGTGGAGAGAGGATATGCCAGCTCGTGATCTCTTGGTCAAAAACCAGCCCGGCCCATTCGGTGCACACGGCGGACTTGTCACGATTTCATCATGAGCAACGACGCAACCTCACTATGACACTTGAATCACACGCGTATCCAGACGAAGAGTTTTTCAGCCTGCGCGATTTCTTGCCAAATCCTCCCACACGAGTCCACTAACTTGGACAGAAATCAGGTGCGAGTGGTGTCAAAACGCAGCTTTATTTTTGGCGGTGAAAAAACAATCCCAACCAACAGCTCTCGTCATTAGAGACTTTCATCGAGTGGATTTCTTGAACGCTCTGTGACAAATTTGTTTGCTCGCCTTGCATGGACCTGATATTCAGTATCATGTTCAGTCGCTTGAGGATGAAGTTTCTTCTTGTGGCGGCTGGGGAGGCTGGCAACAGTTTTCTTTCAGGCGTTGTCGTTCGGGAGGTGCCGACGGCTCTATTGAGTACGGCACGATGACTTCTAGATGGACGAATCACAGTTTGACATAAAAAATTGAAGGAAAAATGCTGCCATGGACGTCGAAACTTGACATACTCCGCAATCACATCTTTCACAGATTCACAACATGATCGACGTAATGGATCGCCTCTCGACGATCAACTTACCTGTCCTGGTGCTTGCACACTCCGTCTTCCTCTCGTTTCTTGGGCTGCGAATGATCTTTCGCAGCCCGCCCAAGCCCGATCGCGAGAGCGAGATCTCCGCCATGTCTGGCGTCACCACCCTGGCAATTGGCATCGCCTACATGGCGACGAGCTACATGCCCATTGAGCAGAATCAGTTCCTGCACGCCAGCATGCCTGTGAGGATCGTTCTCGCGCTGCTTGCCGGCTTGAGGCTGCTGAGCGTCAAGAACATGACCCCCGGACGGCCGAAACGAAATGCTGTTCGTGTTTTCGTACGACGGCGTTGGCGGCCTGATCTGTGGGTGGCAGCTGGGGAATTTCAGTGGCAATGTGCCAGGGTTGTGAGCTTCAGACTGCGGGTCGTCTTGAAAACACGCACAAAACGAGGGAGCTTAGATGAGATGGGCGAGCTGGGGTGAGATGCTCTCATGATCCGTGGTGAATGGGTGGCCAAGACAAGTTCAGAACCCGACGAAACGCTGCCCAAGCATGCATGCGTCAGGTGTAATATCAACTACACGAGATGAATACGTCTTGACTGAACATGCTCCGTCACGCTATCTCATGCGGTTGAACAAAAATTACGTGTCTGGATGGAAATAAGTAGACAGCCGGCTTCCGGCTATGAACCAAATGCAAAATCTATGCTGATAGGACATCGACTTGGCGTCGAGGCTGGGGTTCGCGATGTACGTCTGGTGTCGAATTAAGGTAGCCACATACGCTGTGCCATGTGAAACGGAGATGCGAGGCCGACGCAATTCACCTTTTGTGGCCAATGTCAACCCTGCCGCAGTTTTGAACGAACGTGGGACGCCTGTGTATTTCCCCAGGCCAGCTTTGATCGGTATTGAACAGCATGAGTAAAGATGTTGCGCTTTGTAGCCGTCGAAAGGCGAGTGTGTTTATCCGATAATCTACTCCGCACATTATTGGTAACAGACCACTTTGAAGCCCATGCTCCACGATGAGGGCCGTCGAGTGATTCGAGGGCACGACAATGCGAACACCTGCTCGTTATCATCTTCACCGCCACATGCTGCTGTTGCAAGAACGGGCTGCGACGTTCAGCTGCAGGTAGCGGTGGGTCATCCTACGGCCCTCAAACGCCCAACCATTGACGGACATGCAGAGCAATAATCAAAATAATGCTCCGGAGGTAGTTTGACAAGCTGATCCTCTGGCGCAAAGTCACGAGGTGAACGTCGAGGAAGGGGGTGGGCGCCACGCAACCAGCCTGCAAGAACGGAGACTCTCGCTTCGCAATGCAAACGATTGACGGGCAACGGACAGGCAGAAAAAGCAAAGGCTGGATCATCCGGGCAAGCCATCGGCAGCATGCAGATCTGTCTGCACAATGATCAGCCTGAAGCCAGAAACGGCTGTTGAAGGAGGCCGTGTGGTAAACGCAGCACCGATAAGGACGTGAATGTATCTAGCAGATTCTCGCTGGGAAGGCCATGCTGCAAGGAACAGGCTTTGTCCACGTTGCCTTATAGCTGAAGTTTCTACATGTACATGCTGCAAAGGCGGTTTCAACACAGGCCTGGCAGGATTCAGGCAGGCATTTGACTAGCTAGTACTCTGGTGCTCCGTAAATAGCCAATCGATAGTAGATTGCAACGCGGTGAAGCTGGTTGAGGGAGCGAGCCGGCGCGCGCCCTCTGGCTCCAAACCCTCTCGAAGGGAGCGACGCTGGAGCGCGTGTGCGTTAGGGTGCTACGACGTTCAGCAGGGGAGAGCCGAAGAACGAAAGATCAAAGGCTCGCGTGGAGAGAACGACAGCATCGACGAGTTTCTCCGTAGAGCGCTCGCCGAGATGGCCTTGGTGCAACAGCAATGCGGTCAGTCGTTCGCTTCACAGGAGGGTCTCACGAACGCGCGATCCGTCGAGATTTAGGCGTTCCGGGTTCTGGTGGCTATCGATTACGGCTTCAATACCTCGCGGTGGAGGCAAAGTGCAGCAGGCCTGCAGCACAAGTCGCCGCTCATGCTGCACGGTGCCATTTGTAGCGTCCATTTGGCCCACTCAGCCCCACATGTGCGGACGGGAAGGGAAGGGAAGGAAAAAGGCAAGGGAAGGGGATGAGATTTCGTAATTTGTCCACGCTGGCCGAGAGGAAAAGCCGCGAATGCGGGCGAGGCAGAGCCGTTCCTAGGCTGATGTGCGAGAAGGAAGAGGACGCGAGGCAGGAAGCGGGAAGACGGCCAGAGTGACAAATGACGCGCAGGGCTGGGAATCGAAGATGAGAAGCTCATGCCAGAGGATCTCTGATCTCCAGCCAGATCGGGAGGGGCCGACGTCGACGAGATTTCTGGCGATAGCGACCTGCGATGGACGAGAACGCACAGGAGGCGAGAGAACGCGAGAAGGCGCGGAGAAGAAAAGGCTGGGGCTGGCACCAACCAGGCGCGGAGGCTCGTGCTCATCACCACCTCCTCCACCAGCAGGAGGCCACAACCGGCGTCGTCGCCGCTGTCGCCGTCGCTCGTCGTCCTCACACGCTCCATGCCCAAGACTTGTGGCCGCACTCGACGTGCACAGCCGAGCAGCGCGAGCCGGTTGGCATCGAAGGCGGCAAAGTCCACTTCTTTGGCGTGCTCTTCCGTGGGCTGTTTGCCCGTCTGACCGCCCGCCTTCGCATTTTGGTAGGGGGGGCCGGGGCCACAGCTGTGCCAAACTTGACTCCTCATCGAGGAGGGCCACCGTCGTCGAGAGACAGCCAGACGCACACAGCCGGCGGTTGGGATCGCCCTGTCGCTCAATCGTGAGGCGGCTGAACCGCACTGCTCCCGCACCTGGTTCGCCGCGGTGCTTCGCGCAGGATCGCGGTCTTTTTCTTGCTCAGGTTCGGCGCCGGCTGACAATCTGACGCCATCTGAGACGGCGCCAGCGAAGGGCGCCGGGCCTGGCTGCATTGGGCTCGACAGTGCGGCTGCGGGCGTGATTGGCCCAGCGACGGGCCTGGTCAGACGGGCCCGCTTGGCGACAACGCATCCCCCGCCCGCACTTTCACCGCTCTTTGTCAAAAGCCAGCCCTCCTCGCCCGTTCTTCCTCTCGGCCTCCCTCTTCTACTCCCAGTTTAGCCTCATCCCGTCCGGCCATCGACTGACTGGACTGTCGGTGTGATACGGCGCACACTTTCCTCGCAGTAGCAGCCAGACTCTGCGGCTTCATCCAAACCTGACTGCCAACGTTCCCACCCGGAACTGAGAGTCGAGCGCACTGCCCGGCTGACCTCACGCCTTTTCTTACTCTCCGCTCGCTCCCTCGCCATGGAGCACTTCACCTTTCAGCCAGACCAAGTGCTGGCCGACGGGAGCTTCGACCAGACCTTCTACGACGCCAACGCCTTCCAGCAACCCTCCAGTCAGACGGGCACCTGGCCGCTTCATCTCGACCAGACCGCCGTAGCCATGTCGCACAACAACACCACGACCACCGGCACCACATCGACCTCGGCCGCCGACGACGAGGTGCGGAGGTCGCACGCAATTGCAACAACAGCGAGCCTGGGCATACGGACGTCGATGCCCGCCGTGACCGACATTTCACCGCTGCAAACCACCACCTACGCCTACAGCCAGGCCTTTGCCCCGTCAGCCGGAATGCTCACCACCAACGAGCTGGCATTCGGCCTGATCACGGACCACTCGGCCTTCAGCCAGCAGCACACCTCGTTTCAGGACTCAATGGCCTTCACCGGCACCTATGGGATGCCAATTCACCAGTCCCCCGTCGACAATCTAGTCGCAGGCCAGGAACCGATACACAATAACAGCATCGACTCCTCATACATGACTCCCTTCCAGTTGGCCAATCTCTCAAGCGAGGTGCCTTTTCCATTCGCCGACCTCAACAACATCCTGGAAAACACCTCGACCTTTGGAATGACCACCGGTGCTCAATTTGCTACGAGTCTCGCGAGCCACTCTCCGCAGGACCAGTGGCTCACTCGATCGTTGTCCAGCAGCGGTAGTGAGCACAGCTGGACTTTTGTCGACCTTCCGCAGGGGCGCCAGTCAGTTGATGGCTATTCTGATGTCTCCCACAACGCCGTCGTCAGCCCTATGCATCTTCATATCCGCACCGACTCGAATTCGTCGCAAGACTCGGAAGCGCCGCCACTGTCGGCACATTCCAACTCTAGCGGATACGTCGAACTGTTCCAGGTGTCACCGGAGCCGGAGTCTCACGATCATTGTGACAACGGCCACGTGCCTCATACGATGCCGATGTCCCATGCTGGTCGTTCGGCTTTCCACAGCCCAATGCCTGTCATCTCCACTGCACCGTCCATGACTACCGTTTCTAGCCCGAGCTCGTCTGGACAAGCGTCTTCGCCTGACGCCTCCGTTGCCGGTTCCCCGAAGACAAAGAGAAGGAACAGCCCCATCTCGCCTGCTGGCGTCACCCAGAAGACGATCGTCAAGAAGAAGCCAGCACCAGCCTCCAAGGAGAAGGCCGAGAAGAAGGTCGGCAGGAGAAAGGGCCCGCTTCGTCCAGAGCAGCGGCAGCAGGCGCATGAGATACGAAAGCTGCGTGCGTGCCTGCGTTGCAAGTTCCTGAAGAAGGTGTGTGACAAGGGCGATCCGTGCAGCGGTTGCAAACCGTCGCACGCCCGCCTGTGGCAAGTGCCTTGCACGCGTCTCGCGATCCAAGACATTGCCTACTTCCTCAAGGGATGGAATGCCGACTACGAGCGTCACGTCACCATGCAGGTGTCGATAGCCAACATCAAGGGCTTCTCGCCGTACAACCGCGAGCTTTGCATCACCCACGGCTACGGCTACATGTTCCGCGTTCGCGTCAGAGAGGTCTTCCTCGTGGACGACAAGGACATGGGCATCGACTGGGTTGAGACGATTCATGAGACTCCCCGCGAGTTCGAGATGCAGACTGCTCGTCTGTCGGCCGACAACGACGGCATCTCGAGACACCACCTTTCTCAGTACGTCGAGCAGCACCTTTTCACGTTTGAGAAGTTCGTCGACGAATACTTCGAGTCAACACCTTTTGTCATGGAGCTGCTGAAGACCATCTATCGTCACTACGTTCGAACGCAGAACCTGGCTCTCAAAAAGGGCCTCAAACTCGTCATTGCCTACGCCCTGACTCTGCACATAACCCTCATTCACCCAGAGTCCAGCACTGACTACGAGCTCGGAGTCATCGCTGACGAAGGTAGCCGCTACTTTGGCCAGATTGCCTCACCTGTCATGATCAACTTCCAGGTCAAGAAGGCCATGGCCGACTTGTGGCGCGAGTACATGAAGGACGTTCTTGAGGAGCTGTCCCAACTGTATGCTTCTGTCTACAGCGGGGACAAGTTGAAGAACTGGCCAACCATCTTTATGCTGGCTGCTCTGATCCTGACTGTTTGGGAGATGATGCAATTTGACCAGAATTATCGTGTTCCAGACAAGGAGGCCGTCGCCAAGTTCTGTGACGAGATGGAAAGCGTCCCGGTCGGCGTCATTGTCGGCCTATTTAGCGCCATCTCAACCAAGATGCCTACGTTCCTTGAGTGGGATAGCAGCAAGCACTCCCAAGCTGTTCAAGACAACAGAGCTGTGTGCGATACCATGACCGAAGTGCGTGCTCATGTCGAAAAGCACGGTATGTTCCTTCACCTGTCTTTTTACGACCATACGAATATGCTAACGGGAAGATTCAGAGGCGTACCTTCGGGCTCGTCCAGAGACCGCTGTTTACAATCGCGATGACTTCGACTCGTTGTCAAACAAGTTCCTGTCTAAACTTGTCATCCGTTCGAACGGCGCTAGTTGAGAGGCAAGTCGGTCCTCTGCAACAACTTCTTTGTGACTTTCGACGTGATACCCACTCATTGGTTGTTTCGACACCAAGCGAACGCATCTCGACACATTTGTTTCTTTTGTATCAGCATTTGATTTTTTTTTTCACGAGCCTCACGACGACCGGACGTATGACGACCGAACGCCTTTTGAAAAGTCTAACGGCCTATTGTTTACTGCCTTTCTTCACTTCCTTCTGGATGAGATACCCCAGACTCCACGTACCACTACTATCGTCTCAATGGCGGATATGGTGGTACTTTAAAAACACGACACGAGTTGGAGACGATCGTTATCGACAATGACGGCCTCTGCATGCATTAGGAATTGAGACGCGTCAACTTTATTGATTTGCGTATTTTGGATATTTTCAAACGATGTATTCATGGCTACATGAGTGGAAGAGATATCAGCATGTTATGTGGAAAAGCCCATTTCATTTAGACGGCTTTTTTTATTGTGGTGGAAGCGTTTGGAGGGATTCAGTGTATGTGTGTGTCCTGAGCATAGCATGGCTGTTTTACGGTATCTCTGGTGCATGCAAATGATGCCATGGAAGATGGTCTATGTTTGATGTGTACGACCTTGGCATATTTATCCGCAGCTTGACTAATGCACGCTTCGAGCCAAGGACTGGCTAAAAGGCTCGCTCCGCAAGCTCTTTATTTAGAAGGCGATTAAAACAGAAGCAAAATAATGAATCTTGTCTCAAACATTGCGGGTTCCGCTACTTCCTGACGGGTGCTGCGTTCAAAGGAATAGATCGATACGAGTGTGCAGTAGAGGCCGCGCTAGGCGAGATTAAAGTGAAGCAGTGATGTGCGGCAGATGACCATTTTTTCTTCTCTTTTCGCACAGTAGCTTGATGAGACACACGGTCAGAGCATCTCGTCTGAACGGGATCACCCGCCATTCTCATCAACCCACGGTCTCGCCTGGCCCGTGCCTAGGACTCTCTAGGCAACTCACGGCAGCGCCACCCCCCTTCAGAGAAATCCCTCGCGAGGGGGGAGAAAAAGTTTTAGCTGTCGTGCGCAAGGAGGTTGCTTTGTCGCCTGTTCATCATCATTCCAGAAGCCCCTGGCCGACCCGCCGAGACGATCGCTACCCATCTTGCACCGGATCCGACGAAGGGAGCGAGACGCTGAGATAGGGCTGACGAACGATAACACTCTTTGACGCTCCGGTGGAAAGAAAAAAAAAATTTTTTTTTAAAAAAAAAAATAAGACGCACAGAAAAGAAAGAGCCTGCGGATCTAGGTTGGCCGGGGCCAAACGGGTTGAGGGGCCTAGCCAGAAGGGGAAAGCCGTTACCTGGTCGTACCATCGACAACTACTTGAGGCCTTGTGCGGGCGAGAGTTTGGACAGCTTGGCGATAGAGACGGTGTTTGGCGGGAGCCCTTGGATCTTTCGAGAGGAGCGGCGGCGAAGCGGCGGCGGTCGAATCCGGTCGTAACGCGAAGCCGTTGCGGGCGGCCGGAGCAATGGCGCCGACGACGCCGGGGTCGAGTTCCAGCAGCTCGGGGGGAGGCACGTCGGCGGTCGACATCATCACGTACGTCGGCATCCCGCTGGCCGTGCTCGGGGTGGTGCCCACGCTGTACACGTGCTTCAAGTCCTTGATCACGATGCGCGACGTTCGCAAGGCGCTGCTGCAGAACCACGTCAGCGCGATCACCCGCTCCTCGCTGCTGTCGGGCATCGTCGAGGTCGAGATGCAGCGCAAGTCGCTCTGCCCGCTCGACCGCGACGACCCGTCGTACTTCCAGCTGGGGTGGCGCGCCAGCCGGCTGCGCGGCGGCTCGTGGACGCAGCTGAACTGGCGCGAGCTCGCCATCGGCGTCAAGTCGTATCGGCTGCAGTACCACGACGAGCTGTGCCAGCCGCAGGCCGAGGTCGAGTTCGAGAAGCTCGTGGCGTTCCTGCTGGACTTGGGAGCGATTCCCGACCCGCAGGGCTGGGAGGACCTGCGAAGCTCCGGCCTGTGGACGCCGGCCGGCACGAAGCTGATGGTCAGCGCCGAGACGGGCGACGCGATCCTGTACGTGACCACGAGCGAGGACTCGGACGGGATTCTAAGCCTGGGCCTGTTCTGGAGGGCAGACTGGGCGATGCGGCGCGTGGAGGATCTCCCGCCGTACTGGATGAGGCTAACGGCGCCCGTGGACATGGACGGCATCGGGCAGGGTCTCGCCAAGGATGGCGAGGCGGATGACGAAGGTCACGACGGCGACGACGACGACGACGACGACGACTGCTATGGGCGTGAGTCGAGATCAAGAGGCGACGACAAGGTCGAGGCCACGAGGTCGGACACGGACGAGACTCTGCGCGAAGACAACGCGCACAGTCAGCGGGCTGGCACTCATCTGAGCCCAGAGGACGCCCAGAGGGTGAGCTTCCGCGCCCCTCACGGCCACAAGCGCACCTCCAGCAGAACGACGGCGCGCAGCTCCGTATCGACGATCAGCTTCCAGGCGTCCAAGACGAGCGCGATCCGCATTCGGCTCGGACCGTCCGGGCTCTCGGAGGCATCGTACGAGGACCTGCTCTCGAAGAAGATCAAGCTGCCGCATCTGATCCAGCCAAGCCACCACCCGCACGGGCTGTCGAGCGCATCGTCTTCGTCTCCGTCGTCGTCGTCGCCGTCGTCGTCGGCGAGCATGTGGTTCGCCTCGGCGGCCACGGCGTTCAGCTCGTCCGACCAAGGCTCGCTGTGGGCGTACACGATCCCAGCCGGGGTCGTGTCGCTGAGCGTGCGCGACTCCGTCCCGGGCGGCGTGCTGGTGCTGCTGGGCCTCGTGGCCGAGGACGCCGTGCCGGCGTTCCGGGCGCCGCACGACGCCAAGCTGGCCGAGCACGAGGCGTGGGTCGCGCAGCAGAAGCGCATGCAGCGGCAGATGGAGCAGCTGCGCATGACGCCCGAGGAGCGCGCGCGCGCCTTCCACAAGCAGGCCCAGGACGAGCACTACGAGCGCATCGAGGCCGCGCGGCGCCGCGAGGTCGAGGCCGAGCGGAGGCGGGAGCAGGATCTGCGCGAGGGCCTGGCGAGCCCGCGCGTCGGCGTCGGCGTGGTCGCCAAAGCGTGTGTCTCCTGGCTCGCGCGGGAGGCGAACGTCCCCGAGGCCGCTCAGCTCGCAGACGTCGTCGGCCGGATCCTGTGGGAGATGGTGCGCGACGTGCGCTTTGCCGAGGACTTGTCGCGCATGCTGGACGCATGGAAGGAGTGGTCGGAGGCCGGAGGGATGACCAGGTCGCACTTCGAGGCCGTGAAGAGCAACATGCTGTGTTTCGCCTACGCTGCATGCGTCTTGTGCCTGATCCGGGACACGGCTGGATCGACAGCGGGAAGTGTGGTCAACGATCTCCAGGAATGTCTGAGAATGTGGAGGAAAGTACGGTTAGGGTAGCTCCGGTGGGATCGATTGCTGTTCTATTACATGTACCAATAGTAACATCATTAACATTTGGCATCGGACGGACGGTGTTTCCTATGAACAAGGATAATTTACAGTCTGAGGGACATGTACGCGCATGTACAGTCTATGAACTAATTTTGTACACTCTCGCTCAAAGAAAAAAAAATACAGGTTCCGAAAACATGATCAGGCCACCTTGCCAGCGATGCCGCTGGCCTGCAGCATGGCTAAAGCTTGGTCCATGTTGTACCCAAAGAACACAGGTCCGTTGAATACCAATTGCGGTGCTGGCGGCTGTGCAGAAGGTGGTGCAGTGGTGGCAGCAGCGGCTACCTTCGTGCCCTGCGGAAGTTCAGGCTCATCGGCTGCGGGCGAACGTCCGTTCTTGGGTAGTACCGACTCTGCCATCATTGGCGGTATATGAGATTCGGGTTTCGCAGTGACCGCTTCCGCAGACGCATTATGATTAGTATGGGGAGTACCAGGCATTAGGTTCGCCATTCCAGACAACATCTTGTGGTCAAAAGGACATCTACCTGGTTCTCTCGTCGTCGTCGTCGTCGTCGTCGTCGACTTTACGGGACTCTCTGGTAATTTGGTCGGCGGTGGGATGGGCGTGTCCCTTGGCGATGCGGTGTGATCCGAGCGTGCCGCCCTACCGCCGTCTAGTTCATCAACGTCAGGTACTGCAATGCCCCAAGGCCTGCTCGGGCTCTCGCCGACACGCACATCCTTAAGTGGACGGTCGAAATGCGGTTCCCTCTCGTCCATTTCCCCGTTCTCGCCCGTCGATACGTCGTCAACAGGGATCTCATCCACCCCTTTCAGGCTCTCCGTCACGGTAGAAGCCCACTTTTCGACTCTGGCTTTGGATCCACCCTCCACTCCATCGTTCTGATCCAAAGTGTCATCCTCTGGCGTTTCCGGAAGCATAGGTTGATGCACCTGGCCAAGCCCTTGTATCATAGTGACAAGCGTGCCATACTTTTTGTCCAGTTCGCGAATGCTAGCCTCGTTGCTCTGGTATCGTTTGACGCAAAGCTCGTGACTCCTTGGAAGCTCGTGCTTATGCCTCTCAAAGTACTGTGCCACCTCCTCGGGAGAGTGCTGATCCAGGAAACGAATGGGGCAGAGCGGCACGGAGCCGTCAATGGAAGCTGCGTTGGAATTGGACTGATCAAACCCGCATATCTCTGCACGAATTGGGTCGTGGAAGGACGAACGCTTCGATCGACGTCCAGATATGGAAGCTCGCGACATCGATGAACCTTTTGGCGTGCGAATACCGTTTGACATACCGTTGATGGCATTGGTGCCGCCATTTAGAAGACTGCCACTCTGCCCGTTAGGAGCGACGAAAGGGCACTTCAACCTGCCTGGAGTGCCATTGTACGTGGTGAAGTCCTTTTCCATGGGCGAAAGTGGCGGATCGGCTGATTTCCCGTTCCAAATCCTGACATCGTTCACGTTCGCGATTGCAGCGCCGTTTGCATGAGCGGCGGCATCACTCGCCCTTCTCCTGAACCGAATCTTCTCCCGTGCATCTGCCGCGCGTTGAATATTATACGCCCTGTTCTGACGGTCAGGATCCGTGCTTCGCTGTGCGGAGGCAAGCCAATCAAGGCTCTTGGGCGAGGCTTCGCATATTCCCGCCTCATCGAGCTCGTCGAGGAAGGTGCGAAAATCCTGAGACGCGGTGGTAGGCGAGAAGCGTTTGAGGGCATCGAGGTACTGTTACATCGGACGTGGTCAGCCATGACATATACCAGCGAGTTGTGGAAAGCGTGTCCATAAACAAAGCTGGTAGGACATCCGAAATCAGATAGATAACGTGTAAAGGTTGTCGTTCACGGCCGCCCGGAAGAGCGACTGCAGGTCTAGAGCTAAAGTTTGTGTTCATCATCGGTAGTCCGTCCGTTCTTCCCGCTGGCACCACTTTCCAGGTGTATAAGGGAAACGGAGTGAAGGAGAAGTAGAAAACCAAGTAAAGGCTGTTGAATACAACGAAATCGTACGAACATACCTGCTGTTTGGCCCATGACAAACGGTTCTCCAAGTCTCTACGCTGATCGTCCAGGACCTTGATCTCAACGCTTAGAGCGTCATAGCCCTTGACGAGCTGATCGACCAGCTGGTCGGGAACGAAGTTGTTCTCGGTGACATCCAGCGCAGACATGACTACCTCTTGGTCCCGGAAGAAGGGCGCGGATATGGACGGCGTGACTGCTCGTATTTGGGCAGGCAGATCACATCGTCAAAAGATCTGCACCAGGCAGCGTCCAATGGAGCCGTATGGTGGCGTGTGCTGCTACCCAATACCGCACGGCGCCGCGCGATGTGTATGGACGAGGCAAGGACGGGAGCGAGGACGAGCAGCGAGAACGAGGACGAGTGCCAGTGGTGGTTAAGTCGGCCAATATGTACTCGGTCGTGCTGCAGAAAGCCAAGCGACAAACTCGGGGCCTGAGGCAGCGACGATCTGTGCAGGAAGCCAAGCTGATCCTTGCGTCGCATCGCCCCACCTCTCGCGGCGTATGCCGGAATGAACTCAACAGCGCAGGCAGGTCATCAAACAACACACAGAGATCTATTTCATGTCGACGAAGGCCTGGAGAGAGTGTGCATGTGTTCGGATGCAATACCGACCCGTCTGCTTAGAGCTGTGCTATGCCGAGGCCATGTGATCCCATAGTTGGCTTCCGTAGAACGCCTGGCCGAACAAACGAGATGCAGCAGCGCTCTCCTCGTCGCAGCAGTAGGCTCGCGACACGGAGAGGAACGATCGCAACTGGAAAGCAGTATATGACAGGCTTGATTCCTGCTTCGTCTGACTTGCGCCGGTCCTCAGTCACGCCATCCGACCAACGCCGACGCAATCCGTCTGTTGGAGTGCGTCATCAGGCTGAGACAGAGCGAGAGACGTACGCAGTAATTCGTGACGCATATTCCTCTTGCAGCCCTGCTGTCGGCCCAGTTGGCACTCACACGCTCAGAGGGCTGGAGTTCCCCTTCTGGAGTTCCCCTTCTGGAGTTCCCCTTCTGGAGTTCCCCTTCTGCTGCGCGGACCGATGAGCGCTGGTCCCGCGAAACCCGCACTGGGCGCATCCCCCATCGATCCCCCCCAAGCCGCGGGAGCACCCAGGGCACGACCCCCCTAGACTCTGGGCGCCCCAGCCCGTGCTCCAGTGGGTTGGCCGCCGAGCGTCTCCGGCGTCTGCGCACGCTCAGCCTCGTGATTCCCCTCCGGTGCCAACGGCGAGGTCTGCCGCTTAGAAAGCTCCAGCACCAAGCACCAAACAACAAATCCGAGCCCTTGTCGCTTCCGTCCTAACCTATCGCCTTCCATACCGACGCTTGCCACGCGAACTGCTGTCCTACGACTCGGACGCCTTCAAGAAGCAGTCATCTTCGCACACCTCGCCGCTTCTCCTTTTGCTTTCCTTCTCTCCTCTCTTCTGTTCCTCTTGCCCACAGTCTGCTATCTGCCATGTTGGTCCTGCCCCTCGTCTGCCACTGTCGCTGACACATGTTCCCGAAACCAGATCCATAGCCTTCTCGTCGTCCCTGGCGCCAGCATATTTCTACATCACCCCGAAAAAGAATCTGTGCACCCCTCGCGCTCTTTTCCGCGTTGTGGTAACTGTCATGTATCACACATTCACCGGTTCGTCCCGAAAACCTCGACAAGTCAACCTCGCTGGGCCGAAGAGCAACCCGTTCTCCAAACAGTCGGCTCTTCAGAACGCTCAACTCGAACGCGAGAACCGTCAGCGGGAGCGAGAGAGATTGCATGCCACTCGGCTGCTGCAGCGAAGGTGGAGGGGTTACGCCTCCAGACAGAAAACACGCATACAGTGGAGAGATGACTTCGACAAGCTTGAGGCGGACAGTTGCGATGGAAGCGGGGGTTACGAAAATCAAGAGACTGCTCTGCTCCAGTTGCAGCGCTTGCTGCAGTTTTCCAAACTGAAGGCTGGTTCGAACGACTTGCAGCGCCTGCACAGGTTCATCACCAGGCTCCGGGCCACTGTCCAGAACGAGGACATTATCTGTGCCGGCGGACCATGGCCCATGGCATATCTACGCTTACACAAGCTTCTCCTCAACTTGGTCCGGACGTCAAACGGCCAGAGTGCTGACCTCGATTCTAACCTGCGAGCCGTCGTCTTTATCGGACACCAGATACCAGACAAGGTTGCGAGGAATGCGAGGATGCTGTACAGCGCGATGACAGCCTTGTTGGAGGCGAATGGAGAGACACTCGCATGGCGTGAGGGTCTGCTAGAGCTCATGATCGACGTGCTTGTGGCTCCTATCTTGACGGACTGCCCGGAGAGAAATGACGCGTATCAGGCACTGGCGTGCGAATTCCTCACCTCTAGAGCGGTGACCACTCCACCGTTCGCTACCAAATGGCTTGACAGACTGGCCGACACCGTTGACTCGGCACAGCTTGCTGAGGCCGTAGCTACCGTGATGTCTTCCCAGCCAGATTACAACGGTTTCACATCAATGCACATTCCTGCTCGCCGATACAATCTGCTCGGCACTTTTATCTATGTCCACCGTCGCGCCCACATGCGGCATACGTCGCAAGCGTACACGTCTCACCAGGACTTCGTGCACTCAATCTCATCCCTTCTACTCTCACTTTCCGTCGAGATAAGCAGCTACGATCTCAGCAGTGCATACACTACGTCCGATGACCCCAATTCTCTCGCTTCCAATACCTTCGCGCGAGAGCAGATGCTCTCGCTCGTCGACCAGGAAAGCATCCGAACTCTCCTCTCCGGGGCCACAAATACAAAAGACGGTCTTGGCAGCCCCAGAATGAATTCAGAGGCAAAACAGCTTGCTACATATGCGCTCACTCTTCTGCGTTTTTTTCCTCGCCGTGCAGATGACATCCGAATGTGGCTCTTCATGGGATCCACAGCGTCGTCTTCATCCCCATCAGATGATTCACAGCAGCGTCTCCCTGCAATCAAATTCTTTTGGCAGGCCGCGCGCTCATCCATGGTATTCAACACCATTTCCCGTGATGTCAAGTCTGTCGTCAAGCTGTTGAAGCCGCAACCTGCATGGGATGGCAGTGGACTGAATGGCCAGCACGCGGAATGGGTGCAAGATGATTGGCGAGTCGTGCTCATCTTTCTAGAGCTGTATACGTTTGTGCTGAAGTTGATGGATGATGAGGAATTCTTCTCTGCTTCTTCACTTGATTCTTCTAGCAGCAGCAGCAGCAGCAGTTCATCATGGGCACGTACGAATGCACTGCCCCTCGACGACGTCAAGGATCTCACGCTGTTCTTGAAAAATCTGGGCTTCGTCATGTACTTTAACGCCAAGGACATCGTGGAGGAAGGCAGTGGCGAACAACGCGCCGGAGATACAACTGCTAGTCTAAGCAGCTACTTCAAGGTGGCATCGTCGGATCGAGAGACGCTCCATGACGAGCTTCCAAGGCTGCCCAAAACACCCGAAACGGCGCTGGCCGGGCTGGCAGGCATAAGCATCGACTATGTAAAGGGCCTCGTCACCGGTCTCTTGCGCATGGTGCACGAACGGGATTCGAGACGCAAGTTTCTGCCCAAGGACCATTGGCTTATGACGAGCTTTTTTGAGATGGATAGTTTTATACCGGACGTTGTCGCGGAGGAGGAGAACCGGCATTTGATCGAGGACGAAGGCAAGCAGGAATTCGACCCTGACTATGACGATATCGATGAGCCATCAACATTCGTGGGCACGGGTAGGGATCGGATGATACGGATCCAGCAACGCTTAGAACGGCAGCAGAAGAAGATGTCACGAAGAAGATACTTACAAGCTGTAGCTCCACGCTCTGAGATTCTGCAGAACATGCCCTTCTTCATCCCTTTCAACACACGCGTTGAGATCTTTCGCGAGTTTGTGAAGAGAGACCAGTTCCGTCGGCGGGAAGGTCTTGTCGATGCTGAACTCTGGCGCATCAACATGGCCAACAGTTTCAACAGTCAGCACGTCAACAACCTAGCAAGACACACGGCAACTATACGCCGTGGCCATGAGTTTGAGGACGCGTACGAGCAGTTTTACAGCCTAGGCGAGGGTCTGAAGGAGCCAATTCAGATTACCTTCATGGACAGGTTCGGGCAGCAAGAGGCTGGAATCGACGGAGGAGGTGTGACAAAGGAGTTTCTTACAAGCGTTACCAATCAGGCGTTTACGCCGTCTTCCGACGGCGGTCTGGATCTGTTCAAAGAAAACCAGCAGCGACTCTTGTTCCCAAATCCGACCGCGGTTGAGGAGCAGAAGGAGATACTTCGCCAGGCCGGAATACAACCTCGAACACCGGAGTACGTGAGGCTGATGACTGAACTCATGCAGCGGTATGAGTTCCTAGGTCGAATAGTTGGAAAGTGCTTGTATGAAGGAATACTTGTGGACATTAACTTCGCTCCATTCTTTTTACTCAAATGGGCTCTCACTGGCGGCGATGGCGCGGCACCGCGCGAGTCTGGATACAGAGCCAACCTTAACGACCTGCGGGACATAGATCCGGATTTATACCGTGGGCTAATTCAATTGAAGAATTACCCCGGAAATGTCGAGGAAGACCTCGCTCTTGATTTCACCATCGCTGACACCTTCGTCGTAGACCACCGTACGGGCGAGGAAAAAGTCATCATGAGGGAACTACGCCCTAACGGCGCAAATATACACGTCACGAATGAGAATAGATTGGTTTACATCTCATGCGTTGCGCGTCACCGGCTTGTCACCCAGCCTTACGCTCAAACAAACGCATTTCTGAAAGGCCTTTCATCTATGATCTCTCCATCGTGGTTGTCGATGTTCAATCAGTCCGAGCTGCAGATGCTCATAGCTGGCACATCGTCCAGCATCGACATCGCAGACCTTCGCCGCAACACATTGTACGGTGGCGTTTACGTTATTGGCGACGACGGTCGCGAGCATCCAACGGTCCAGCTCTTCTGGTCGGTCATGGAAAGTCTCAGCGATGAGGACCGTCGCAAGGTTCTCAAATTCGTCACAAGCACTCCCAGAGCCCCGTTGTTAGGCTTTGCCAGTCTGAACCCTCGCTTCTCGCTGCGGGATAGCGGCGATGATGAGAGTAGGCTACCTAGCACGAGTACGTGCGTCAACTTACTCAAGTTGCCTCGTTACAAGACCGCCGAGGTATTGAAGGAGAAACTACTGTATGCGGTGAACAGCGGCGCTGGTTTCGATCTGTCCTAGGTGTTGACAAGGCGCATAAATTACAACAATGGGTCCGATCCCGAATCGCAGGAGAGGAAATGAACCCACGTTACAATGCACGCATCCCACTGTTTAGGCGTTCTAATAAATACATATTCTTTGACCCATCTCCCGCGGCGACGATATATATACATATATATATTATAGAAGGCGGCTTGGATGAAAGGTTGGCTTTTCGTTCTCGAGCACGGAACGCTTTGTAGAATTTTTTATCTTGTTTTTTTTCTTTTCATGTATTGATGATTTGATGTGCTGACGGACCATTGAAAAAGCTGATGCGGCACCAACGCTCGTGCTGAGCTGGCGTTTGATAGTAACGCTGAGAAAAAAAATAAACACTCCTTTTCAGCGGACCGCATTTCCCGTTTTGCTAAAACAGTTTCTTTCTTTCTTTCTTTTCTCTGTGATAAATGTTTGAACCGTGTTTGGCGAAAGTCAAGTAGTCCGACAGCTTAAAAGAGGACGAACAATTGTCTCGCTGTTCAGCGAACGTTCCGTGGCATACAGCCGTGCAATTCAATCCAACACATCATACGTTGATCTCGGTGCGGGCTGGATGCACACGTTGTAAGCTCACGATCAAGACTGCATCCGAGCGATTAATCTCCCTCTGGGGTTTCGCAAGAGGAACGTAAGCGTGACCAGGAAGAGATTCTGTGTCAAGAGATGTCGATCTAATGAAACTCATTTCAAGAGTCCAATGCTCTTGGATACTACATAGGGTAGAAAAAAAAAATCAAGGGTATCTTCGGTTTAGTGATACAACGAGCCGATTCCAGCCCAAGACGATATCATTACACGTCGCTCGTGGCTCCATAATGCGATATTTATCCATCTTCAATCTGCCTTTGCCCTCTGCTTCGCCTCGGTTTTTTTTTTAAAAAAAAAATGAGACTTGAAAGCGTTTACCATGTTGAACTCGACCGCAGCGAAGGACTTCGCCCGTGTCGACTCATCGACGTCTCTTTCGCGTGCTTGTTCTTGTCGTTCCCCGTCCTGCTCCGCGCTGCGCTCAAGGCGTTGTCCACCTCTTGCGCGAGCGGATGCTTCATCGTGATTCTTTCATTTGCCCTTTGCACCGCCTCCTCGTACGCAGAGACGGCTCGGTCAAGCTCGCCCTTTAGCTCGTATAGTTGACCAAGTTTGTAGATGCAAAAAACGCAGTCCGGGTGCGCTCGTCCCCGGGAGGACTCCATCAACGGGATGGTGTCCAAGGTAAGGGCCTCGGCCTCGTCCAATTTGCCTAGTCTCGCATATGCACGCGCCAGTTGTCCGCGTCCCATCAGGACGCCTAAATGATCCTTACTCAGGCTGCGCTCGGCTGCAGCGATGCCCCACGTTAGCATCTTCTCGGCCGTCTCAGGCTCGTCCAAAGCAATGTGAACTTTGGCCAAGTTTGCGAGGGACCACAGAGTCCATGGGTGTTCTTTTCCTAGCTTCTTCTGGCGTTCTTTGTACACGGTAGTAATAATTGGCTTCGCCTCTTGTGGGCGACCGAGATCTAACAGAGTGACGGCAATGTGATCCATTGTTACGAGCGTGTCTGGATGCATAGGCTCCAACGAAGCTTCTCTTTCCCTTAGCACCTGTTGATGAATTTTCAACCTCTCTTCGAAGCGGTAGAGCGATCCCAATGAAGTGCCGAGATGGTCTAAAGCGGTAAGTGTGAATTCGTGACAAGGCCCAAGAGTCTCCTGCATAAGCCTCGTGGCCTGTTGGTGCAGATCCAAGGCTTCAAAGTGAAACCCATGAAGCCAGTACGAGTAACCCAGATTGTCCATGGCCTGCAAAGTCAGTTCATGTGAAGGGCCGTAGACATGTTCTCTCGCTGTTACAACAGAGTGTTGGAGTCCAATCGCCGTTTCCAGCCTCCCTAGTCCCCAACAGACACCTGCAAGAAGGAGTGCCGCCAGCATAGTTTTGTCATTATGAATGCCCAATCCATGGAACAGTGTGTTGGTGACGGCTTGTAGATGCACGACTGCGTTCTCGAAATAGCCACGGTCAGCTAGCACAAAGCCACATTTCGCAGCGCCTATCACCTTGCTTCCAAGAAGCCAAAGCTGCAGTTGCGGCATGATCGCAGCAATCTGGGATCGAAGGAATCCCATCTCTTGCCGGATCAAGAGGTGCGTGCTCTCAGAATCCCTAAGAAGAGCGTCAAGGTGTGGCATGATGCTGTTGTGAAACTTGCGGTCGTCATCAGTTAGATTTGGCGTCAACTGGATTGCCTCCATGAGGACGTTGAAAGTTCTCAGTGACCAAATCTTCCTCTCGGATGCCGATAAGGAGTCTCTGACCCAGGTGTGTACTAATGGATGAAGTGAGAAGCAGTCATCCACCCCATCGTAGTTCACCAAGCACGACGTTCGGAGCTCGGTCACAGCATGCCACACGTCATACTTGTCGACTTCTTGCCTCAAGACGAAATTGGGCAATTCTTCCCTTGGCTTTAGCCGCTTTGATATGGAAGCTTGCAGTCTTTGGAATAATGTCTGTTCATGGCCAGTTTCCACTTTACGTCTGTTCTTGATCGCTCGGACGAAAATCGCCACGGGGATCCTCTGGAAATGAAAGAAGGCAGCCATATTCAACATCTCCACCGCGTCTTGTTTAGCAATGCTGTTTTTGTTCTCAAAATGCTTCCGCGAGAGCTCAAAAGTCGCATAAGTTTTCTGCAAGCCAACGTCCCGCTTCTGATCTAAAGGAATTCGCGACTGTATCTTTATTCTCGCAGTCGCAAAGACTTCTAGGTACTCGGCTAACCCGGCAGTCTCACGATCTTTGCAAACCGTAGCGATGTAATTACCCGCTTGAGTTAATGCAATAGCGAGATACCCTAGTACTTTCGCGATTGCGCGACCAGCAGCGAGAACTTTGGACGTCCAAGGCTCCTTGATACTTGCCCTACGTAGTAATAAGTGCAGAGCATCCCGTTCAGGAAGGCCTCCTATTTCAATATGACCGAGTTTTCCATATTCCCTGGCATCTTCGCTGCGCGTAGTAATGAGAATGTGAGCCACGTTTCCGCGTGGAAATAACTCAGGTAGATCAATTGTAGCTTCATCGGCGTTATCAATAATCAAGAGCCAGTTTGTTTTAATTTGAGACAATAGATGCATGCCAGCGCTTCTAGTCCTTTCCAGGCCGCCAATTTCTGCAATTTTGCAAATGGATTCTGTAATGGTACTAGGACTTCCAGCATTAATTGTGAACACAGCGCAGTACCTGGCCTGAATCAGCTCTTACTGTCAATTATGATAATCTATTAAAAAGCCCACTTACTCATTACGATATGCCTCAGCGAATCTCGCACATAGTTCAGTTTTCCCCGATCCACCCATACCATACACGACGAAAGATTTAAGACCAGGGCGAGTATTTGGCTTTCCAAATGGGAAAAATGCGTCGTATATTCTTTGTAGGGCATCATGCCTACCCAAAAATTGTCCACTGGTACAGTTAGGTGGATAGAAGAGATCTGTAGATCCCAATCCTGATAAAGGCGCAGCTGCTGGAGCAAAATCTTGTTCAACGCCAAGATCTCGAGATATTGCAGCCGAGCGAGACTTGTTTGTGGCTTCGCCTAACTCTTTCCACCTGTTCTCAACATAAGCCGGAGCGTGTTCGCTATAACGCAGTAGATTTGCGATGACGACACTATATCCCTGCGCTTTAGAGGACGCAAATTTTACCATTCCTGAGTGATCAGCACTTATTCCAAGTGTATCAACACTGTCCATATTTAGTATTGCCGACTCAGTTTCGACAAGCTTTGCACTTTCATGCCCAAGTGACGTTGGTTCCTGCTCCCAAGAACAGAAGATGCAGTATTTTGGTGCGTGAGATTTAAAGTCGCTGGTGAGAATCTCTGGTAACCGAGTTGCGGTAAAGCCATCGTCGTGCTCAGCCTTTACTTTGGAGGTACTCTGCTTGTTTCGAGACAGACGTCGCTTCTCGTATAGTAACCAATTTTTCACTGATGTCGGGCCATGCGGAGTCCCGAAAAACATGATGGCATAAGTTGAAATGGAGGCATCAAGAAGGTGCTCTGTGCGAAGCGTTGTTTTCGTGGACGACTCAATTAACGCTCGTTTGACCAGCAATCCTCCCAAGCCATGGCAAATAAAGAGGATAGGCCGTCCTTTTGAACGCTTATCGCGCCGAAAGGTCTGAAGCTCTTGCAAAAAAGTCTCTGCGCTTCGTTGTAATTCTAAAGCAGCATTGCTGCCGAAGAACATGGAAACAGAAGCATCATAGCCGTAAGTCAGAACTCGTGCGTATGGAATGTCTATAGGAACAAGATCACGAAGCCAATTTACTTTCGTATCCTTGTTTGTCCATGCACTGTCCGAATCGTCCGCAATGCCATGCACTGCGACAATGCTAGTAGATCTTTCAGTTCATTTGGCGATGTTGTTGCCCGACACTTCGCACTTACTCAATACGTCTCGAGTAGCCGTTAAGTTCGCTGCTCGTGACGGTGTCATAACCTGCATCGTGTAGACATGTAAGGCCCGAAGGCATAGTTGTATAAAAAGGCTCTGTATCACGTACGTAAACCCATTGATGGAAGTCAGAACGAAGCTGATTGCTGCACAAAGTCACATATTTGACACGCGCTAACTCCGTAATGTAGAACCCGTTCCTGCCAGGGATACGTCCAAGTGTTGGCGGGTCGGCGCGACGGCTTATGTCTGAGCCGCTGCAGGTAATCGGGCGGATTGTACTTGGACGCACTCGCGCTCAGACGGTAGTTCTAGCTGTAAAAGCATGGTGCACTTCGTGACCAGAGCAGACTTGGACTAATGGCGTCCAGTGGATCTGCAGGACAGATTTACTGGTGCAAGTGTGCAAAAACCCGAGGTAACGCTCAAGTTGAAGGATGCTGGGCGCTTAATTTAACTCATCCACTGGCTCGTTAAGACTTATCAACGGCCCCTGCATCACATTCCCTCAAAAACACGCCACTCAGCGCACTTCCAGCACCGAGAGCACTTTTTGGGCCTCCGAAGGCCAGATTTCCTCGAATATCAACTCTTTCCAAACAAAAATGTTTTCCATCCAGGAACCATGAGTGCCTTCTCCTCAGATCTGAAGGCCATTTCCATCCCGAAATTCTCGTCGCAGCCGTTGGGGTACCTTCTCTTGGTTGGCGTGCTAACATACGCGCTACAAGCTTTGGCTCGGGCGTATCTTGATTATCGAGTATGACAAGAAGATCGACAGCTCTGGATTACATATGCTTATCTTTGTCTCAGGCTGATTCTGCACTCGGAAAAGCTCATGGTTGCCAATTGCCAGCGGAGCTTCCAAAGAAATGGCCTCTTGGAATAGATCGTATCAAGGAGCTTTGGGATTCCAACGCTGACGGCCGCCTCCTTGCATTTCTCTGCTCAATTGCCAAAGATTACGAACCAATAAATAACCTCTATCAATATTTACTTATTGGCCCCCGCGCTTATCACGTGCTTCATCCAGCGAATATAGAGACACTACTTTCAACAAACTTCAAAGGTTAGTTTGCAGGCTTGACTCCACTTGCAGCACTAAGACTCGCTCAGACTATAACTTCGGTTCCCGTCCATCAGTTTTTGCGCCGCTGCTAGGGAATGGTATTTTCACCCAGGAGGGTTTGGCGTGGAAACATTCTCGGGAGCTCTTGAGGAAACAATTCGCGAAAATCCAATATCAGAATTTCGAGCACTTCAAACCACATGTGGACAACCTGATAGGCTGCCTTCCAGAACATGGTGTGGTGGATCTGCAACCGTTATTCTTCAACCTGACGCTAGACACAACGACAGCACTTCTGTTTGGACGTTCTATTTTCAGTTTGCGCGCCGGCATCGACCAAGATGCAGAGAACAAAGAATTTGCGGAATGCTTTAACATTGCTCAAGAAGGTCTGGCCAAGCGATTTCGAATTGCACCTTTCCATAGACTCTACAGCCCCCCGAGTTTTCGCAGAGCATGCAAAAAGGTCCATCGCTTTGTCGAGAACTACATTAAAGAGAGAGAAGCACAGAGAGAAACTGAGGTCCAAGAATCATCAAGATCATGGTTTCTCGATCAACTTGCGGCGGAGTCAAAGTCGCGTGAAGATCTACGGGATCAGCTCCTAAATGTCCTCCTCGCGGGACGCGACACTACGGCTTGCGCTCTTTCATGGACTTTGTAAGTCAAATACATTCACCTTTCATAGGTCCCGCTTACTTTTTGTACAGTCGACTGCTAGTCAGACATCCCGAAGCTCTTGATAGACTTCGGCGCGAGATCACGTCTATAATTGGGAGATCGGAAGCGCCATCAAGATCCGATGTGCGAAAGATGCCATTCCTTTCTTGTATCATTAAAGAAAGTACGAAAAGGACCCCAGCATCTCAAAGCTCAGGCTAATTGTTCAAGGTTTACGTTTGTATCCACCCGTTCCCCTGAACAATCGCGAGGCGGCACGAACGACAATACTACCCACGGGAGGGGGACCTGATGGAACCAGCCCAATACTTGTCCGTAAAGGCGAGATGGTTGTTTTCTCACAATATGTCAACTGCCGGATGCTTAGCCTATACGGGAAGGATGCATATAGCTTCAGACCAGAGCGATGGGAAACCGGTGAATTGACAAACATCGGCTGGGCATATTTCCCTTTCAATGGTGGTCCTAGGCAATGCTTGGGTGAAGACTTTGCCCTTATGCAGCTCTCGTATACTATAATTCGAATCCTACAAGCTATCCCAGAAATAAAGATGCCAGAAGGCGAAAAATGGGAAGCTGTTGGAACTGAACGGCAACGATTGACTCTGGTGTTATCTAGCGCAGACGGATGTAGAGTTAAAATAAGCCGTGGATGAAAAGAAGAGACATTTTTGGGCTTAATCCTAGGCACTAAAATTTCGTGACGGATGCTGATTCCGCCCAGGTTAGCTGGTTTGTAAAAAGAAGTGCATTGAAAGCAGCGATCATTTTCAGCATGCTCCTATAATTATCCCGGCATATTACATATCTGGTTTCAGCCAAAAGTCAGAGCTGCATAACAGATAGGTCTATGGCAAAGTCAGCAGGGGTACTGATAATTGTTTGACACCTTTTGGCCAATGGATTATGCGGTAGGCTTTCGAACCAGGGCGCTTAGTGTAGGGTTTTTGAGGCCGTCTGATCCGCTCAGCCACTCAGCCCAAGGCAGACAAAAGTGCAGCCTCGTCGCGGTGCATGAATTTATTAACTTTGAATTTGCAATTGATATACTAGAGCTTCTCGACCACTTCGCACTCATGCTTGTTATGGCCACCCAAAGCAAGGACAAGATGATGGGAATCCATGAGCTATACCGCCCAGAAACAGGTGAAGCAGAGGTCGAGTACGAATGTCTCAAGCTTAGTCAAATGATTCACGTGCATTAATCTACTTTGCTTAGTATTGTCGCTATACATGGTCTTAATGGAGATGCAATCAAAACTTGGACAGCCGACTCGACCGGTGTTTGTTGGCTCAAACATCCAGACTATCTCCCAAAGAGCATTCCCAAGGCACGCATCTTAACTTACGGGTACAACGCAAACATATTCTCTTTTACCGAAAAAGATCCATCGTCAGACAGAATACATCAACATGCGCACACATTGATCCAGGAACTATGCGCAGATAGACGGGTAATCGATCTTATCTCAAGACATGCTCAGTAAGTATTAAGTAACAATCGGCAGCTTGCGAAAAGACAAGACTACCCTATCATTTTTCTCTGTCATTCTGTAGGAGGTATTATTGTCAAGAGAGTAGGTGACTGGGCGACGCCAAGAATAATAGAGACATGACGCTGATAGTTCGAATAGGCGCTATCCTTTTCCAAAGACAAGACTTCGCGCAAGACATCTCATCTGCACACAATATACACATGCACATTCGGCATCTTGTTCTTTGGAACACCTCATAATGGCTCTTCAGAGTCCCGTATTCTTGGTACCCTACAGAAGCTAGCATCTACGTCCAACGTGCTCAGAAAGCACGCTCAGACTGAATCCGATCTGGTGCGCGCCTTGCGCGAGGAATCGGAGACGCTTCAAAACATCAACGACTACTTCGCAGGCATGATGAAACGCTTTCGCATCCACTTTTTCTGGGAACAGTTGCCGACGAATATAGGCCGGAATAAGAAAGACTACATCGTGAGCCAAGAAAGTGCAGCCCCGATTAGTTGGCCGGACGCAGAGCGTGCAGGAATCACGGCGGATCATTTTAATATGGTGAAATATCAGAGCAACAAAGCTCAGGGGTTTCGACTTGTCGTTTCAGCACTTGATATGTATTGTTCCGAAGCACCGGATGTCATTCAGAAGAGGTACAGAGAGGTCTATGACCAGTTGAACCAGGAGTGGCAAAATGAAGCACTCGAGCAGCTTCGTGGCATTCGACCAACAGTACCGCCACCAACGTCGGTCTTTCTTGGTCAACAACCAACGGTGATGCTCCAGAGCAGAGAGCAGTTTGAGCAGTATATGGTCAGTGCAGGATATGCAACAAGCCTTGGTCCACGACCGATACAGGCGAGGCAAGCGGCCGATCACTCGCGAGGTCAAGTGGAGGCTGCTCTATAAGACTTCGTGAAATCAATATCATTCAATGCGCGGGTTAGGCTTTGGTATTGGACATCCAATGATCTTATTTTTTTTTTTTTTTAACAAAAGAATTTACCCATCTCGGCTTTCTTATGAGGCGACATTGTTGGTGTAGCATGAACCATGTCAGGATCAATTTTTATTGAAATATATTAATCCATCTCCGAAAATAATTGTAAGCGCCTTATATTCTTCGTGTTTAGGCTCCTTCGTCGATATTTTAGTATACAACTTCGACGCGTCATCGAAACTTTCCACCACGCTCATCTTCGAAGCGAAAAAGTCTGCAATGTCGAGGGAGAAATGTTAGAATTTTGAACATTGCAATATAGCTATGAAAGACATCAGCATTGCAACGAAGAACTAAGATGAAGTTTATCAATCTTGAAGACGCTGGAGATATATGACGTCTCAAGCCTAACTCACCCGAAGATTATTTGATTTGGCATTCATGCGCATTTTAAAGACTAATATACGACTAACACAGCTCTATGTTGATAGCGCATCGAGACATAGACAAGAAACTCAATTCGTTAATCCTCAAGTCTAAGAGTCGCTGATGTATCAGCAAGCCACTTTACGGGTTTTGACGAAGCTATAAGGCCGCAACTAACAGTGGAAGAGCTCTGCATTGCTCCACAGAGCTCTGTAGTAGGCTTCACACAACAAGAATACCACGCAAGTCACCCTGAGAATATTGCGGAAGCATTCTCGAACTGGAGTTTTAGTGCATATCTGTTGAAAGATGCGAGCATCGTCTTTGAATTAATCAATGCTGGTTGATAACGTAATGAACGTCTCGTATCGGGGCGTGTCAGGATGCAGGTATGTAACGTCTGTCTCAACCTCCCTCAAGGAGATGATACAGTCGTACGGCGGTGCGTTGTACGCTTTTCATAATGGTCAGCATGTCTCGAGCAAGGTTTTGGGCACACCAACATGCGCAGCCCAGGATCCCAAACAACAACTTCTCTAATCTGTCTTTGCGCTCCAATTCCTCCTTGGGACCCGGTTTAAGCCAATCTCTGAACGACTGCGTAAGGCTCACGTTCCCCTGAATGCTCAGGTCTTCGAATCGAGAGATGCTCTGTATGCGTTCGTTGGCCATATACGTGAGCTTGAATGACTTCAAGTTTTTGCCTCCACGCAGCAGCGCAATCAAGTCCACGATCAATGCGCCGGTCTCATGTCGAGCACTCTGATTGATCTCCGGGGTGAGCTCAAGTTCAAAGTGCTGGATATATTGCCAAAACCTCAGATGCGGCCTCATTTCCTTGAAGCGGTCATCAAACCTTCCTATTGAGGCTTTAAATACTCGGTTCTTGTACAAGTATTCATCCCGCGTCTCGTAGTAGATCTGCTTGCATGCAAGCATAAGACTTGTCGATATCCATGGACGAACTGTTTTGCACCATGTGCTCTCTGGGCTACAGCAATGCACTGGATCGTTCAATCTATTTGGGAGTGCCGCTGCACAGTTTTCAAACGTTTGGGGATTGCGGTCTAGGAAGTAATGCCTGTAAAAGACGAGACGCAGCTCCGCTGGGAGATTTAGGAATGGGAAGATCAATTGAGATTTTTGGGCGAATTTGAGGCCGGCAATGAAGGCATCGCGCTTGATCGTCTCAAGCTCTTCTCGTGTGAGGGTCACAATGTCATCCACCGCCGTTCTTTGTCCGACTGCGCCTGTGAGTGGAGTGCTTAAAGACGGGACTGCAAAGTCTGAACGCTGGTTCGACACGGGAGACAGAGGTTTCTCTTCTTCCGCGTCCTCTGCTTGTAAAAATGGAATGCGGTAAGCTCTCTCCGCTTGATCTAAGACATCAATCAGGTCTTGCTCGACACAATCACCGTCATCGAAAGAATCATCGCAAGTCATTCTGTTTGACTATAGATAGCCGCCGAGAGATTGGGCAAACTTGGCGAATTCAGACTAGCAATATAAGGCACTCGCATCCAATATTCTAAGCATGGTCTAGAAATGGTGTGAGGAGCCCGGTGCGCACTTCAGATGGTTTATTGGAGACAGGGTGAAGTCTGGCGTTGATCAGGTGGAGGTAAACAAGCATATGAACGACGCTAGTCAGCATACGGCAACGCATAAACATTGATCGGAAAAATGCCCTGAGATGTGCCAGAAGAAGCATCGATATGAACGAATGCCGTGCGAATAGGGGAAGAAAAGAGAGCCCGAGGAATGAAATAAAACACATGCGGGCGAGGATCTGTGATATATCACGGCTGAGAACTGCAAGTCGTCGTCCTCATCTTACGTGGAGGGTAAAAATCAGGCCTCTGCTATCAGAAGCAGATTGGATACAACCAGTTCTGTACACCAGGTGAGCGCACATGCAATCTACACGCACTGTGCCGTATAGACTAGTCTTGACCTTGCAGACGGCTCCGAATCATGCTGCTATGCAAGCTCAGGATTCCATCTTGATGGGCAGCTGCCGGGCTCATCTCACTTCCGTCCGCCTTTTTGAATTGAGCCCGCTTGGGATTGCCGTCAAACCTAGTTTTCGTACATCGAAGCAATTTTGCAGGCATTGAAAGCCGTGCGATTATAACCGAGCAACATGTGCAAGCTTAGGCGATAGCGAGCGAAATTGGGAAACAAATACTTGGCGTCGACCTCGCAGAAAAGGTTGAAAAGTCGAACTTCAATCTCCCTGGGCGCCTCTCGTGTGAATCCCGCTTTTCGCTGGTCAAGAACAACGAGCTCAAGACAGGAGCTTCTGCTCTCGACGCGGCTGATTTGGTTCTCGTCACGCAGTATACCTAGAATTCAGGATTCCACATCTCATCTTGGAGACGAGCTCAATTGCGAGCGCCAGTCCGTGGCGATTCATTCAAATCCCCCCGCTGAAGAGAATGCAGAGACGCCAGTCTTGTTTCGGACGAAGAAAACAATAGGAACGACAACGAGCTGCACAGCGAAATCATGCCGGCAATCGACCAGGTACTGGCTTTCGGTTCCACGATGAAGACGGCGATGGAACCTTTTTCGACAGCGGCGTACCGTCAAGTCTCGACAATTTGATCGTCGGAGAAATTCTGTGGGATCTTCTTCTGGGGTACACGTGGAGGTCACGGAACAAGGCTGAGTCGCACGGGCTTTGCCGTCACTTGCATTGTTTTGCGTGACCGACCGTGAAACCTGCTTTTGCCTGTGCTGCAGTTCCATTCTGCTCATTCGATTCCCGAGAAAAAAAGCATCTCGCCGGGTGTACGATATCAAACGGTCAAAATGCAGCGTATGCAACGAAAGATTGGCGCGTTTCTGCCACGAACTGCCGATGATTCGCAGGTCGCCATACTCATTGCAGACTTCGAGGCAGCTGACAAGATGCTCGAGACGGTCCGTTTGCTTTACATGACGCTGCGTCGAGTCGAATTGACATGTGCCACAGCTCATTGACGCCTCCAAGCACTGGCGTGACTCTTGGAACGACATCCTCAACCGCCAATGCTCTATGCTCGGGGACTATGAGAACATCTACTCTCCTATCGTCGGCGCCGACAACGACAAATACTCTCAAACGCCTCAAGAGAAGCTGGAACGAATCAACGCCCTGAAAGCGGGCTACACAGAGCTGAAGACAGAAATGGTGGAGGAGATAGCCATGATTGAAAAACAGATTGTTGCTCCAGCTAAGGACGCCAGAGCCTGCGTCAAAACGTATATGAAGGTAATCAAGAAGAGGGAAGACAAGAAGCTGGACTACGAAAGGTACAAGAGCAGGGTCGAAAAGTTGGAGAAGAACACCAAGAGGACGGACAGAGAGAATTCCGCCCTGAGTAAGCATCAGATGGATCTAGCATCAGCAACAGCAGTACGTATAACTCTGTCCAGGCGTGGGCTAGGTCGAACTAGAATACTCACATACACATGCAGGCGTATGAGGCGGCAGACGACCATCTCAAACAAACTCTGCCTGGGATCACCCACGCTACATACTCTCTCCTCCCACATCTCCTCAACTCCCAAATTATGATACAGAATGCCCTCCTAGCACAGCTCTACACTGTCCTCCATGGCTACTGTGCCGACAATGGGTTCTCTCCCAATCCTCCAGAGGCTGACGAGATCATTCGCACTTTTGAGGCGGACTTCAACTCTTTTCGCATCGAAGTTGAAAGTGGCATCATGACGATAGCACGTGGAAAAGCCGTGACGCAGCCGATGGGGGCCGTCGATAAGGGCAAGAGCTACACTGGCCTCAACATCAGGAATGGAATTCAGAATCGTAGAACAGCAAGTCAGACAAAGACAGCTACACTTGGCCGGCCATCGCAACACACTATCGAGGCCGGGCCGCCTGACGCAAATCCTCCCTCTCCCGAGGCGCCACCACCACAAGTCAATATCGCGTCTCGACCGAAGATAACATCCAACACCTCCTTTGCCAGGTCTCCAGGAAGTCTTCTTTCACCTGATTCTGCCATTTCAAACGGCCACGGCTCTCCTTCGCCCTCAGCCCAGCAGCAGACTGACTATTTCTCTCCCGCGTCACATAACACATCTTACGTCGAACCTCGGCGACCTTCAGCAGTTTCGACGACCTCATCGGCCTCAATCGCTAGCATTGCAGGGAAGAAGAAGCCTCCACCTCCTCCACCACCCAAACGGGTGGCGAGCCAGCAATTCGAGTATGTGACGGCTCTGTATGATTACACAGCGCAAAATGAGGGCGACCTGAACTTCAGAGAAGGTGACAGGATCAAGGTCGTAAAGAAGACGGCAAGTTCGAATGACTGGTGGGAGGGGGAGTTGAGAGGTGTTAGAGGCGCGTTTCCGGCAAATTATTGCCAGTGAGGGACACGAGATTGTTGCTGCGGATGTGATTCTACGACAAAATAGGCACCAAGTATGGCTCTCGAGCACTATACGATAGTAAAATACTGCACTGCATGATCCTGAAAGAAGCGCTCTCCAAAATCCTGGGGCTCGGGTAGAGCAGCTGAAAATGTTTCAAGCCGCTGTGCTTGTCCGACCAGCATATATTCACCACTGCCACAGTTTCGGAAAATGGAGTAAAGCAACGATCCTTTGAGAGCCACGACGATATGACTTTCCTTTGTCGTGATATCTCTGCTGGGAGGCCAGAACAGAAACACGTCTCCGTGCTCGGTCAGCAATACACCGAAATTGATCAGTGCAACACCCATCGATCGAGCAACTGCATTCCGCTTGAGATCGGCATGCTCGTCATGAAAGAGTGGCCTAAAGTCGTCTGGCGTACGCGCGTCAGACTCTGTTCCTGCCAGTCTCTCATGCTGTACGACGAACTGTGACCAACGCGTCCCCCTCGAAACGTTCAAGATCCTGTCAGATTGGTTCAGGATGTTGACCATTTCGGAGAATCGCGGTTCTATCACATTTGCATCCGACAATGCAATTGAGGGGCTAGTGGCGTTGACAATCTTACCCACCACAACCCCTTCGACAACCATTTTATCACTCGTCGGGAAGAGCACGCTTATTTGCCGGTGCTTCGGCATGAGGTTCGTCAACATCCCGAGTACAGGTTGGAATGAGGATACCCAGGATGGTACACCAGGAATTGATATATCTCTATTCGAATTCTCAAGCAGGGCCAGGCTACCCGTCCGTTGGTATATGTAAATTGAATAGTCTCGGTAAACTTCGTTGTGAGGTCTGGCGTAGTTTGGTAGCAAATGTGCGGGCATGTCGGTCAAATCGAGCAGGCCTAGCAAGCCATAAATGTGATCATGGCTCAACGAACATCGTTTTTCGCCTTTTTGTAGGATCAACCACTCCAACTGCTCTGCCATTGATGCTTGTGGGCTGTACCTCCATTTCCAATGGGGCCCAGGGAAGAAATACCACACTACCGTGCGCAATGCCTGGCTCACGATCCAAAATACTTGATCCATGTCTCCCTCGACGTCGTTGACAAGGTCGGCACGAACAATCTCCAACATGTCCCGCAACAAGAAAACGTCGTCGCCTAAGAGCGCGATTGGGTCGTGCCGCGCAAGAACGATTTCTTGAATGACCCAAACCCTCTGGAACCATGGCAAATTGATGAGCCCGAGCGCCGCGTATCCTAACCTCGCGAAACGTCGCGCCGTGTCTCCGGACTCGTCCGCACGCGCAGCGCAGCGCGCCGTCTGGAAGACCTCCTGAATGAACGGACTCGACGCGAAGTGGCCAAAGAACTGGTCGAAAAGGTCTCGCATATCGTCGGCGTCCCACTCGCGGGGCCGACGCCCGAGCCACACGACGACGGTGACAGCATTTCCGAAGATGCTTCCCATCCTCGGGACTTCCGCCGCCTTCTCGTCCTGGTCACACTGATTCAGACAGATCGCGTCGATCCAAAGGTAGACCAACAACGACGATGACGGCGACGACGATGACGCTGGCGTTTTGTTATTGTAGCGCTCCAGCAGCCGCAACCAGGCCCGCCCATGCCGCCGGATCTGGACCACGGCATCGTACAGATTCTCGGTGACGGCGTGGTCCCTGCCGTTCACCACGATGCGGATTTCGGGTCTGGATCCGTTCCCCCAGACATATGACAGCGCGAGATAGTCCGGCGCCCTGTTTTGATGAAAGTGCTGAAGGCCAAGCTCGACGCGAGGGTTCTTGTCCAGACCCTCGTCCACCGCTGCGGGAATTCTCAAACTGAGTAGACGTATCTCTCCCCTAAGTAGAGGCTTGTAAACAAACGTACGAGACGTGCTACCCTGGATCGAGCTCATCTCGATACCCGCGGACTGAATTTCAATGTGCGGCTGCGGAGCAAATTGAATCGTGAGGCTGGCGATGTTTGCAAATCCAGCCTAGCTTCGGCAGTCCCGATTACCGCGCTTTCGTATCAAACGCGCTTGGAGGCGCATCAGAAGTCGGAGACGAGCGAAGCGCCCGTTACCGGGGGGAACGAAAGAAATTGAACACATAGGTGGAAATTTTGCAGACGCAAAGGTCACATATTGTTTCTCCTGCACAGAAAACCGTTCGTTCATGAACAGATTAAGGCTCTAGCTAATAAATCCAGCAGAGGCGACCGTGCACAATCCTGTAGGAACAGGTGCCTTTTTGTCTTAAAAACGACGTTTGTGCCTTTGGGGACCCATGGACGCCTCCAGCCTAATGAATGACAGATGCAACCGTACCACGTTTTTATAAGTGTACACTCACTAGCTTTGTAGATTGTAGAATAGTATGCAAACATCGTTCCGTACTGTGCTACTTTTTCAATACTCCAGCAAAGGTATGGGGAGGGCGCTCCAAATATCTCTGGGCGAGTGAAGCCTGAGTTCATAGACTTTACAGTCCACCCAAGCTTTGGCCCTCCTCAAGTTTTTGAATGCCGTACTTCTTAAGACGGATGGCATTGATGTTGATGAAGCCAGCTAAAACGAAATAAACAATTAGCTCTCGCCGTTCTAAAATCAAGCAGTATGTATGAAGTGGAGGAATACACGACGTCTGACGGCTGCGGCGGCGGGGATTCCACTTACTTGTATCTACGGGGCTGAAGTCGACCAAAGAGTCCATGGAAGCCTCGTCCGCAGAGTAAAGGTTCTCGGTCTCGGAGCTTCTTCCAAGAACGGAAACGCAGCCCTTGTAGCAGCGGAGCTTGACTTCGGCATTCTATTTTGACATAAATCAGTCAATAGAAAATGAACTCTCGTGGCTGATACGTACTACTCGTCGTTGACTGAAAATCAAGCTGTTCTCCACAAATTCTCTCTCAGGAGAGAAGTAGAGTCCATTGTAAAGAAGTTCCGACCAGTTGTGCGTTACGAACTGATCACGAAGGGAGCGTACCCTGCCGTCCATAACCAAGGATTCGGCGTCCATGTGCGCGAGCCTCAGGATAGTCATGGCCGGCGAATCGTAGCAGCCTCGAGATTTCAAGCCAATAAACCTCGACTACTCAAAAAAATATTAGAGATCTGCCTGACATCCGCTATTCGGTCAAGGCTCAGCAGAGGACCAGGCTCACCTCAACAATATCAATTCTTCCAATACCGGCTTTCTTGCCAATCTCGTTGAGAGCAATGAAGAGCTCGAGGCTGTCTGTGTACACCTTGTCGCCAACCGTGAGCTTAACTGGCAAGCCCTGCTTGAAGGCGATGGTAATGTCAACAGGCTCGTCAGGAGCCGTGCGAGGATCATCAGTCATCGTCCACATGTCATCGGGTGGAGGCAGAGAAGGATCCTCGAGAGAACCAGCTTCGTAGCTGCAGTGTGCGAGGTTTGCATCCATGCCTAAACACAGTGAGAGTTGAAAACGAGGCACAGTCATTTGTTACGTACTGTACGGCTTGGCCTTTGTTGACGTCACGGGAATGCCCGTGGCGGCGGCATAGTCTAGCAAGTCGTTGCGGCCTTGGAAGCGGTTGTAGAACTCGGGAATCCGCCAGGGGGCAATGACCTTGATCTTAGGGTCAATGGTCATGAAAGCCAGTTCTAGAATAATTAGTTCCTAGCCATGCAGAGTCTTGACATCCTATGATGTTTTCACGAACCGAATCGGACCTTCAATTGACAGTTAGCATGGAACTAGTACTGCTCGAGGAAAATGAACTGACCTGATCATTTCCTTTTCCACTGATCTTGTTGTCAGTACGGGATAGCAGAATGAAGGAAGATAGCCTTACGTGCACCCGTGACTAACATAGTCGCCTGAGATATGAATTAGAGGTCTTGATCAATGCTTATGAAAGGGGAAACTGTTATTACATCCATGTTCCTTTGCAACCCTCATTTGGGCCCTTGCAATGACTGGACGGGCAAGACTTGTTCCTGTATAGGTGGTCAACAATGCGGGTCTATTCCCGATACATCGCAAACGCACCAAGCAAGCTTTGAGACGGTTAGCACTGGACAGCCGATTTGTCGCATTACTTACTATCGTCCCTCATATTGCGCGTTGCACTGGATCGCGCGGAAGCACAGCTGCTCAACGAATTCACGGCGAAGGTCCTGAATGACCATCTTGGTCGCACCGATCTTGCTGGCCTTTGCATGGACTTCGTCCCAGTTCTCCTCTTGACCCACATCGGCGAGGAAGCAGACTACTTCGTAGCCCTGCTCAATCAGCCATCGCAAGATCGTGCTGGTGTCCAGGCCGCCTGTTGAAATGCATCAGTCAGGTCTTGGTCCTGGCGCCCCTAACGGAGATACAACGACGAACCAGAGTACGCGAGACAAACTTTGCCCTTCATTTTTGAGGTTTAGCACAGTGCAAGCAGGAATTGAAGGCCAATTGAGTTGACGGAAACTGGAATTGAAGAGAGAAGTGAGGGAGAACGAGGCTCGACGTGTGGAGGATCAGGAAATCTGAGTTCGCAGGACTGGCGGTAAAAGATGACTCTTTTGTGCAACTCGATATGCAAGGATCATGAAAAAAAGGCTGACCATCACAAGCCAAACTAAAAGACTAAAAAATTCTTGATTCACGGCGCTCGCGTCCGACACCGCTGATAACGGCCTTAGGTGCAGCCTGAGGCTCGCCACCTGGACTGTCCCAAGGTAACGTGAGTAGAACTGGTCATTGAATCGCCGCGTCTGACTGGAGATGGCTTTGACATGCTTCAACACGCGAAAGGATATCAACTGTTGCAATCGCCATCGTGTCCAAAGCAGTGCATTCTGCGAGATCCGTTGCCCGCCTTGATTCTTTTCGTTCTTGGCCTCGGCTTCTCTCTTCAGGTGGAGTTCCAGGATGTAGTTCTATTCCCGGATGATGAAAGAACTCGTTGCCGCACCACGTGAACCGTGAATATGGCAATTGTCTGTTCAAGACAGGCTTTCGTTGGCAAGGCGTTGACGCGTTGTATCAGGCTCGAAGTGAGGATGCGGTGAACAGCCATGTTGTGATCTTGTGATCTTGACGTGTTTCCATTGATTCATACGCTAAAACTACATACAGAGAAAGTCTGAACCTCAATTTAGGAGCCGTTTGACGCTTCATACCCACGGGCGCTCAGCGAACTTCTTGGGCACGTCAACAATTCTCATTCTCAAATATTCACACACATTCTTGCCGAGCGTGTCGTATGTTGAGCATGCGTCATAGCCACGATCAAGGTGGTCGTGGAGCAAGAAGTGAACGGCTCGGAGATTCTTCATTTCGAAGCGGTCGATGTGTGTTGCCTTTGCTGCCTCTTCTGGGCCAAGCAGCTCCTTGATCTTGTCGACTGTGAGGAAGCTGCGGAGCCAGTCCCACTCGTCGTCGTGGCGAACAAAGAAGCCGACATTGGCATCGGAACACTTGTCACCAGACCGACCAAGTACAATGCGGCCCAGTGGAATCTTGACCGTTTCGCCGAAGCTGTCGAGGGGAACTGGATCCTTGGTCTCGTAGCTTGGCTGTTGTCGGTCGTAAACCTGTGTCTTCGGTGGATGCGGCATGTCGATAATCTTATTCTCGCCCCAGAGGCAGTGCACGCGCTGCTTGAACTCTGTCTGCGGCAACAAGGTTGGATGGTACTCGTAGTACGGCTTGCCCTCGGCTTGGCGCATGTCGTTACCAAGGGAAGCACCGGGGCATGACTGCAGGAAGGTCACCATCGACTTGCGGAAGAAGCCGTTCGGGTTGCGCATGTTCAGAAGCTCACGGTCCTTCGACTGGGCGAAAATGCGGAAGTCAACCGTGGCGACATCCTGATTGCGCGCATCCGGCACGGAGGATCCGTTCTGCATAAACTTGAGGACCGTGAACTTCTTCAGCATTTCCTCACCAATCTCATAGCGGATCTGATCTTCGGTAAACTTGCACTTCTCCTCGATATCTAGGCCGCAGAGATAAACGTGATATTCAGCTTGCCAGCCAGCAAATCCAGTCAAACCGACTTTGGTTGTCGGTGGTGGAGGCAGGCCTTTGACACCACTGACGTAAACGCGGTCTTCTCCGACCTGCTCCATTTTAATGTCTTCCAGCCAAGCTGTGACGTCGCAATTGTAGTACTGTGGACCTTGGATTTCATAGAGCAATTGTGATGTGCAAGATGATACGGTCATCTGACCGCCGGTGTTCTTCTCCTTGTACATGGTTCCTGTCCCGTCGGCCTCAATGGCGCAGATAGGGAAACCAAGATCAATGTGCTTGCCGGTTTTCAGCAAATTCTTGAAATCTGAACAATAACCGCCACTAACGTATGCGGCGCACTCGAGCAAATGACCGATAATCAAAGAACCGGCAAGCTCATCGAACTGATCTGCCCTCCATTCGTGCCACCATCTACGAGCTTGTCAGCAATGACATTAGCGGCTAAGTGAAGGATTACTTACGCAGCAGCACCAATGATGGGCGAGGCATCAGAGACTCGACCACAGATGACGATGTCGGCACCCTCAGTCAGAGCACGGGCGATACCGAGACCACCCAGGTAGCATTGAGCGCATACGGGATCAAGACCCCACTCTTTCACCGACTTGTTGTGCATCAAGCTGCGGAATTCCTCACCCTTGGCAAGCATGGCCTTTACGGCGCCAGTGACATCGTCACCCTCTACCCAGGCAACCTTCAGGTCGTAGCCGCGCTCCTTCACTTTCTCCTGGACGATTTTTGCGAGAATCTCGGTATCGCTTGCGCCAGCGTTGACAGCGAGCTTGATACCCTTCTTGGCAAGATCGTCAATAGCTGGTTCGAAGCAGTCCATGAAGTTTTCGGCAAACATGGCGTTTTGAACTTGTTCATCCCAAGTAAGTTCGCGGCCCGCGAAACGTTCTTGGTTAGCAACCTTGCCTGTGCCATGGATGGTCATGGTCAGTTCAGAGAGCCAGTCTCCCACGATGATATCCACATCTTCGTTAGCCGCGAGTCGAGAGATGGCATGAACTCTGTCACTAAAACCTCCAGAAGCACCGGCCACGCGGACGGGCCTCTTTGCGCCAGGCATGATTGTTACTCAGAAGTTACAGGACGAGTAATAAAGACGAGAAGATGAGGTGAGGGATGGGAAGTGGAAGATGTGAGACTGATTGCTTGCTCCCTTAAGGTCCGTACCTATATACTCATCTAGAATGCTTACAGAAAGTCTCGAAGCTACTCTGCAAGACGCCATTGGCACCGGATGCGGCACGCTCTAGTTTTCTTGTTGGTCTGGACACGGAGCAACGGCAGTGTATACCCGGGATTTAACAGCTGGCCACAGCAAAGGATCACACCAAAAATGAAACGAAATGTCCTATGACCGCAAATGCCGGCTCCCGATCAGCCCCAAGAGAGGTGGACAGCTAGGTTCCAGCTTTGGGTAGGATAGTGGAGCAGCCGACACTCCCCGAAAAGGTGGGGAAGATCTTGGCACTTTCACGAACTGCGTGGCATCGTTAACACTCGACCTATGAAGGAACAAACTGCGCCAATGGCATAAAGGCTCCCCCCCGGCATATCTCGCCGTGTCTCTCAAATGTTCCTGTGACAGCTGCCATTTTCAGCGTGCGGATCGCACGGCAAGGTCTGTGAACTTTGACATCACGGAGTCGGAAAAAGCGTACCTATTGCTAAGCTGAAGGCCTGCACAAGTTACCAATGTGACGCTTAGGCGTTCGTCGAATACGTACAATTGCGAAGTGAGACGCACTAATATTGTACACGTTGGAAGCTAAACTGGCTGTGCCTATGTTGTCATGCTAGACTTGTGGTACACCGTGAGACTGACTCCGTTATCGGTGAACGACTTCCAGGTTCGCAAGCGTTTCAAAAGTAAAGAGGTGTTGATTCAACCCATGTTTTTTCCAGAACTGCGTCAGAACAAATAGTAATCTGACTCAATATGGCTTCTCTCGACGGAAAGGTCGTCGCACTCACGGGTACAATCCACTAGTGTACACTTGTGACAACATAGCTAACTGCAGCTTCCAGGTGGTGCGAGCGGCATTGGTTTAGCATGTGCTAAGCTTTTCGTTGCACGAGGTGCACGTATATCTACCGCTGATCTCCAAGAGAAAGCCTTGCAAGACGCAGAGACTGCCATCAAGTCGGTCACTCCAACTGCTGAGGTGATGACTTATGTTCTCGACGTTCGAAACGAGGAAGGCTGTAAAGCGTGGATAGAGGAGACAGTCAAGCGATATGGCCGCCTCGACTGCGCCGCAAACATAGCAGGAGTGTTCAAAGGCGTTCCGCTATCCAAAGAGGACGGCTCCGCCTGGAACTTCATGATCGACGTTAACCTGACAGGTCTCAAGAACTGCATGCAGGCACAACTTCCACACCTCCGGTCTGGCGGCAGCATCGTGAACGCGGCGAGTATTTTGGGCATCACGGGCGACGGGGAGGCCGCCGCGTACAGCGTTTCGAAGCACGGGGTCGTCGGGCTGACGAGGTCGGCTGCCAAAGAGTACGGCCCCAAAGGCATACGTATCAACGGCATAGCTCCGTAAGTATCCACTTGTAGAGTAGTGGCTTTTTTTTTTGCTAGTGCTGCAGCTAAACCTTGTTCTCAGGGGTTATATCATGACGCCGATGCTGAGGAGCGCAATGGCAGCAGCGGATTCCTCGAGCAAGCACCAGCAGACGCAGGGCAGTTTTGTAGCACTTAATCGCATGGGCCAGCCAGAGGAGGTCGCTCCGCTGGTTGCTTTCCTGCTCAGCGACGATGCCTCTTTCATCACCGGCCAGACAATCTCAGTTGACGGCGGCTGGGCGAATATGTGATTTGGAAAAGAATGCGGGTAGTCTTAACAACTCCGCCGAATCATCATCTATTACAGCCAAATTTCAAGTTGATCCATGTGCATCTTTAAACGTGCCAAGTTGAAAGTCACTTTTGCTCTTGCATACATTTGTCTTTGGTTTTTATCGCCACCTCAAAACCACCTGCCCTCCTCTAAGTTGGGACTGCTGCGCCGAGTTGAGTAGAATATCCACGCCCATGTTTTCGTCCGAACTCCTAGAGGTCCACAGCGCTCGACCGCTGCAACTCGTTGTTTCCGATCTATCCGTTCAGTAAAATCTCATTAAGCAAAGAAAACAAAAATCACAGCCTATCTTTTGTATCCGTACAGTCCGTCGAACACACAGTGGGAACATAATCTAAACAGATTGCCAAAAGTCGGGGAGTGTCGGTTAGGTTCCGACCGCTCCGCAACCAGACTTCCCCAGATTGTGTCCAGAACGCTGCTCCGCTCTAGCCGATTACACCAATCGTTGCGGGGGAAAGGACCTGGGAGTTGATTTTCCGATTGCACGGTGCCAATCATGGGCCTAGCCTCGCTGAGGTCTTTCTGGGACGTGTTGGGCCATCTCTGTACGGAAGATTCTTTGTTCGAAAAGCATAAATTCGGGACTGAGGTCACGACACCTAGGTGCATTCCAGAGACGTCGGATTTTTTTTCTTTTCGCTCTACGAGGAAGGTGGTTTGTGCAGACGAATTTTTTTTCGAAACACGAGTAGTTTAAAAAAAAAACCCCTCGACAAGTATGGAGGCTCTGCCAGAGTCGCGCTCGATGAGTGAGCGACTCGTAGCCGCTGGAGGGTTGGTGGTAGCCGGAACGATCCTATACACTTTGGCGCTTTTCATATATCGACTCTGGTTCCATCCTCTTGCAAAATTCCCTGGACCATGGCTGAACGCTGTGTCAGATGTTGGTGTTCAACTATCGAGTCCATGGTACTCCGCTGACCTAGCATAGCTGCCCGGTGTTATATGGACCATGCAGGGCCGCATGCCTATGAACACAAGAAGGCTTCACGACAAGTATGGGCCCGTGGTCCGCCTATCGCCGAACGAACTGTGCTTCAACTCCGTTCAAGCATGGCAAGATATCTACGGCCATCGAACCGGTCGCCGGGACTATTCAAAGGACCCTATCCACGTCGGCGCCGTAGATCCACTCCCTGGTGTGTCAACCATCTCCATGGCTGATCACGATACGCACGCCCGCCAGCGGAAAGCGCTATCGTACGGGTTCAGCAAGAAAGCCTTGCATGAGCAAGAGGACATTATGCAGGAATACGTCAGTAAGCTGCAGGACAACTTCTGGAAGTTCTCCGAGCAGAGCGAACCCTTTGACATTGTGAAGTGGTTCAACTTCATAACGTTTGACGTGATCGGAGACTTGGCTTTCGGAGAGTCCTTTGGCTGTCTGGATGAGGGAGAGTTCCATTGGTGGATTCCTTTGATCTTCGACGCCGTCAAGGCTGGCGCCTTGGAGCAGGCCACCCGCCGTTTCGCGACTCCTGGTTCGAGCACGCAGAAATGGCTGATGAACTGGATACCGAACGAGCTACGAAAGAGAAGGAAAGACCATCTGGCTTACAGCAGGGAGAAGGTCCTGAAGCGCATCAACACAAAAACTGACCGCAAGGACTTCACACACTACATAATGAAACAGTCCGAACATTACGATCTGTCCCAAGACGAGATCATCGTCAACGCCGCACTGTTCATCGTTGCTGGATCGGAGACCACCGCAAGCTCGCTGTCTTCCATGGTCAACATGCTTCTTCGCCATCCGAGAGTATACAAGAGATTGACTGAGGAGATTCGCAGAACCTTTCGGTCCGAAGGCGACATTACACTTGTGCGTACCATGGAGGAGCTCCCGTACCTAAATGCTTGCATTGAGGAAAATCTTCGCGTCTTCCCTCCGGCACCTATCGGTTTTCTTAGGAGCGTCAATCCCGGCGGTGATATCATTGATGGCCACGCTGTTCCAGGCGGGGTGAGTGACTTCGGGTCTTTGTGAAACAAGAAAAAGCAGCGGCTAACACGCAAACAGACGTCGGTTTCGGTCAGCACGTGGTGCGCTTCTCACTCGGAGACGAACTTCAAAAACTGCGACAGTTTCGTGCCAGAGCGATGGCTGGATGGAGAGACCGCGTATGCGTCGGACAAGAAACTTGCAAGCCGTCCCTTCAGCATGGGCCCCCGTGGCTGCATTGGCAAAGAGTAAGTTGACCTTTGTTTCTCGTCAATGTTCACCGGTGCTTCAAACGCTGACTACGTCGTGCAGCATGTCGTACATGGAGATGCGGCTTGTGCTGACGAGGCTGCTGTGGTGCTTCGACATCAAGAACGCGGACGACATGCATGAATGGGATCCGACAGGAGACTTTCACAACATGAAGGCGTACTCAACCTGGCAAAAGCCAGAGCTGAAGGTGCATTTGATTCCGGTGAAGCGATAAAACTGTTGAAAAGAGGTGTCCCGTAAAGCCGTAGAAGAACGACAAGACGACGTGGGTCGTTCAATCGTCATATCTCGAAAAATCGCAGACGATATGTTCTTAGTTTAGTGTAGGAAAGCAATTCGCAACTTTGCGTCGGAGCTTATTTTTCCCTTTTCTTATTATAAACACTTTCCACATCAGCTTCCACCAATGGCTAGAATTGTCCGTTCCGCACGCCTATATTTGCATCTCAAGGTCGGAAAACGGTTCAATCGGCTTCTAGCAACGAAGAAAAAATGTACGAATCGATAGGTCATCCAGGAAAGAATCCATGGAAAAGGACATCCGCTGAGGGAGGGGCGTACAGCGCCGTTCTGCCGTTGCTCTATACGTTCGATGCATTTAATCCATCCTAAGCAATTTTGGCAGGCTAGGGAAAAAGAAAAGAATAGTATTCGCAAGCCCATTTCGACAATGAAGACATCAGACTTGCCGCTGTGGAAGGACATGCCTGCCGTGCCAGGAATGCCGTAGGTCGAAACTCATTCACCATGCATACCTTACCGAGCCCACACCCCCTCTCGATTCGAACCCGGTTGGACTACAAGAATTAACAAAACGTCTCCAGTCACGGCTTCGCATGGGGCTTATTCGACAAGGATGGCAAGCGTGACGAGCTGGGCACGCTGAACAAGCTGTCGCCAGAAGCCGTTCTTGCCGCACGTGACGAGATCAAGACGGGCGTGTCCGTGTCGCTGAACTGGGGCCTCGAGAAGCAGCACCAACCTGGATATGGGCGCAGCAGCCTGCAGCACAGGCTCGTGGACTGGAAGAAGAAGGCCCTGGAGCTGGGCACGCCGCCTTTCTTCTCTTACGACGACGAGATCAGCGTGAACACGCAGGCCGGCAGCCAGTGGGACGGGCAGCGACACTGGGCGCACCAGGCCACGGGGTTGTACTACAACGGCCTCGCGCACGACGAGGTGCCGGACAGCTGCCACCTCGGCGTCGACCACTGGTCCAAGGCGGGCGGCATCGTGGGGCGCGGCATCCTGGTGGACTTCGCCTCGTACGCGGAGGAGCGCGGCATCGCGTACGACCCGATGACGGCGTACAAGATCCCGCTGGACACGGTGAAGGCGATCGTGGCCGAGAAGCGGATCGAGATCCGGCCGGGCGACATCCTGCTGATGCGCTCCGGCTGGGTGAAATGGTACGAGGAGCACTCGCAGGACGAGCGCACGCAGAAGATCTCGCACGGCAGCGCCTGGATCGGCATGGAGGCCAACCAGGAGTCCATCGCGTGGCTGTGGGACAACCATTTCGCCGCCGTCGCCGGCGACAGCATCGGCTTCGAAACCGCGCCTCTGGATCCCGTCTACTGTAAGTCAAAACCCCCTCCAACCCGCGTCGTTGCCTGCTGCGGGAGCAGCGGCACGAAATACAACAAAAATAAATTAAAAAAAAAAACTCGAGATTTGTACACCTCTTTTGCTGACGTCGAACAGCTTTTCATGACAACTGCATTGCTGGATGGGGGATGCCCATAGGGGAGATGTGGGATCTAGAGGCTCTGGCAGACGAGTGCAAGAAGCAGAACCGATGGAGCTTCTTCCTCACAAGCGCGCCGCTCAACTTGAAGGGCGGGGCGGCGTCGCCTCCGAACGCGATTGCCATCTTCTAGCGTAGAATTCATTTCAAACGACACACACACACACAAACCCACGTAAGATGTTTGCCATTGCGCCAACTTCTTCTCTGTGTCTTGCTCTGTTTGACGACACCGTTGCTCCTCGTAAGACGTTAAGGGGGAAACCAAACAAACCCGTCTGCCACCCCTTCCTATGATATAATTTAGTCTTCACCGTGTTCGTAAGGTCAGAAAAAGAACTGAGAAGGTAAGAGAGAGTATCGGAAGAAGCCCGGATGCATAGAAAACGGAACGCCGGAATTATGCAAAGATACTCAGGGTGGGACAAGATATGATACAACGCGCACACGACCGCAGTTGGGTAGAGTAAAAGAAGCACGATTGCAAGCTTCTCCCTTTCGCCATGCCTGATCCCAGAATTTTTGGCCCCCCCAAATGATGCAAACCCTCGCTCGCATTTTTCCGCCCATGGCCGCTGAATTTCAAGTACACAGACACAGACACAGACACACAAACGCATTCACAGCCACAAGAAAAATAACCAGTACGCTGAATCCTTCCAGGCCGCCCGCAGGATCTTCGAGCCCTCCCGACGGCTGGCGTCCGCGGTCAAGCGACATGGCGGGCGGCGAGAAACATTGCGCCGTCCTCGCCGCACGCAGTGGAGCGCCCATCCACGCTTACGAGCTGAACTTCCTGGTGAGCTTGGCGATGACTGCGGGTGGAGTGGCGTTAGCAAACAAAGTCGACTCTCGTGCTTCTCACGGAGACGGGGAGGGAGAGGAGAGAGACACCTGCTCCCCTAGCCCGCGGGCGACGTACTATGCAGCGCAACCACGCTGATGATGAATCCTACGCTCAGAACCAGCACCACGACCGGGTCGACCTTCAGGCCCGGCGAGTCGTCCGTGTACAACTTAAGCATGGTGTTCGACGAGCCTCCCGCGCCGGCCGCGCGCGTGCTCGACGGCCGCTGGTTGGCGGTCTTTTCCTTGTAGTCTGCCGCGGCCTTTCGTCGGATGGCCGTCGCCGGGCCACCAGGAGGCTTTGGCGAGGATGGGCGAGCGGTGGTGGAGGCCGTGTTGACGGGGGAGGTTGGTCGGGGGGATGACTGTGACGCGGTCGGTTAGTCAAAGCAAAGCTTCAGGACGACGGCGCCATCTTCTTCAGATGGACATAGACCGCGGCCACGAGAAGACCGAGATGTGCTGCGACTGCAGCGGAGGTACGGCAAAGCGAAAGCTCCACGTAGAGTGATGTAACTGCCACTTCACACCCCCCCAGATGCGTATGGGAAAACGTACCATTTTGGCCGGCGCAAGGATCTGGAGAGTCGATAGAACGGGGGGGGAAATTCCAATGGATTGCAATTGGAGTGAAGGAGGAGGGTAAAGTGCTGTACGTGCGCGTGTGTGCGTGTGCGTGTAAGGTGTTCTGGCTGGCAACACTTTAGGCCAGTCCCTTGAACAATATCATGGACGAGCTGAAATCTGGCCTTCGCATGGACAAGGGATGGAGCGAGCAATATCTGCCTCAGGCACCACAGCTTGACGCCCAATTCAGCTTAGTCCCCCGTCTCCGGCTTCCGCCTTCCTCTTCCGTCGCCTAATTTATATTACAACACCACATGATGCCACTATCTCGACGCTCCACGCACTGCAGGAAGTGAACAAATGAAACCCAACAAATTGTACGAAAGCCAAGGCGCTTGTGCACAGTCAGCGTGGCAGAATTTCGTCGTTGTCGTATTTTTCTGTGTATCCTCCGCCAAACCCATCCTTCCGATTTACCGTGGTTGCAAAGCCCCCAAAAAGCCCATACCAGTACATGGCGCCCCAGATAACGAAGAATTGACGACTGAATGCAAGGTATAAGCCAGCCATGAGAAACGGAAGGGGAGGGGAAGGTTTTGGTGAGCGAGGCGCAACGACTATGCTGAACCACAAGAGCGACCGACCCGATGATGCCCGCATAAACCCATGAACCAAAGACGCAGAACCAAACAAAGGAGGCTTTCGAACAACACCCCGAAAACAGAAGAATTGTGGGTATAACCACCCAACAAACACCGTCTCCAGATCACCGTCCGAAAAAAAAAGAGAGGGGGGGAGAGAGAAAGCAAAATGGAAGAACCAGCAAGCAAACCGGTAACGAGGAACCAACAGCCACGCAATGCACAGCACCAATGTCCACAACACTCGCAACCGCGCCCCTGACACGTCCCCGAGCTCACACATTATATCGAATACAGCGGCACCCGTTTTGCCCAGCCCAAGATATGCAAACATGCAACTCCGCCATGCAAGCCAGCGTTACCACACGTCGTCCATATCCAAGACACGCGTTTTTCTTTTTTCGTGGAAGAAACCCCCAGTGAGACAAAAGATTTCATCCGCGCAAGACTCCAACCGAACCCAGGCCGAACCAAAGCCAAACCAAACCAGCCAGCCAGTCATATATACGTGTATATATATGTCCCACCTCCTGGTGAAATGAAAGTAACTCCTCGCCCTCTTTTGCTTTATTGCCTGACTTCATCGCTGACAGGCTCGAACAATAATCAACGCCCTGCTACTACCCCAATAGAATTGGTGTTTTTCTTGTTTTTTCATTGCGATTAACCCCAAACGGAAGCCTGGACACCTAGGCCGCTGCCCTTGTTGCCCCAGACGCCGCTGCTACTACCCCAACCGGCGGTGCTGTAGTTGCCTTTCTCCTGTGGTGGGTTTGAAGACGCAGACGTGGAGCGTTCATTGTTATTTTGGTCGTTGGCCGAGAAGCCGTAGCTCAGGGGCGAGGGCAATGGTGTCGTCGACCGCTTCTGAAGCCCTTGAACGGGTGCATTTGTCACCGCGGGCCGGGTGCCGATGGCGCCAGGACCAGCCTTGCTGCCGCCTGGTGGTGAGCCACCGGTTGGGGACGAGTTGGACGTGCGATCGCTCTGCTGGTTGGCAGAGCCAAAGGTCGGGTTCTGATTCTGTGCCGGTGAGTTGTTTGCACTGCCATCCTTGTTTGCATTGACGCCAGAACCGTCGCCACGACTAGGCATCTGAACTGCACCGTCGACCGCGCCACTCGATTGTGCGCTGAATGGGTCGTACGCCAGTGGGCTGGCTCCACGCGCCCCGCCCGTCAGTATCCTAGCGTCCTGGCTGTTTGTCCTGCCGTTGCCCTTCGTCGCGGCGCTCTCGTATAGGTTCGACGTTTCGCCGTACAGCGCGCGGTGCTGCCGTGCGATGAGCTCGCGACGCTCTTCCTCACTCATGCCTGTGTTGGGACTCATTGAGCGGTCCGACTTGGGGCCAGACAGGTTTTTCGCATACTGTTGTTCCTGATGATAATTGCGAAGCTCACGCTCGCGCTGTGCTGCCATCCGTCGCTTGGCCTGTTCAGCCTGTGCCTGCTCACCACCTCCGTATGGCCCGCGATGACTGCCGCCGCGCTGGACTTGGTAGTAGTTTTGTAGACCTGATGATTGAGGACGGTCAAACTCGCTACCGGGCATGGGGGGCCGATGAAGGCCGGGTTGGCCGTACATGGGGGCACCTTGCGCTGTTGTTAGCACGATGATGTTTTGCTTCAGCGAAGAGGGAAAACAAATTCGAGCAGGTTGTTCTGAACGCCACAAGGCATCCAAATGAACCAAGCACTGGTTGGTATGAGTCCTTACCGTAGAAACCAAAGGGCATCTTGCCGCTCTTGACGAGATTATCGATTGCCCGTTCCACTTCGGCGAGTTGATAGATGAAAGCATTTGATTCCTGGGCGGCACCGACAGAGGATGTCCCAGATCTCGACGGCGGCTGTTGTTCCCAGCTCAGCTGCCGCTGTGCCTGCCCGGGAGCGGCCGACCACTGTGAGTTATCGTAAAATGCCATTTTCGCGATCTAGGACACGTGGTGACCCGCTTTACTCTGAGGAGAAGAGAGGGGTTGTGTTCGTTCGCTTCTCCGGGGGGTTTTGACGCGGGCGTACGAAGGGACCGGGAGAGGTGAATGCGGGAAAGTGCTGCCGCTGGATGGCGCAAAGGAAGGTTAGCCAGCAAACCAGACGACAAAAGGATGCAGCACGGGTAGAGAGGGAGGAGGGCAAGAAAGACAAGAGGGGAAAAAAAGGAAAGAAAAAAAAAGGACGATGCCCAAAATCCAGAGGCTGCAAAAAGAGCTTGCGAACGGCAGGACGGGTTTTTGTTGGAGGGAACGGACTACTGGCCCAAGGGAAACAATTTCGAGCGGGTAAATTAGTGGTAGCAGAGCGGCATTTCCGCCCGCGACACACCTCGGGGAGACAACAGGCCAGTAAGAAAACCCGTCCTCACATCGGGCGGTTTAGGCGGCCAGGGATTCTGCTTTGATGCTGTGCGTGTACGTACCTTGTGGTGAAAGCGAAGCAAAGAGCGGCAACAGGAGAACAGCGCAGAGGAGGCAATGAGGAGCAGCGCTTCTGGGTTCGCAGTTCTCACCAACGTCCCCCAAATAGAGCGATGGAGACCGGAGGCCAGCGACGCGCGGAGACGGATACACGCTTAGAGGACAGCCGCTAAGGAGGGATGCGATCGGTGGTGGTGGTGGTGGTGGTGGTGGTGGCGGCGGGCGGGTGAAGGATCGGATAGTACAACAGACGGAGAGCAGACGTATAGATTAAAAAAAAATAAAAAGTCAACAGATGTCCTGAAACAGAGGAGGGAATTGCTCAAAAGAGATTGCCGTGGGACCGCCCCCGGGGATGGTGGTGGTGGTCGTCGTCTAGCACTGGCGCAGGCGCTGCGTTCGGAAATGAGCCTTCATCCCACGATTTGGGCCACCTTTTTTTTTATTTTTTATTTCATCGTATTTTGTACGGTCCTCTACACTGCCAGTGCGTCGCTCTTTTGGTCCATGTTGGCATGCACTTTGTGCCTGCTATCGCGCGCGACGGGCCCCCGTGGCATTCAGTCATGTTGCATTTTTTGCCTTCGTCCTTATTGGGTTTATGCCGCTCATGCAGATGGCATGCAGAGAGCTGGCCCGGTCAATTGGCCCATCGTCGCGCATCGCTCGGCCTCGATGACACCATGGTGTGATGTGCAGATACTGGCTGCTCTTCATTATTTTTTTTTTCCACCAAACCAGCAGGTTGCTGTCCAGTCTTCGCTTAGTTCCCACCACCATGCTTCAACGGGCTAATGCTTCCTGGTGGGCGCCCTGCTTCCGGCTTCTCACGATCGTCCCGTCCTGGCCATGCGTCCAATGTCACCAAGTATATTAATATCATCCTTCTTGCCATCGCTTAAACATTGTGTGAAGAAAGGGACACACTTGTCCAAATCGCCGCCATCTGTGTTTGTGCCGCGCGTCTGGCCGCTGGCAACCAGTATCTGGCTGTGAAAAGCTTTTTGTCCTCGTCAACCCAAGACGTCCGTCTGCTGAAGACACCAAACTACACCCGCATTCGCATGTCTCTACGTTCCCCACTCGGCCTTCCCCTTCTTGATTCTGATACTCCACCTTCGTCGAGACACCCTTGCCGTTTCTCTCCACGCTCCCTCGCGCTGACGCGCTGATAGCCTGCGTTTCGTTGCAACATCGTTCCAAACGCTGTCAAGTCACTAAGTTACTTGCGCATCGTCGCCCAACTCACGCTTGACCCCTCCTTCGCACCACTCTCGCGGTAAAAGCGTTTTCTCCTTTGCCCCGATCATGCCTCCATACTCGCCTTGTCTTTCAGCCTTTCTGGGCCTCGGCCAAGAATGGCATACGGCCATGGTGCGCAGCGGTCGCTCTCCTCCCGACGAAGGCAGCGAAGCCAGCCCCGCCCCATCTTACAGAGAAAAAACGTGGATTGCGGATGCACGATCGCTGCATCAAGCTCCTGCTTGGAACGGGAGCCGGTTGAGACTTGTGCTTGTCACATGGCCTTGATCTTCGTCCAGCATCCGCCCGAAGTCGCCTTCAGGTACCTGCACGTTCGAAAAGAGGGTTTGCCACACGCGCGCATCAAAGCTATAGGACGTGCACCCCATCAAGACGCTGCTGGGGCCGCTGGTTGCGTAGTCGCACTTCTTAGTACGAAAGCCATCCCCTCCTGCAGTGCGAGGAAGAAGAAAACGGATCTGCACCGGCAGACCCTTTGCGCTTAGTGCGCTTCGTGTGCAGAACGGTTCGCCAAACCGTCTGCTAGCAGTAAATAAGAATCCGCTTCGGCAAAAGGCACCCAAGGAAGCGGGCAGAAAAGGCGCGAAGCAGGGGGGGAGGCTTTGTTCAAAGAAACGCCCGGTTGCGCACGAACGGTCTGCACATGCATGCATGCAAGCCAGCCGGGTGGGAACACTCCAAGCGCATGGTTGCGCGGATGTGGTTTGTGTGGAATTCGTGTCCTTTCTTCTGCTCCGGGTAATCGCTGCACGCCTTGCAGGGCTTGCTGAACTCTCATCCATTTGTCGACGGCAAATGTTCTCGCCGTCGAAGGGCTGTAAGCATCCGCCAGTTCCAGGAGCGTGAGGGTCAGCCAGATCTGGACGTGCAGCCCATTCGTCGTGTGCTATACGCTCGATCCATCCTTCACGCAATCTCGTGTTGAACGATCAGCCATCAATTTTGTCGAGCGGCAAAGTCGCGTTCGTCTTGAAGATTCTTTTCCATCTGTCAAACTTCCGAGCAGCAACTCGTCGAGCCGATGCTCTACGTATGCAGGCAAAAGTCTGCGTTCTGTGCGTTGTCTTCGCCGTGATCTCGGTCACGTTACCGCTGCGATGAGAATCTATATCGGATCCAGACAAGGCCATCTGCCAGATTCGAAGTTGACTGTAAAGCTGGTCTTAAAGAGTTAGCTAGACTGTATGCCAACTACGATGGTGGAAGTACTACGGATGGCGACCATGAGCAGCGGCCATCATTTGAGCAGGTGAGCATGCTCACGCAGGTCACAAGCGCCGCCCTATGATCCTGACAATGTCGCACAAAAGGATATCCCATAGGCATATCTACCCTGGAATGAAACCACTCGCTCAGCGTCAGTCTTCAAGATGCGTCCGCACGCTTTTCGTTCTTGTGCTCTTCCTTGTGCGAAAGACCCGCGAGGTGTCAGGAGACGCTGCCAGTTTCAGGCGCATCCCTTTGCTGCTTTGACCGCTACACCACCACCTTGTTCTGCTTCCCGCACCAGCTTGTCTGCGGCTCCCCAAGCCGTGAACAGCATGTCCTCTGGGATGGATGTGGTTGACTTTGCATCAGGCCCTTTGTCACTCTTGTCACTTGCTGCACCGATGCCCGCACCTTCGCTCTTGTGTGTCACCAGTGGTCAGGTTGGGAAGGCGCGTGCGGCGAACAGGAGAGCTCGTGCCTTCTTGATATCCCCTCGCGCCTGCACTATTTGTGGGTGGGTGTGTGTATGTTCGACTTTGTATTGCTGGCGTGCGACTTGATTCTGGACATCCCAAAGTCGCCCTGATCGAACACGTCGATTTACTGTCGTAGGCTGTCTACATGCCACAACTGGCTATCTCTTCTCTTTCTAGCCCTGATGGCCGCACGGATGGGAAGCCTCCCGCTGGAACTGGTCGACTTGATTTATTCTTATGCCGATGATGCATCAAAGCTCGCTCTTCGCCTGACGTGCAAGTCGCTCAACCAAGGCTTGAGAAGGCAGCACGGCGTCAGCAAGCGTCCGAGCAACAGTCTGAACGCATGTTACTGGAGGCTCGTGAGTCGACATCTTGACTATGAGATCGGCCGCCGCACTTGTGTGGTGTGCGATCAGCGATATGCGGTTGAGACTTTCGACTCTGCCGCACCACCGTCCGTCACCCGGAACAAATCCGATCTTGAGTACATTCTTCGACACGGGTTTGACAGGCTAGGTGGCCCGGGAATGGTCCCTACAGCGGCAGACATCTGCCATCACCATCGCTCAAGCTTCATCTATCTTTATAACGCGTGCGAGACATTTCTTAGTCACATCCAGCACGCTTTGGGCGTAAGGAAAGATTGGTCGCGCCGTTGGTTTACACGGACTCTGAGTGTGTGCATGCACTGCAAGTCCTTTGGGCTTGCATCCGCATGTCGAGCTCGCAAGCGATCCTATCGCTGCTGCAACTGCGACTTCTGTGGTGTCAGGCCTGTCTGCTTTTTCGGCAGGCTGATGGACTTCGGTGAAAAACCGCCACGCAGGTACGCGGTCGTGCGCGAGAATGGGCACTTCCTTGTTAAAGAATGGTACGACGATGGCTCCGTGTCCGTTTTCCAAGTTCAACACACCTCTGTCGACCCTCCGATACCTCAACGACGCTTTCTATAGCTTAGGATGGGTGAAGTTGAAGCGCTCGCTACCCGCGGGGCGATAGGAATACAGTTTATGCTTGCCCTTTGCCTATGGCACGGTATTGTTTGCGAAGGTGTACCTGCATGAACCAGACATTCCTCGTCAAGGTGGTACCAGACGTGAAGCATTCATTAAGGAGCATGGAATTCACAGAAAGCGTACAAATCGTTCATCACAAGCTTAAAAAGAGACGGACTTCGTGAATTCGTCATGTTTCAATTCTTGCATTTTATCAGCCACGTCCGTGACAGCGCCGAGGGTATCATTTCTTTTAACGCCACTATTGATATGGGTATATTTGTCTTCGCCTGTTTTTCTGTCTTCCCCATCATTCAATGCTACTCTTTCACAATTTCCGTCCTAAAGTTCATATGTCTTCTGCAGCACACATATGGCTTTATTTTCTGACCTCTCAGGACAAGCTCTTTTCTTATTCCGCACGGTCAACATGTGCAACTCCCTATTCTTCTTTGGTAAGCGGCAGACACGTGGTATCTAGCATACTTCAGGTTACCGCATCGCCTTCTCGCGCGCCTCGCGATCCATCTTAGCCTGCAGAGCCCGCCTATCCAAGTACTGCGCGTACCGCCGTAGCTTCAGGCCCAGCCAGAATTGCAAAATCATGGCCAGCAGAGCGCCCGACACGACACAGCATTCTACCGCCCATGACACGCTGCGACACCGCCTGCTGGACAAAAAGCGTTGGGCAACACGTTGAGTCTGGTGTACACGGTATACTTCGTCATTGCGTGTGGAGGGATACGAGGGAGAGCAGAGGAGTGTAGGGAGCGAAATTGAAAAGTTGAGGAGAATGACTCTTGGAATCAGGTACAAGATTGAATCGAGCAGAAGGTGGGAGGCGAAGAGCGAAAGCAGGGTCGGATTGCGCTGCGGTGTATGTTAGCCATTTCGGGCGAATTGACAAGTGACGTCTGGGTGAGAGGCCAACGTGCTCGTGATGAGCATCGAAATCTGAAGGAAAAGAGCAGCGGTAGTACTTGCCGTCCAGGCGCCCACGAAACCTGCAGCGCTGACAAACAGCACAAACACCGAGTAGATGGTGAAGTTCCTTCGAAGATGCAGAGGATCATTGGGCATATACTGAAGGATATAGGTAGTGAGAAGTGAGAGGACCAAAGCAAAGGTGGTAAGACCAAGGCTGAGCCTTCTACAGTGTGTGAGTTGTGTTAGCACGTACGTTGCGAGATATGTGTGCACGCAGGATCTCTGCCCGACTACGTACCGCATGAACGCCTCATCCTCGTGCCGCATTGTGTGACTTTGAACTGTCAGACGTGGTGGGCAGGACGAGCACGCGAGCTTGTCTTTTCTCCCTTCCGCCACTCGCGCCGAGAGCAACGAGCAAAAAATATGTCAGAATCAGGTGCGCGCACTCGTGAGGTCAGCCTGCCGTAGGCTTCCGGCTGATTCGGATGCACTGCGCAGAGCTGCGTGCCAGGCTGGATTCTGGGGTAAGCTGGCGAGCTTGGGCGAGTTGGCCAGCAACAACGCAGCGCAGCCGACGGGATTCGCTGGCGAGAACCTTCAGCAGAACGGACGAAGCGTGTAGGAAAAAAAGATACGGGGAAGCAAGAGACAAGGACTTGCGACAGGCACGGCGCAACACAGAGGCGCGACTCAGGGCCGTGAGGGCAGATGGAAGAAAGACACAGCAAACTTTGGGCCTTTCTTCATCACGAGGCCTCGCGGGGTCGGACGTGCATAGTGCGAATGCAATGTCCACGGTTTACGTCGGCGGCGCCATGGGGACTTTGGTCTGCGATTAATAATAACCTCCAAAGCCACCGGGATCGCAGAGGAGCAGAAAGGTTCGCGCTTTGCCTGTCAAGCAAGCACGCCGAGAACACGAGGCCAGCTGTCCGCTGGTCGAGCAGATGCTGTTGAGCTGAGGCGGTCGACTGGTAGGAGGCTGCCTTTCAGCAACGCCATCTTCTGTCAGCCAGAGTGATCGGCGTTGTGGTATTTTTGACCAGTGTCAAGACAGGCTCAGCTTCTTCCTCGATATCACGGGACCGGCCCTCAGTGTGTGGTCTCGCGAGCAAGCATCAACGGACGATTGCAACAACCACGTCCAAGGCCGACACGACAAATGGTCCCATCGATTTTCTACAAAATAAAAAGCATCAGCCCGCAGCACCTGCAGTACTGCAGCACACGAGGAGCACCCGCTTGTTCCGTTTTGACCCCAGCGAATCTTTTTGTTGGCACTCCAGGCGCAGCCTGTCGCTCCGTTCGGCTGGCACGGCTAACTGTCTGCATTGAGCCATCAAATACACACTGACCATGAGCACCCACCACGGAGATGTCAAGCGTTTGTGATTCAGACCGCAGGCTTCGCTGCACAGTCAGTTCAGCAGTGTGCTTGACAACAGATTGCGATGCGCAGCTAAACAGTCGCGCACCGGGTCAAGCTAGAGGTTCTTATCAATCCATCTTGTCCGCCGGGAGAGCTTCTAGAAGGCGCAAGGCCCTCGGCGCAGCACATGCAAAAATTGCAGAATAGCCTGGCTGTTTTTTCCCCTGTTACTTGTACTGTTGCTCGCTCTCGCCACGTCGTTCTCGCCTGGTCCCCGCTCTCGCCCCATTGGTTGTTTCAGAGCACGTCCGGGCGATCACGACCAACCGAAATCACCGGCTCCGCACTTCCCTGACTCGTGCCGTCCAGCACAAGCTGCTTGGAGCCGGAATACCCTCAGCCTTGATACACATAGCTAGAGCCCATCACCTTCCTGCTCGCCGGGTTCATATGACGACAATCTTGATGGCGACGATGCGTGGCTTGCCGGACGACGTCAGCTACGGTAAGCATTGACTGGAGGATCCCCGGATCGACCGTCTGATGTGTACAATCCGTCCTGCCTTGAGCCTGTTCTCCATTGCCTCTGCCGGACGAATACGAAGGCAACAAAGAGACGAAGAGGGACGATTGTGTCCGATTGTGTGGCATACAATCTGTGGAAATTCTTCCAAAATTTCAAGCCCGTTTGATCGACTTTGAAACACAAAGAAGTTGAAGCAAGCTCCGGTACGGCCGCTAGCACACATCATGGAGATTTTTGTCAGAGTTCCAAAGGTATTTTGGTGTCGCATGTATATGGCCTGCTTCACGCATGATGTATGGACCAGTTGCTAAGGTTAGCCAGGGTCTGTGCCGTCTGCCAGCTGGACGACGAGAGTCGCATGGATTCTTGAAGTCTCTCAAGGTATCTGCGGAGAGGCGCGAGCGCCGCTCGTCGTTACAGAGGGGCTGCCTTTTCCAGGTCTCTTGTGCGTCCCTGTCGGGGCGGCCTGAGTGTGGAGTGACTGCAACACGAGAGACGGCTTCGGCACTTTCGACGGAATGCCACGTGCCTATTGCCAATGTGTCTCCTAGAATCAAACGCCAACGATGTACATGTTGCATGCTGCTACTGACTGGCTGATTCGAGAATCAAAACATCTTACTGTGGGACCAATACAAGCGCTCGTTAAGCTCAAATGTAAGGCGCGAATAGCCAATTGACGTGATCCATCTTTCGGTAATCTGTCAACCCATCTGACAGAGTTCCTAGGGCTCCCCAACTCGACCAGTTTCTTCTGGCTCTCAAGATGCGCATGGTAGCTGGCTTGTAATAAACTTGGCACATATACCCATCGCACTGTGTAATGTGCTTGATGCGCTGGCCTAGATGTTGCAATTGTGCAAATTGTTTTGCATAATTTGTTTGCATTTCCTTTTCGAATCCTGAATAAAGTGTCGCGTGTCAATCATGCCTGAATGCAATTTTCCTGCTCGATTACTCTGCAGCAGATCTGCGCTAGGATCTAGATACTCGACAGGTCCGTGTCGACGCCACCCAGCCAGCGCTTCGACCAATCGAACGTTTGTAAACTGACCTCAATCCTCCGGTGAAAAGATTCGCCCTGGCGACTTGCCGTTTCAAGGACGCGGGGATCATTACTCTTGCCGAATTCCAACACGTTCCACTTGCGGCGCACTGGAAGGCCCGGCCGATCGAGCAAGCGCTTGTTTAATTATCGTGGCGTGGGAATCTGCTTGGGCAATATATCCCCGTCAGCCCAGCAACATGTGTCCGACACCCTTCGTAACATTGAGTATATAGGCTCCACCTCGTCGTTTTACCGAGCCGCCACCCCGCAAAAATAAAGGTACCCTTGTGCTCCTGGGGTTCTGGGAGTCCGCTCAGCGGGAGCGTTCTTGGTTTCTTAGCATCTGTCCCTATATTACCGTCTGTGCCCCCGTGGTCGTCTGCAGGCTTTGCACTCTGCGCGCAAACCTATCCGTGAAGGCCTGGAGGAAACACGGTCGAGCGCCCCTTCTAGCGCATGCCCGTCGCCGATCGAACAGCTGCAAGACAATTTTCAACTCGACAAACTCGTATCTCTGCTTTGTCGTGCAACTTTGCGTGGCCGGTCCCCACAATCACTCTTTGGATGAAGTCTCACCACGCCTTGAGGTTGGGCACGCAGAGCAGCTAAACCGCGCCCTCAGAACATGTCGGATCCAAATTCGAACTTCTACGAAGCTATCCGATGTCTTCAAGGGACGAAAGCGGAGCGAACGGCATGTCGCAATGCGTGCACCGTCGACACCTGTCCGCTCATCCTCTCCTTCTGGAATTACTTGCCTGATGTACCGCTCAACTCGGCGTTCGCCGGCCTTTTCGGAATCTACACAATCACCGTCCTTCTACTTGGTATCTATGTCCGGAAGTTCAGGACCTACACCGCGGTCATCTTTGTTGGGGAACTCATGGAGGTCTTTGGGTTCGTTGCGAGAGTATACGCCCATGCCTACCCCTTCAGCGACGTACGTGGCGTGACCGTCTGAGCCGTCAAACGAAGAGATGAACTAACGTGGACGCAGGCCGCGTACATCATGCAAATGGTCTGCCTTACGCTGGCACCGACTTTCATGGCTGCGGGTATATACTTTTCACTCCAACGTCTGGTCATCACCTTTTCTGGAGAGCTCTCGCGCATCCCTCCGCTGTGGATCCCACGGGTGTTCATTGTCTGTGACATCCTCTCGCTGTTCTTGCAAGGTATGGGAGGAGCACTGGCGGCGTACTACGCGTCGCAACAAGAGCTTCCCGATAAGGGCAACTACACTATGATCAGCGGTCTGTCCTTCCAGGCTTTGACCTTGCTCTTGTTCCTCACTCTTGCGGTCGACTACGCATTCCGGCTGTGGAGGTTTCAAAAGAACGTCGGGTGGGGCGTGTTGAACCAGGACCCGATCGCCGCCGGCCTGAGAGAAAGCAAACGCATAAAGTGGCTGATCTCGTCGCTCACCATCTCCGGCATCCTCATCTTCTTCCGAAGCATATACAGGGTCCTGGAGCTCTCCGAAGGCTGGAAGGGCTTCCTCATGTCCTCCGAAAAGTACGTCGTCGGACTCGAGACCATACCTGTCATCATAGCGGGCGGGCTCCTCGCCGTCTTGCACCCTGGCTTCTGCTTCCAAGGCGAGGACGACCCCATCCCGCTCCGACGCAAGGTTAAGACGCCGCCTCGCGATCCGGAAGCCGAGCCGCTGTACACCATCCGACGGTGGAACGAGAAAACGGGCAAGATCGAGATCGAGGTCATCTACGAGCCGGATCATCCCATCGTCCGGAACTTGCAGCAGATGGTCAAACTATAGACACGTCAATCCATCATGGAGGGGAGGTGGGGGTTTGGCTTTCTCTCCCCTTCTTTGTAATCCTCATCCCAAAGATATACCACCAACATCATCAGTCACCAACCTCTTCGTACTTTTTGTTTGATTGTTTGAACAAAATCCGGAATGAAGCATTTGTACGGCGCAAAAACTGTCTCTCCTATAGACGCGGCGATGTCTATACCTCCTGCATCTTCTCTTTATATATATATATACATATATTAAATTTCGTTGCCTCCCTTGCGCAGGCAGCGAAACATGCAGCTCGTCGGCCACGGCTTTCGAGCCTATGTTCGACAGACATGCACACACGCGAACGCACTCAAATGATGAACCATTTTTCACTCCTTTTGGAAACAATGACAATGGCTCGGAAATAGCTACATAGAGACACATAGTAATAACAAACCCGGTCACGTATCGCGTTACGAGGTTAGGATAAGTTTTGTGCGTTCGTCCAGTCGTAAAACCACGTGATGTCGCATCGTACATTTTCTTGCATTCGTTGATGCCCATCCGCCCTAGTCCCTTCCCTGGACTTCCCCTTATCTCCGGTCTGGTATTTGCAGCTCAGTCTAGATCCAAAGGTCTCCATGGACGTGGCCAAGGGGTTAATGACGATAGGCGTCTGAATCAAAGCACGAAAGAGGGCTACGGGGACATAAGGCAGGTTCCCGGGACATTCTAGGGCAGTATTTCTTACGCACTTTTAGGGATGCGCCAAAAGAACTTGCCATGCTTTCAGAGCAGGGTGGGATGTTGTACTAGAATTTCACTTGCTGATTCAGCGGCGAAACGCATCTTAAGAGGCGGTATAGTGGGATATCAGCTGACGCTGTTGTACATTCTGCCTGCCGTCTCACAGTTTTGTCTCCGTCGCCCCGGTTGCAGCAATTTCCTGCCACGCGTCCAACCCAACGCTCTTCAGAGAGCTGAAAATTTTCTGACCCCATTCCGTCTCCGTCGTAGCCTTCAGACTGGCGCTTGGAATGTCTACAGAGTCGAACTCATGGAGACTCAAAAATCGTGGATATCCATCCTCGTTCTTTGTGTCGGCAAGCTTGTAGCGGGTTGATCGTCGATACCCAGGGACATTGGAGAGCTTTTCATAATGTTCTTTGAGGTACCAATCATTAAGCTCCTCATCATTACCCTCTCCAGGCTCCATGGATACGGTTCGAAGCGCTTTGCCTCTTGGTCCTGCGATAACATAAGCCAAAAGGCCTAGATCATTGATCGTGCAGCCCAATCCGAGTTGTGCCAGCACTCCACCGCTCTCTTTACGTGCTCGGAGGATCTAGGGCTACGTTCAATCCAATCTCGCACATGAAACGGAGAAATTCGGTTCGGTGTCTATAGCACCGGGATCGACCTAAACGCCAAACTCTACAACTTACCATCCATAGAATCCCGACCATCATACTTGTCCAGCAACGTGAAAACCCGCATGTCAGTCTCCAAGTGATCTTGCCAGGGTCCACCACCGGGGAGCAACTCATGATTGACTGGAATGGAACCAAGGACGGCGTGGTCCTGCATCTTGGCGACATCAGGCAGCCGGTACAAGCACAAGTACGGCCATTTCGCGTCGGACTTCACGTTCTTGTAGCGAACCGCCAGATCCGACAGCCCAGATGCAACGACATCCTGGATATGGAACTTAGAGTACCATTTATTGTAATTGTCCTCGTCAAAACCAGCCTTCGGTTTCGAGAAAACCAACAAGACACCAGCAGATGACATAGTGAGAATAAGACTGAGATATCGATTGAATGGCAAAATGCAAAACGTATCGAACACCTTCAGAGGGTGAAACTAAAATCTCGCTATTTGATCGAAGCTTGGACGCTTGTCTTTTTCTAAGGGGCTCCATACGGCTATGCTGAGGGTTAGGGATGCGGGGTCGCTGGTGTTCGGCCACAACCACCACGGCCCAAACCCGACGCTTTGAACTGCCAGCCCGAGCTGTTCCACCACGATTTTTCAGTCTGATATCCCACATTCGAACAGAGCATGGTATGACGATTTCAACTCTATTTCGAAGGAGAAATTCAGACGTGTCGACGAGCGTATCCACAAGGATGATGAATCGGACTTTATAATCACTTCATCCTCTCAATTGTTGCGTGAACGTATGGAAAGTATCGATAACTTTCGGCGCCCAGGCTACTCTCACTGTGTCGATCAGCCACTCGAAGTGAGCTGTAGCCTCCATATCTTCCTTTTCAAGCTGTAGTCGCTCTTCCACCTTCCATACTGCTTTGTCTGGCTCGTTTCTAATATCCTGAACATTTGACTCTGTCATGAGCGCAAACAAATTGAGTATAAGATTGGCACTCTTCCGCAAAGCTAGGTAAGCAGTTGCACAGTGCTGACGAAATTGTCTAAAGTTTTCATGGTCCGGGCCTCCCATTCCATCTACCATCTGTGTGGAAAGTTTCATGAGCGGAGCGAATGGTTTGGGATCGCGGCCAAGGATGTAGCCAAAATCGGCGTGGAAGAAGTTACCATTTGGAGTGAGGAGTAGGTTGTCGAGATGTCGATCTCCAATACCTAGAATATACGTGATAACACAGTAGCCAGCGCACGACTTTACGTAAGTGTCCATCGTCTCCTTGCGAACGCCTAGAGGTGCATTTGGATCTGGATTGTGCCGCCTTAGGAAGTTGAGGATTGATCTATCAGTTCTGTCGACTTCAGAAAGCGGCGTGGAGGGTACAAATTCCACCGCACCAGCAACAGGAGAAGTGGCTAGGATATGGTACGGTGTAAGCTTGAGGTCGAGGTTCTCATTCTTCAAGAGTTTGTCCATAAGCATAATGGTTTGAATCACCAACTGATCCTGTCTCAAGTCATCACCAACTTTGAATATCATATGATACTTCGTTCCAATAGACGTCTTCCAAACCAGCTTGAGTGGACTCAGGGAGGACTTAAAAACGTTGGCTTCCTCGGGATAACAGCCCACAACAGACACACTTGGGTCCAGAAACAGTGGCACCGGAGGATCAATAGTCACAAGCTCGTTTTTGGGATCTGCAAGAAATTGCTTCAGCCTCGCTATCTTCTTCTCTCTTGTCTGCCGCGAGTCGCGCAGCTCGCCAGCAATTTTGGAGAGGATTTTGATCATTTCGCCCTGCTTGAGTAGAAACTTGCGATACTGTTCTCCTTCTGCGGTCTTGACAAGCTCGTTCATGAAGTCGAACTCCACTCGTCCGAAGAGCTCACGCTGTGCGTCTTGCTGGGGACTACGATCTTCAAACTCGACCATGAGGTACCAGTGCAGATAGCTTCCTAGTTTGAAGTTCTGAGCCGCTCGGCCAATCAAGAATGAAGCGAGAGACGAATCAGGAATGACTTCACCCTCCTTATTGTCATCGTCATGGCGGCGTTCGTAGCGTAAAGCTTGTACGAGTTGTAGCAGGTAGATCAAGAGCTCATCATCGCTTGAGCGCCGCAGTCTGTCCACTGCATATGCTCGAACAGCCGGGTGATCGAAATTTGGTCCTAGCAGCTCAAGCGCATCGTCCACATCGATTGGCGTCCACTTAGGCAACATTTGAGAAGCTTCGCGAGCTTCCTTTTGATCAGCCCAGTTGACGGACTTCACAAACTTCGTGAGCGCTCGCTTATCTCTCGTCAAGAAATGTCTAAATCTCCAAATCATATCCTTTTCTTGGTCTGTCAACAGTCGATTTGCTCCATAGCTCATGATCCTGTTCAAGTCGTCTCGATTTCTCGCATTTGGCTTTAGATCACGGTCCACGAGAGCGGATCTATGTCCACGCATTAAAGCTCTGTGCTTGTCCTCGACTGGGTTGCTCTTGAATCCCAACTCGGGATCGTAGATTCTTATTAGGGGACCGAGCGACGGGTCCTCACCCGGATTGTTCGCGACGTCTATACCCGGTCCTAGTGAGACTTCCGGCGGCGGTTTGAGCCGAACGTCTTGGTGCATGGAACCCTTCATGTTAGAGACAGGTGGAGCAGGGTATTCCTTATCTGTGAAAACAATTGGATGATCGAAGCGCGGAAATTCGATGTAGAGATGATATATGCCTCCATCACGACCGGTAGGCGAGGAAGAGTTATTTTTCAAAGACCCGTTGACCCCACCGTCTGTGGTAACATTTTTGAATTGCAGCCGCTTCTTGAGCACGCTCGTCTGCATCTTCTCGACTTTGCGGTACACAAGCTGGTCGAGCCATTTGTCTTCCGGAAGCTCGCCAAGCTCTTGTTTCTTCATCAGCTCCATGATTCGGCTTAGTTCCATTGTCTCCCCATCGGTGTCATCCTGGGCTGCGCTGATTCCATTACTTTGCTTTCTTGCTGGCAATACATGTGGAGTGGTACTAGAAGAAAATCCATCGGCTGGCTTCATCCTGTGTATGTAGCATGTCTGACGCCCGGTTTGCAGCATGAACTTATCATCAAACAATGGTATAGTCGTTCCGCCAAAGGGCACGTAGTGGCCTCTGGATCCATCACCCCCAGCAGGTGATAGATCCCACAGCGTGATAGCAAGTTGAGTATTTACGGGAATGCTGGAATAGTTAATAGAAAAGACAAGCCACTCGTTCCAAACTCGCTTGTTCTTGAAAGGTTTGTACGGTGTTCGTTCTTCGATAGTGAGCGGCTTGCTATCAGCCCAAAGACGAGCTGTGATATACAACTCCGAATGCGGACTATCTGTAATGTTAGCAAGGCGGGTATTGTTGCTTAAAACCATCTCATGTTACCTGGTATTGGAGCCAATATGTCGAAGTTCAGGCTTCTCAAGAAGCTTTGACAACGGGATAGACTTTTCGTAACCCTCGAGTTCATTTCTGTAGCCATAAGTCAGTAATCCTCGCACAGCATCCTATCTGGGATGGCCACGAACATCTTCACTCGGACTGGAATCTGCAAGTCTGCAGAGATGGCAAATGAGAAAGATTCCATTGCGGAGATCGTGAACAGTGCCCCGGAAGTTACTTGACAGCTTCTCAGCTCTATATATTGAATGGTGACAGGAAGCGAGCGAAGTTCAAAAGTTCGCCCGTGAAGCGTGTTGCATCCTCATGTTCGAACCTGCTACGGACCTGATTTCTTTCGCCTCCGGCTCCCGACAAGCCGCTTTTTCCTTCTAAGCAGTTGGCGTGCGGAGAATCAAGCAGTGAGAGGAACCTTCAGACCGAGTTCTGTTCATCTTTAAGTGAGCGGATGACGAGTTACGTGGACACTGGCCTCGTGATATCGAAGTTGAGAAAGAGTAGAAGGCCACAAGGCAGCAAATTATGTCATCCTCCAGGCAGGACCCCGACGCCGCCTTGGCCACCGCGGTGCTTGTGCTGTTGTGCAAGATACGCGACGTGACGATTTGATCAGTGCAGCCGTTCACCTTCTCATTTTCGACTGTTATTTTTCTGCTTTTCGCTTCACGTATATGAAGGACGAGATCAGCGACTAAAGTCCATGACCTGATTGTCCTTGATTAGCACAGTCATATGTAAAACAGTTTCGTGTGCTTTTATCGCAGCCTCGTTCTTCGGCCTACGGCCTCCGTACACTTTACTCCCTTTAACAGCCCTATACTGGCACGATGGCGCGATTAAATGCGCGGCTGAGCACCCCCTCGCAATCGCTTTCCCGCGACCAGACACCAGAAATGGCTTCCGAGCTAGAAAGCGCGTCGCCATCACAGACTCCAGGCGCGTCCTTCTCTTCAGATAAGGAGAACCATTGGACGAATAGGGCGGCGTCTGGCAGTAAGCGTACTCTTCTAGATTCGAGGACCTCGATACCTCAGACAAGTACCAATAAGAAGCGACGACTAGGCGAACAAAGGCGGAATGTCAACACTCAACAGTCTACAGCAGCTCCCACAATGTTCAGGGATGACGAGGACGACGACAAGCGGTATTATGATCCTGAGCAGAATCCGGAAGAGAGACGTAGAGTGCGTCAGGGATTGCGCAACAATGCGCGTGAGCTTTATGGTTTGGTTCTCTGGATTACGTACAGGTCGGCTACAGCTAACAGTTTTTCAGATCGAGCGGACGAGTTCCTGAACACGGATGGGACTGAGATTGTGAGCCTCATAGATCGTCAAAATCTACTCATGAATAATGTCAAGCAAACGGCAGACGCGACTATGGACTCACGATTTCTCCTCAACGCCTCTGAGATTACTCTGAAGAAGTCTAGACGTCTTGCTTTCGGGAACAACGCGATAGGTATAGATATAGATGAGTTTGTCTCGAAATGCATGACCTTCATGCGATACGGACGCGCACTTTGTAGTGACGAAGACGAGCCGGCAACGACACAAGCTAGACGACATAGGAGAAATGCAGCTGACGACGAAGATGACGATGCCGCAGATGGGGACGCGCTTGACTGGCATGTTCTTGGAGAACGAGCTTGTATATCCACCAACAGACGTCCTACAGTGCCGAATTTCCTCCTCGGACCCTTATCAATCGAGAAACGCGTACGCGCTACCCAACGGCGCGCCACTCAGCGCAGAGATCAATCTACCGTTGTCTCTCGGCCTGAAGAACTAAAAGAAGCGGACCTTGAAAAGAATGAATCATCTAATCTGACAAGTCAATGCCAACGCATCCGAATTCTTCTTCAGCAGATCAGCGACGACGGAACTGCACGAGTTGAGGCGGAAGGATCAGAAGACATGGACGAAGAGGAAGCACGCGCACTGTTTAGCCGCAACAACCTCGCCATGAACTGGGAAGTCCCGCTCCTCAAATTCGCGATTAATCCCCATTCTTTTGCTCAAACCATTGAGAACCTGTTTTACATTAGTTTTCTTGTTAAAGACGGGTTTGTGCGCGTTGGCGTGGACGAGGACACTGGTTTCCCAACAATACGACCTGTGGAGAAGAAAACTGAAGAACAGATCAGAAATAAAGGAGCCATGAGACACCAAGCGATTTTGAGTCTGGACTACGAAAGCTGGCTGACATTCAAGGCGGCTTTGAGAGTGGACACGCCATTGATTCCCAACAGGGAGGAAGAAAGTGTGCAAGTAAGGGGAAGAGGCTGGTATGCCTAGCCGTGAAGGCATTCAAAGATATGCATATCATCACGAAAATGCTTAGAACGTCTTCTATCAGAAATTAACTGTCTCACAGTCCTGTAGCTGGACTAGTGGCAGCGTTTGGAATATGGCCATAGAGAGATGTTGCTTTTTGCTGTACGCATTTTGGTTGTGACAAATTTAGATACCCAGGAAGTCTTGACCTATCATATATTCTTTGTTTATCGTCAATTGAAAGTCATTTTAGCCGTCTCATATACATGCCCGTCATCTATTCGAACTCTTACTTAAATAATTAACGTTACAGCTCCTGAGAATGTTCATAACCAGACGTTCGCCCTTTCCCAGATAGAGACTGGAAATTCTGTTCCTGGGGTATATCAAATGTAGACCAAGACCTGTCAAAAAGAGAAACATGGAACCTCGTCACACCACCCGCTCATTTTGCGGCTCAAGGTTTGCGTCCGTACACGAAATAGCTACGTTGCGGTCAGTACCTGCTTGAAACTTACACCAGTCTTTCCACCATTCCCACTCACATAGGCCAGTAACTGTGAATCTTTGGATTCTTCATGTCCTTTCTAACGTCTGAAAGAAACACCTGGACTTCTTCGGGACTCATCCCATGCGCACGTGTCAACAGTGCCATGCTGTACCCCTCAAGACCATCCAACATGTTCACCAAATTCCACCTCCCAAGCTCCTTGAGCTTCTTATCCTTGGGCCAGGGGTTTTGGGGCCACACGAACTGCACTTCTGTGACATCCACATACCCCGCTTCTTCCATGAGTGCCTTGTATCTCGGCGTCGCTATCTCCCTTTGGAAGATCCTTAGCCCGGAAACAAGTTTCTCCGCCCACTGATACAGCGCCGTGCCTTCGTGTAGCGTGCCGTCCTGCGACGTGAGAGGAAAGTGGGTATCCTGCAGCTCCAGCCAGCCTCCTGGTGCAGTATGCTCGAAACACTGTCTGAAGAACTTGGGGACGTCCGCAATGCTGCTTGCCATCATGCGTGCGTGCACATAGTCGAACTTCTGGTTCCACGTCCACGGCTCCTCGACATCGTCAATCTCGAATCTGCAGTTTGGTGGCACAAATTCGGGCTGCTGGGGGGACAGGTCGACGCCAATCACTTGGCTGTTGGGATGCGTCTCTGCGAAGTCAATAGCCCAAATCCCGGTGCCAGTCCCGAGGTCTATCACGTGAGCCGGGTCACCGACTATGGGAGCCAGAGCGAGCTTCATATCGGTGGTCATAAGGAAGAGATGGTGCTGAAGATCGAGTCTGTCCCACTCTTTCTGCATATATTGTCAGTGCAAAGGCGAGGGGCCTCACATCAGTATCGAAAATGTACCTCGTCGCTCGGCAACACGTACTTTCCTTCCTTGTATTTATGGTAGAATCGGCCATTTTCTTGAACACCTTGATACAGGCTGGACCTTAGGGAAGCCGTGGATTCTGGGCTGATGCATTTTGCAATGAATCAATATACGGACTGGAATCACTCAAACTCGCCAGAATAGATAAAACGTACACGTCGTCGCCCAGAGCAGAGTCCTCTGCCTCGCTCCGAATTTCTTCTGCATCGTCGGCCTAATCGTTGCACGAGGTCAGTGCTCTGTACGACGCCAAATGAGTTGATCGTTACTAACAATAGACCAGCCGTCGCCTCCAAGGTGAGCAGTTTCTCCTCCAGCGATCGAGGACTCTGAGGTCAACGAGACGCCTTCATAGGCTGCGCCAAAGGATTCTGCGCCCGGTCCAGCCGCAGGATCAGTCCAAGAAGCGGAACAATCAGTTGGCTGAAGCGAAGGATCGAGTTGAGGCCGCTCCGATTCTTCGGCCATTGCGCACCGCTCAAAACTCCTCCTTGTTGAATGAATCGATTGAGACGATAGTAATCAAGAGAACATTAGATACCACCATCGCTACTGTACTATTTAACCCTCCGGAGACGTTGCTGGCCCACTAGTGCCTCGTCAGGTCTAGCCAAACGAAAATCAAACGCAGCCCGCCAACTTGGCTTCAGGTTTCGGGCAAGGTGACATCAAGAGCACACCAAATAGAGACTGCTTGGGAAACCCAAGTGCGACTTTGCCCTAGAGTAACGTGCTAGACCTGCGAGCAGATGCAAAGATCGAGCGGCATTTTGCGGCGTGGGGGCCAGTGAGTCCTATCAAGAGTGGCGAAAACTCCCGTCCTTCGGCTCGATGCAGGTTGAACAATGCCGTCCCGTTTGAACAGCCCAGGTTCCATCTTTAGACCTGTATTGAGCGCACTATTCCCCGAGCTCCAGTCTTGCTGATAATCTTCGGAACGCTAGAATTGATTTCTGTTTACGGCAACTATCACAGTAATAATGGATGGCCTAAAGCCGCTCCCTGCATCCCCATTGGCAAGAATGTACTGCCGCGTGGATCTCAACTGCTACTAGCCCAGGACGCTAACCGCCGTTTGTACGGGCTAGAAACGAACATTCTAGGCCAACTGAGGCACGCTTTTGTGAGACCAGAAGTCTCATTTACTGTACAGAATGAAGCGATTTCCAATAGAGTCCAACATTTGTGCGGGATTTGAAAACCAATTCAAATCGCAGTTGGTGCTAAACCATCTTGACCTGCGATGACTCAAGGCAACCTGGTCTCTCAAAAGCTTCTGATTCAAGCGTCAAAAGACTGATATGCAGACTTTTTTCATAGTGATGGAAGTGTATAGCAGACAATGGAGCATCTGTAAATCTATTAGGAAAGGGATTTTGGTCTGACGATACATAAAAATAACCGTTCTCTTCGACCTTGGTCAGTTTAACGACATTTTGGAGATTAATCCAATAGTAGCCAAAATAAAAGAAAGCCGAGCGGTGATATGATTCGCATTTTCATTTTGACTGATTTGATGTCACTACAATTTTTCTTCTTTGGCCTTGGATTTGGACAGCTTGTTGCACATATGCTACTCATGGCTCTAGAAATCTGGTCTAAATTTCTAATTTCGCTCGACGAGTTTCTAGTTCTAATGGATCACAGGCAAATGAAATGAGAAGATCGTTCGATGGCTATTGGTATGCCTCAACCAACAATTGCGAGAATGATCTGTGTGCAATATCCAACTCGTCGTTGTCTACTCCAGTATTTCCAGGTTCCAATATATGGATGATGTGAAATTGACAAGGAAATCCACCGGTCTCAACTGGGACATATTGAAAAGTCCAAACTAGCGTCTGCACAGTGATCAAATTCATCAGACAACGTCGCGCCCAAGAACATTTTAGACTGGGAAACGTTTGAAGTGTAGAGAAATAGTTATCCCTTAGATCACGTTCTTAATCTTTGAAACAAATGTGAGAATCATCGAGGCGGCGCCGGCTCCCTGTAAAGGCTTTGCCTGGCACTAACAAGGAACCACCGACCGTACTCAAGTGAATTAGCAGATGATCCGAAGACCCCGCTACTATCTAATCGGCCGTATATGAGAAATCCCAGAAAACTTAAATCTCCATTGCGGTCTTGTCGTCCGGCCAAGTGATTCATAGATGCCCTGATGAGCACATCTTGTAACTGCCAAGGTTACTAACTAAGTTAGCCAAGTTCACCCAAGACCTTGACATCGGTATACTGTGATATCTCAAGATATGATTAATAGACGAAATAAGACATTCAGGAGCCATGCTATCTGTAGCTGATAAGCATTTTGTTTCAAAGGTTTGCGTGGACGATCTAGGATCTAAAGTGTAACTACTTCCTGTGCGAAGACGTTTCCGAGACATATAATGTAATGACGTGATTGAGCCTTCTCCAACTGATGCAAAATTGACATATGCTTGTTGTTTCGTTAGTCCCATTACTTCTTCGCACGCTGCTCTTGGACTGTAGAGCGATAGGGAATAAATACTGGTTCAACCTGCGCCGGTTCGTGCTACTGGATTGCTCATGAGAGAGCCACCAAAATGCTTTGGGAGTCTCCATTAACTCGGTCGCACCGCACAAAAAGAAAACGAGCTGACAGTTTATGGGAGTATGAAGACAGTGATCAGAGTCTATGGTTGAGGCAAAAGCCAGCGAAATTACCCGACAACGGTGAGGTTTGAATAGATGCCCAGGATAGTATTGGAAAAGCTGCGACTTTCGCTGTGTCTATTCCTTCAAATCGATCTAAGATATAGAAGCTAACATTTTGTGTTATGATGTTTAGGTTCCATAGCTGATCTGTTGGATGGGAACAGACAGTTTGCGATTGATTTCCGCAAGAACGATGCCGGACTTCTCGAAAGCATCTCACAAGGCCAGTCGCCAAAGACACTATGGCTGGGTTGTTCCGACTCAAGGATCCCCGAAACTTTGATTTGCCACTGCAAACCGGGCGATATCTTTGTGCACAGAAACATTGCAAATATAGTTAGGCCGAATGACGTGAGCGTTGCTGCAGTCATTGCTTTTTCGGTCGGCGTCCTCAAAGTCGAACGTATTGTCGTCTGCGGACACACCAAATGCGGAGGGGCGACTGCAGCATTGGAAGGCCGTGATCTGGGCAGTTACCTCAACACCTGGCTTTCTCCTCTTAGAGAGCTGCGACAAAAGCACGAAGCCGAGCTGAGCACAATGGAGAGCAAGGACGCTCAAGCTACTCGCCTCGCCGAACTGAATGTGCTCGCAGGCTTGGACGGCTTGCGGCAGAGCAACGAAGTGAAAAAAGCCATCTTAGAAAGAGGATTAGCGCTGCATGGTGTTATGTACGATATTTCGAGCGCAGAACTCAAAAGGCTAGCGTAGGATATGGGATTTCTCCCGTAGAAAGAAGCCAAGAGCTAGTCTGTACGCTTTGTACCTATCCGGATAATCAAAACTGGCCTTTGCTCTCTGCCTTAACAGTTGAAAATTATATGCCGGAAGTCTTGTTACTTTTAGCGTAGGCTAGCTAGCAGCACGAAATGAGACGTTGTATCACACTCTGAGACAGTCTTTATTCGCTCTGCCTTCGGGTCTCGCAAGTAGATGTATGTGGTAGATTCTTGAACACTCTTTGAATGTCATGTTTGCGAATAGGGGCTGTGTCACTTACAGGATTAACCATTGTCAGTGCTCCTTCCCACAGTGACCTTGCAGCACGTGGCTTGATCAACTTCAGACTTTATAAAGCGATGCAGACGTGTTGTTCGACAAGAGGTTGGAGTGACTGCCCCAATCTGATGGCACTGACAAATGATTCACATACTGTCTCCAGACCCCGAGCACTGCGATGTCACATTGTCCGCACTCTCTCCTCGTGACGGGCCGCAGAAAAGCTACCAAACAGTCCTTCGAGCACAGACAGAGCCGCTTAGTTCAAATTTGACCCTCAGAAACGGCCTAATTGAGCAATGAGAAGTCGGCTCGTCGGTGGAAGCCATCGTCGTTATTCGCTCAGCATACCAGCATGGATCAAGATCACAGTTTAGACGTACTGAGGAGTGATGCTGGTACCAAAGAATCTCCTGAAAACAGAAATTGGTACTCATACAAAACCCAAGGTCCAAAAACAACAGTAAATGATCTATGTGTGGACGGTAATGAAAATGAGTTCTCTCCCATAAGCGAATCCATGTTGTTAGGACTATCTTGTGGGCCAGCCCAAGAAAAAAGCATCAGCGTTGAGGATGCTACATGTTCAAACAGCTTTCCAGACGCACTTATATTGACTGCAATGTCAAGTCATTTCGGTTTAGCTCCCAGGAGGGCGGAAAAATTTGCAGAAAAAGGCCAAAAGGGTGTTGTTGTTGTTGATGATGATGATGGTGATGATGATGATGATGATGTTGATGATGATGCCTTCAAGGCTCTGTCTATCCAGGATTATGAGAAAGACGCAAGTGATGTGCATGAAGACGGGCTAGAGAGCGAGATTAGTATCGAAAACGCAACAGTCTTGGAAGCGCGGGTGCAGACGCTGACCAGACTGACTCCTTCCCCGCTGCCGTCACGACGACGTTCTCGCCTGAGTCCAATGCGAGGAACATTCAGGAGCAGCTCGATGCCATCCGAAGGAAGTACAACTTTAGTTGAAGTTCTTCATCCCCTCCATCAGTCGCAGACCTCTTCTACAGCTGAAGGATTCTCTCCTTACATCGAAGATTCGAGCAGCTCGCAAAGATGGTCTGAGTCACCAGCGAGGCGCCTGCCCTTCGCCAGCCCTGACCCATCGTTGCATCTGGCGACGCCATCGGTACAATCATCGGCTTTGCACGAAGTACTTGACCGGAATGCGCAATGGGAAAGCCTAGATTTGGATCTGGTGGAATACGGTTCAGACAGGGTTTGGTCCTCTTCGCAACGAACAGCACCAATATCAGCACACACAAGCGACAGGGTAAGCATTGATCTATCTTCGCCGCTTCATGTGCCTATCCAACCAACGTCATCTTCGCGGTTGCTCTCATCTGGTAGAATAAGCGCGTCCGAACTCCTTGTGGCAATGAATGCATTTCTCTCGCATGCGACTCCATCGAAACGTCGAAGATTTGCAGCCTCAACTCGAATGCTGTTTTCGACATATGACCAAGAAGCCGTCACCGAAAATGTAAGTCCTGCTGAGCAAGTTTCGATATCTGTGGATCCAAAGTTAGAACCAGATGTCCAAAAGGATACATCATGCGAGACTTTGCCATCATCTGCATCCAAAAACACAACCGTCGCTTCGAGCAATTATCCTGTGCTCACTGAGTCGCTTGTCGTCGACTCAAATCGTAAGATGAAAGATTGTCCAAAGAGCTCCATGACTGAATCGTTGCCCTCAGGAGCCGTTGCAAGATCTGCAGATGGCCACTCTGAAACCCCTCGGACGGATATACTGGATCGACTAGCGACGAACAACGAGCATTTACGAGACTTGATCATGTCGTGGAAAACGGCCAAAGGGTCTTCATCTGCGGAGACTCCAATTCCAACACCGCCGCCAGCATCAAAACCTCGAGGAAGCGCAGCAGGACGCAGAGCCGCCGGTTCGCCATGCCCTCCGATTGCTTGTGTACACAGCCCGTCGGCGCAAGAGCGGCCAGGTGTGAGCCGTGGCAAGAAAAGTGTAAGCCGTCGCTCAAACTGCTCATCTCATCCTGAGAGTCCCGTCACGAACGCGCCTCCCGTTCGTCAGTCTAGGCCCAGCAAGGCGAGGTTCGGCATGGCAGCGTTGAACACAGAGCCTCTGTCTGGCGTCCCGCCACGACCACCATCGCCGACGCCGCTGAGCCAAGTAAAAGGCGGAGTTGCGACCAGGAGATCGGAGAACAAGGAGAACGTCCAGCCGCCCGCAACACCGAAGGTCCCGTCCCTTCAGAAACCCAAAGGCCTCGTGCCCGTCTCAAGCCCGGAGTCAGAGCGGCGCCGAGCGGTCCCGAAGCAGCTTAAGATTCCCAGAACTAGCCAGCCAGATGCCCCGACCCGATCGATAATCGCTGCGCATGAACCACGCAAGCCTTACCGGGTCGACCAAGGTCGATGAGAGCCTGGAAGAGATACCCGAGAAGCAGTCGTAGGGCTCGAGGATTTGAACCAATTCTGAACTGGCCACGCATTGTTGTTATTGTTGTTCTTGCGTCTGGAACCGCATCACGGCCGACGAGACGACCTCCATTTGCACATTGCCTTGACTGGCCACAAATGACCCACGGATTTATCAACGGCCACGTGATTTAGACCAACCCAGCCCGAAAGTCCCTGAACTCGGTCAAAGAGGGCGGTTTCGAGCAAACGAGAGTGTTGGTGGCTTCAGGGTAACCATAGCCTGGAGTCTGAAACGGCAAAGGTGGTGGATTTGAACGGGATGGCGAAGGCTAACCGAGGCGCGTTCTCTTCAAGCCAAGATCATCGACTTTCATTAAATCGCTACACAATTACAATTAATTATTCAACGTCTCGCCCACGATACTACAGCAGCGTTTGAAGAGACGATACTGCTCAATCCTGAAAACCGCGTCGTCTTGAAATCGTGCCCATGCCTATGCTCCAATCACACGGATGATGCTGATATGCCAAATGCATTAAATCTCCGAGGTTTCTTCCCTGCGTAACGTGCTCTGTCCATCTTCCTGTCTTATCATCAAGCAAATATCAGTAGAAAATATCTACCAACTCCCTTCCATCGCTAGACGCCGCGCTATAAGAACCCATTTCTACAGAAATCAGATTGCCGGCATCCTCAGGGAGCCTTCTATAACCGCAATCTCACTTCTCTGCAACTCCGTTGAACATCCTGCGAAGACCCGCAGTGGGAAGTGATGAGGATATCTACGCCTTCAGGAGCCTTAGTTGGATGGATGTGTTGTGCAGGTGGACTGTGACCATCCAAGACGACTGTACATTTGACGAATAGCTCAATCCCTGTACCTCTTGCAGTCCACACTAACAATCTTTTGTCGTCCACTAGAGTCCAAGATCATTGCGGTGAGACTGCCACCTTTGAGACAAGCTGAATCGAGGCCCTTGCTGTACTTTTGAATATTAAGTCCTCTCTTTGCATCATGTCCATAGATGATGGTGGCACGTTGAGACACATCCTTTAGGTGAATTTGGTGGTGGTTCCACAGCTATGGCAATGATTAGTACGTGACTGCTTGACATGTAGGAATAAGGGAAGGGGGAATCACCTTCTCCCATGGTTCGCCTTTTCGCTCCGCGCTAGGTACGCGGGTGTTCAAATCAATGCTTCTCATGTTCATCGCTTGAAAGGGATCCTGCCTCTCAAGGGCAATGCCTGGAACGAGGCCTGCATGCGCAACGACAATTTCACTTCCCTTGTTGAACCCACTGATCCGACCCACTTTCAAAATGACAGGGCAGGCTTTTAACCACTTGATCTGCTCCTTGGTGAGCAGTTTTGCCAGTGCACGGTCTTTGTAGTCGCCATGGCTGAAGGATTCCTCGTCTAAATAGTCCTCCTTTGTACGTGGATCTTCTGCGGGTCCGGGCAATGGATGCTGCTTTGATGTGAGTGTGTTGTAGGCGAGCAGCGTGCGATCCTCCCAATTCCCGCGCACACACGAGGCGCCTAGCTCCATGGCCAAGTCAACAGCACCGCTTGAGTCGGGCCCTTTGGCTATGAGGTCACCGGTGAAAATAAGATGGTCATTGCTCGGATTGAAGCCGACTTTATCGAGGAGTTGCATCACTGCAAGACACATAAGATTAGTACGTTGAATTTCCGGAGCAGTGCACGAGATAAGGAACAACGACTGATCTGAGGGACATACATTCAGATTTGCATCCGTGAACATCCCCAACAAATACGAGGCGCTTGTTCACATTCGTTGCACTGGGGAGATACCGCGGATCCAGTTCTTGAATCTGGATCATGTCTGAGAAACTCGGCCGCATGTTGACTCCGAAAACCTGTCCCTTTGTAGTAGCGCGCAATGCGGCGTCATCTAGCAGCTTCTCGTGAGCCCACGCCGGTTGAAGCCAGTACAACCAGCCGAACCACAGCGCAAGCAAAAAGATGATATAACCTCCAAGGTAGCGTTGAACCCTCCGCGGCACCTTGATGTTGAGTATTCTCTTCAGCCAATCTGGCAGCTGTGGTGCTGCATACAGATCCTTCTCAGAGTTATAGTACGGGTACGAATCGTCGCTCTCGAACGAGCCGTCCCGGTAGCTGATGTTCTTTTGCCACTCGTTCGTCACAAAGTCGATCAGCGGTCGGTGCTCGTTTGAGTCCGGGAAGGCCGATACAGCATTCTTGGGGGGGAAACGGGAGTCTGAGCGCGCAGGGTAGGCTCGCTCAGACATGGACGCAGGGTTGACTTCTGCGCATGCGCTGCGATAAGGAGAGGATGGCTGGAAGGATGAGGTAATGAGAATGTCCTCGCTGTCGCAAGAGCGCTGCCGGAGGGACGGTGGTGACGATGAGGACTTTGAGTGAACGTAGGTAGGAGAAGATGCAGAAGATGTGCAGTCTTGGCTGCAGATTGGCTCGCGGTTGTGGGAAACAAAAGTGTTATCGGTCAGCGCGGTAGAGGTGCGTAATGGGCTGGTGTGCGGTTCGGCTGGCGGCAATTGAACGCGCGTTCGCTCGCTCACTGCAACGTCAAGAAAATGAGCCAACGGATAAGCAGCAGAAGACGAAGAGGATGCAGAAGAGGTCGGCGGAGGACAATCAGCAGAATTGTGGGCCTCCATTGCCCTTTTCTTGGACGTCATATCCGTCCTTGCCTCCCAGGCTGAATGATCAAATCATGTCGTGTCTGTAGATGCCGCGCACTCAGTCAGCCAAGGAGCCAAGCTCCGTCGCGGATGCTTGGCACGCTGCTGGGGGCCCGGCCGTCCGCAGGTGAGGATGATGAACGGGATGGCGACGGTGATCAGACAACGCGCGAAAGGCGACGTTGGTGGCCTCTGCCATAACGATGCACGACGGACAGCAAGCGAAGGTCAAGAGTCGTCGTCGCTGCGGGTGGTTTTTTTACGAGAACACAGCCCGTCTGGTCCGGGCTGGAGAAGGGTGCTGTTAGACGCAGGGCGGGGTACCAATACGCGCAACTGCCAGGGCCGGCCACCGCGCGCCAAGGCTTTCTGCCAGTTCTTTGCGACTTCTATAATTGGAAGTTGCTCGCATGCGGTCTCTGATCCATCTTATCTTATCTCAATTGCTGCGACTCCAAGTCCAGTGTCCGTCAACTCCCCCGAAGTCTTGCAAGCACCATCAGCTGCTCTGGGCGATCGCGCATCGACGAGACTCGCGTCACCGAGTATCGCCTGCAGACGTACCTGTATGGTTTGTGACTCTTCCCGGGGACGGATCAACGGCAACATGTCAGTAGCGAGTGAGCCCCCGCGCCACGACTCAGGTCAAGCGGCTCCTGTTTGCTCGACATGCTATCGAACGGCGTCTTATGTCGACTTGAGTCTCGTTCTGAGCTCTGATCTGCTCACAGTCTGTGTTAACTTGTATACATGCATCTAATTGTTTTGTTGTTGCGCCTTCTCCAGTCCCGCCCCTCGGCGCCTTACCCCATTTGGCTTGTGCCTCGGGTAAAGGCGCCCCACCTCTTGACCGTCAGCCTGCCGTGAGTTGCAAGCTCGACTTGCGAAGCGTGTAATTATATGGACACAGTCTGATGTTGTGCTGCGCGTCGTAGTCCTGACATTTGAGGAGAGAACACGCTGTCATACACAGACGCGATGCTGGCAGAACTCAGAGTACGGAGCAATGTCAAGCCCATCGATCCCATTTCGGATCCACGCGTCAGTCATGAATTTACGGTCCTAAACGGTCACCGCTATCATTACTTGCTAGGCGTGCCCAAGGATGGAAAGTTCAAGTCGACCGTCTTTCTCATCCATGGTTGGCCGGATCTCGCAATAGGATGGCGCTATCAGATCCCCTACCTAATCGAGATGGGGTGTCGCGTTGTCGCGGTCGACATGATGGGCTACGGCGAGACGGGCGCCCCAGCAACACCACCGAATTCACTCTACCTTTATGGCACCAAGCGCGCGTCGGACGATTTGGCGGAGTTGGCTAAGCACCTTGGGGCAAGCAAGGTCGTGCTTGGCGGCCACGACTGGGGTGGGCTAATTGTATGGCGATTCGCTGCGTGGTATCCAGAGCTTGTGTCTCATCTGTTCGTCGTCTGTACGGCGTACACGCCACCGAGCAAGAACTACATATCGACTGAAGACCTTGTCAAGGGCCCGATGCCCCAATTCGGCTATCAACTGCACCTCGCCAGTGGCGAAGTCGAGAAGCGTCTTACGACAAAAGAACACATGAATCAATTCATCCGCGGTGTCTACGGAAAAGCGAGAACGGCAAACAAGGAAGTCGTATTCTCGCCAACCAAGGGTCTTCTCTTTGACAAGCTTCCTCAGCTTGGTCCCACCTACATTATGTCCGAGAAGGTTAGTCAGCGGGAAACCGACCTTGTGCATTTTTCCTGGCTGCTCACTTGCGAATAGGAGTTGGATTACTATGCTTCAATGTATGCCAAGAATGGCCTTCAAGGACCGTGTACGATATAGTTGGCCTGGAAGCAAGACGACCAAAGACTAATCGCTGACAGTGAACTGGTACCGAACACGCAAGGTTAACTGGGAAGACGAAAAAGAGTAAGTCAGACGGACCCAAGTGTGCTACGAGAGATGTTCGCTGACGTGAATTCAAGAATTCTCGACCGGAAGATCATTCAGCAGCCAGCTCTCTTTATCGCCGCCTCGAGGGACAATGTGCTTTATCCATCACTGGCCGCCAAAATGCACCGCGAAGTTCCACAGCTCACCATGAAGGAGGTTGACGGTACGCACTGGGTTCTCGTCGAAAAGCCAGACGAATGCAACGAATTGATAGGAGAGTGGCTCAGGAAAGTGGTTTGGGGTGGCCGCAGCAATTTGTAATCAAAGACGCGATCTTGAGTCTCAGAATTAGAGGCAAGAAGGTACTAGAACGAATGGCCTTTTCCTGAATAAAAAGTTCTTTTTTTTTTAGGAAACTTCTTGCTCCTTTACGTATATATTCAGTCTGCCTGATCGCGTCACTTTTTGTGCTGGATCTTGACGAAATCAACCGTCAGTCGTCACGCGTTGCCAAGTTATTCTCATACGGTAAGTTAACTTGATTCCACTTTTCAATCTTCTTGTGTCCTTTACAAATGAAATCGTATCGCGAATAGTCTTCAAACTCGGTTGCCACTTTTCGATCGGCCCTTCTTGCTGTTGGGACGAGTATGCGCAACAAATTTTTGCTACGGTGAGGTCATGCAATTCATTTATGGTCCAGAAACGTTATTGTTGCGTAGGCCACTTCTGGCATTCAGGGAGGCAGTCTTCCACTGTTTCTATTTGGCCACATTCGAAGCTATCATTCTCGGCCTGCCCGGTCTTGTGTAAGTAGTCCCTCAGCCCGCAATAGCCCCCTCTCGTTTCGGCCAAGATGACCTCGTAGACGTGAACTAATCTGTCACATATCGTTCTTGTGCGGGGACCTGGTAAAGCTTTATCTAGGTCTCTAAGATGCTTCGCTACAGTTCGAGCCTGGAATCGCGCCTTCTTGTACTCGATTCGCTGTTGGCCTAAGTTTCTGAATTCTTGCGCTGTAACACTCCTATCGATGGGAGTTCGTTCTTTCCTTGTGGCGACGTGCGCCAGGTCATCTGCGAATTCATTGACTTGCAAGCTCGCATGTGGCGGTACCGACATGAACTCTACGGTGAGTTGATGGGCAATCGCCAGCTGCAGTAGTTCATAAATGTTCCTCAAAGTTTCCGTCTTCCTTGTACCTAGGTCCTAAAACCAGCGTAAGGCTCGTTCATCGTCAGTGACGATGTAATTTTTGGCAGTGCCTGCGTGCAGACTGAATTCTGGGTTCCTGACGATGGCTTGAAGAGCGGTATGAATGACTTCGAGCTGAATCTTCACGGCGTCAGGTTTGGGTCCCCGATAAATGATGTTTGAAATGCGTAACCCGAATGATGGCAGAGAGTGGATGCCTATTCCTGCTAACTCGTGTCTCACTGCGCCATCGGGAGAAACGCTCACCGCTTCGTCGCAGCTGCTCAGCGCTTCAGCCATTTGCAGTGCCTCTTGCCTGCCTACAATTTTGGGTGTCTGGCCTTGCCATGTGGTTTTCACAAAGGCTGGAATTGGTTCAGTTCCCCTTGGGCCGAGCCGAGCACGCCATACTGGTTATGGGTTGCTTCCATTCGCGAGCAGGATCTGTAACCTTGATCCAGTCGGTTTAGCAGTGTCCAGCTTATTTGCTTCTTGGTCTTGAACTGGAACTGCATCCGATTGTTTCTGAAATGTTCTTGGAGCCGTCCTGGGGTGCTTTCCAAGTCTGCTTCAGCTACCGCGGCTGAGTGAGCTTCCAACTTCAATGTGTCCGTGATTGTTATAGCTCCTGGTTTCAAATTTCTGTAGGTACGTCTTTTGGCCTATTTTGATGCCTCTGGAGCTCATTCTGGGCAGCATAGTCCTTGACGGGTGCGATTGTATCATTGAACAACTGCCGGGCTGTCTGATGGCGGAAGCCTCGGAGTCTTCTTAGCGCGAGAGCCGCCTTTTCTCCTCGTTTGGCTAGTCTTGCTGCATGGAGGCGGAATGTCGGTTTGAAAGTAAAATATATTGTCTAGAAGTTTGATATCCTGCTTCCGTTCCACCGTAATGGCTCCGAATTGAATGCTGCTATCGTCTCGTAAGAGACTCTCCCTGAGTGTGAAGTGTATGAATTGTGTTTTTTCTGGGTCGACCGTCGCCCCGCTTGATTTAGATCACCGTTCAACGAATAGTATGATCTCTTCTTGAAGCCGCGTGGTGTTGGTGCATGCTGTGGGTCCGCTGATCCAGACTGTGAAGTTATCGACGAAACCCATCCTACACAGTGTGCCCGAAAGCCTGCCCGTGATCAAGTCTGCGTTATAAACCAGATACAGCAGGCAGATAATGGGGACTCCTTGGGGAAGTCCTGCATGTGCTATGCTTTTGACTGCTCATTCTGTCCCATTGACCATGACCCGACGCTCTGTGGTTTGAACGAAAAGCGTGGACGTACCATGGGCTCTGGGATTCGCCTCTGGCGTAGCCGTTGAAATTAGGACCTCCTTTTTGGTGCTATTGTAAGCGTCTTTTATGCCGAAAGTTTAATAGAGACATCACTTTTACCGTTTCCAGGCTTAACATTATGTATTGCAGCGCATCGTTAGGGGATCGCTGTTTGCGAGCTCCAAAATGGCAGTTAGGTAGTAGGGCCATGAGTTTCACCCATATATCAGATGCTTATGCCACCGGACCGCTTGTAAGCCTTCCAGAGGTAGGCAAGAAAGGTCCGTCCGTGCTGTTACAAGATTCTCGGAAATGAATTAGCTGCGTAACCAATGTTCCAGCCGTGTTGATTCATCACTGCGATGATGCAGATATGGTAGGTTGCGTTAGTAGGATCTTTAACGCACTTGTCAACACCTCCAGTAGGGCTAGTGATGTAGGCCACCTGCTACTTGTCCACTCCGAAGAAGTCAGCAGTACCATTGATGTGCTTCAGGTCATCAGCAATACAGCTTGGCGCTTTGCCTCCAAGAGTCTTAGTCAGTGATTTAGTGACGGGCAGTCCAAGATGGAGAGGATTGGCAAAGTATCCGAGCTGAGAGTCGACTTCACCAGAGAGATGAGACCAAGAGAGGCCCCAATAAGCAACAAGAAGATCAAGGATGTACTGGGATTCCGTCAGGAGCATCCATGGCAGAATTATTTTAAGATATAATGGGTTATAGTTTCCAATGATGAGAGGTTTCTTGACATTCCTCAGCAAAAAGGGCCTTCTGTGGCGATGTCGTATCTCGTTACCAGGCGTTTTCAAACAGCCACTGCGGGATTCAAGAGGCCTCGTACGACCTATTGATAATTGCTGGCCTTGTCGCATCATTCCGAACCAGCGATTAATAATACCTCACATGAAAAGTGTAACGGCATAGAGCACTGAACAAGATCTCGCTTGAAAGCCCCGGAAACACTTCCGACTGCCTTTTAATGATCGATTGTTGGTCTAAAGCAAATTGGATGCACATTGATGACTTGTCTCTTTTCGCTTGCTACTACGTGAGCTGCTTCAACCCGTAGAGCAGATTTGCAATGGCCCGACCTTCCTCTGCGTCTGTAAAATTGAGCTCTGCTAGTGTTGAGAGTCAGCCTCTAGTTCTATATTATATGAACCCACGCAGAAGCTGAGCGAAATACTCAAAGCCAAGTCACCCACCTGTCGCCACACGCCCTTTTAGCCGGCGACACTTCTCAATACGCAAGCTTATAATACCGGCTATTTCTCTGCACCTACTAATCATTAACGTGTGATATTGCATATATGGGGCGCAAATACACCTGTACTGACGTGAAGCACGCGATCTACTGCGCCGAATTACCAGACCACCAAATGGCACAATTCATAGCCTCCGAGCACTTGACGCCACGCTCTGCACTTTGCTGCTGACTCGACGGGCGTACGAACGGGATGTCGGTGCAAATATAGCGTCAGAAACTCTCTTCAAAGCAGGAGAGGCGGCTTGCACAATGCTGCCGGATCCAGTCAGTCTTTGAAGTATTTGTCAGGAAACAGTATAGGTGGTTATATGCAGCGGGATGGAGCTATTAAGCAGGGTGTTAGCGAAAGGCAATCACTTGTTTACAGCCGGGGCGCAGCTTGCCGCAGGTTATTCCGAGCTTCTGACAGAAAAGTCTCGATCCCAAGAGCAAAGGGCGCTCTCAAGACGACTAAATTCTCCTAAACAGCACAATCTGATGATACCTTGTCTTGCTCTGATATGTGCGTCAATTTACTTGCTTTCAGATCTCTACCAAAACAGCGACCTATGTCAGCAGCTACTAAGTGGCACTTGATTCTGCGAGTGGTCATCTCGCTGAAGAGATGGTGTTTGGGCCTATTAGTGGCGAAGACGTTGTGCTGGGAGTCGTTTTGGGATCACAGAGATGAAGTAGGTCATGGTGTTTCGTTGCAAATATATGCATATTTGGTGGATCAACAAGAAGTTTTCGCTGCGCAGGTCCGCTTCAAGCACCTGAAAAATGCAAGCACGCGAATAAGTCTGGTCTCAAAGTAAACAAGTACTTGCCGGTTCTGGAGATCACCACACGTGAGAAAGAGCTGGTAGCATTAGCAAAGCAAAGAGAATGAGAGCGTGGGTATTGGAATTTATACCAGCGTATGGTGGGACCTCATCTAAGTGACTTTCAATCAAAAAATACTTGATCGTTGCATTGGTATCTGGATCATGATGTAATTTAAGCAGACGTATTGATCCTGGCAGAGAAGTGTCAAGTGCTCGGTGGCGGAATACATTGCCAGGCTGTCCACGTTCCTTCATAGCCCTCTCGTTTTCAGAGTAACCTCAAAAGCGGTAGTTGTGTACTAGATCTGTTGTCACATATAGCACTTAGAGAATGTGTGGAATGTTCACAATATCAGGGAGTACCATGCGCAGGCAATACTGTTCAAGGCCTTGAAGCGGACGCGCCGAGAAGCCTACTTGAGAAATAAAACTTGACAGAAAAAGTGGAGACGATGTGCTTCTGGCGATTTTGCCAGATTTCTTCGGTCTTACGTAGGTAGCTTGGTGATTTATAATTCCCAGCTCACAGCCTCGAGGGAAATGCTGTGATTTGAGTCTCATGAGTGGCTTGAAAGTGATTTGAACGTGATTGTGAAGTTCTATATCAAGCAGCGACAGTTGAAGTGTTAGGTGAGCTGTGCTGCATGAACAAAAGTATATGGACAATATTGATGCTGCTCAGTATACGATAGGCTGCTACTTTGTTGTTGTCGCCTCTGCTGTGAGATCGAGCGTGGATCCCTCGATAGGCCGCAAGGCCGAAATCGGCAACGAATCAACATCTCCATTTCATTTCTTAGAGCTCGACAAGGCTGCAAAACGAGTATCCATCCTCGGCACCACTCTCTCTATAGAAATACACGAGCAGATAAATCAGCATACGAGTCTTTCTGCTCAAGCTCGCCCCACCGAGATCCGAGCAAATATGGCGGCAGCGCCGTCCAACCCGCTTCTTGCAAGCACCACGCCCTCAGATACCAGTCCTGAGATCCAGCTACATCCGCTTGTTATTCTTACAATCTCCGACACCGTCGCGCGGCGCACCATACGAAAGCAAACTGGCCCAATAGCTGGCGCAATACTAGGCCAGCAGAATGGACGTCAGATCACCATGGAGGTTGCCTTCGATAGCAAAGTCGAGGTGGGGCCGGACGGCCAAGTGCAATTCGACAGCAAGTGGTTCGAGGACCGGTTACAGATGTGTAAGACAATGCGCGTGTCATTAAACAAGACCGAAGCTCATGCGCTAGCAGATAAAGAAGTGTACAAAAACCCACAGCTTGACTTGGTCGGCTGGTGGACATTGGGTGCGGCGGCAGGCCCCGAGCAGCGACATCTACCAGCGCAAATGCAGATCCAAACAGAGTACAGCCTGGAATCAGCGCCGCTCCTCCTGTTCCATCCAGAGATGGTTGAAGTCTCTAGTGGCACCGAAGGAAAGCTGCCCCTCACAATCTACGAGACGGTCTGGACCAGCGACAACAACGGCATGGACGTTGATGGTGGAGAACGCAACCACAACCTGAAATATCGTGAAGTCCGATACACAATAGAGACTAGCGAGGCAGAAATGATCAGTGTGGATTTCGTGGCTCGGGGTGGAGGTAATGCCACAGCGGTGGATACTTCGTTCTCGAAGGTACACAACGCAGGGGACGCCAACAGCAAGGCATCAGCGGCAGCCGGGGCCAAGGGCAAATCCAAAGACGACTCCGCAGAGACACAGAAGAATGGAATATCACGCGAAGCATTTCACCTCACGACTGAGGAAGACGAGCTCCTCGCCACCCTGACCGCCAAAGCAAGCGCAATCAAGATGTTGCAATCGCGGCTCAACCTGCTGACTGCGTACCTCAAAAACCTACCTCCCAGCTACCTTTCCGACGCTTCTATACCGCTGGACCCCTCCAAAGGCCTCGAGCTAAACCACCCTTTGCTCCGCTCCATCAACGCGTTACTCGCACGTCTTCCGCTTCTAACGCCGCCAGATACTGTCAGCTTCACTCGAGAATCCGAACAGACAGCCTCAGATGTTGAGCTTGTCTCTCTACTGTCGAGCCTGACAAGAACAGTTCAAGACGCGAAGGAGTTGGGGAGGAAATGGAATCTAGCCGAGCCGAGGAAGTCTCGCGCCGGCCCCGTAGGGGGAGGTTTTGGAGCGAGCGCGCTGTCCGAATTCATCGATGAGGAAGCTAGTGGAGTGGGCATGGTCGGCGGCTTCTGAGGCTGATAGACATCGCCGGAGAGGGCTGAACTTTGGAGAGCCCGGAACACCTAATTGAAAGTAGTCTCATGACACGACACGATTCACGACGTCAACGTCGATTTTGAACACTCGGACGATCTCCGGATCAAAGCATGCTGAGGCCTTGAATAACTGCGGGATTGTGTTGATTGAAGATTAGCGCTGCATTACATGGTGTGGATGTGTGAAAATAGCACTAGCCGTTGATTATGCTACATCAGACACAGTCGTCCCTCGTAGTTTGGGGGCCCGGAGTGTTAGGCAGTGACGAGACTCTCAGTCTTTTACAATGCAAAGCACGGGAGAGTTTTTTTAATACTTTCCAACGTCTCCCAAAGATCCTTTCCCCACCTCCATTAAAGAACAAAAACCAAAAAAAATAACGCCGTTCGAAATGCAAACATTGCTTTCAGCTTCGTATTCATAGTCATACATACGAGAGGTCGGACTTTCCTAGAGCGCGCGCTCAGATATATGACACCTTCGTGCCCATGCCGACGGTGGCCGCGATCTTGTCCCAGGACTTTCCGAGGGCCCGCTTCAGCCTCTCCCTGATGTCGCGCCGGCCGAATGCAAGCGCGAACATGAGCAGGAAGAGAAGCATGCGCATGAGAGCCATTGGGTTGTTTGCAAGCCCTTGGCCCATGTTGAATATCACGGCTTGGATGTTGGATAGGATGGCAGCGGCGCGTTTGTACAGCGTCTGCTGCGGGGGCGCGGTGTTGTCGTTTCGCTGTCGGGCGACCTGATTCTTCTTGCTGGGGATCGCAGCCGACGGTCTTGAGCGAGGGCCAGAAGGGCTTTGGGGAACAGGTCGGGTGCTCGAGCTGGCGACTCCGGTGGGCGATGCAGCGTCGGGCGGTCGCTGGGGGTATTTCCTAGCTTCTTCCCGGCGTCTCGCTTCCTCTTCGGCGCGCTTTGCCTCTGCTATGCGTTGTTCCTCTTGCAGTCGTCGCTGCTCTTCCAGTTGTTCCCTCTGCTGTTTTTGGAGCTCCCTCTCTCTCTTCTCGGCATTCTCCTGCTCGTCCTTCAGACCTTGCAAGGCTTGCAGAAAGGCTTCCTTGCGTTCCTCGTCGAGCACTTCGGACATGAGAATGAACTCGCGCGCGTAGTCCCACTCGCCGTTCCGAGGAAGGACGTGCAAGGTGTACAGCTCAAGCAGCTTGACATTGGATTGGAGATCTCGTGGCGTGTTCGTACCAGATGCACCGCTAGGTCGACGGGTGAAGCCTCGAGCTGGCGTTGAGAAGTGTGCCGCTATGTCAAAGGAGGGCTGTGAGATGGCCGCGAAGTAGGCCTCGAGACGCTGCTGATTAAGCTTTTGCGATGGCGAATGGGTCAGCAGCAAGGTGGCTCTACAGAACTGTCAGCGTTCTCGAATCGCGGCTTGTAGAGAGATGCAAAGAGGGACCGTACAAGTTGATGACAACGTCGGCGTCAACAGCACCCTCGTTGCCTCCGTAGCCGTCTCGGACAATGTCCTCCCACACTGTTCCATCACGCGCCTTGTTCACCAGCTGCTTCCATCTCACGCTTCCAAAGGCGTGCTTTCCCTCCTCGGGGCCAAGCTCGACGACGGAGTTTAGGAAAGTCAGGTAGAAGCTCCAGACTTTGATCCTCGTGCCCCGGCTTGCCGAAGCTATGGGTGCCAGTGCATGCGAGTTGCCGTTCCCATGCTCCGAATGCTGAGGCGTGATCACGGCCTCGATTGTAGACAGCGCCTCCGGTAAGCGGCGCGTGAGGTACAAGTTGGCCGCCTGTCGGTACGTCTTTGCGATGTGTGAGGTCTGGTGCCGCGAGGCCTGCAGCGAGCCGGTTGACGAGAGGATACCGGAGCCGTTGGCCCACGAGTCCTCCTGGACCGTAGGCATAACTTCGGTCGCGCCTCCGCCCAAGTTCATTTTTTTTTTCGAAATGGTCTACAGGAAGCGCGGCATTGTCTGCTGGAGGATGCACCTGGGGAAGTGGAGAGCGCGTCTTTTGGCCGTGGTTTAGACTTGGACCATGACAGGAAGTGGACGCATTCACGAGGACCTCGGCACGACCCTTGCACACCTCTTTGTTGAGCCGAGACGCACTGTTGCTGTGCAATAAGAAGACCTCGACGGTCAGCGTTGAAATGGCGCCGAGTCAATTTCACAATTCAGTTCGCTTTGGCCCAGCAAGTCCTCGCACGATACCGAGCTCTCATGGCCAAAACTTGGAGTTCTAAACGGCCTCTCTCACTCTGGACTTGCCGCGGCCTTCGTGCTAAAACGACTTGGACGTAGGACAACAACCGTGCTCCACGTTCAACAGCTAATAAGGCGTATACGGAGGCTCGATCTCACTCAGCACAGTCCGCGGCAATCCAAGCAAGGCGAATTGTACGTGCGGCTCCTGGACCAAAGTCCAGTATGCTTTCGCTCGACGTACCAACGGCCACGGACGGCCGTCTTTTCAGCGGTCAAGCGACACACCGCCTTTGATTGCCTAGCTTTTGAACATTCGCGACGAATGCACTGTCCGATAGGCTTCTGAACTCCAAGCATCTAAAGCTAGACCTGAGAGACCTCGTGACTTTATCCTTGATAGTGAGTTCCTTTGCAGACCCAGGCCAGAGCTCGATGGAATGCTCAACACATCTCTTCCCCCCCAAACCTTTCAACGCACGTTCATCTGGTCTCGTACTTTACCTTATCCCGGCATCGAAACACCTCCCTTCGTCGTCCACCAGGCTCAAGCTTCGCTCGTCTCTCTGTAGTCCCATGCCGTACCCAGATCGAAACACGGTCGGGCCACGAATGCAATCTCATTGTCTCCGACGGGAACACCGATGTAGTCTTCTGTAGGGAAAAAAAAAAAAACAAGACATCTCCTAATCTAAGCTTGTCTCGTCCGTGAAACTGTGCTTTTTCGTGTATGTACTTATGTACATGTAATTCAGCCGCTTAGACCTCGAGTTTCGCAGCGCAAGCCCACGGACGAGACGAAGTCGCCTCGCAGCCCCCTCATACTGCTTTTGACGGGCACAGATACCGTCGAAGAGCTGCTGGGCACTCGGCTCGCGCTCCAAAAGGGCACAGCCACTCGAATCAACAGGATATAAAAATGGCGACACGACGGGCGTTGGCCGCACAGTCAATTCTCGAACTGTCGCGTCCGAGGTGGCGTGCGAGAGACGTGTGTGACCTTGCTCGAGATGATTGCTGCTACGGCTGTGTGCTGCCATAACGTGCGGATGCTTTGAGATTTAGAAGTTCAGACTGGTACAAGACAGGTACAGATAAAAAATTAAAAAAAAAAATAAAGAAGAAGAAGAAGAAGAAGAAGAAGAAAAGCTAAATCAAAATCGATTCTCAGCTCAACGATGGAAATGTTCACGTGTCTAAATTTGACAACAATCTGGTTACGATTGCAGATCATGTAAGAGTGACAGACGAGCCGCCCAATGCCGCTGAATCGATCGGGGTATGACAGAAATCTAAAACTACCTCATGTTTATGATCCAGCGCCGGTTGAATGCAAAATGTAAAATGCAGTAGATCCGGACCACTAGTGTCCGCTCTTCGAACGATGTCTATGCTTCTCGAGGTCCTTGCAATACTTCACAAACGCCTTTTTGTGTATCTGGTCGCGGGTCAGCGCCATTCATGCAATGTCCCAAATTGTGCAAATTGAAATGGAAGAAGAAGGAGGGGAAGGGGGAAAAGAGATGGACGAAGGACACTTACCATGCCGGCATACTTGCCCTCTCGGTCCGCACAGATGAACCTCAGACCGAGTTTAACGAAGCACTCGTACACCAAATCCATTGGGCTATGCACATCCAGCCGCATGGGAGCTGGGTCGATAAAGGACGTGAAATCTGTGGGGTCGTCTTCTTCGTCATCAAATCCACTACGAGCGTTTTCCCTCCCTGAGGACGCTGCGAATTTGGCCTCTCGGCTCATCAGACACAACGTGTTATCCTCGTTCTCCAAACGGTCGAGCGCAAACTCAAGATCCGGCGTTGGTATCAACCCTACCAAAGCACCGTCTTTGATGATGGGCAGGCCGCCGTCAAGCTCTCCCGCCATGTGCAGAGTCTCCACCTGCACCCGCAATTGCTTCGCGGGGATGAGGACGGAATCTGTGATGTCGATGATACGTTCCTCGCGAAGGTGACGGGGCACGATGTCTCCCAGTTCGCCGGTGAACACAGGCCGAACCTTGTTGTCCAGGAAAGGGTACGAGTTCATGTCCGTGAGAAGATCGTATATGCTGAGAGGCTCAATCGCATCGGCCGTCCATTTGGCAACGAGAACGCCAACAGCGAAGGGCAAGACGTGGTCGAGCGAGCCAGTGAGTTCGAAAAGGATGGTTGCAAGAGTGACGGTGAGGCGCGTGACGCCACACATGGTGGCTCCAGCAGCAACCATGGCGTAGACACCGGGCACAACGCAGTCCTCCGGTACACCCTTGGCTCCGCAAGAGCCAAATAGATCGTTGTGCGGATTTGACAGTGCGATATATTGTACTATGTGGCCAACAAGACGGCCCAAGAGACCGCCGACAACCATGGAGGGCACGTAGATACCTGCTGGGACCTTGATACCAAACGAGATGGTAGTAAGCGCGGCTTTGATGATGAACGCTACGAAGAGATACCATATGACGGTTGGGATCTGTTCCATGGTTGGGCACATGCTGACACCGGAGTCGTCGTACGCATCGCACGGCGATGCCAGTTCCAAAAGGAGTTCTGTCACGGGCAAGCGCGTGTACTTGTTCCACCACGTCACCAAGCCTGTGACCAAAGCAATGATGGCCGTCTCTATGAGGGGATACCTCTTGATTACGCCGATGCGACGGAATGTCTGAGCCCAGATACGAGTTGCTTTGATGAAGAGGGCTCCGAGGACACCTCCCAGGATGCCCAGGATCACGAAAACGATCATCTCGAAGGTGTACCAGTCGGTGATGTAGCGCACCTCGAAGATGACAATCTTATTTGTGCCATACGGGTTCAGAAACTTGAGCGACATGGCGGCGATGATGCAGCAGAAGAACGTCCTGAACATGGTCTTGGAGGGGAAGTAGTAGCTGACTTCTTCGAGGGAAAACAGGACGCCGGAGATGGGGGCGCCGAAGGCGACCGCGACCCCGCTCGCGGCGCTGGCGCTTAGAATCTCACGTCTCTTGGCGTCATTGTCGCGATACTTGGGGAAGAAGCGGCAGATGATGTTTCCCAAGCATGTGGCGATGTGGACGTAGGGACCTTCCTTGCCAATGCTGAGACCGGCCGCTATGCTCAGAACCAGCGCCAGCGACTTGATGACAAGAGTCTTCAGACCGAGATAGCCATGCAACACAAAGCCGCTGATGATGACCTTGATCTCAGCCACGCCGCTGCCAGCGGCAGAATAGAAGACCATGGCGGGGCGGTCCTGGGCCTCCTTGTACCGTGTCTGGGGGCTCTTGTCCCGCTTCGAGGCTTCGTCATTGTTCTGGATGCGCATGTCGTCGGCGCCCAGGTTCTCGTCCAGCGTCGAGATCTGGATGTTGGACGGGACGACCGTCTTCGTCATCATGGTGAGTACGCACGAGGCGAGCGCGAAAAGTACGGCGAAGGAGACGAAGAAGACGTACTCGACCAAATCAGAGTCCAGGCCGTGGTCGGGCAGCACGATCGACGACCAACTCTTCCACTCTTCGCAGCGCGTGGCGCCCTGGCAGCATCGCTTTCTGTTCGAGGACCACGAGTAGCTGCAGTAGCCGAGTTTGTAGTCGAAGATGGTGGCCTCGCTTACGGTCACGAAGTATGCAAGACTTGCTGTGAGTATGCCGATGATGGCAACGAGCAGCCATGCCTGGCCGCCGTCAAAGAACCGCTGTATCCTACCCCGCCAATCTTTTCGTGCATACAGCGCCTTTACGCGGAAGGCGTCCGCGATGCTGTCGTGCACCCAGTCGATGCTTGTGAACTGGTCGTACCACACGCGATCGTCGACCCAGAAGGAGTGTTTGGAGGTCTGCAGGTCCGCGTCTGTACACGACACCATGGGTCAGTAAGAAAGCTTGGAAGACAAGGCACAGGTGGGAGAGCAAGGAGAAGGGCTCGACGATGCTACCGTACCACTCGCCGTCATGTCGTTGTTCCGCTCCCTGATCAGCGCGTTGACCAGACGGTTGCTGAAGCTGTGCCCGACCGAGCCCCTGCGGTTGTGATATCGCCCGCTGCCAACATAGCTGTGCTGCCTTCTCAGGCCTGGCGTTCGCAGGGTGCGGGGCGTGCCCGGCGTGGAAATGTTCCTGGTGTGGTATGTTCTTGTGCCATCGGGGTGGGCGAGCAAACTGCTGCTCTCGTCGGCGAACTGGAGTCTGCTTCGCGTCCGTCTGAACCACAGCGGCGACTGGGGCGTTCGCGAGGCGCGCGTGTCCGAGTCCAAGATCTCTTCGCTGTCTTCTCGGGTCAAAGGGGAGAAGAGATCCGCAGTGTGGGGCTGCCCCTCGTCACCGCTGGCGTCCTCGTCGAAGCTCCTGAAGGACTTGGGCATGGTCTCCCGTCTACGCGAGGAAGCTCGAAGTCTCAAGGAGGAACGAGAAGAAAGCTACTTGGGGGCTTGGGGGGGAGTCATCAGCAAGTCCTGGGCGTCTGTCACGCCCCACGATCATCGGAAAGACGACACGCTTGGTATTCGTGGCGTGGAGGTTGCAGGTGACACTTCTTTTCTTGTGAGGCGGCCGAGTTGGGCGTGAGAGCTCTCGGGACGACGCAAGGTACCGCTGCCGAAGGGCTCGGGCGGATGGGCTGCGCGCGAGCCTGAACGGATTGCGACGCGGAAATGACGGCGGCCTGTGTGTCCAAGGACGAGCAAAGAAAGGCCAGCAAAGAGCAGCAAGAATAGTAAATACATAGAGCGCAGAAAGCAGGACCCGAGATGTGGGCTGCGTGGTCCGAAGCGGCGAGCACAGCGACCGATCGCTGCCGTCACGGACGAGGGGATTTGTGCGGGATGCGCGCTTGACGCACTCTGGCGCCGCCGACTCGTTCAGACACGTCGGGCTTCCGCTTAACGTGCCTCTTTCTGTGGAGGATGCGCCCGCGCTGCGAAACGCAAAGAAACGAGCAAGCGAGCTGGCGCTGCGGCCTGACATCACGGCATGACAGCGGCCAGCGCGTCACCGCACGCCTGCGGCCCGGTCTGGTCTGCTTCGCAGCCAGCACATCGCCCCGTTCTGAACGCGTGCGAGGCTCCGACGCGCCTCCTCTGGATTCGACTGGACCTGAGCTCGAACCTGGGCCTTGCGCCTGGAATCTGAGTCGCGGCCTGGACGTGATCTGCGCTGTTGCTGCGTCGGCGGAACGAGCCCTTTGGACCTGAGCCTCTTCGTCCTGCTGCTCGCGGGCGCCAACCGCCCCCGGCCCGCCTGCGCTGCGGCGCCTGGTCTGAACCGCGGTGGACCACTGCTGCAAACCCCTCCTCCTCCCCTCGTGCAGCAGGAGAGAGAAGACGGAAAAAAGTAAAGAAAGGTTCAAGAAAACAGGCCCGTCGTGTTCCTGGCTCAGCTGCGCAGCTCGATCCCATCCCTCCAGACACACCCTCTTGGCCAACTCGTGCCCTCTCCGTTCGTCTCCAGATCGGTTCCCCTCCAGCCTGAGCCAATCGTCCCCTGCTCCCGCTGATCCAAGCCTTGTGGACGGCAAAGAATGGTGCGGCCGGAAAAATCGTGCCAGGCAAAGGCTGACATGCGCTCGCAGGCACCGTTGTACGATCAGTTCCTGCTGTTCGGTGACTCCATCACCGAATTTGCCGAGTGTCACGACGGCGGCTATGGCTTTGCCGCCGGACTGAGAGACTGTAAAGCAAGCCCGTGAACACGATCTGCACAAAGTCCGGCAGCTGAAGAATGCTCTGTAGCGTACATCAGGAGGCTCGAGGTCGTCAACCGCGGCCTGAGGTAAGATACAGCTGGCTGAACAGCCCTCGTGGATACCAGAGCGTCGCCTGAGCTTGAATTCAGTGGCTACAACACCGACATGGCCTTGCGCGTCATATCCAAAGCGATCCCTCGTCCGGACGAGGGCCGCATCCGACTGATGACCGTCTTCTTCGGCGCGAACGACTCCTGCTTCCCGACAGAGAGCAACAACCAGTGCGTGCCGCTCCCGGAGTTCCGCTCCAATCTGATCAAGATCATTCGCAACCCCGTCGTGGCAGCCCACAATCCACGCATCATCTTGATCACCAACCCTCCCGTGGACGAGAGGAAGCAGTACATCCTCGACACCGCCAAGGGGTACCCGCTGAGGCGCACGGCGGAGAACACAATGAAGTATGCCGAAGCGATTCGAAACGTGGGAAAGAGCCTCAACGTGCCCGTGGTCGACATATGGACCGAGATCATGCTCAAGGCCGGCTGGACCCCGGGCCAGACTGAGGGTCTGCCCGGGTGCAGAGACGTCCCTCCGAGCGACGTGCTCGAGGAGTATCTGTTCGACGGTAGGTTTCATCTCCTGCACGTGCCTCAATTTTTTTCTGTCTTGGGAGAGGCCTCCTTGTTAAGTAGGTTTGTTAGGATTGCATCTCGCGCCTGTGGGCTATCATCTGCTATACGACAAGATCCTCGAGTGCATCGCCAACACGTGGCCGGACCAGCTCCCGGAGAACCTACCGTACGTTCTTCCACGTTGGGACGACGGCGACGCATGGCGTCTGCGCGGCGAGACCGACCCCAGAGTCATCTACCACCGACCGCGCGCCTACGTGGACCCATTCACCGGCGCCAAAGTCGCTGGCAACGGGACCCAAGTCGCTGGCAACGGCACCCGTTAAATCGCCTGACAAGAGTCTCCCTGCAATGCTTAGAGCCCTAACCTCCTTAGATTCCAAGAAAACGAAACGAACGAGAAAGTCAACCATAAAAAGAAGAAGAAGAAAAAATAAAACATTTGAACCGTAAGTCTTTTGGTGTGGCACTTTTGATGAACCTGGGTGGAAATATCTTATGTGCTTGGGAGGCGAGTAGTGCGTGTGCAGCGCTGGGAATGTACCTCCCGGTGTCTTCTGGTCACTGTTTTGATACCCACTACCGCTACATAACAGCAGGGCTGGCATCATTTTGACCTTCCTTTTCCCCGTCCCCCCCCCCCCCCCCCCCCCTCCCCCCTTTCTGGCACCGCGTTCTGAAAGCACAAGAAGGCACATACGACATCTCGAGCAAGTCACACAATACGTCATGTTTTGATCCTTTTGTCGATCATGCGTCATACCACGCCATAGATCTCTTTCTCAACGGGGGACTCCTTCACATTGATATTCTTGGCTGGAACGCCGTCTCTGCTTAGCTATAAACATATAGAAACAGCATGACCATTCGTTCATCGCTTCCAGCAATCCTGGTTGTAAGTCTCCTGTGTGCATGAGTAGTGCCAAGTGAACTGGCTAGTCTCCAGTAGAGAGGCAAAAGTAAGATATATCATCTTGCCCAAGTAAGCACCTCCTCTTTCTTTCTTTCCTTCGCGGTAAAAGAGAAAGACGCTGGCCAATTTCGAGGCTGTAGTGGTACATGGACGTCTGCAAGGCGTTCCCCAGGTGGCATCGGCCAGCGTCAAGCGAGATCGAAGAACGCGCTCAATACGTCCTCGCCAAGGTCGGATTCCCACCTCTCCGTACGGCCGTCTACGGCCTGGCTCTGTCGCGAAGAGCGCCGCAGCCATTGTGTCACCACGTCGGTGGACTCGGCGAGCTTCACGCCGCGCGTGTGAAAGAACCGCCTTTGGCCCACGAAAGGCGCAGCGTCGAGCGTCCGCCTCACGAGGTGGGCGCCCATTTCCGAGAGTCGGTCCTCGATCCAGCGTATCCAGTCGCCGCCGTAGCCATGCATGCGACGGTGCTTCCGCGGCGACAAGTCCTCCGCGTCGACGTCAAGCACGACCCTGATCCGGCGGCAGTCTTGGATCCCCGGCAGCATGTCGAGGAATGCCTTGAGCCCAAGCAGCCTGTTGACTCCCTTCACGTGCCTGGGGTGGCAAACGAGGTCGCACAGCTTGACGCTGACTTCGAACGTCATGGGCAAGCGTGGACCGACGGCATCCAGACATTTGAGAAGCAGCTCCTGCGGAATAAGCACGACTTGAAGGGCTGGAAACCGAAGCAGCAAACTTTGGATCTTGGCTGCACGATGAGCAACTGCACTGTGGGCCTGTGACTGACGTGAGCGAGACGTACTCGAAGAAGAGTTGAAATCTGAAGAAGAAGAAGAAGAAGAAGAAGAAGAAGAAGAAGAAGAAGAAGAAGAAGAAGGGATCCAAAAAAAAAGTTACTCACGAGGGAAAGCTGGTTCCTTGAAATACAGCCCGCAGGGGCAAACTCCAGACTCCGCAACGTGTTACGAGAGGTAGCCTCGTCCGCCAGAATGCTCAAGCCAGTTTCAAGCTCCTCCAGAGACAGCAGGCCCCTCCTTTCGTTGGTGAAGTCGATTCCGTCCGCGGAGCTGAACATTTCGCAGCGGAAGCGCCGGACGTTGCACCACACGCTGTCACTCCCCACATGTTCGACCTTGAAGGGGCGGTAGACGTTCGTCTTGACAACTAGGTGGTCCAGCCGTGAGTACAGCGGCTTCGTTGCGCGGTGTCGCCCAGCGTCTCCTAGTAGCGGCATGCGAAACAAATCAGGCCGGTCCGTGGTCAAGAATCGAACCGTACACGGCAACGTCAGCAGAGCTTTGGGATGCACCGAGCCGTACGTCAGCACCTCTAACTTCGTCAAGTTCGTGCATGTTCCCAGAAGGTCAGGAATCAAACCGTGTATATCGTCTTTGTGATCTGCCTATGCAGTCTCATCAGCGTTTGGTCGGCGTAAGTTCCGGACATTGGTTGAGATAGAGAGAGGTTCATGTGGCATGCTAGCCAGTTCTTGTACTGGCAGAACTGATGTTGGCATGGAGATTCATGGCTAGACGTACGAAGATCGTCAGACGATATGTGTATTCAAGTCTCTCATCCGCCCTTGCCCGGACGCAGTGGCCGAATCTCTCCTTCCTGCGGGACAGCTCGTTCTTGCAGCAGACGGAGTAGATCTCATTCAACGGAAGGCTCAGGTCGACGTGACCCCAGATGGCTCGGATTGCGGCGCCGTACGTGCCGCGATTCGAAAGGAACGCGCTCAGCTCGTGTCGCTGCAGGAAGCTGAAAATGCGGTCCAGAATTTCATTCGGAAGGTCCGCGAAACCTGGCTTGTGAACCTCAGGCGGCGTATGCCGTCCTGTGCACGCTTGGGAACTCTTCGGTGCCCGCGGCACCTGTAGCTGCGGCGCCTGTGGTGACGGTGTTCTGCTTGTGGGCGAGATGTTCTGTGGAGAAAAGGAAGCACGCCTACGGCGCAACAATGAATTGCTTTGACCCATTTCCATTATGGTTTAAGTGAGCAGTGCCTCTATTCTCTGTTAATTATATAATGGAATGGGTAGTATGTTTGAATCAGATGGGCGGAGCTTTCGATGAGTCAAAAATCAGGCGAGACTACCAATGTCGCCCAGCCGGGACACCGCGTAAATGTCGGCCTCATATCTTTGAGTAAACTGACCAAGGCCAGATTCAGGGTAGCAACTATGGGATGAACCCATAATGAATCCTCTCCGCTCTCATGCATGTTTTGGTCATGCTTCTGCGAAACATCAAAAGGCGTGTGGCGCTCTTATCAACAATGTGTCCATTGGCTCTATTCTATTCGTCTTTATTAGAATGACTCAGAACTTGGGTATATCAGCATTTCACATTCATCCAACATAGATCTTAACTCGGCTCTTGACTTTCGCTCTGCAGCACGGGCATCTGACTCCTTTGTCCCGTGGCCTCGTCTTGTCATGCTCCTTCGTCGGCACCCACTGGTCAGCACACCATTCACACATGCTTAAATGCCCGCACGGTAGACACGCTGTATCAGCAACTTGCTGAAGACAGATCTTGCATTCCAACTTGAAACGCATCGAATCTTCAGTTTTGGGCTCTGGTCTTCCGTCCCCATCTAAGCCGACAAAGATCGGGGCTTCCGGCTGGAGAGCTGGTGGTCTAAAGCTTGCAATGCGAATCGCATCCGCAGGCGAAGAGAAAGTGGTTGAGAGCTGGATGCGAAGTTCTACAAGTTCCTCAGGAGACATGTAATCAGCGAAGCGGCTTAGGTAGTCATCCCATGCTGCATCAGAGGCGTTTTCTCGAGTGGGTTGCGTAAGATTAGCTTGTTGATTCGTATTCGATAGCGCAGCTGATTGCGAGGACTGCACGAAGGTATGTGAGTCGCCAATGTATTGACCGCGCCTTGGAGTCTCCTGAACATCAGAAACCGTAGTCTGAGATGGCTGCGGGTCGTTAGGAGGTGCAGCAGTATCATCACGCTGTTGTTGTCGCTGTGAATCTTCGAAGCTGCGCGGTGCGTCTTGTTGTTCTCTGAGTGCACGTTGTCTCTCCGCCATCTGCCGACCCCATTGCGCTTGGCGAATGAACATGCTTGTGATTGGTGATACGTAGTCGTCGCTCTGCACGTCTTCTCGTGTACCAAACACCCGGGCAAAGTTGCCGGCAGTGATCTGTTGACGCCTGATGCGGCGCAATCGCTCTCTAACGGCAGCCAATTCCGCATCGGCATTGTTGAGCCTTGCATGTGCACGATCACGGACTCTTTGTGCAGCTTCAACAGCAGCCTCAGCTTCTGCATACGCTTCATCTAGCCGCGATCGTCCCTGTTGAGCAGTTCGAGAAGCGTGGCCGCTGCTAGTTTCATTTGTATGGGACCGAGAGCCTACTGATTGAGACGCAATCGGGCTGCCTGATGGTAGCGAAGCTTCTTCTTCGTCCTCGTTGGCTTCTTCGATCAGTTGATCCAGGGCATTCTCTAACGTCACGTGTGGTGTTGAATCTGCTATAGTAGCGACTTGTTCTCTCCGCCTAATGTCGCTTTGCAAGATGTTTCTTCTTCCCGATTGCAACTCCTCCATTGTCCTTGGCAAACAGCCCGGATCCGCATCTTTCAAAGGTTCGCCTTGCAGCGGAATTCTCTCTTCTCTGCCGTCCTCCGTCACCACAATACGATAGCCTTGGTGGAACTCGAACCACCTTTCGACAAATTCCGTCTGATCTGGATCTTCCGGTATTTTTGTATCTGATGGCGATAGCCCTGCAGCAGCCACTCTGGTATCCCAAAACGTTTTGCAGAACCAACAGTAGCTTTGCCACCTTGTGCCTCGCTGTACGAAACCCACTCCGTCTATATACACGCGATACGTGAGGGAATGCGGCCTCTCGTCCGCACACGCACAACATTTAGGCGTCGAAGTCAGCCTACACGAGGAAGGAAGCTTGTGAGGGCAGTGTTCCGCAAGGCGAGGACAGTCGGCGGTGAGGGTGCCCATAGTGAACGAGTGAAGTGATGTAAATTAAATGTGAAAATAAAGAAAATGTGCGAAATCACGTTAGAAGGGGTATGCGGCTTGCCATCGTAGCAAGCGCAAGATCTTTTATAACAAGAGGAAAGCAAGGTTGAAAGGCTGGTTATGGTGATGATGTCTGTCTTAGGAACTGCGGAAAGTTAGGGCGTATTTTTACTCCGCAATGGGTAAGCTAACGTTCCTTGCATGGAGAACGAGGGTCTAGAGGGGTCACAGCCTCGATTTAACACAACAATATGGTGGAGGCCGCTTAAGAAGACATCATTTGAAAGCACCAGTCCGCCATATTCATACTTGTATCTTCTCATGAGATCTGCTTCGTCATTCAGACTAGGACATACACTACAGTATCTTCGACATCTTTGCCGCCTGCCGCAGCGCCTTTCTGTCCGAGCCATGACAACATTTAGGCTAGAAAATTCGGAACCGCCATGCAGCGTGATACTTTGCGCCGGCCTATCGAAAGAGGCTCTACTGAGCCATAAGCCATTTCAGCAGTGGCTAAACAGTCTGCAGACAAACCTCAAAACGCAAAATAGTGAAAACCATGCATTCAACAAGGCGCCATACGCCTTGAGATCCATCGAGATTCAGGCCGTCGACATGTTCGGCCACAACAGGATTGGCTTCATCAAGTTCAAAGCAAACGTCACCAATGATGAAGGGGAGTTCCTTCCAGGCGCTGTATTCCTGCGCGGCGGAAGTGTTGCGATGCTGGTAAGAGAATACATTCATTTGCCTCAGGCTTGGCGATGACTCACGCTAAGACATAACAGGTTATCCTTCAGCCGGATGATGTGCCAGAAGCAAGTGATGAGGAGCAATACACGATATTGACTATACAGCCGCGTATTGCAGCCGGCTCATTAGCTTTTCCTGAAATCCCGGCGGGCATGCTGGACAATGCCGGTACATTCTCCGGAGGCGCAGCCAAGGAGCTGAGAGAGGAGACAGGCCTTGAGGTCCATGAAGATGAGTTGATAGATCTGACTGCTCTTGCGGCGGATTTATCACCTGGTCCTCCCGGCGAAGTTCTTCAAAATGCCGTGTACCCTAGTCCCGGAGGCTGCGATGAGTTCATCCCTATTTTCCTATGCCGCAAGCGAATCGCAAGAGAGAAGTTGCGGGATTTCCAGGGCAAATTGACAGGACTCAGGGACGAAGGCGAGAAAATCACGTTGAAGATTGTGAAGCTGAACGAGCTATGGAAAGAAGGCTGTAGAGACGGGAAAACTTTGGCTGCTTATGCTCTGTACTCAGGTTTGAAAGGCGAGGGAAAGATATGACGAATTTTCTACGGAATTGGCTGCTTTGTATTATAACATTACTTGCAATTCGCTCAACGGTCCTGAACGGCGCATATTTTGGGGGTCAAGAAGTGAGAGGTTAGACTAGACTTTGTGGCTCTTTGGTGGGAGATTGGCTGCGAATACATTTGCTGCCGCTGCTTATTCTGCATGGCTATTCGATATGATATTGGAATTAAATTTGTAATCAGCGTAAGAGTAGAAAGACGACAATTCTCAGGATCATATTGACTCATGGAAGCACCTTCTAGGCGAGACACAGTGCAACAGCGACAGACCGTGGCGATGGCTCCTCGGCTACAGAGTTCAGAGAACGGGTCTATCGAGGGTCTATACAATTTCGCAGGAAGGGTTGTGTTCTTTTGTTTTGGAGGTTTACGGGCAAGAACTTGGCTGTGGATCGATGATGCCATGGGCTAAGAGCAGAGAGAGCAAGTTCATTGTTTGTGATACCCACTTTGGCACGTTATACTTCTATAGCATACGAAACCTACGCTCAAGTTTTTGATTTCGTCATGAGAAAACCCCGAATATCATCGAGACAGGCCTAGTAAGAGTTGAGGTTGATGTCAAGCATGTATTCAGTCACGTGATCTGTGTAATGTTCTGATTTGATTACGCGTTTTTGACCAACCAATCAACGTACGAAACGCAACATCCTCATAACCCTTTTTAAAATTGAAGATGGAACGACGAGGGCTTATTGGAAAGCCATCATTTAGGAACATCATGCTTGTCATTATGAGGCGGCAACATGCGGCGCAGGGTCTAAAACCCGTACAGTGACACGAAGTCTATTTTGTCCGTGTTCCGCCAACAACGAACGTTGTCAAACCCTTTTCAGGGCCGCACGGTCAACTTGTCATAGGTACAGGTCGAATGTAGATGCAGACTAAAGGAAACGCCAGCTACACGGCTGTCGAAGCTCTCGAACAAGCAGCCAATGGACCAGATTAGGTGTCAAAGGCCTTCGCGGCCGCGACTTCTTTCCAGCTTCTCTTGCTTCCATTTGTGTCGTCGAATGTGGCATATTCCTTTCAGCAAACAGCTCAACTTTGTCTTTCACGAATGTCCTGCTCAAAGTCCTTCGCTAGCTTCTGGTTCTTTTCTCTCCCTTGCCCGCGTTTTTCAAGACCTCTAGTACTCTTTCTGTCCTCCTCACGCATAATCATGGGTCAGTCACCTTCGACTCCGCTAGCCAACTGCTTGACACAAGCAGTGGGAAGTGGTAACGTTGCATTCCCAGGGCCGTTTTGGGAGATCACAGACGTAAAGCCATACAACCTCGACATCACTCCAAGTCCCGCTGCGATCACTTATCCGTCAACGAATGAGGAAGTTGCCAGCATCATTACGTGCGCGCGGAGCAATAACGCGAAGGTGCAAGCCCGAAGTGGGGGCCACAGTTATGGGAACTTTGGACTCGGTGGTGGAGGTACCACAGATACCGTAGTTGTGGATTTGAAGAACTTCCAACAGTTCGACGTGGATCAGGAGTCGTGGATCGCAACGGTTGGCGCGGGCACATTACTTGGCGACCTTACGGACGAGATGCAGAAATATGGGAGGGCTATGGCCCACGGAACCTGCCCGCAGGTCGGTATAGGTGGACACGCTACTATCGGTACGTGAAGGTGAAGCAGTAGTCCACGTCGGCCGTGTTAACCTAACTGCACACCATCGCAGGCGGGCTAGGACCGATGTCGAGAATGTGGGGAGCAGCCCTCGATCATGTCGTCGAGGTCGACGTAGTCCTTGCCAATTCTAGCATTGTCTCTGCGTCGACGACCAATTATCCGGACGTCTTTTGGGCGCTTAAGGGCGCTGGTGCGAGTTTTGGTGTGATCACACAGTTCAGAGTGATCACGCATGCTATCCCATCGCAAACCGTCCAATACTCATACACGTTCTCGCAAAGGCCCTTCTCTGGCTTCGCGGATCGCTTCAAACTTTGGCAGAATATGGCTGCCGATCCCGCACTCGACAGAAGGCTAGCATCGCAAGTCATCTTCAGCGAGGCCGGCATGATTCTGGAAGGAACGTTCTTTGGCTCGCAGGATGAATTTGACGCGCTAAATTTGACAAGCATATTTCCAGACGCTTCGGACAGCAGTGTTTTGGTTTTCAACGATTGGCTTGGCCAAGCATCTCATTGGGGAGAGGACTTGGCTCTAACACTTGGAGGGGGAATTCCCACAGCATTCTACAGCAAATCGCTCGCATTCACAGCACGGGATACCATGCCGGATACTACTATTGACGCATGGCTAAAATACTTGGACGATGTTGACAAGGGAACTTTGGTGTGGTTCGCAATATTCGATCTTCAAGGCGGCGCAACAAACGACGTTGCCAAGGACGCGACCTCGTATGGCCATCGAGATGCGATTTTCTACTTGCAAGCCTATGCAGTGAACTTGTTGAGAGTATCAGACACTACGAGAGCGTTCGTGCAAGGCATGCATGACGTAATCGCGAACAGCATGCAAGGACACAATCTCGGGGCGTATGCAGGATTCGTGGATCCAGCCTTGCCAAATGCTCAGCTGCAATACTGGAACACAAACTACCCAAGGCTTCAGCAGATCAAAGCGGCGATTGATCCTCAAGACATCTTCCACAATCCCCAAAGCGTACAGCTACCTTGATCAACAGGAAGCGTTTCAGAGCGGATCAAGGGGGCTTGCTGAACAAGGTCGGATCAATGTACTTCAAATAGCATAGAAAAAGCATAACTAGATCATAGGGCTCTTAAGTTTGCCACGAACAGAGCGGCTCGCAAGGCCGACCAGACGCAGTCTTAGCCCCTCTGTCTTGCCTCGAACTCGTCGAACCGCCTTCTGAACTCGTCCGTGTTGCCGCCGCTGAGTCGGCTCCTGTTGTCCTTCAGGACCTCGAAGATGGGGCTTGAAAACGTGGCGACGATGCCGCCCGCGAACGAGTTCTTGTCGATCAGGTTGTGCTCGTCCGGCTCGATGAACTCGAGATAGTACGGGTCCTTGAACGCGTTCCGGAAGCTTTCAAGAGACGGCACTTCCTGGTCTCACAGTAAGCTGGGAGGCTCCCAAACGGCCCGCACCCGGGCTGGACATCCTGCGTACCCATACGACGAAGCCGTCGTACTCCTGCGGCGTCTTGGGGATGTTCTCTCTGTTCGCGTTCGGCGCAGAGTCGTCCATGTAGGGCACCATCTTGCCGGCGCTGTGTTGCTGACGGTACGAGATGATTCCGTGCTTTTCCGCCCACGGTGCCACCAAAGGCGCGTGCACCGTGCCCCAGTGCTTGTAGAACTCCTCCCGGGTAAGCTTTGGGTTTCTCGCAATGAAGGTGACGATCTGCGTGGTGCCCGTGGACGGCATGGTTTATGTGGCCCTGTGGTGAGCGAACGTGGGGCCTGGGGGGGGAGGGATGGAGAGAGGGGAAAGTAGAGCTGGGTCTATTTCTTTCTTTTTTTTTTAATGACAAAAAAGTAGGAAACAAAAAAGCCACGTATCGCCGCTCGACGCGGATATGAAATCCCTCAACTCAAACGTGCCTTTCGTCGGACTGAGGAGCGGATGTACTGGCTCGGGGAAAGAGACGAAAGGAGGGAGCGCGGCAGTACATTCCCGCGATGTGGGCAAGACAAATTCGTGTGCGGAGAGCACAGAGGAGGGGCCGCCTCGAGGTAGCTTTTTTTCTTTTTTTTCCCCTCTCCTCTTTTCATCTTGTCAGAGGCTTTCTCCTTTGCACACTTCCGGCACGACGGCGTTCGGCAGGAATGGGCGTGTGCAGGTTTTGAGCTTCGCAAAGACCGGATGGCTGTTTCGAATCGTTGAAAAGGTCAGCAGTCTCATGGCGTATGCGACCTACCATGAAGAAAAAAAAATCCAGCGAAGAGGAAGAAGAGAAATTAAGGGAACTGGGTGGGAAAGCGACCCAAAAAAAAATGTCTTGATGATGGGGGGTCTTTTTTTTATCACATTAATCTCTACGCAGGCATACATGTAGATACAATAGGTTTTGCAAATCTCTAGAATCCTTTAAAACTTTTTTTTGGCCGTTCCAAAAGTCGAAACAATGCAAATGCTACCACCAAAACCGAAGCAACGCCTCCCCAGGGGAAAAGAAAAGAGCAATACAGAAATCGGGTGCTGTGCAGCTCCATTACCAAAAAAGAGAAAAAAAAAAACAATGGGTGCGTCTCGTCTTGTGCGTGACGGCGCAGGTATCTCAGAAATCCAATCTTTTCAGTAATACAGGACATGAACGACGTGCCACCTTCAGCTCTGGTGATATGCGTAGACTTCAACATGATTGAAGTCTAAATTCTTCCCCCTTCGACCGTGGTCCTTTCAACGAGAACCTCGCCGCCATCCTCACCCGTTCGCCTCCGTTCGAGCACCCACCGGAACTCCCCGTTTTCCTCGTCTCTCTCGCGTACGTACGCAACGCTATCGCTACCGGAGCGCGTATGCCCGCGCTTGTTTTCAGCTACGGTAGGACTGATGGGAGAGTTTGTGAGAGCGAGGGAGCCTGAGCTGCGTTGCGAGTTCGAGCTCGTGGCCGTCGCGACGGGTATGGAAATGGTTGCTCCCCCGTTCTGAAGACTGAGCTGTCCAGTTTGCCGCTGCGAGGCATCATCATTGGCACCGAAAACGTTAAAGCATTGGTCAAGCCTTACAGGGGAGAGGGATGAGGGGCGTTGAGCCGGCTGTGTAGACAACATCCCAGCCTGGATCGTGGGGCTTCCGGAAGGTGGAGTTTCGTCTTCGGGGCTCGTGTTTTCGCCTCCGGCGTTTTGCTGCCATGACTGCTCTTCGTCGCCTTCGTACTCGTCCTCGTCGCAATTAGCCTCTTCAAGCATATTTTCGTCATATTCGTCATCCGCGTCTGGGTCTTCCTCCTCGTGCATCATCATCTGCCGACTAATAGGGCTGCTCCACTGCGGTGTCTGCTGAGGTCTGACGCCTTCGCCACTCTTCACCGCAACAGGACTCGAGCTCATTGGGCTATTTCCTGTACGGGGACTGCTTTTGTCCACATTGCTGGCTTGGCTACCACCCCAAGCTCCACGACGGAGCTTCATGAGCGTCTCCATATTTATATCGCCTTCCCACCCAGGACTCATCCTCGCGAGAGCAGCAAGTCCCGGGCTGGGAGCCCCGCGCTCGTGCTCCGCAAATCCAATGCCGACGAACGAGTTGCGCGTGGAGTATTCCGAGCGCTCGGTTATGGGTGTGAGATTCGGCTCTCTTGTAGATCTCTGCCTCTTCACCTCACCCCAGTTCTTGGGCCCGAAGTAACCACCGTAGATGCAGTCTGCACTACCATCTCCATTGTCGGACGCACCGGGCCTTGCGTAGAATCCGAACTCGGACCCGTACAAGCCTTCAACGTCGTTTTCAAGCGCTTCGGCATTTGCAGCTGCAATCATCGGGTCATCTTCAAAAGTGGAGTCGTAGTCCGAGTAGTCAAAGTCTGAAGAGAAGGGATCGTCGTAGGTCCCCGCACCTGGGAGCATGAAACCGACTGCCTTGCTTAAAGAGTTGAATTCGTCGCCTCCGGATGCGCGTGCCGTGGGTGGAGAAAGAGTCGAGGACTCTTGACTGAGTCTTGCGACATCTGGTGTCAGATCTGGATGCGTCGAATTGTTTGGCGACTGCTTGTCGGCGCCCAATTGTACAGGACCGCCATGATAAGTTACTGGGGACGAGCCATCGCTGCTGTCGACACTGTTTGCCCTATCGAAACGGCCAGAAGCTGCCGCTTTGTTCGCAGCCATAGCAAGTGCACTGTGGTACGCGGTGACTACGTCAAGAGGAGCATCCGGATCAGGGTGCTGCGGCAATGGTTCGGACGGAGGTCGCGACCGAGGTTTTCGCCCTCGCATCGTGTTATGCACCCTCTTGGAACTCATTCTAGGTATTGGGGGTGCTTGCGTTGGCTGCTTTCTGTCGTACAATGGATGGTTTGGATCGTCAAAAACGCTTTCATCGAAAGCTTGGGCGTCTTCGTTGACCTCATTCAGAAGCTCGTCTGCAAACTCTCCATTGTCGAAGTAAAAGTCGTCTTGCTCGATGAAGCTGTCCACATTTGAGACCTTCTGCAGTTCACTTGCAGGCTGTGTGGTGTTTGGTTCCGCAGATTTGTTCAACGTCTCAGCCGCCGACGGGTTGTTGGCGGTGTCAACTGATTCTTTGTCTGCTCCATTTGTTCCACTATCGTAATTGGCGCCGCTTTGTGCGGCTCCGACTGGATTGTCACGTAATGGGTTGTATGCAGGTTGCTTTGGAGCAGCGGCTTGCATGCTATCAAGTGTCATATGTGCAAGACCACCACCCGTCGTACTAGGCATATCATCGAGCGTCATATGTCCCAGACCACCGCCATCACCTGCAGAGTCCTCGTCGTCGTAGCCGCTATTGAAGTCGTCGAGTGACATGTTGCTAAGCCCCTGGTTGGCGTTCATATCTTCCAGCGTCATATTCCCGATGCCCAGCCCGCCTCCTCCATAGTCCCAATCCTCTCCATTCATCGGCACATCATCTTCCATGCCATCAAAGTCCATGTCGTCGTAGTCGTAGTCATCGTCCTCACCATCGTAGCTTTCGTGCTTCCGCTCCGCTTGAGCCTTCGCCACTTTCTCCCGGTGTTTCTCCTCAAGCATACGTTCTTGCGCTGCCGAGTCCGTGTTCCCATATTGGAAGCTGAATCGGGATGCTCGCGACAACATGTGCGCGGGAAGACCGTTAGGTGTGAAATCGCCGCCCGTTCCAGAACTGGCACGCGAGATGCGACTCGAGCGAGCGGAGGGTGGTGAACGTTGAGATTTCAGGGTCGATTGGCGGACGGTACTAACGTTACTGGTTCGCTTTGGTGTTGCGTCTGAGTCATGCTGAGCAACGGGATCTTCCATGAGCGGCGATAGAGGCAGAGTCTGCCGGGTGGGTAGTTGCACATCACCATCTTTCGCAGGCACTGGAGGGGGAGGAGGAGATGGTAACGCCGCTTCTTCGGGTCTATACACTGTCTTTTGGCCTACACGGGCAAAAGGAGGCAGCGCGGCTGTATTCTCCGTTTCGTCGAGCGGCTGGAAGGAATTGCGCTTGACAAAATCCTTGTTCGCGAGGTGCTCTGCGCGGATAGCCGATTCCTTTTTCTGCTGGTCTACGTCGTCTTCGAAATGCTCTTTAAAAACGGGGGTGTGTTGCTGTCGTAAGTCGTCGCTCAGCTTCCTCGACTGTGGATCTCGTCCTTCTCTTGAAGCCGACTCTCGTCGCTCCCTTTCTGCTGCCTCCGGCACATTCTGGTTGGTGAAGTTCCGTCGCGGTCGTGGCGCGCTGAAGTCATGGACGACCTTACCGCGTATGCTGGGATCGTAGTCATCTGGAAGCAGCGAAGGAGAAATGACATTAGCAGAGCGGTGCGAGACAAGCGATTCCTCCGACAGATGGTCGAGCACTTGCCCATTGCGTCGGCGGAGAAGAAGAGACATGGGATTCAACAGCCTGGTCTTGGGTTTTCCCATCTTATCGCTGACTTTGGTCGTGTTCGGGTTCAAGCTCTGCCGTGACTGATTACCAGGTGCCGTGGCAGGCGTCCGCGCATAAACTTGATGGGCATCCTCGGAGAGGGGCACTGGAGGCGGTGAAATGACCTCGTGAGGCTTTCGAGGAGCATTCGCGCTGTTTGGCAGCGGAGGGAGGTGCTTGCCCTGCAAGATACTCCTGAACTCCGCTTTGCTGGTGACGTCTTTCCTTGGTGGTGGTGGTGGTGGTGGTGGTGGTGGCGCCGTCGCCTGCGGCTGCTGCTGCGGTCTGTACTGCGGCCCACTCTCACTTGCTGTTCCAGATCGCCATTCCTGCTGCTCCTGACCGCCGAATCTGGCAGGGCTGAACATCTGGTCCCCCAAGATAGGGCTCCCAGAGCTTTGCGAGTCAAGACTCTCCGTTGTCTGCACGCGCTGCAGCTCCGTTTGCTGCAATCCCAACCCGAGGCCCTGTGACGTCTCCTCACCATCTTGCTTTTCATATACACTCGCGACTCTTGGTATGGGAGGCAGCGAGGGCGGCATCGGCGAGATTGGCGAGTCCGAAGAGACGGGCTGTGGTGGTGGTGCTCCGGTGCTGGCCAGCGAATCCGGAGACTTGAAGCCGTGCAGGAAGTCCTCTATCGAATTGGGACTCGCGGGACCGTGACTTGATCCTGGTGGCAGCGGAAGGAAGCCGGAGGGGATCTGGTTCGGCGATGGCGACGTCGGCGTAGAACCGCCGCGGCGATGTGCAGGTCTCAACTTCGCAAACATGTTGGCCGCTCAGCACGTGGTGTTGCAGCTGCAACGGCACCTTCTTCTTTCCCTCTGCTCTGCCTGTGAAGCGTGGAGACGAGTGAAAAGCGTCGTGGAGGCAGTCATGTCCTTCTCCCTCCGAGCTTGTGCGGACGAAGGGTCAACAGTGCGGCTGCGCAAACGTTGGGGTGATAAGTCTTGTGAAAGTGGCCGTACGAGCAAAACGGTGGATTATTGGGCGAGCTGCGGCAGGGCGGGCGCCGCGCAGGGACTACAGCAAAGGCGCTCAAGGTCAGTTCATGGCGTCGACGACACGGGAGAAAAGAAAATGGCGATGCGGTGTCGACGCTGGCGTTCCGTGCGGTGGAGGTCAAGGGATCGCCGCGCAGAGCGCAGAGAAAAAGGTGTACGGGTACGCGTCACACGTCCTGACACACGACGTTGTCGGCCTCCAGGCCCAGGAAAGAAAAAGAAAGAAAGGACGCCCGCTCCCAAGCGTCTGGGGCCAAGCGGCGTTCAAGCACCCGACATGCGGGCGATCCACAGCAGACGCGCTGGCGCTGGCTCCTCCGACGCCGTCGCCCTGTTCGCCGCCCGCAGCCGTCCAATGGCGTGCGTCGGTCATGTCCAGCGCTCTCGCGCTCCCTCGCGCTGTCTGTTCCTGCGTCCACACCGGCGACTTGTACGATCAACGCCCCGTCCGGCCTTCAGCCCGTGGCCAGCGCGTCGTCGCAGGGCCTACGCAGATTCCCGGTGCAGCAAGCATCTCGCTGCTGCCGCGTCCCCCCACGCAACACAACGCCGTTTCCGGCCGTCCTGGCTGAGGCGGACGTTGACGCATGGACTCACTGCCGACGCGCACCCGCCACGCTGCAAACGGCGCGGACTCGGCCAGCCGAAACTCGGATCCGCGCGCACGAAAACTGCACTCGACGCCGGCTCGGAAAACAGTGTAAATCGTGTACTTCATTTTCGGGTATCGCGAAGCCCAACTGTCATGAACGTGTGTATGTGCTGCCATGTGTTGTCTTGCTCTTTCGTCATCGATGACTGCTCATTACACACGTGAAGAGAAAGTAACGTCAGAATCACCACAACTTTAACCCTTGCTCAAGCCAGCGCCCATGTCCCTATATAAATGGAATGTCGTCTAAGAAATGCAGTAACAAAAACAAAAAAGTGTCGCCGATCTACATTCATGTGCCTCCGTTCGTGTTGCCGGCATGCCTCTTCTGGCTGGCTGCAGAGAAACAATAGCCACCAAGAAGCGGCTCCATAAATGGTAATGCAGCGGGAGCACCGTCTCAAGTTCGTCGATAAACACATGACCAGCAGCCATGCCCGCCCGAACAAATGTCAACATGCTAATTGGGGGGTATATCCCATCGCCACCAAAAAAAATAAAGCAGAAAAATAGCAGAACCGGTTGCGCTGAAAGCTCTTAGGTACGGTCACGTTTTAATGCGCCTTTCCAAACCATCGACAATCTTTGCTGCCGTATGGTGACGAGTGCTTACTAGGACATCGCCGTAGCGGCATCATCAGACTCGGCGACTTCTACAGCCTCTTGCCCGTTGCGATCCACCACAATACGGACGCCCCGTTGGCTTGCGGGAACGCCGTCGCGTGCGGCACCAAAATCAAGGACCTATATCAAAGGACGATTAGAAAAGAAGATTGACAACCGCGAAGAGACGAAGGGCGGCACAAACCTCGATGTAAGTCAGGTTGTCCCGCTGCACGGCAGCTACACAGCGCCGCTCATTGAACTTTACCTGCCACACGCCGCTCAAGTCCGTAAGTAAGTCCTTGACGCACTCGCCTGTTTTGACATTCCAAAGCTTAAGAGTACGATCACTTCCGGAAATTACTTTCTGGTCATCGTGCTGGAAGCATGTAATCGCGCCTGTGTGTGCGGACAGCGTGTTCTTGCAGTGTCCGTTCTCAGGATCCCAGATACGAAGGGTGGAATCTGCAGCGGCAGAAACAAGTCGGCCGTGTGCTAAGTCGAGAAGACCGACGAGAGATGTGTGCCCGTCCAGGTGGTAAAGCTGCTGGCCGGTTTCGATAGACCAGATGCGTACGGTATTGTCCATCGATCCACTTATACACCGGTTGCGTTCGTGGTCTAAAACAACGCTGTACACCTTGGCTGTGTGTCCTTGCAGGCGATGCAGAAGATCGCCTGTCGAGATCCGCCAGACACGGACGGTGCTGTCGTAGCTACCGCTGACCAGCGTGTCGCCATGCGCAGCAATGGCACGCACAGAGTGGTGATGTCCAGTCAAAGCGCGAATAAAGTACGGGTTGATTGAATCTTGGTCATGGTGTCCACTCCGCATGACAGATCGATCGTTAAGTCCAGGTAGCTTCCACACGCGGAGACTAGAGTCACGAGACCCAGTGATGATGAGTGGTTCCTTGGGCATCATGATGGGCTCGCCATGCTCATCTTCGCCGATCTTGGTTGGCTTCAAGATGACAAGGCAGCGTACAGTCGAGGTGTGGCCAAGAAACTGCTGGATGCAACGGCCTTTCTCTAGGTCCCAGACGCGCACAGACCGATCTGTTGACCCGGAGACGAGTATATTTCCATCATATTGCAATGCCCACACACCCCCTTCATGCCCGGTAAGCTGTTTGATTTCACGTCCTGTCTTCGTGTCATAGATGTGTATGCGAGTATCATCGCTACCTGTGATGATTTTGTCACTGTCGAACTGCAAGCAGGTAACAACGTGTCGACCGTGGGCCCTGAAAGCAATGTGATGCGGTTGTGTCTCTTTTTCCATCCAGGCTTTCTTGATGGCATAGTGGCGACGATATATCGACTTGTAAAGGTGAAGGTTGCGTAAGCTAGACAAGCCGATATTTGGGTTAGGTACGGCCATGGCTGCTGCGTTTGCCTGCGCAATAGGACCCTGTGCATCCTCCAAAGATTTGACCCACGGAGCAACTGTCCTCGTCGCCGAAGACATAGCCACCTTCGTCTTTCGCTTCTTGCTTGGACCGCAACTCTTGCTCGCCGCCTTGCGCTTTGGACGGCTCGCACTTTGTGACGTGGCTTGTTCGCTTTCTGCGCCGTTGCTCGATGACGGGGATGTCACTTCCTCGTCGTACCGTGCACCCCACTTCTGGCTCAAATCCTCTTCGCCTAGATCCGTCCTTTGTGGGTACTGCCAGCCCCAGCCTTCTCTTACAGCTCTCTCCATCTCGCCGTTCGGTACAACCAAGCCATCAGATTTTAAGAGCGCTTTCCATGCGGTCTCATCAGAGTCAACTATCTGTCGCCACTTCTTTGAAACTTGCGCCGCACGGCACATGGTCTTGACATCGAAATAGCGGATGATGTTCATGCTGAGCTCGAGGGGAAGAAGTGCCAAAAAGTCACACTTCAGAGCTGGATTGACTACATCAGCTACCGTATGCAGGGTAGTCTTATTGCAGCGACGAAGCAGTTGGTAGATGACATAGGTTTGAAGGTCGGTTGGCATGGCATCGAAGGTGTCGAGCATGGTTGGAATGTCCATGAGACTAGGTGTAGGTAGTTGTGGGTTAGAGCCATCTTCGGTAGCACTAGTGTCGGAACTTTCAGTCTTCAAGTGCTCAAGAGTCCTACTTTTGTGCGTCTTGAAGTATCTGTTGGGCCCCTTGTCGTTGTGTGCAATGTCCAAGCTCGACACATCGTCACCGTCGTCTGCATCTTCCGGTTGCATTGGAGGGAGAACATGGGCATGGGCCAATGTAGCTGCTGCTGTGATAGGTGAAAGGCTGGGACTCGGCAGGGATGCGTCTTGGGCAACGAGTGTGTCGACTGGCGTGGGTCGATGCTGTGATGCTTGCTCCGTCGGCGTTTCCTGCAGCCCCACCAGCTCAAGATCACCATCAACAATGGGAGGAGTTGCTGATACTACAGAAGGGAAAGTATCTTCTCTGGCATCTCTAGAACTGCCAGTTTGTCTGAGGCCCAATCCCATCTGGTCTTGCCGATCTCCTTGTGAGGAATTTGGTCTATTATCTATCTCTCGAGTCTCTTGTTTCGATGTGCTTGGTTTCTCTATCTTCCTTAGCTTTGACTTGCATTTCGACATTCTCCGACTATGAGAGCCAGAATCGGGCGTGGCTAGCGCTTTGTCGTCGAACGTCTGCGAAAGCCTCGATCTCGAGAGATTTTGATGTTGAGACTCTGCCGCGCTCTCTGCGGACTTGTTTGTTCTTTGACGTTTTGGACTTGAATCTAAGGCTCTCTCAATAGCATCTAGCAATATTTGATCGTGCGCCGTACGTTTTCGTGAATGAACGCCATCGACATGGGCTCGATGCCCCGGGACACTCTCAAAGCTCACGCGTGTCTGAGATGCCTTTCGTGGCGTTTCGAATACGGTATCGTAGTCTGTAACGGAGCGAATGATGCCGCTGTGCTTTCGGAGTTTGGATCGCTGTTGCTCGAACTACAGAAAACCTAAAGTCAGACTAGAATCTATTGTGAAACTACATGTTTTGTATGAATCAAGGTGGGAAGCACTCGGCTCTAAGGCTGACCCATGTTGATGATCATGTGCTGGTGTGCCGAAGACTGTGATTTACCTGATAAAGAGGCTCCTCGAGATCATTTGTCTCGGAGAAGCACACTGGCCTGCCGCCGATATCAAAGGTGAAGTTCTTTATTGATTCAGGGGTAGGAGATGCGGCAAGAGGATACTGTTTCGGATCTCTGTCGTGAAGATGGCGTGGCGCCTTGAGGAGCAGGGGTGGAAACGATGTGGTGGTAGTCGTCGTGGTCGTCACGACGGTAGTCTGAGTAGCTGGAGCATATTTGAGCTGACCTAGAGCTGCATACTGTGGAACAGTTGAGCTACGTCGAGATTCAATGAGAGCACCCGTGGATGTCATTGTGGACGGGTGATCGGTTTCAGGTGAGGGAGGTACGAGCGTAGCAGAAAGCGATGACGCCGGTGAGTAAGCAGCATAACCGTTACGAACACCAGCAACTTCCATGATTCGTGTATGCACTTATGTAGGTTTGGGCCCCTAGGGTGCTTGCGGGAGACGCGAGGTACACACAACAGGTGCGCGTGAGGTCAGAAAAACTCGCAAATCGGAGCAGTCATCTGCAGCCCAGGCGTGACGGTTGCCAAGGTAAAGCGAACACAGTGTTTTCCTCCTCTTCGGAAGCCCCTAGGAAGCCAGATGCGTGTGGACGTTGGAGAGTGTGGGCGAGTGCAGTGTTGCCGCAGAAAGCCAAAGGGAGAGGTCCGAACGGCACGGAAAGCCACCCCACTGCGGGAGAAAGGGCTGAAGGAAAGTCGAGAGTGCCAACACGTTATCAGGCCGTCGCTGAGCCAACACGGAGGGGCGTGAGGTAGAAGAGGGGGGCTTGACGGTCGTGACGAAGGTGCTTTGGAGATGGCCGGTGGTGGGAAATGGCAAGAGGACCTGCAAGAGTGGGGCCCGTGCGAGGGCTGCACCTGCCGGCGGAGCCATGAGAGAGGCGAAACTTTTGGTCGAATACAAGCAAGCGCAGGCACGCAAGCACAAGCACAAATACGTTAACTTTGCTGCACTGGAGTTCGTCCGCCACCACGCACTTCTCTTTCCCGCGCCGCTCGCTCATCCAACGCCTCTGTCGGGACCTTGATCCTGCTCTTGCTGCGCCGTAGCTCACGTGTCTCCTCCTGCCGCCTCGCTCAACTTTCTCATCTACCAATTTTGAGGATTGTTCGAGCCAGCGCTTTACTTTCCATGGATGGACAGTCCCCGAGCGGCAACCCCGGCATGGACAAGCATCCAGCACCTCCAGGAGTCTGATCATAGACGCAAAAGCCCTCGCGTCCGCCATGGTGGATCAAGCTCTGAGCGAGGATATCCTCCCCACCGATGTCTGCCTTCACAGCTTCGGACTACTGGATCGGGACGTCAGCCTCTGGCCAGTGAAAACTTGATTGTCGCGTACTGAACTGTGCAGCCCGCGTGCAGGGCTTGCCGCCTACGCTACAAGTACGTCTGCGGCGCGCTAGCTGATTTGCCATTTTCTGGACCTTCGGCAAAAACAACATGTGTGATTCCGTCGCCACATCGACTTCTCGGAGCACAGAACGGTGCGATATCTCTCAAAGCCAGGCAAAGAAACAAATGACATGCCTGCGCTTTTACGAGCATAATGAGATCCCGGCAGGGACATCCGCTGCTCCACGTGGACGTCGATTGTTCTGCCGCTAGGGCAGGGCAGTCGTCCCAGCCCCGTGTCACTCCGTTGCCGTATCCCTCCACGCCACTTGCTTCTGCGTGATACGGATGCGAATATAGGGTTCTCCCATCTTACACAACCATCCTTTCTGTGCCGGAGCCGCGACGTGGGCCTGCCTCGAGGAGTGGAATTGAGGTGGCAGTTTCATCTCGACGTCTCAAGTCCAGATTGTCTGCCACGGTTCTGCCTGGGTATGTCATCTGTTGAAGATTTATTTCTCGTATCCAGGAACCTTCGGCCAAAATGCAATTTGAAATCGTCGTGGTGCTCATCAGGTGCGCCTGCCCGAGATCGAGCAGCACGGACAGAGCAGGAAGCAACGACGCCTTCATCTGCTGATCCCATCTCGACCGCGCGCCTTCCATAGCCGTCGTCGGAGTGAGTGGCTCTTTCCCGGACTTCAGGTGTATCCTTCCGTCTTCCTTCCTCGCCCCCGTAGCATTCCTTCCACTCGCTCATCAGCAGCATTTCACCGCGTATCAGGCCCCGTTGTACCTTCGTCACGCTTAGAACGCACTCATTTGATCTCCATTGACCATGGTCAGTAAGCAGAAAGTGCGGCAACGCATTCAAGCTAGAGTAGATGCAAAGACAAAGACAGTAGCGGCAACGCAGAAAGCACAGAAGATAACAGTGCAGCAAAGTCAAGCGTTGGCCCAGACTTTCGTGCACGCCTCGGTACTTCTAAGGACGCGTCTAAATGCAAAGAAAGGCTAACCATTCCGTCAAGTTTAGTGCCATCGCGTGGATGAGGTAGAGTTACGTGACGCTACGTGCTGCTATGACGCTAACCGTCGACAAGGGATCTGGTGCCCTCAAAATGCTTCGTCCGCAAATCCGAGGATGATTATCTTAAGCTCCAGGGCTATAAAGATTTCATGGAAACTGCGCAAGCTTTGGCAAGTGAAGGTGGCCAAGATCCTCAACGTGGAGGCTACGACACCATTGTTCGTGGGAAGGATGAGGTTGCAGATGCCTTGCTCGACCAACTTCAGCTGGGTGCCTTCTACGCGCTAGACCAAAAGATACTCAGGGCCATTGTCTTGACGGTAGGGGTAGAAAAAGATCATCCTGAGCGCATTCTAGAAGCTTACACCTATACGTTCACGTATCGAACAAGCCCGCAAGGCACAATGGAGCTAGATGACATCGCCTTCAGCGGGACTTCGGAGATTGTCACGTTCAAAGAAACGAAGCACGCACTTACAACCTTGATACGCAACGTGTATATGGCTTGCAAGCATAGGCCTATGCTTCCGGACGACGCTTACCTCACCACTCGTCTGATCTTCAATGAAGACTATGACAGAAACATTCGAGTACCTGGCTTTCGTACAGATAAGTGTGATCAACTCGGCTTGGGGTGTGCCGATGGTTGGGTTCGTAAGAATTCAGAAGCAGCTCTACTTGACGCGAATTATCACGGGTGAGTACTCACGAGCCCTGTCTTAGGTGTCTGAGCTGAAGTGCCAGGGTATCACTGGGAATTTCACGCCTGGAGCCTCTTCCCCAATCCGGTGTTGTCGACCACTCAGACACAGCACTCCCAGCGTGTAGAGATCTATTATATGAGAATATTTCTGCCGCTGGAACAATAGACCGCTGCCTCGATCAGCGCCTTGATCAGCGGCGACAGTTGCATACAACCGGGTCAAATGCTCCAAATCTCAGAAGTAGTCTCGGAAAGAACTCGAAAACACTTCACGATATGCAAGACAACGGGAACCATGATACTGCAAACGCGATCAGTCAAACATATTCGCAGGCCTCCACGCAAACGCGGGAAGATATGGCAACCAGGGAGCAGCTGAATGGCGTGGTAAAGAAGAATTTGGCTTCGAGGCTGAATTATGTTCTTGCTGATTTGTTGACAGATAAACGCACCACCAGTGAAACCAAATAGCGGGGATACTCAGCTCTTAGGAGATTTGATACCGAAAACAGAGCTAGATGCCTCCACTTTGAGGATTATGGCAATAGAGTTCGACCCTGTCAGGCTCGCTGAGCTGGCACGTTCTGGTGGCGAAAGGTCCTCGAAAGTCATTCCTCGAGTCCGCTGTGAGTGTGGTATTGACGCACGGGATGGCGATATGGTTTGTTTTTGAGGTGCTCTGCTTCATCCTTCATCCAGCTTACTAACTCAGAAGTAGCGTACATGTTGTTTTTGTGGCACTGACCAGCACATTAGCTGTTACGGCTATCTGGGCAACGATGATCATAGAACTCCAACGTCACATGTGTGCTACACTTGTCTTCTGGATGAGGAAGCGGCGTTACTCGAGGAAATCAAGGATCTTGCGATTCAACGCAAGATAGCTAGCACCTTAATATCTAGAAACTGCAAGACTGAGCGTCAGGTTGCGGAGGTTACTCGTGAGTATAATCAATAACACACTTGTCCTTCGCTGACGAATTCAGAATCTGGTATGCAAACAGCCAAAGCCATCATTGAGCAATTGGTCAAAGCTGGCTACTTTGTTCGTTCGAAAAAACATGGACGGTCCCGCCTCGAAGTCGCCGATGGCAAACGCGATGCTCTCATGCAGAATCTTTTCGACCCGGCCGCTAAGATCACCCATCACGTTAGATAATACATTGTGTGTTTACATGGTGACACTGACAAATTCACAGCTGAAAATTCCTCCGGTACTGGAGATGCCCAACCCCGGATTGAGCACACAGTTCCTTGATCCTCCAACTTCGTCCGCTGTGCTTGGTTCAAACCTTCGGGCCAGCAAGGGTTATACTTCGAAGAAGGGTAAAAACCCCGAGAAGTCAAGAAGTGCAAACAGAAATACAAATTGCCGCACCAAACATTTGAATGCTGCCCTGGATCTACCCGAAGATCAGTCTCCGCTGCAGGCCAATTCAGGCATGTCATTGTACCCAAATACACCTGTGAACTTATGTCGTAAGCGCCGTGCAAGCGTCTCAAACTTTACGGACGAAACACCGTTCGGAAAGCGTACAAATATTGTGATAGGTGCTACACTAGCTCTTGGCCGAGTTGATCCCTTCTCTAGCAGCGCAGAAACGGACGAAGAAATGTAAAGATCATGTGGCAGAAAACTTTCATGTTGGCTCAAAATAGACTTGCTTTCTTTGATTTATGGCCCTAAATCCCAATGCCAGACTGTTTTAAATTGCGGATGGTAAGGTCGAGCCAAAGGAAAAAAGAGATAAATTTGCAGATGATGGTCCGCTTTGTAAGGCTGATTTGTGTGAACAATCTTTGTGATCTGTACAATTGAGTATTTAGTTGCTTTCGAGTAAGTGAGTTGAAAGAGATTCAAATTTATGAAAGCAGTCCAGCCACAATGGTCTTTCCGAAATGGCTTTTTTCTCAGTATCTCGTTTTCGTGCTATTTTACCTGATTTCTTTGGGGACGATTGTGGTCCCTAGTCGCAGTGCTCAACATGCTCTACTTTGATTGCACATGTTGACTCTGTTCAAAATATTTATAATTGGAAATTTTGAGAGCATTTCAACCAATAAACATGCGTACATATGTGTATCTGTATGTATGGTTTCTCCGCATCTTATTCATTGGGAGAATATTTTAGCTGGACCATTAATCGACGCAGCCTTAATGCTGTTTCGATGATGAGGCTGGGGATGACACCAGAGGATTGTTTTTTTAGCATCGAATAATACGTAACAAATTAAGAAATATTCCTCTGCTTTCTTCTTCTTGAGTGCTTTTGCAGGATCTGGAATGAATATGGGCACATTCTGGAGCCCAGCGTAGTGTCACAATGCGAACGCATCCAAGTCCATAGATTCTGCCAACACAAGTCCAACTCTGGCTTTCGTCTACTTTATTTCGTAACAAGACATACAGAGTAAATATGTCCACTTAAATGAAGGATTACTTTCACGATATGCAGGAGAAGACATTGGCTCTGGGGGCTTGCGCCCCAATATTGAGGCGCCGTGTTCGACCATTCTAGATCAGGGTTGAGGCGCCTCAACGCATAAAGTCTGGCGGAGGAATTACCTGAACCGCAAAGAACTCATTTTCATGCTCATACATCTCATCTCGGGCAGATTTCGCTTGCACATATTGCGTGTTATGTCGCTTACATTGCGCAGAGCCCGTAGTCTTGACCAAACATTTACCCAAATATACCGTGTGCAGTGGCGAAGCACTAGTCTCGTTCATTCGTACATGACAAGCATTGGCGATACGCAAACACCGTGGATTAATGCTTTATCACACAAAAGTGTTCCTTCCGACAGTAGTGGATAGAGGCCACTTCTGCAGTGCCTGCCGGCACATGCTTCGCCGTGTACGACGCTATCATCAGGGCGCTCCTCTTCATGAACACTCAAATGTACGGACAGTTCAACAAGCAGCCAAGAATGGGTGCAAAGTATGCATTGTGCTGGCTGAGGAGCTGAGACTCGCTGGCATTGAGCTCGAAGGGTTTGAATGCTCCATCCAATACGCCGTAGGATGCAGTATGTTCGATGTCGCAAGCCGGGAGCTGCAATTTCACATCTCAAAGCCTGATGTAAGAAGAGCGCGCGACTTGCTGCGTATATCTTTCCGCTTCGAACCTGTCGATCCTGAATTTCAGCCATTCAAAGGTGAAGACGGTACGTCCAACTCCACACAAAGACCAGCCCGCCTCTCTGATAAAGTTACTCAGCGACTGCGCACTTGATAAACAGCAGTCCTCTGAGTTGCAACACGAATTCCCCTGAAGCTTTAAAAGCTGCGAAAAGTTGGTTCGATGGGTGTGTTTCCTGTCACCAGAGTTGCGGATCTAGAGAAGCCTGGCTTCCCACTCGGCTGATTGATCTGGGCGATTCGGGTGCAGACAACCAATTAAAGCTCATATCAACCAAGGCTCATGACATACATTCTCCTTACATGACGCTAAGTTATCAGTGGAGTTCAACAGAAGAGTCGAGTATCAAATTGACAAATGAAAACATTCAGGGTTTGCACCAGTCGATTTCAGTTCACGGGCTTCCGAGAGTGGTTCGAGACGCGATCTACTTGACGCGCGCGTTCGGGGTTCGATACCTTTGGGTCGATCGTTTGTGCATCGTCCAAGGTTCGTCGGAAGACTGGAGCAGAGAGGCAGCGCTCATGGGAAGGGTGTACTCTACATCTGTCTGTACCATTGCTGCCTCCGATGCCGACGAGCCCGGTAAAGGCTGCTTTTTCGACCGTGATCCGCGAAGCATATTGCCATGGAAATCCAACCTGAGGATCTTCAATCACCAAAAAGAGGCTTTCATCATAACGCCAAGCGTCGGTCTATCGCTTGACATTGACCCGAAGCAATGTAAATCATGGAGGGATGGAGTTTGGTTGTCCCCACTCTATAGTCGAGGGTGGGTTCTTCAAGAGAGCTTGCTTTCGCGACGGATCATCCACTGCACCAAGAGGCAACTGTACTGGGAGTGCGACAGACTCGTCGCTTCTGAAGTCTTCCCCAAAGGAATACCACAAATGTATCAAGCAGCAGATAGCTTTGGCCACTTACGGATATACCTTGCTTCTAAACTTCCGTATTCATCTTCCAATCGCGGTCATAGTGGCTCAAACGAAAACCACAGCGTAGATGTGGCCGCTAGAGGAAATGATGCTACTGGCTTTTCACACAGCCAATGGATTTCCATCGTCGAAGCCTACACAAAATGTCAATTGACGCACGCAAATGATAGACTTATAGCAATTTCAAGTGTAGCCGACTTACTAAGACGCTCTGAGGGCGAGTATGCGGCGGGCATTTGGAAACATCATTTCACCGATGGGCTACTTTGGGCACGATCAGAGCAGCGACTGGAATTTCAGTCCAAGATGCAGAGGTCGGATGGCCCTACGTGGTCATGGGCTTCGATAAATGAAGCGGTGGAGTTCAAGTTCCAAAGACTATTTGTGGGGGAACTGGCAGAGACAGTGTCCAGGACTGTAATTAAGCTAATTGACTTCCCCACGGCGAGTGAGGCAACGTGTCCTTCAGAGCAAACCACGGGTAACGCGATCGTGGTCGAGGGTGAGCTCGTGAAGGTCGAGTGCAGCTTTCGAGACGTTAGGAATCGTTCTGCCGGCGTACGCATCTTGCGTCTTGGGAAAGAGAGTTTCGACTCCACCTCCGCGACTGTGACGAAGCAGCAACTGGACAGCGTGGTTCTCTACGACAATCTTCTCGAAGGCATCCAGCAGAATGGCAACACATTTTGCATGCCTGTCATAGTCAGCGAACTGGTCAGTATATGGCACGTGAAAGGCCTGTTACTGACCTGCGGATCGGAAGGAGAATATCAACGCTTGGGGTATTTTGCCGTTAACGGCTTAAAGTCACGCATATGGAGGGTCTTCCAAGAAACGGAGAAGCAAATCATCAGAATTGTCTAACGATCTGTCAGCTAGAGTTATGGATTTGTGGTAGATGATGGGGTAGGCCTTAGTGCATTTCGTTCGCATCACGAACTGCAGGATTCGTCACTGTCATTCGTAACCTTGTACCGACTCGCAGCTATGGTGTTTTTCTAATTAGCGATGATTCTTCCGACTTAAAACTGTCACTACCAACACGCAACAAGGCCTTGAGAGCGTCGTACACCCTTACAAACATTCAAAATCGTACGTAAAATGGAATGGCGCGCAGATTTCAATCCGTAGACCCTTCAACTTCTTTGTCTACCGTTGAGCTAAAGAAAATCACTACTCCAGGCACCATACGCCATTACAATAACCGCAAAACAGACGCACTAGACGTAGGGGCCTAACCATGTCTTGGTTCTCTCCTACGATGGCTCGCTAGCTCAACATCATCTGGCGCGATCACCACTCCACGTCTCAAAACAACAACGAGTGCCCATGGGGGACCTATTGTGCGCGGTACAGGAACCGCAACCACCCTTTCTGTCGCCGCCCCACACCTTGGGGATCCCTGAATTCGTTTGGCTTTCACATAGGGGCAGGGCGGTATTCGCGGGTGTTTCGTCGCCCCCACGGCCAAGGGACACGCACGTAATAAGTTTGTAGAGGATTTAGCAAGAGCAAAAAAGCATATAGCAGCACTAGTCCTCTAGCTTTGAGTGGCTATGAACGACTCGATCTATATTCTCGGCGGCGGCATTTGTATCATCCTATCTACTGCTTTGCTGATCCGCCGCCTCGGTAGGTAGCGTGAAATTATTTGAAGGGTCTAAATCCCCAAAGGATATCTATCCCTACCACAGAGGATCAGGATGACAGACCGACCAATGATTTGAACATGATCGCTAGATTTCGTCCTCTAAAATCTTGACGTTTGGCGGCTTCACGGATCCTTGCTCTGTGGCTTCTTCAAGCATAGTCTTCATTCTGGCCCGGAACTCTTTGAGACCTCCCGGCGCGAAGCGCGATAGAGTGCTCTTCCACGTCCTGCTTGTCCACTGCTCCGCGCGGGGAAACATGCTACGCTCGTACTGCCTGACTGCTTCCATGAGCGCATCTGGCTGTTTGCAGATGGCGACGCCAAGCTCGAGTGCGTCGAGCATGGCCATGTTCACTCCCTGGCCCGTAAACGGCGTCATGAGGTGTGCAGCATCGCCGATGACGGTTACCCCTGACGTTGTAGGCCAAGTCAGACCGACTGGCAACATGTATAGGGCACGGGAAACGATCTCGTCTCCCTTCCCCACATCGCAGTCTCTGATGATCCGAGTGAGCTCAGGGGCGAAGTCCTTGTACTCCTCCAAGAGAAGTTTCTTCACCGACTCTCCGTCTGAAAGGTCGAGACTGACGGTCTTGATGTAGTTCTCGGGCTTGTGCATGAAGGCATACGTGCGAAGGGAGCCGTCGCCCTGGCGCTGGGAGAGCAGGGCCTTTCTCTTGTCCTCCCCGAACACAAAGTGAGAGCCCTTGCCGACCATGGCTGCGAGCTCGGGGTGCCTGACGTCGAAGTCTTGATGGCGAAGCTCGATACCGGATATGCCTGAGTAGAACGGAGAGACGGTTGAGAGCAGCGGACGAACCTTGGACCAGGCTCCATCAGCGCCAACGATGAGCTCAAAGCCGGAGGCGGAGGGTTGATTTCGGAAATGAATGGCACCAATTTCGACACTGTCCACATGATGATCCCATTTGACCACGTCTTTTGGCAAAGAATCAAGAAGGATCTGCCTCAGCTGCACTCGATCAATCTCTGGGCGGCCACGTTGCGTGTCTTTCACCTCGACATGTATGTTTCCGAAGCGGTCCTTGAGGACGAAGTCTTCTCCTTCATAGCGAGCAAGTCTTTCAAATTCATCATAGATACCGGCTTCTTTGAGCGCCGCTTGCCCAGAATGCGAGTGCAGATCCAACGAGCCACCTTGGGTTCGCGATGTGGCGGACTGATCGCTTTCATACACAGTGCAAAGGATGTTGTTCTTATGCAGGATGCGCGCTAGCGTCAGGCCAGCGGGACCAGCACCAATGATAGCAATTTTAGATCGTGACATGATGCGATACGGAGAATAAGTAGATGAAGTTCTAGTAGTAGATTGAACGCAGTAAAACGATGCTGACGCGATGATGGAAAGCTTGGACGCACCCGGAATCTAGGGGAAGATGAAGAAGGGAGTCATACGGCTTTTAAAGTGAGCTGCGTCGGACTGTCCGCTCTATGCGGATATTTCTCAATGTACGAGAACGGCTCTCTTGGGTCCAGTCAGGATCTGACGCGACGTTAAGTGCGAAGCGGGTAATACGCTACATCGAAGAAATTGCTCAGAAGCGTTCGGCTCGCGTCCACGAGCAATCGCCGATCATCTCATTACATCGACCTCAGAATTTGAAGGAGCCGGAGCTCATGGCCTAAGTTCTCGCCTCGAATCGGTGGCTGAGAGTTGCGAGCGTCGGAGGTTCGGCCTTCGAAGCCTCTCGGTGTTTGGTCTTACTACGGAGCGATTGGTGTGAGTTGTGGGAGTACACGTGTACAGGGGGTTCCGATAGTCGCCAAATGTGGAGTGCCCCAAGTTAACTTCGGTCAACAACTCACTACATTTGGTGACCAGAACAAGGCAGTTGATCTTGAAATCGAGTCTTCTCTAGCCCACTGACCCTGCTTTCCTTCTCCTTATTGTCATCTCATATCTTTAATTATACATGTTGCAATGGTTCACAATTGAACTTGGAGGTGCAGAATAGTCGTCGGAGACGTGATCAAGTCTGTGTATACCATAACGCAGCCTTTAGCGTATGCTCCAACGCCGCGCTAAGATGGAGTCTAAGCAAAAAGAATTGCCATGTAAGTCTATTCGTCATTGTCTCCATCACCATCATCTTGCTCTTTCTCCTTCTTCTTGGCAGACTTTTTTCTTCTCTCTTCTTTCAAAGCCTGCATGACCCGCTCACTCTTTTCGTCTTCCTTCTCGTCCCAGTCAACATCGTATTCCTGAGCCACTGCTTTTATCTCCCTCCGCAGCATGTTGCCTTCTTCTATCAGATCTTCCCACTTCCTGAGATCGAAACCCTTTTTCTCGTACAGCTGCGACTGCCGACGAGAAATAGTGAAGTTCATGGCGGAACGGTACGAGACCTGGCGGTTATGAATGAGAAACCAGCCGTAACCTCCGATGAGAGTCGAGAGTCCAACGAGGTACGTGACAGGCTCCATTACGTCCCAGCCGAGCTCGGTTCGAAAAGTCAGCTCGTATACTACCCCCCACCAGGCGACCAGTCCAAGCCCACCGGCCATGGCCACTCTCTTTGCCGCTCTGTGCGCGATCTCATCGCATTCTCTCTTCAGCTCCGCCATCTTAGCGATTTCACTGGCCTTCTTGCGCAAGCGAAGCCGCAGGTAATACGTGCGATCCGCGAAGCTCGGAACTCCCACGCGAATTTCGTTCGGCGCGCCCTCAATCTCGATTGCAAATTCCTTCCCTCGTGCCGCATCGCGTATGAAGTCTCCGATCTCAGTCGACTTGGACCAACGCACAAATCTTCGCGCCTCCGGCTCCTTTGAAGGCTTTGCTTCATGGCCAAGTCCGCTGTAAGACTCGACTCCCCCCTCGCCCGGCCCACCTCGAAGCTCAGTTGCGCTTACGGTTTCGTTCTTTGCTCCGTTAAGTTTTCCCGTCCTGATTTTCTTCCCATCTATTTCAACTTCGTCTGCATGCTCATCGAGATCGGCTTCATCTTTCACTTCGTCTTCGTCCCCATTTCGACCTTTGTGACCTTTCTCGTTTTCTTGCATTGAATCTTCTGCTCGGAAGTGCACTGAAGGTATTTTCTCCTTGCCATTTTCATCTTTTATCATCGGCAATTCCGATTGCACAAGTCGCTCCAGATATGATAATGGTTGCTGAGGATGCACAAGCAACGCTAATGGCTCAACATCTTTGCGATCCGTGTTTGTGTCCCGCGTCGTCAAAGGTAAGATGAGCTTCAGCATGCGAGACGGTGTGGTCAAAAGTTTTCCCTTCGTCATCGCCCCTGCACTCCGCTGACGAGCAACTGGCGGCTTGTCGGAGCCTTCGCGCATCCATGGGGTCCGAATTTGTCTGGCTTTGTCCTCGGCAACGGCACGATCGAAGTGTGAGAGTTCTTCGTGAAGGGGTTCTTGGTGAAGTTCAGAAGCAGGCCATGATGACGTTGAAGCTTGCTTCTCTTGGATGCGAAGTCGAGAACTCTTATGAAACGTCCTGAGCCAAGAGCGTTGCGATACTCGCGGGTAGTCCAACGACTTTGTGGTTCTTCGCAGCAATGACGTTGTTGCTCTGGGCTGCGAGCAAGCCGAGATTGCAGCCATCATTCAATCGACGAGTTTTCCACAGCGTCGAAATGCAGATGTGCAACCGAAAGCAGACACGTCAATTCATGGCGTACACGTCCTGTGATGATTGGGTTTACACCAGGCACTCTCCATGGCGGAAGTTGAATTGCCATGTTTGCAAACCATGGTACGTCATCACCACAGAAGAACGCCAAAGTCACGTGGAAGCGAGCGTCTAAAAATAGCCGTCCACAAGTCCTGGGACGTTCACTCAGGAAAAGCAGCACATCATCGTCGTTTGGCATGGCTTCATCAATAATAAGATCATCACGACACGAGCGAGCATTGGTCAACGACGTGCCTTGACACCCTCGTGACTCGTTGCCACCGTGACATGACAGACCGGTTCTTCTTATTCTTCTCCACATTCTTACAGTCCCCTGAGATGATCATCAAAGCCACAGCTGCGCCAAGCACGCGACTCCTTTTCTCTTCCATGGGAACATGTCCGTGATGGGGGTATAAGGACTCTAGTCTTAACGGCCACTAATGAGAATTGCTTGGCTCGTCCCGTCATTCGACACGTCAAGCTGCGACCCCCCTGCGTAGGCCACGGTTCTTGCACGTCTTGAGCGTGCTTGTTCCTGCCGAAACGTTTGTTGCTCGCCCCGTACGCGGGGATGGAAGCTATCGACCACGACGACCCGATCTCCCAACAAAAAAAAAAAAAGGCCAGTTCTCTCGCTGCTGCGCCAAGGAGTTTCGATTTGCTGAACAGACGTGTTCATGCCGGGGTTCTGCCTTACTGTCGCCCCCGCCCCCCTCGCTCGACTGTCCTAAGAAAGCGGAGAGTAGTGTTCGATGGCGCGCCTAATTTCTGATGCGCCTCGCGAGCTTTGGGAATAGATCTTATTTATCCCTGCCCTCCTTCTCCGTGTTCTTTAACGACGCCGCCCCAAGGTTTCTTGGTGAAGCCTTTGTCGGTTCCTTTCGTCCTCAACCTTTTGGTCTTCAGATGCATTCGTTATAGTTTCTTTTCGTTGTGTTCGACCCCTCGAAGATTTTTCAATTCTAGCCGACCCCATGCTCGTCAAGCGAATCCGCGGTCGTCCATATTTTCCAGCACTTTGTTTCTTCTGCACCATTCTGTTCTTCCTTTACCCGAGCGAATTGCGCGAGCAAGTCTTGGACCTTACGCCCCTTAAAAGAGATTATCATGGTCCGCGACACCCTTTGTACAAACCGCGGCGCAACGCGACAGCGCCCATAGTCGACAATTTCCCACTCGCGAGCGCCGCGAAGACGCGCTCGGACCTGCCGCCGATCCCCTCGTGGAATCTGCCTCCAGATCCTCACGTGCCCGAGAAGACGCCCATTCTGATCGGGTTCACGCGCAACTGGTTGCTGCTGCAGCAGGCCGTTCTGTCGTACATCACGGCGGGATGGCCGCCGGAGGACATCTACGTCGTGGAGAACACGGGCACCATGAACTCAAACAAGCTGGGCAGACTTTCGCTGCAAAACCCGTTCTACCTTAACTACGACAGGCTCACCAAGGTCTTTGGGGTGAACGTCATCTCGACCCCGACCTACCTCACCTTCTCTCAACTGCAAAACTTCTACCTCCACCTCGCAATCGAGAACGAGTGGGACTACTATTTCTGGGGCCACATGGACGTCATCGCCGTCTCGGAAGAGGACTACAAGGACCCCGCGACGGGCAAGTACGAAAGCTTGTACATGCGATCGGTTCAGGACCTGCGCAAGACGGTGAACGAGTACGGACGGCGGGGCCGCTGGGCAATCAGGTTCTACGCCTACGATCGCATGGCGCTCGTGAACCGATACGCCTTCGAGGAGGTTGGCGGCTGGGACACGCAGATCCCGTACTACGGAAGCGACTGCGACATGCACGAGAGGCTGTCCATGGCCGGCTTCAAGCAGGAGGACGCGCGGAACGGGCTCGTGTACGACATCGGCACGCCGCTTGACGACGTCTCGGTCCTGTTCAGGCGGACGGCGCCCTCGCCCGCGGACGCGCCCGAGGCCGGAAAGGACGAGATGCGGCGGGACTTCAGCGTGCAGCGCTGGGGCCGCGAGGACACGCTGGCTTCGCCCGCGTGGAAGGCTCTGACGGACCGTCTCCACGGCATGCAGCACGCGAAAAACCACGACGCCAGAGGCCGAAACACCTGGCAGAGCCGACAGACCGGCGGCCAGGGCGAGCCGTACTACAAGGATCCCGACGGCTTCGAACAGGCGATTCTCATGACGATCGAATTCGGGAGAAACCTCATGGCGGAAAAGTGGGGCCACCGAGGCTGCAACCTGCGTGCGGCCGGGCTTGGAAAGGGTGACGAGTGGCGAGTTCGACACGACTGGGAGAGTCGCTGGTGATGGATGCGATCATGTTTGTTTTTTACACGGCTGTAGCGCAACAAGCGGCGTTCGGTGTTCCTTTTTTTTTTGCAGTTCGGGGGACATGGATCGCCTTTTTGATACCCAGCGCATCGTTTACCACGGTATATAAAACGAATCATTGCAATAGCTCACACATGTCCGTACCAAGTCCCCCCTTTTTTTTTCCACGTTAGGTCATTTCCTGCTCGTCTGCAACTCGCGCAAGTCTGCCTTTGGTTCACGCAAGAAACGTCAAGAACTTGCAAGGGCTCTTTGAGACTGTGCGGAATGTTTCGATGTGACGATGTCGCACAGAAAGTTGACGCTGAGATTTTTTTTTTTTGGCATGTTTAGCCAGCCTTTTGGTCCTCCTTTCCAATTTCAATTTCTGAGCTGTCGAACTAGGCTCCGAGAATATTGATGCAAACCGCTTGGAAGGATTGAAAGGACTCCCGGTTTGGCTATGTTCCTTTTTTTCCTCGTGTGGAGAATCCATCAGGATGCTTCGTGTAAAACACCCTCTTAAGTCTGCTCTTGTTAAACGTGCGGCTAACTCAGCCTCTACGATTTTGGCTGTAGGCTAGTTTATATCCGAAGATCCGTCCAAAGCTGCATTGTCTTACGACACCGGCTCCAAAATTATGCAACCTTTGCGACTCGCATCTGTGATCACGCGCATGGCTTCATACTTGACTACTAAAACGGTGATTACGCTTGAGTACGTCGCATGCTATGCTCTTTACACGTACAGCTCGGCCATTTGCCATTTCTGCCCAACATGAAAACGGGCACAAGATGTTTGCCGAGTCCAAAACTCCTCCCTAGCTGGTATCAAGATTTAGGCCGTGCTCTCCTGAAATTGTTATTTAGGGAACTTTTTTGGCCAGCAATTGAGCTACTTCCTGCTCGAAGAGTCGTGATGCTGTAAGGAAGCCACGTATTGTAATCGTAGTGCGAGATTCTCCTCGCTTCAAGCGAAACAAACCACTCGCTAAACATCTTCCCCTTCCTCGAAGACGGTCCTCAAGGTGGTGGGGCATCCGACATATCTGAATAACGGAATCAGTCCATCTAGATCGCTCAAGACGCAAGGCTGATATCGAAGAGAGGGAATGAGTGTGGACAAATCGTACCTTCATCTTCCGGAAAACTACATTCCCTCGGAGGCCGACTCCGTGCACACTGGCTGCATTGCGGACGTGCTTCATCGCACTTCAACTTCCTATTGCGACACGTCCAACATCCTGTCTTCGCACGCCTCCTCAGGCCACGATCTGACTCTACCGCTACTGCCTCTCGCTCCTTCTCCTTCTCTTTTTCTTTGGCTGCAACCGCAGCAGCAGCACTTGAAGAAGACGGCTTCCCCGCTTTGTTGCCTCTAGGGCCAGTCTTCTTCTTGGGCTTCTTGGTGCCCTCGAAGTCTGATCCTGATGCGGATGAATCGTTTGCCGCACCGGCTGCAGATGCCGAGGCGGAAGCCTGAGCAGCGTTGGAGGAGCCGTAACTTTTGCGACCTGATTGTTTCGACTGTGTCTTGAGGCCAGGGATCAGAGTCACGACTGAGGGACGCCAGAGATCGCCGTCTCCAGGGTCGGGTTCCCAGTTTGGGTCGACCAAAGGCGGAGGAGGGTCTTGATTGTTGTCATGAGAATCATCCCAATCATCATCGAGAGGTTCCAGGTCGCTCATCTCGTCGTCCTCCACCATGCTGTTGCGGATTGGTTTGGTGGAGGTGCGTTTCCGCTTTTTGCCCTTGCCAGGGTCTTCTACAGGCGCGACGACAGGCGTCCCGGCTTGAGGCGTCGCATACGACGCCATTTCGCTGGTGTCCATCGGTTCTGCAGAGTCGTCGTGGACTAATCCATTACTGTTCGAGGATAGATTAGTTCGAGGATTTATTCACGTGACCTGTCAATCGTGGGCACAAAAAGGGGGAAAATAACCCAAATACGCACCTGACAAGATTGGCCCTTGATTTGGATGGCTCAGCAGTGTCGGGAGCCCGCTCGTTGCTCGCGTTGTGAACGGGAAGGTGCTGGTACACGACATCGACGATTTGCTGGGAGCTCGAGAACTTGACAAAGATGGAGCCCTTGCATTCGTACAGAAGGAGACGTGCGGGCGAGTCGGCTGCAGGGACGTGTTAGACCGCGTGTTTTGAACCGGGAGGAGCAACACCTCACCTTTGCTCGGGGATTGGTCTCCGTTCATATGCTGGTCGGCACCGGCTGCGGCCGCCGACGCCGACGCGCCGCCTGGCGTTCCGGCACCGTTGTTGCTGGTAGAATTCTGGAGCGAGAACGCGTCCGTGGACTTGCGCGTCTTGCCCAGGGCGCGGTCCTTGTTCTGGCAGGAGTCCTTGCAAAGGTACTTGAAGCGATAGCCGTCCGCGTGTTTGGTGTCCCACGCTTCTTTCTCAAAGTAGTTGAAGCCGTCGACGTCCTGGATGGACCTCAGAATCGCCTTGCCGACCGCGCGCTGGCGTCGCAGTTTGGCCTTTGTGTCCGAGACCTGCGCAACAGCGTCCGACACGGGCAACGACACCGTCACGGTTTCATTGCTGGCCGTCGACGGCGGCACCTGGACGTTGGGGAAGTGCTCGCGGATGCTGTTCCCGTCCGCGGTCGCGATGTCATTGATCTGGAACGCGACGTCGGACTCGAAGATGAACTGCGCATACGCCGTCTTGGGCGGCGTTTTGTCCTTGCAAAGGCTGATGTGTTTGCGCAGCAGGGTCTCAAGCTCGTCAAGCGACCTGGAGTGATAACAGACGTCCGGTTTTGGGCCACGGATGCGCACCTGATTTTTCATGGCCCGACTGGAGATGCCCTCAGACGCAGCCATGGCGAGCAGAATTCGAACACGGGGACATGGAACTCGAAAGGGATTGGGGTGTCGCGAAGAATTGGACACGTCAGATGAGGTGATACTTGGCGGATTTGGGGAGGGAATTAGTGACTTGGAGACAGAAAAAGGTTGAAAGAGTCCAGGAAAGAGCCACACGACGCAACGCTGGTTCGAGCCTGTGGCTGGTGCGCAACGCTAATCCCAAAGCGGAGCCCCCGCAGCCTCGGTGCCAGGGGGGCAAAAAAAACGCACGTAAGGCTGCCGCCAGGCACCGAAAGCGCCAGTTCTGAAACGATTGTTTCAGCCTTCTCCATCGCCTTGTCTGCGCTTTGCGCCCAGCACTATGCAGACAGCACCCAGACCCGTCGAGAACTGTGAGACACTTTCTGCGATTCATCAAGCAGTTTCCTTTTTATGCGCGACCTTGGTCTTCGTGTCGGCGGATCACCGACTACTCGCTCGGTGCAGGTGAGTATTGGGCACATGTGACCGCACGACTTGCAAACGATGGAAGTCCGCGTCGCTTTTCTCACCTCATCGGTGCCAACGAGTCGTCACATTGATTTTTTTTTTTTTTTGGTGAAGAGGCTAAAGCCGTACATGTGAAGATGATCCAAATTCAATCTGCTAGATCCGCCTCTTGGCCAATCTTCTTCCAACACCTATACGACACAACACCCACTTTCAACAACACACACACACACACACACGCACATACTTTCAAGATAGACTTCCCACGCAACCCTCGTACAATGTAAGAACAAAAGCCACACGCGAACCACGGTCAGCAACAATGCAATTTCATCGATCCATGAATCCCAGCCGCCAACCGCGCTCCCACACGCACCCAGTACATTGCAAGCCTGCAGCGACCGCTCACGGAGGCGGCGCCGCGCGCTCACATCGAGCGACGCAGCTGCACCTGGGGCCCCGGTCCGATCGCACGCGCTCGTCGTGCTCGATACACCGTGGAAGCCGCGCGCTCACCTGCCCAAGAGTGGGCGCGGGACCTCGCTGTTCCGTCGACTTCATGCCGGACAGGACGACGACGACGACGAGAACGAGGAGGGGGGAGGGGGCGAAGAAGCGGTCGGGCTGGAGGAGGCGGAGGCGGAAGAGAGTTTTACGGAGCCGACGCGAGTGGTGGGTGAGCTTCCCTTGTGCTTTTGCGTCTTGCCACTTCCCTCTTTGTATATCCATTGCGTGTCTGGCTTGTGGGGGCACCCGGACTGGGCGACCGAGCCGGAGCAGCAGCAGCAGCAGCAGCAGTAGTAGTAGTAGTATTAGTAGCAGCCGCCAGCGAGATGGAACGAAAGACTGTGACCTTCAGCGGAGTTCCAAACCCGACCTGGATCAAATCGCAGAGTGGGTCCAGTGGCCTGCGGATATCGAAGGGAGTTTCACGGCAGTTCAACCTCCTGGACTGGACGGAGAGACAAAGAGAGTTGGGAAAAAAGACGACGGAGAGAGTATGGAGTACGAATTTGATAAAGTTTTTTTGTGTCCAATTTGATTCCGCTGTATGTGAGGCTTCTCGACCCGAACCCTTCGAATCGGTGCGTTTCCTTATATCCCGCAATGCCCATTGATTTCCTCCCCTCCACCATAAAGAAGCTCGCAAAGAAAAACATCATTAAATTCCCTCAATCCCATGAAACCCGAAATGTGCAACTGGTAAAGACAGGCCCGCAGCGAAAAGCAAGAGCAGAAAGCAAAGATGCGGAAACACAAACATGCAGATGGCTACTCACTTTGAAAAATGAAAAGCCCCCCAGCACAAGAACGCTCAAGAAACTCCTTCCAACGCCATGCCAATGTATGTTTCGATGAAGTTCGCCAAAAAACACCGTCCCACAATGCGCCGTTGCCTTGAAAAAAAAAGAGAGCAAACATAAAAGCACTTTTAGAAAAAAGCAGAAAGTAGCTGCCCCCAATAATCCCTCGTCGAAGTCCATGACTGCGGAAGAGCGGGGAGGGTGCGACTGAGAAAAAAAAAATAAAACAAATTACAAGACCTGTCTAGCGGGGTTGACGACGCCAAATTGCCCATCCCGTAGCAGGAGAAGAAAATTGAAAAACCTCAATGTAGGAATGGCTTCGCAAATACAAACAGTCTGAATCGAAGAGCGAAGAGCGGCGGTGGAAGCTCATTGGTTAGCTAATCCACCATTTGCTAGAATGCTCGGATGTGTAGTTCCTTCTCATTTCAACCAAATCTCTTCTCGCGCGTCAAGAAAAATGAATCAAAAATATCAACTTGATAAGCCCGTACGAGCGACGAGAATCAGATGCTGGGAGGAAAGGCACAAAGATGATTTTTTTTTCCTCTCTCCCGAGTACGTGCCGTCAACAGAACTCCATGTCTCGTCATGTGTACTAGCGCGTTCAAACAGATTAAGCAGTGAAGCCCTCCGATTTGAATGGTCATGCTACACACACACCAAAACGACACATTTGAGTTTTGTCAACTGCCATACTCGCAGAATAAAAAACAAATCATCTCAGAAAGCCCTTCCAGCGCCCCCTCAATTCTTCAAGTAACTCGTAAGCGGTCGTATGCGTCGTGACAACATTCGCTCGTGTGCAGAATTTCATGTGCACGCGTGGATGCACTTTCATGAGCAGTGTGAGGAGTTAGACTTCTCACAGTGCGGAAACCAGCTGTGGCAAGTCGACCAGAGCAGGTGACGGTGAACGATACTGGGCAATGAGCCGAGGAGAGGTGGTGTTGTGGTACGACGGCGTACTCGATCGAGAAGTGCGATTCGAGTCGTGGGCGCCATCAACCTGGTTTCGCTCTAGGCGCTCAGTCGGGGGACTGTTGGACGCCGAAGAGCTTACGGAGTTGGGGGGGCTTTCGTCTGAGTCCGAGGCAGTGAGAGAGTGGGTTCCGTCGATCATTGGTTGCGGCTGTGGCTCTTTGGTTGCGAAAGAACCAGCCGGAACAGCATGAGGCGCCTTGGGTGCAGCATCTGGAGAGTTTGCTCCGGGAGAACCGGTCTTCGACCCAAACTGTGAAACGACGAATTAGTATTGGGCTTTCCCTGGGGACGGAGGCAATCCTATCGAAGGGGACGTACATAGCAGAACTTTTGGATCAGGTCGTGGTACTCCTGAGAGCCGAGCTCAGGGCGGTCGGACGAAAACTTGGCCGGGTTGGGAGCATCAACAGGCTGCACAGCGGGAGCGTCGGTACGCGGAGCCAGCGAGGACATCTTGTAAACTTCGTCGCTCGACTTTGCACGAGCCAGGGGGCTGTTGTGCGACTGGCCCATCTGGGACTGCGCACGAGTGAGCGCGGCAGAAAGTGAAGCGCCGAAGTCGTATCGGGTACCAAACGCGCCTCCTGTCTGAGGCGAGCCACGCCTCTGCTGCGTGGGGTAGATGCTACCGCCGCGTGCGCGAGAGCGTCGGCTCAGAGGATCCTGCAGCGTGGTACCTGCACCGAACTCGAACGAGGACACCAGGTCGTCGTCATTCGACGACGGGAAGGACCGCGGGCGTGGTTGAGCAGAGTGTGGGGCGTGCCGACTACGTGGAATGGTTCCAGCCGTGCCAGCACCTGCAGATGTGGACACCTTTCTTGGCACGACCTTTTTGACAAAATCGACCTGGTAGTTCATATTGCAATTGTTGTCCCAGTATTCTTGACCGGCCACATTGTACCTCACGCAGATGAACAGCGTCTTGTTCTGGAGGTTCGCCTGGTCGGCTAGTTTGATGTTGAAGTTAAACCGGTCGTACCCGTCGTTGAACTCCTTCTTCCGAATGTCGTAATTGAATTCGGCCGTCACTTCGGACGTCGTCTTCCAGTAGTCGAATGTGAACCGAGCAACGACGTGCTTGGCGAACGCGATGTTAGCACACGCGACGACACCCACAAGCATCTTCTGGTCTGCAGCCAAGAAGATCCGCTCGATCCTGACCGGAGCGATCTCTCGTTCACGGGAGTCCTTGGGAAAGTTGGCCAAGCGAATCTCCCACTCGGTCACGCTGGACTTGTAGCCACCACTGAAAGGGTATTCCGTCTCGCTGTCGTACGTCTCCACAGGAGATGAGCCAGCGCTGACGGCCGACGGTCGATCGACCTGCAAGAAATGTCGAACCTGCTCGATGTCTTCGTTGAAATGCACGGCTTTGGAGAATGTCGGCGTCCCAGGCATGCTGGACGGCCTTCGTCGCGAAGGGGGGCGAAGGGCCGGCTTCACAAGCTCGCCGGACTTCTTGCGGACCATGGGAGGTTTGATGTGCAACTCATCCTCTTCGCTGTCGGAGGAAGCGGCCTGCGACGGAACGTCGGCGAGCTTCGACAGCTGGATCTCACTCGACGACCGAGAGTGAGCGATCTTTCGCGCGGATGGCGTCAGAGCAGGACTGATGGTGCCATTCGCCTCAGCTCCCGTCTTCGACAGAGCTGAAGCGTCACTTTTCTTTTCGTGATCCGGCGAGCCCGTGCGTTTGACCAAGACGATGTTTTTCAGCGAGTCGGCCAGGTCTTGGATCTGCTTGCCACGGCCGCGCTCCTCGTCGTCCTCAGAAGTGAGAGACGAGTCACCCGGCGAAGTCGTGGGAGCCTCCGCCGACACTTGCTCTACCGCGTGCGGTCGCGAGGAGAGGTTGCCATTCTGCGCCCGAGCCGGAGAGTGCATGTGCAAGCCATGGTCTATGGCTGAAGTTGATCCGTGGATGGTGGCGGTGACGGGAGCGGGCTGATGTTCCGCTATCGACGGCGACCGTCTGTGCTTCTGGATGTATGCGGCAGACCTTGATCTCGGCAGGCCGGGACGGTGAGAAGAATCGAACGGGCCCTCATACGAGTGGTTCCTGCTGAGGATAGGGCTGTTCGCATTGGAAGATGCAGGCGACCGCGTGGGTGGCGTGTAAGGCATTCCTTCTCCGAGAGCGTGTAGAGGAGAAGAGGGTCTAGGTACGTGAAAAGCAGCGTTGCATTAGAAGAATGTTCAAGTCGAAGGGAGATCTAGCTGTCGTGCGAAAGGGAGAAAAAAAATGTTAGTGACGGTGTTGAAGTGCGATGCGATGTGGGAACATGGCAGCTGACGAATCAAGGCAGAGGAAGCACGAATGCAAAGCCGTTGAGGCTGATTGTGTCATAGGCAGGACGGACTTACAGAATACAGGGCAGGCGTCGTGAATGTGATTCGACGACGGATGGGCGACGATAACGAAGACCCGCTGTTTGATAGGGCAGAAATATAAAAGAGACGATCGAAAGGTTCACTGCCGGCGAACGGTTCGAGAAGGTGTCGTCGTGTGCGTGCGCTTCGACTCTATGATTGGGCGACGAGGTGGCGTCCAAAGGCCAGAGACAAGCAAAGCAATTGCTCAGGCCACGCACCGTCGAAAGCAATGCTTGGACGGACAAAGAGGAGCAGAGCAGGCGCGATCCGGTGGGATCCGGGGAAGACGAAGGTCGAAGGGCGGATGTCGAGGGGACCTGCTTGGAGCAGCAGATGCAGGACGCGTGTGCGGGACGAGCTGCGTTAAGCCCGGCCGAGAAACGCGAAAAGATAGGAAATGAAATAAGACGCAGTGCGAGACAACGGCGGCGAAAGGTTTCCTCTCTGCTCGCCAACGGTGCAGAAGCCCTCTGTAAATCACTCCTCGATCTGGGAGGGGGGGCACAGGCAATTGGGGTGGAGGAGGAGGATGAGGAGGAGGAAGAGCAAAGATGTTGGGAGGCGGAGAAAAGAGGTGGGAAGACGAAGCAGAAGAACGAAGGTGAGCGGCGGCCGGGATGTGATTGGGTTGGGGGGGGAGACGAGAGTGGGACGGCGTGCGAGCAGCGGGCGCGCTGGCTCTGGAGGTCGAGTCGCAGCGAGCAGGCGGGAGCCGGCCAGGCGTGGGCTGGACAGGGGTCGCGTCCTGGGGCTGGGATGTCGATGCGTGCGATGCTTTGATAAACGCGGCCTAGGCCAATCTGCACCTTGTGGTGGGCTGATGCACGGCCGGCCCTAAAGGTCTTGTCTGTAGCGTTCCAGGATGGGCCGATGCGAAATCTGTGCTGTAGCGAGGCTGCTGCTGCTGCGGGCCTTTTGACGTCTGGTGTGAGCGGGAACGACCATGCACCCCAACAAGAGCACGGGGCCGTACGCTGCTGCTGCTGCTGCTGCTGCTGCTGAGGCCCGTAATGGCTTTGCCGGCTCTAGCCTGGCTGTGATGACTTTTCTTCTTCCTTCTTCTTCTTCTTCTTCTTCTTCTTCTCCTCTCTTCCCTTTCCTTCCTTCCTTTGCCTCCCGTGCTGAAGATGTTATCGAGATGACCGGCGGCTTGCGAGCGGGAGAAACCCGTGCAACAAAAACTTGAAAAAAAGAGAAATTCTATGCAAAACGAGGCCCCGTCCAATCGTTCGAGACAAGAATTGGACGATGATAAAACACCCGGCCCGTGTGTGTCGAGCCACAATCAGCGCCAACAACGCAGCCTTTTTAAAACCGGATCGGCTGAGCCTAGGGCGGGCGGCGGGCGGCACTGTGATGCTATAGCGCTAGGTGGGTCGTGTCCGTTGTTGGGGGAGAAAGGAGGCAGAAAGGCCCCAAAATAATATGCGAGACCATGTCTTTCCCCCCCCAAAAGCCTTTTTTTCTGGTTAAATCTTTGGGTGGTGGCAGCGCCGGATCGACGGCCAACGCGTGCTACTGCCGGTGCTGGTACCTGGGAATGGAACGCACACACGCTGGTTGTTTCGTCCTGGCTTGTCTCTTTGGTCTCCCCTCTCCCCTCCGCGGCTGGTACGTAGTGGTGACAATGGGGTGACAAGACAAAGCACGTACATACGCAAAAAAGTTTGGCGCCGATCGAACGATGTGAAATGTGCGCGTCTCTCCGCGTTTCGAGCAGATCCCAGGATGTTCCTGTTGCTTTACCCACTCGTCCTTTCGGACCTCTCCGTCTGCTCACGTCAACGTCCACAATGCGGGCAGAAGTTTTGAGCGGACGTGCTATCCGTTCTCGCTACGACGGTCCTTCTCCGACCTCACCGAAGAACCGACAGGAGAGCGTCTGCTGCTCTCCACGTCAACGATGAGTGATGATGATGATGATGATGATGATGATGATGATGATGATGATGATGATGATGATGATGATGATTATGATGATGATTATTATTATGATGATGATTATTATTATGATGATGATAACCTGCTCCGACCCAGCCCATGCAATAATTCCGTCGTGATGAATTCGCCATTGCGCACACGTCGGCTTCGTCATGCCGCAACCCGTGAAACTAACCCCCCCCCCCCCCTCCCCCGCGCCACCAAATAGATGATACACACTCGACATCGTGCTCAGCTGTGTTGACGGCCTGCTTCTCGAGACCGCCTTTTCGCCATTGCCAGGCTCTGCCTACTCTTGGAGGCAACGTTTAGGCCATGGCAGACCCGCATCAGAAACGTTCTGCTGACATCATGTTCGCATAAAGAAAAAAAAAAAAACCACCCCAAGCGTGCGACAGTCTGCGATCTCCGGCTGCGGAGGCAGCAGCAACGTCCAATGCTTTTCCTCCGAACCTGCCGTTTTCTTGCTGCAGTCGATGAGGCGTCCGTGCTTGCAGGATGCCTCTCTTTCATCCTGGCGCTGCGTGTCGTTCAGCGCATTTTTGGCGTGTGCGTTTGTGCGTGCTGCGTGTGTTCTAGCCAAGGCAGAGTGCAAAGACGCCACCCACGTTTTTTTTTCCCCCATCGTCTTTTTGCCCCCCTCCCCCCCCCCAAAAAAAAAATAAGCCGGAAAGAAAAAAGCAAAAAGGAAAAGGGAAAGGAACGAAACGTGAAAGAATCGAAGTGCCATTGCAGCCTCGACAACGGCGCGGCCGACACTTCGTCTGGCGCGCGATCGTCCCCCTGGCCGCGTCGCCCTCCTCGCCATCCGCTGATCGTCCTGATCGCCCGGCGGGACAGAGTACCAATTGGCCTTATCTCGTCGCCGTCCCGTCCGTCCAAGAGGCGTCGCATCGACCCCGCCGTCGCGCGAAACAGGGATGTGCCGCCTTGGAATCAGTTTGTCGCCCCATCAAATGGAAAAAAAAAATTGAAAAGCTGCAACCACCAACACCACCACCGTGTGGCGGTGCCGTGCAAAGTCTCTTTCTGCCCGTTTTATTTCTGTTACTACCTTTTTTGATTTCGCCACGAGCTCAACGGACTAACGGGGTGATGAGATGGCTTTTGATTTGCTGCTAAGCTGAGAGCTTTGGGGCGACTCTCCTTCGATCCTCTGCGACGGCTGCATACGAGGCTGCTGCGAAACGTCATTGGCTACGTTCGCACGCTTGGCGCTTCTTCGTCAAAAACCTGCCCTCTGTTGTGCTCTTGCTCTGCTCGCGCCTGGTTGGGTGGTTCGCACGTCCATTCCGCCCTTATCATTGGTCTTTGTTTACTCAGGCAAGAAAAATTCTTTTCGTTGTCTTTTCTTACAGACCTCGATCCTCGCCTTATCTCTCGTCATAGATTCTGCTGAGCCACACACAGCTTCTCAGCCCCACCCCACCCCTTGCCTTCTCACGCTCGGACCGACTCAGGATGAATGATCACGAAGCACCACAGTAAAGAAAGAAAAGACAATCATTGTTCGAACCAAAAGGGTAAATTTCAACAATCGAATTGGCTCGTGTATGGGGTTGTGCGCTGCGTGTTTGCTCGGAAATAAAGCAATGTATTCCCTACCGCATCGACCGCCGCCACTCTTTTCTCCCGCTTACCTGCTTGCGCTGTGAAACTAAACTCTACGCCTGGTGTGCCCGGAGCGGTCATCATGGGACCAAGCATGTCACAAAAACGCCGTCCGTGGGGCCCGTCAAAGAGCAACAGCCTCGCGGGCGTCGCGGGGGGGGGGGGAGAGAAAGAAACAAACGACAGGCTTTCGCAATCTCGTTTCGTCTTGTCTGTTCGGCCTGTCCATGCGCTGCGCTCGCCATTGGCTCCTCCCGGGTCACGGGCCTCCACGCTTCAATCTATGCGGCGTGAGCTGACGAGCAATGACGTATTGATTGTGAGCCAAAATCGTGCTTCTCTCCGCAAAACCGGTCTCCGCTCTCGTCGCTGTGCTCGCGGTCCTTCTTTCCTGTCTGTGCGGTCCCGTGCGCGATCGCATTCGCCCTTTTTACGTCGTGTACTGCGTACGTTGTCACCGTCCTGCGGCCGGGGTCATGTGGATTTTCCCCCCTTTCACGACGGGGTTGTGTCGCCGCCGTTCCAAATCCGCGCTTCCAAACCCCATGCACGATTGAGGAATTCCCCCTCTTCGTGCTAGAAATCCCATGTTGGCGGACCATGCGGGAGCCAGGCTGTCTCCTCGGAAGCACCACCACTAAAACCGCCTGCTTCGGAAGCAGATCGCCAGGCGAGTGCCCGGTCCTGGTCAATTTTTTTTTTCATCAAAAACACACAAAAATGGTCAGGTTTCCAAGCTAACTTGTGCGCTGAGCCTGTCAGCCCCCCCGTCCTAGCCAATTTCTCCATTGCGAATCTCGAAATTCGATGTTCGGTCGACCGACCGCAACAGCGCTGCCTTCGAGGCCTGGTTTTTTTTGTAACATTGCTTTTTTTCCTTGTTTGGCGGCGCTCAACATCCCTCCCCAATTTCCCTGGGCATTATCCAGGTACGACACTTGGGGCGGTATATTGGCATGACGTGAACTTTCGACGGCAGCGCGTACCTGTCCCAAACGATGTACCTTGTGACCTGTTCCGGATCGACGATGTCTCTCCTCTTAGCTCACCCGTCGTTGGTGCGGCACGACAAATTGCTATCCCGTAGTCAGAGTGTGCCGCGCGCGAAGCTAAAGCGGGCTCCTTCTTGAACGCTGGGACCCGCGAGTGGCCGCGCCGGAATGCCTCGTCAGAGCACACCGTTCGCGGCAGAAGGAAAGTTGCAGTTAGCTTGCCTTTTTTATTCTCGAAGCTCGTCTGAACCGGTGCCCCCGGCTACGGACGCGACGACGACTTCAGTTTACCAAAGAGCTATTTTCACGCAGTACCCGCTTCTCCATCATTGGCATCCGTCATTGTCATGTTTTATGCGCTTTGATCCGAGTAAGCGTAGCGACTGCCGGGCTTTCCTGTTTGCGGCTCAAGCGTCGTCTCAGCACGCATTCGGAGTGGAGCAAATTTCGCTTTGGGGCGCCTCGTTCACCGACTCCGTCATCCTCTCCTTCAACTCCGCGCCTGCAGATCGATCGATCGACGGGCAGTCCTTCATTGGCGAAACAGCAGACGAGGCAGCCATGACAATCGTTTCGCGTGCAGTTGTTCCCCCTTCGTCCTTTGCTCTCACGCACGACGCTCGTAAGATCCAGCAGGCATCGCCTCCGCTGTCGGAGAGTGTCAGCAGGCTCCGAAGAGGTGTGTGCTCAATAGCAGCATCGGACACACACAAGTCGCAGGCGTTGCAAAGCAACCGTAGATCTGCCGTCTCAGAATTTTACTTTGCAGCGTCCGAACAGTCTGATTGCTGGACGAAGTCTGAGGAAGAGACCAGGTTTTGTCATCCGTACAAGGTTGGGACACAAAAAGCGCTGCGCCGTCGCCCAGTCAATGCCCACCTTGTGGCGAGGACCTCACATCGCACACACTTTTAAATGAAGACGCATAACATGGCTCACTAGTATATTGATATGCGTTTTTTGCACTGTGGCGCGCGGGCGCACCTGGTACGAGCTCATCCTATCGGCAACAATGGTGTTTTCCTCGCACACTCCATTTTATTACTGCTCAACCCGCTGGACATCGAACGCGGGCAAATCGTTGGAGATTTCCACCTCAGCTATCAGCCAGCGCACTTCCCGATCTCGCTTCGCAGACCCCATGATAAGGAAGGGAAGTGTCCGTTACGAAATCCATTTTTTGGTGAGTAAGAAAAAAAAATTAATTGTTTTTCACACAATTTGGTGGCGAGCTTTCGGGTCAGAATACCACCGATGACCGTAGGAATGGTCACTCTTGAGAGGGCACGCCACAGAAGAGGGAGAGGGGAGGGAAAAAAAAATCCCACCAAAAGCTTCTGCTCCACCACATCAGCAGCGTTTCCGGCGTAGGGGTTATTCGCCACCTGCACAAATGTCTCTTTTTTACGTAGGAGTGAGATCTCTATTATAAATTCGTTGCAGTAGTGATGAATCATTCCATCATGGATAGGAAACCACTGTCCAAGGGCCGGAACGGCACCAGCACCAAAGGGAGATGCCAGGGCGCGTACAGCGCTTAACCGATTGTCCTTATCTTTCTTCCTATCCCAGCCATCCTCAACCTTACGACGGGCGACGGCACTACCCTTTCCAAGAGACCCTGAAGCAGAGACGGTGCAGTAGTGCGAAGATATCTACGATGACCCTGCAGTATTAGATGCTCTCAAAAAGAAAGATTTAGCTACCCTTTTTTTTTTGTTTTCAAACGACCGGGACGTAGGCACGCTGGGCAGATGTTCTCGCAGCGCTTCCCGTCCAGAGTGGTTATTTTTGTGTGGCGGTGGTGTTTCACGAGATTGCGTCGAGCACATGCTTAGCGAGCCAGCGGCAAAGCACGAAATGCATTGGTGCCCCACCCCATCGTGCCATTGTCGTTTTCAGCCACAGAACCACTGTTCAGTGGTACAAGTAGCACTAGTCGTCCTGTACGGGAAGGGGAACGTGCTGCACTTTATTTTGGATGATTTGCCCCCCCACCAACAGTGCGGCCCACTGCTAGCGTTTGCTGGCGACATGCGTGAAGCTCGGGCCAACGCTTATTCCAGCCACTTCGAGCTGCTGGACCGGCGTCCCCTGTTGCTGAGCGGCCCCTCACGCTGGCCCAGGCTTGCTCCTCCCGCTCAGCGAATCACAGCCCAAAATGGCCAACGACATCCCTCACGGTACGAGGGTCGAACAAATTTGGTCTCTGCCACGGACTCCAGTCCCGCGACGGAAGGTTGGATGGACAAAGTCCTACGCACCCAGAGCGCCAGACATCCTGGGGCCGCCCCAGCTGTCTGCTGTAGTGGGCCAAGACGTGTCACTCTGCGTCGTTTGTGGCACCTTTGGCTGAGGGCTTTCTGGAGCAGTTCTTGGATGCATTAGGAGCAAAGTTTACTAGCGGTCGTGGGCGTCGAACCCCCAGAGCGCCGGCCCCGGATAACACTCGCTGCAGTCTGCACTCCACAGTGGACCTGGGTATCATTTATTGAAGTAAAAATGAGCAGGACGGGGAGCAGGAGGAGCACACGGCTGCAAAGCGCGACTTGCCGCTGCGGCGGGGAGAGACGAGCAAGAATCAGTGTCTCCTAATCATCCTCCAAATGCCAGAGCCCGCGAGCTTCCTTGTGCGAAGTAGAAGACGAGTCGGTGAGCTTTTGACGCCCCTCATTGGTGCAACGGTGGCACAGCTCTTCAGGACTCAAAAGCTTCTTACGTTGCGCGCTGGGGACATCCTGTCCTTCCCAGGCCCTTATCTTGCTTTCTGCCACACTCCCAGGGCCAGCAATCACAGCAGACTCAGCCCAGCTCAGCCTACGATGCCCTTCGGCTGTGAAAGACCTCGAACCCCTCATGTAAAAAAAACTTTCCGCGACGACACAAAGCGCGCCGCTTCGCGGCACGCTTGCTAGGCCGTTGATCCTCCCGGCCTGGGATCATTACGAAGTCATGTCGTGCAGTGCATGCGCTTTGGCAGCCGCGAACAGACCGCAGGATTCCTGATCCACTCCTTCATTGTTATCCTGACGGGCTTGGAGCAACAGAGCCTTGCAACATGCATATAGCTACCTCCGACGAACAGGGTCTCTGCCTAAAACGTCGACGACTTGTGCGAGATAACGGAAACATGTTGGAAATCTGCCCCAGCCAGCGCTTCTGGGCTTCCTGGCATCGTCAACCGCCTGGCTTGGTTAGAGACACCAGTTTTCGCAGCGTTTCCAACAGCGCTCTCTGTCTTGAAATCAGCCTTGCGAAATCGTACCAAGACAGTGAATCACTCCATTGGTACGATGGCATATAGCACCCGTGGATGACAAACAGTATGTGGCGTGAATGGACCAGACTCTCTCTCACTGCGTTTTCCTCTCTCCTTGCTCTGGAAAACCCTGTCAACACACGATCAGCGAGACTAAAATCCCGTGCCGTCTGTCGCGGACCGCGTAAGGCCTGTTTCCCTCCACAGTGGTAAGCCAAAGGTATTGCAGTGGGGATGGACCCTTTACTACCAACCCACGGCTCCATAAAGGGGCATGTTTGATAGACAGCGAGGCAATTGTCTGATGGCGTTAATGGCCGTACCAGAAACACCAAGCGTAGTATCGATCCCCGCCTTTCACCGAGAGCTGGGGGGTCTCTGTATTTGCCACTGGTGGCTCTCAACAAGAAGCGCCAGAGGTGGTTATTGGATCCACAATTGGTAAATTGTGTTTGACGACGCGCCTACTCCTCGGAGAAGACGAACTGGTAACCCAGGTAAATTGATGACTTCCTCAAATATCGCGTAAAAGGTTATCATTCGAGCACTCTTCGAGAGAGACATACAGGTGCTAAATGTGGATCCCTTCCACTAGCTGCTGGGATATACGTTTCCGACTCTGCATCAATAGCGGCTTCTCGCAGTGAGCTGGGGTACCTAGAATCACCTCAACACCATGAATGCTCAGATTATTACCATCGCGAGCTTTCTCTTGATCACCGACCTCAAATAGTCGTAGGGTGGTCTATGATCAGGTTCCCGGAAAATGAGACAAATCTGGCGGCACTGAGCCGTTGCTTCCGTGCTATGCAGGGCTCGCACAGCGGCAAGAAATTACCCTGGAGAATACCAGAAATGGCTTACCTTATGGTAACCAGTTGCGATGGGTATGGTATCTCGAGAACAAGGCCGAGAAGAGATCTTCTGCACCCTGATGCAAGGATCGCAGAACGCGCAAATCAGCATGTCTAGTTTCTTTCATGTGAAAGGGCTCGAACTGCGGATCTGCACGCAACACCAAGCGACGACCTTGCTGTTCTTGGCCGGTTCGCTCAACAAAATACAGCACAAATTTTTCCCTAGAAAAAGATGAAGGGACGAAGAAAAGCTCACCTCATACCCACTTTTTCTCCACGATCTTATGATGAACGTAAAATCCTCTCTGTATTGACAGCCTATGTCGAGCCGCCATGTCCGTGGGGTGGGTGGAGCTTATGCATTTTTTCTGCGACGGGGCCGAGCACACGCAGAAGGCATCGAGCGGGACGCTGAGATTGAGGACGTTGTGTACATGCTCGGTACGAAGAGGTACTTTCTGCCATTCTCCAGTGCTGTGATTTGTTGGCAGGTGTTCATGCACGAAGAAGCCTGAACACAGCATCCTGGTGAAGCTGTACAGGCAATCATACCATGCATTTGCGGAGATTAAATCCGTTTTGTCCTTGTGTTGTTTGACCAGAGTCAAGAGTGAATGAAAAGAGATGCCGCTGAAAGACCAGCATCTTTAATTTTTCCATCATCACCCACCACATGACTTGATCGGCAGAAACCTTTCTTGACGGGAGTGGTCTGTGCATTGGCAATGGTCTCCTTGACGTTCAAAGACGAACAACAACAGCAATCTTCTCAAGCTCTCATCTGGCATCGTCTCTTTACACGCTCCCCGTCCTGTCGATCGTTGTGTTTCTTCAGCACTCACCACAGAATAGAAGCTGTCCCTGCCCTTTGCTGTCCCGTGTAACAGGCCCCCATGGCAAGACCACCACTCCGTTTCGGAAGCATCTCCTCACCGTGTGCTCGTATCTCAACACACTCGGGCCCCGCTCCATCTCAACTGCTGGAAAGGCGGAGTCGTGCGTTCGTTCGGCTCCTAAGTGGAAATACAACCCCGACACAGAGGCTCGACACGGCCCACCGCTCGGCAAGGCAGCATGATGCATCGGCTATGCTGCACTCCAATATGACGTGCGCTCCCAGTGCAGCATGCGTTCGCGCCTTCTCTTTTCGTCACCGTGTGCCCCGACGGTATTACTCCTCTCCCGCCGAAGCTCCCTCGTCAACGAGCACTCAAGAGGTTCAATCGGGGCGTGCCGAGCCGCCGGATTACCTGGACGAGAAGGAGAGGGCCATATTTGACAGGCTGAACGAGGCCCTGTCACCTGTGGCCCTTCAGGTGCGTCTTGCTATCCTCTTCCCATTCCACTCCACATGACACGGACCCTGTGTCGGAATCTAGACTGCGGACTCGTTGTCTGACATGCGTTCTCGTGATACAGGTCGAAGACATTAGCGGCGGCTGCGGCAGCATGTACGCTGTGGCCATCACCTCGGAGAAGTTCAGGGGCCTACCCGTCATAAAACAACACAGATTGGTGAATGAGATCTTGGGCGAGGACATCAAGAGTTGGCATGGAATACAGCTACGAACGAAGGCTCCGTGACGCAGACAGGCCACAATATCGTCCTCGCACGCCCGTGCGACGGGTTCCGCTGCCTTGCCGTAATATTCTGACGGTGAATTCTGGGCATGCATCAGCTCTGGATTTGAATAGGCACCGGTGCGTCCCTGTAGAAATGTCCTGGCCTCAGGGCTTGTATGGGATTTGATAGAGCATTCATCTTCCTAAAGTCCTAACGTCGGCTTACATATGCGTCGAACAGTTCTATATTGTGACTACGTCGACAGACACTCCATGCGTTTCGAAACGGCTGTATTCCAATGGCCCCGCCTAGATTGCCTTGGCACGTTGATACCCGTGTATATATATTTCTCGTTTCGAGTCTTTAGGTGCCACGCATAAACTGTACTACGAGGAGGCGGGTTAAAAACTGCTACGCCCGGGAGATATGCTTGTAGATCTTATGCTGTCAACCGCACTGCGCGATTTTGGACCAACGAGTACCCGTGAGCAAATAGTGAATCCAAAGCGGCTCCGCCCATGAACCCATGCTTTAACAGACCTTCATTCTGAGTGTGATATTCTTATCTGCCGTTCTAATCTCAACTTCTACATCAGACGCCCGGCACTGTAACTTGTAAGACTGAAAGTCTCAAGATGCCACTTACACAGAAACGCATTTCCCATCTTCCAGCGTCTTGCCACCCGAGCTTTGAACACAATGGTCATCGTTGAGCATCCTCAAAGGAGCTTCTAATGTAAGACCCGAGCGAAGCCACGCTCGCCGGCAGCGCTCGCACGAAAAATGAGAGCCACCCTTACTTCGGGCGAATTCTTCACGTAAACCCTAACAGCGAACGAGGCTCACACGTTCCGCGGCCCGTTCACCCTCGTTTCCGCTACCCAGATGGACACCTTCCTCGCACCGCCGTTGAGGACGGCGCTCGCCTCAAGGTTCGCGCCCTCGCGCTCTAGCTCGTCGCACCATCGCTCTATCTCTCTACCCCTCTCGAAGCGGCCGTTGACGACATCGATTCGTGCGGACTTGGGGTCGAACAGGGCGTCGAGCATCCACCGACCGGCTACTCTGTTGGCGTGGTCTTGAACGGTCCAGACGCCGTCCGGGTGTTGTTCCTCTGATTCCGAGATGAGGCTGCATCGCTCCTCTTCATCCTCTTCCTCGTCGCCATTCTCTTCCCCGTCCTGGTCCTTTTTCTCTTCGACCGGTTCCTTAAAGAGTGATCCAAGATCGTCCTCGTCACTGGATGCATTTGCTGCGGGCAACGCCGACGGCTGAGCATCTCGCGGACGGGATACCCAGGTTTTCTTCTTGATCCACCATACTCGGGTGCTGAGCCATCCAGCTGTATGACCTGGGCTTGTGCCGAGCTCGTTAAATCTCATGGTCCGCTCGACTTTGATTCGGATGAAGCCTTGTGGTACGCGAATGAACCACTGTAACATTCCGCTTTCGTACTTAAACTCTCCTTGCTCATCTGACGACCATCTGAGAGACATGCCATGACGAACATGCCGGGTCTCCTTCATGGCGGCATCATTTGCCAGATCGATCGAGTAATACGCAGGCTCTTGTACAGAAAACCAGTCTGCGTCACTTTCGTCTTCTTCCACGCTCCATTGCTTCCGCTTGACAGAGTAAACAAAGTGCATCTCCCTTGAGCCTGTGATTGGTGACACCTCGAGGCTCCTGGAGTTCACGGCTTCAGCTTCACTGAACGCTTCTTCCCCGTAGTTTTCTCGAGCGTTCGAAGGTTTCAAATCTTTCCTGGTAGCTTTACTTTTTGTTCTCTTTGTCCCACAAACTCGTCGATTACGCTGTGGCGAAGATGGACTAGTTCCTGATGCTAGACAGTTCGCTCTGGATCTGACAGGCTCGGCGAAAGAAGACCATCCGCTAAAACCAGACGTCTCATGAGCAATTGGATGTGGAACACGGCCTCCCAGCGATTCGTACTCCGCGCTGTCGTTTTCTATGCTCGAAATGTCGTTCGCAGCCCCAGTGCCAACGTCTACATCATTGGAACGACTTGACTGAAACGCTCTAGAGCACGTCTGTTTGCCTTGAAGTCTACCATTGTCGTCTCTTTTCGAAGATTTGGAGTTGGTCTGAGATTCTGCGAGAGCAGTTTCTGTCGCCATTTCGTTTGAATAAAGGCTCCGTGGGTTAGCTGCCGCGTGCACATTCTGTTCTGTACTGACACACTTGTTCTTTTTCCTCTTTCCTTCCTTCTGTTCTTTGATCTCGAGAATCTCTGTCAACTCTTCTTGATTGGAGGTCAGAAATTGAAGGTGTTTTGGCTCTGTGATTCCCCGTTCTAAGTAGCTTTTAACAATGGCCCAAGCTGGATGAGATGACCTTAGTTTCCTGAGTTTACATAGTGGCGGGAGCGTTTGGCTTTCATATGATATAGAACGCTTTCCTTCTGCCTCAGGATTATTGAACTGCTTGTCTAGCTTCGTGGATTGTGATTCTGAAGACTCAATAGCTCCAAAATTTTCTATATGCTTCTGTTCTTTTGCCAAAACACTTGTACACATCTTCGGCTGGCCATTGATGCTGAAATCAGAGCTACCGGTACTGAGAGGAGGCAATTCTGGCCTTTCCGCTGTATTTTTTGTTATTTTGGTGACTCGCGGTACGGCATTACTCGTGGAATTTTCCACCGGACCCGACAAGTTGTTTTGAAGTGCTGTCTGTGGTCGTGTCGAAAATTTTCTCGAAGCCAGATGAGTCGACACAGCTTTAGCGGGCTGGTTGGAATCTAAAGCTGCTACCGAATCAAAGAGAGCCGGATTCTCAAGACTGCGGTTCGCAATGTTGGTGGGCATAGGGCAAGCCTCGCTGTCAGATTGCGTACATGCTTCTGCCACTGAGTCTTGCCAGTTATCGTCTGTGATTGCTTGCCTCTTTCTAGGGGAATCTCCGACGGAATTGACAGCATCGACTTGAGTTGCAGCGGACTCTTGAGCAGCGCTATGCCGGGTCAATGACGTTCGTCCCAGTGTGATGGGAGAGGCAACGGTGTCTAAGATATATCTCGCTGATATGTCATCAGCAGCTATAACCGGACTATTGCTAAAGAAATCGTCCAGTTCTGTGTCCATTAGATGCGCCGACGAATCTGTTATGATAAGAGTTGGGCTTCGGTCTCCGATTTGTCGCCCTTGGTTTTCCTCTACGATTCCACTGAACGGATTTTTCTCCATTCCGCGAGGCCAATGGCCATCAGAAATTGTAGAAGTTGCGTCATTAAAAGCATTGTCATCATCGTCGTCATCATTTTCAAGCCATTCTGAAGACCCAATTGGTGTTGGAATATCAGAAGAGTTCACAGAGATTTCTGCTGCGGGATGGATGGTCGCTTCTCTGGAAACAAAATTCGTTCTTTCTGAACATTCGATCTCAGTAATGACACTTTCATAGTGGTCATTGTTTGAAGGGTCTCGATTCTACTAGGGTTAGCAAATGAAAGATTTCAAATACAGAACACGAAACTTCCAAGATTCCATCTCACCTCAGCATTCACAACAGTACTTCCAGTCTCGAAAACTTCAGGTGACTTTGCCGTATGTGGAGCTAAATTGTTGACAGTCTGTCCTCAGTTTTAGCAACACATGCGAAAGAAGTGAAATATTAGGCATACCAAGTCCTTGTCCTCGGTATCTCCATTTTCTGGTATTTTCTCTTCTGCTATGAGTATTGAGGAAATGTTGACTAAAGGTTGGAAAGCTTGAGGTCCAGTTTGAGATATTACATCCAGATTCGCCGACACTTCTGGGCATAAACGAGGCTTTTGCTTCAACTCGAGTTTTTTGAGCTGTGAACAATTTGTAGCTGCTGGGTCTTGTTTCTTTGGTCCTTGTGAAGCCCTTCGTTCGACAGCATACATTTGCCTTTTTTGCTCACAACTGAGTTTTAGCGTCCCTCCGAGTTTTGGCCGTGCATGTATGGATTCTTCAAATCCAAGTTTGTCTTCAGAACTAGCACAGATAACCTCTGTCTGTGTTTGCCCCGCAGGCATAGCAATTCGAGTCACCTTAGCCATGCGTGCTGAAAAGTCCGTGTCCAAGTCGACGGCATCGAGCACACGTTTCAACCTAGCTTCCTTATAATCACATAACACGTTATCTACATGCATACCGCTGGTCTGCCGTTGAACTTTGCACCTTACCTTGCTCTCCGACTGTGTGGCGCTACAGTCCCTGCTTGAGTTAGAATGAACACTTGTTTCGTCGCTGGGTATTTCGGTTAAGTCGTCAATCTTTGATGATTGAGACTGAACGGGGTGCAAGTGATGAAGGGTAGACATATCCGTGCAAGGGTTAGCATTTGACGAGTATAGCATTGACCGTACAGATTTTACGGATGGTTCATTCGATTCGCTGGGAGATGAGCAATCCTTGTGTACCTTAGAGTTGCCAAATCCTTTTGGATTTTTTTGGTGTCGAACTGCTGCATCGAGAGATAGATTTCGATTTGCTTTCATTCGTTCATACGGTGTGAGACATCTTTCATCGTGATCGGACCTCGTTGAAGGCGCAATTTTGCTGAGAGAAGTTTGCAGTTTTCTCCTTCCTTTGGATTTGTCGCCGAATGATTGTAAAGCAGAATCTCCGACCTCAACCAGTGCAATTTTTTCTTCATTTTTTGATCCTCGATCTGCTTCCTCTTTCTCCCTTGTATCAACGTTACCGGAGTCTTTCCTAGCCCCTTGCATAAAAGATTTGCCTCTCTTCTTCTTTTCCTCGGCCTGTCGCTTGACTTTGAGCCACAGCTGGTTCGAGAAGGACTCCACCATCTGAATCGGAAATGAGGGACAACACAGGCTTTAGAAAGTTGGGTGAGTTTCAAGAAGAAATGTCGCGCTTCCTTATGACCTTCAAACGATAAATATTAAGTTTTTATCGAGAAGTTGAGGTTTGACCTAGTTTAAAGATATGTATTTTTATCGGATGACACTTGTGGACTATTGCGCAGATAATACTTGCATGTGTGGAGCAGCGCCTGAGGATTCAAAGTTGTGTTAACAACCTATATGGATTTAGGAATGTGTGCGATGTCCGATCAAACCGAATGGCTGGCGGGATCGGCCAAGAAATATGTAGCAGCGAGGATTGGAGATGTTCGTACGGCAGAACTTCTGCTAGAGAACTCTAATGTGGAATTTGAAAGAAATTGTGTTGTTCGGGCAGTTGTGCACGTAAAAATGGTGAATGACGAGATCCAAGACTTAACCTTCATCCATTTTCATTTCACTATTAGCATCGTTTAGGATCGGAAGAGGGAATGGCCGGGTAATCGAAAAGTTTACTGCTTAATCTCATGACGGTCCGGGGAAATCCTCTTTGCCCCCCGGAAAAGAGGGCTATATTCACAATGACCTACCATTGCTCACAATAGAAACGGAAGGGAAACTTTGTGATTCCCAAAAAGCTCTCTCAGAGCGGTCTATTACTTGAACCGTGTAGCTAGATTACTTATTTGTCCCACGATTAAACTCTGAATTTCTTCGCTTTAGTGACCGTCGAGGAGCCTCGATTTAAGGAAAGTAGCTTATCTTATGGACTCTAGGATATTATAGACCAAAAGGCACCTTGGGGACTCTTGATTCTATCATGTCGGATATAAGTCGACGAGCTTGGTGAGATTTTCAATGGAAAGGCTTCGTAACTTAATTGTTCCAAGCTCACGATGGTTCTTTTGATATCGTATGGAAAGAGCATTGGTTCAAATTTCCTTACTCACGTAAATAAAGTAGAAAATCCAAAGAATAAAAAAGTCAAGGAATCTTGATAAGAAGAATCAAAGACTTCAGCGACGATATGTCAAAGATCGATATCGGAAGTCCATTTACTTGATGCACGGACCAGTTAAACATCAGTGGAGGAAAACATCAGATGTATACCAGAATTCACTCCTTAATTCTTTCGTGAAACTTTGCTGCGGCAGATGTTACGAAAAGCAGCTGCAAATACTGTTCGCTTATTTCGGAAGGGTATGTATGGACATTTAGGTGAGACAAAAGGAACTAGCTTGATGATGCAGAAGATATATACAAGATTGTGTGCGCGTGCCCCGTTGTGGTACAAATTCACCAAGATTTACCATCATACATTCTACTGCTCATGCACATTCTATTGTCCAGGTGCGACAAGTTTCCCCTTCTTCGCAGCATCATGTTCCCAACCGCCAGCAAGCGCCTCACCGCCATTAATTTTCTTGAACTCTTCGATTCTAGCCTCAAGCTCAGGCCTGAAATGCCTGATCAGACCCTGCAGCGGCCACGCAAACGCCTCGCCTAGCGCGCAAATGGTGTGGCCTTCGACTTGCTTTGTCAACTCTTGCAGCATGTCAATCTCGCGCGCGCGGCCCTGGCCCTTCTCGAAGCGCTCCATGATCTGCTGCGTCCACTTCGATCCTTCACGGCAAGGCGTACATTGACCACATGACTCATGGCGGTAGAATTTCGACAGACGGGAGATGGCACGAACTACATCAGTAGACTTATCCATGACAATGACAGCAGCTGTTCCGAGACCAGATTGCGAATCTTTCAAAGCATCGAAGTCCATGAGCTGATCTGCACAAACACTAGCGGGAAGGATAGGCGTGGAAGATCCGCCTGGGATGACTGCCTTGAGATTGTCCCAACCGCCAATGACACCGCCGCAGTGCTTTTCAATAAGCTCACGCAGAGGGATGCTCATCTCCTCCTCAACGGTACAAGGATTATTCACGTGTCCGGAGATGCAGAATAGCTTTGTGCCCTGGTTACGCTCGCGCCCAAAGGAAGCAAACCAGGAGCCACCTCGACGGCAGATTGTTGGGGCAACTGCAACAGTCTCGACGTTGGCAACAGTGCTAGGACAGCCGAAAAGACCAACAGCAGCTGGGAATGGTGGTTTCAGACGTGGCTTGCCAGGCTTGCCTTCAAGCGATTCGATGAGCGAGGTTTCCTCACCACAAACGTAGGCGCCCATTCCACGGTGCAAGAAAACGTCGAAGTCGTAGCCAGAATTACATGCATTCTTGCCGATGAGACCAGCCGCATAAGCCTCGTTGATGGCACGCTGCAAAATGGTAGCCTCATTGTAGAATTCACCACGAATGTAAATGTAGGCTGCAGTACAGTTCATAGCACGGCCAGCGACAAGACAGCCCTCAATGAGCTTGTGTGGATCCTTGCGCATGATCTCGCGATCCTTGCAGGTGCCAGGTTCACCTTCATCGGCGTTGACGACGAGGTAGCGGGGTTTGTTGTCTTTGTCCCAGTCCTTAAAGTTCATAAATGACTGAAAGCCGCAGTTAGTGCTAGCGCAATCGAACCCTTTGTTGACGCGGTTACGTACCCATTTCATACCAGAAGGGAAACCAGCGCCACCTCGGCCACGGAGACCGGAAGCCTTGATTTCGCTAATGATCTATGTATCATGTAAGCATCTGCTTATTTCTGTTCCTATGGATTAGACCTCTTATCGTACCCAATCGTGCCCTTTATCTAGAATATCTCTTGTCCTGTACCAATCACCGTATTTCATAGCGCTCTTTAAATCGGGACCATGGTGGCTGTATAGGTTCGTGAATATGCGATCCTGATCTTTGAGTCCGCCGTATTGTCTCTTTGGCGCATCGCCCACCGAAGCGAAGCCTTTCTTTTGCTGGGAGCTTGCCTGAGTGCACTTGACAGCTGTTGTGGGCAATCGTGGCACGGTGGCGGTTGCTCGGGTGAGGCTGCCGAGCGCCTGTGAGGCCGGTGCTTGTCGTGCGAGCATCTCGGTAGGTGCTCGGGAGCAATTGGCGAGTTTACTGTGAGGAAACGGGCTACCGGCGTTGGATTTGAAGCTTCGGCGATGAGGAGAGGAAGTCGATGATGTTCAGACTGAATTGCGCCAAGAATGGGAGTCCCGTTAGTGTGGTTCACATAAACCGATTCAGCAGCGATATGATTGGTCGGCAAAAATCTGTAAGCTTCAGAGATCACCAATGAAAACATCCCTTTTCCATCGTGGAAATGGTCAAAACTATTCGGCAACGTTAATTTGATCAGTTTAAAATGTCCATCGGACATTTTACATCTATATAGTAAGAGCCTGGGCTACGCTGACGATTTATGCGCCATGGCTTTCTTGTCGAGACCTGCAGACTCGCATCGATTCCAGCTGATTGTCACAGCCATTATATCAGGCGCTGTGTCCATTTCCGCGCTCATCGCCTTCCAACAGCTACGTCGCGCAAAAAGGGTACAAGACATCAAAGACTCAATCCCTGACAATGATTCCACAGGAAATAATGTAAGTTCTGCAATTAAACGCCACATGTTGACTGGCTTTGAGCTGAAGCTGTTCAAGCTTACTGAATGGGGAGCCGCGTCTGACGCATTTGCACCCTCCAAGGAGGATGAGCGAAGTGCCGCTCTAGCTCTTCGAGCTAGACAAGGAGATTACGATGATGGTGGGTATCTCATCACTGTGCATTCCGGCCTCACTAATCGCAAATGTAGACCTGATACTCGAACAGCTCGCGCGGAATCGAGTTTTTCTCAAGGACGAAGGTCTCGCCAAACTCCGCAGCGCCTTCATTATCGTAGTAGGATGTGGTGGCGTTGGATCCCATGCAATAGCCGCACTATGTCGATCTGGAGTTTCCAGAATCCGGCTCATTGATTTTGATCAAGTCACGCTGTCCTCATTGAATAGACATGCTGTAGCTACGCTTGCGGATGTTGGAACCCCTAAAGTACACGCCATCCGCAAGCGACTAGAACAGATCACGCCGTGGGTACACTTTGATTGCCGGAACGAGCTGTTTTCGGCCAAAGTAGCGAGCGAACAGCTAGCTCCATTGAACGGCCAGCAACCAACGTTCATCGTCGACGCCATCGACAACATAGACAGTAAGGTCGCACTTCTAGAATACTGCCACAAAAACGACCTGAAAGTGATATCGTCGATGGGCGCGGGATGCAAGTCAGATCCCACACGCATCCATATCGGTGACATATCATCTAGCACGGACGACCCGTTGTCCAAGGCCACACGCCGGCGTTTGAAGCTTCTCGGTGTCTCATCAGGCATCCCTGTCGTGTTCTCTTCTGAGAAAGCAGACCCCGCTAAAGCGCAACTTCTTCCTTTGCCCGAGGAAGAATTTGCCAAGGGCAATGTTGGCGAGTTGGGTGTGCTGAAAGACTTCAGAGTTCGCATTTTGCCCGTTTTGGGGACTATGCCAGCTGTTTTTGGCTTGTGCGTTGCAAACCACATCATGCTCGAGATAGCGGGGTATCCACATGAGTACATCATAGCGAAAAACCGCGAAAAAATGTACGATGGGATATTGGCATACATTCAAGGTCAGGAAGAAAAACTGGCTCGTGCGATGGGAAGGGACGCTCAAGGACTGCGATTACGGATCACCGTCGATGATGTCGGTTATCTTGTCGACGAGATATTCAGAGGTCGCAGTGTCGTGAGTGGGTTACCAACAAGACTTGTGCTGGTCAGGTGGAGGCAGCCAGATAAGAAATTTGTGAATGAAGACATAGACGGGCAAAAGTATTCACTGCTAGAAATGAGGGATCTAGTCACCATGACAAGAGACGAGGCCACAAGGCACTGGAAGGAGGTTTTAATTGGGAGCAGAACCCCTCAGGAGTTGTACGATGAAGCAGTAATGAAGATGGTGGACAAGAGGCTTGCGGAAGAACGTGAATATGAGAAGTACAGATGACTTGTTGGCTGGAACAAACTGAAATGCAATTCACATGCATCAAAGCTCTTCTATCTAAGCTGTGTCTATTCTTGAAAAAGCTATTGGAAAAGGATGCTGAGTAGACCGGGTGCTATGGCCGTGTTCAAAGAGCATAAGGTTCCGTCAGCTGTGGTTTGACTGCTGTATCTGATTTCTTACTAGCATATGCTGCTCATCTTCGGGCTCCGTTCTGCGAATATGAAAACAGGAATGGCTCATCTTTCTTGTGGGGTAAAAAACTGACTTTGATCCACATGATGGCCCAACCAGAAGACGTACTTGTCACGGAGTAACATGGGAATCACGTGAAGAAGCGATCATGTTGATCATTTATGATCGAGGTGATCGACTTGCATAAGCGAAGGGCTGCCATTCGCCCGAAGGAAATGGACGAATTAAGAATGCAGTCCGTGATCAGTCTGTTTATAAATGATCGGAATGATCAACAGGTCTCTTATATCTATAAAAACATCCTGTCCCTACCTCTAACTTAGCTCTCTGTAATTCAACTGTCTAGCATAGCTAGTAGTTAGTTTAAATACATTCTCATACTCTCGAAGCTCAGACTATTCTAAACCATAAATATAACTATCTTATTATACTTCCTTCCATAATAAGCTCTAGTTATACCTTGTTCCTTGGCTTTAGGAAGCTCATCCCTTCCGAAGTGGTTCACGTTAGTGAAGCTAGTCGGTATTGGGAAAGTATGCCTAACAATACTATGCGAACGGCAAACGACGATTGCGCATAAGTATCACAGCTTAGCTATTGTTGTGTCTGAGGGTAATGATGACCGTCAAGTTGTTTTCATCATATCTAAGCAGCTCAATGTGCTCTTGGTTAATACTTCGTACCTTGTGTACACATTCTTGCAAAATGGATTCCCTTTCAAACTGCAATGCTTCGTGAAAAAAGGTGTATGAGGAAAGCCAAGGAGTCAAACACTTGGTCCTGCACTGCACAAAGTGTAGTCAAAAGTATGTCTGGTCCAGTGCAAATATAGGCTTGAAAAGATTATTCAAGGTAGAGAGTTTTTCGATTCGTGCACGATCAGAATACACTCATGAAGAGAAGGAATCCACTTGACTATAGGATGAGAATGCTAAAAGGTTTGCAACCTCGCGCGGTCTTGGTTGAGACAGCAGCCTTGGCGGGGATGCCTAGTTAGCTATCTAATACCTATAACTGAGACTTCTTCTGCTGTGGAATCTTAGAAGATCAAGAATCAGCGCTTATTCGGTAAATTCCGGCTTACTGGATAAGCATATAAGCTAAGTAAATTTTGAACGTGTGGGACAGACTTTGGCCACAACATTTGTGTCACCATCGATCCATTTAATTCCGAAATCGACGCCTATACCTGCAAACTAACGTGCATTTGAAATGACTACTTCTTCTTCCGCACTTTCCGCGGTTTTGTGCATTCAATTAGCAAAATTTGTCCTTGACATAGGAATGCCAAGAACCTATCCATATTTCGAATGGTCTCAACTTCCAGTGACCAGTTCGGCTGTTCTAAGAAGAGTTTGTGTTTAATGACACGCCTCCTCTACACTAATGCTCACCCAAAAAAGGCATATTTCGACCCAGAAGATGCTGCTTTGGATGAATTCCGCCTATAGTGAGCTTTGTGCTTCATAACTGCACCAGCACCTGTCCTTAATGGATTATGCTTCGACAATACTTGTTCCCAGAGCGTGCGGTATGATCCCGAGAGACTAGACCAATGAAACAATGCTATTAAGGGAAATTTTTTTTTCGCAAGCGAGTTTCGTTGGACGAGCAACTCATTGTTTGGAATGCTAAGTCGCACTTGTGGTAGAATCGAAACTGGATTTCCCTCAGCAAACGAGACTCCAAGAGTCTTACCAGGTTTGATCTAGACTTTGCGACCGATGCAATAGCTTCTCCAGAAGCAGATACAGCCATATTGGCATGATGAACGCGCCTTTGACGGACAGCAGAACATGGAATTGGGCCTACCGTCGACAATATGGACAGCGCGGGGATTTGCACCATATTTTAAATTCACATTCTGTCTTAAGTCGATATGATTCATTTGGAGTGAGCTTCTATATCCAACCTCCAATTCCATATAAGAGCTTCTCGGATGATATTCTAGGTTTCTCTGAAGAACTGACCTTCTCTTTCGAGATTTTGACGTCTTTTCTCTGGTCGCTTGAATTAACGAACTTGATCCGGCTACAAATTTCTCGTAATTTCTGCTGCAGATGTTCACATCGAAAGCTAATTTCGTCTTCTGGCAAGCGTTTTGGTAGGTCTGGATGTTCAATCCACGCCACTACCATTTTGTAATTGTCACCAAGAACGTTCACTCCTCTTATTTTCGCCAGCAGGTCGTTTGCGGCAACTCTTCCATCGAGCTTGGTCCTTAATGTCATTTAGCAGGATGTCAATTACACTATAGAGGAGTTTAAGTACTTGTTTGACGACATCACTTGAAAATTCTGGGAATGCCTCACAAATTCCGCTCCAGGATATATCTCCTGCCAACTTCGAGTACAAATTTCCTCCTCTTGGAGCGAATAAGGCCTGCCTCGGTTTAGAAACTGGACTTCATTCAAGGAAAGACTCCGTTCTGGAAGTTGACCTACCAAACATCATATTCGCGTTTGGGCTCTGAACTCATTGCTGGAATTTTGTCATCAGCTCCAATGAATATACATTCAATAAAATCATTCTCGGTTCCTGAGCAAGGCATGATGGGCAAAATTGTGATAGAAAAAATAGGGACGTACATCATGGCTCGTTATTATACCCAGCGAGGGCGCGATTGTTAGGATTCCCTTGCAACATTATGCGATATCCGTAGTCAAACTAGATTTCAAAGTCCCATCTGCGACTTGCGTATAAAAAATGGTCACATCATTCCCAGATCAAGACAGGTCTAATTGTTTTGGCCAAACGCCGATTGGGCCATTGTTATCCGCTAGGGCTTGTTCCTCAAGCAATTGAAAAGCCGCTTAGGAGAGCATGATGAAGAATATAACCGTGCTCTGCCGAAAAGCTGCATTCTAGTTCTAGCAATGGTGTGCTGGCCTTGCATTAGATCTGTTTCAGTTGATCATATCGCATGAGATGGATTTGGACAAATGTTACACAAGTCCAAGTTTGACTCGCAGCCTGACTCAGTCGCATATAATCTCTCATTTCAGAAACTTTTCCTTTGCCATCTCTCGAAGAATAACGGCTTTACAAGTTTGGTAATTATGGAGCACAATTAAGCGAGTGGCTTTTGTTATGAATTACAGACTTCCACGTCAGTTTTCCTGATTTCCTGTTGCGAATGAACCGTTTTTACTCTTGTGTCAAAAGCTCAATCTAAGCCAAGCTCACCTTTATTCATAACAGAACAGGTGATCAAATAAAAGCATAAAGATATCTGCGGTTAGGCTTTCTTTTGCCACGTATTAGTTTGAATACGACATCTGTTTTCGCTATACCTCTAGAAGAGAACAGGCAGAGCGAGTCTAAGAACATGTTGTACGTCCAAGGCCTCTCAGCCCTGGTCTCAAGGCGGTACTTTCAGTCATGCAGAAGGCTCCCATGGTCTTGTTCGGAGACTCATCATGCGGAAAGGCTGGGAAGTTGTCGGATGTCTGGCCGGACTCCATGTTTGAAGAACAAATTGTGAGGCGGAAAAAGCTAAAACGTCGTGCTGAATACTATATCACAGTGCTCTGTACACTCTAGCGCTGTAAGCTCAGTTTGATCCTCTTCGGATAGCAAGGAATCCCTGAAGAGCTCCCTAACTGCAGTTATATGTACAATGCTTGCGTTGGGTTGGTGAGATGCGAGACAAATTCTAGGATATTTAGTGCTCAGATGGAAGCGGTAAAGCCTTAAACGGGCCACATGGTGCACCGAAAAGATGGAGAGCCTAAGAAATCTAGGATTTCTTAGCTTCCTCGTGCATAAGTTCATGAAGCATCAAGTCAGGCCAGCGCATCTCCATCATTAGCCTTGCCTTAGTGCCATGGGCCGATCACTTCTACTCATCTGCCGCGTTGCACCAGATCCTCAATACCATCTTTGAAAAAGAATGTCAAGCGATCTAACAGGACTTCTGTTTCCCGTTCCTTTGCCAAGCCACTATCACCCTGCGTTGTGTGGAATGTATGTACTGTGTTATGCAAAAGAGACAGATCATGGGGCATCCTGTCAAGGCCTCCTGCGCCGAATATTCCTGCTTTGTACTATTCTCCGACGCATCCCGGCGGAATCACAGCCGCGTGGTTCCAAGTTGCACAACATTGATTTGCAAGATTTCTCGGTGTGTGCCATCCTGCTGAACGAACAGCCCACGCACGGTGCCATGATGCAAGCATGTCGATCCGTCTGCTACAGTGCACCACATCCCCGACACATACGCAGTGGATTCCTTTGATTCTATGGCTGCGGCTCCCGGCCGATCCGTTGGCTGCGGTACATGCACACGCACCAGCTGTGATGTCCATGAATCGCAAACTCTCACAGTCATATGAGTCTACCTCTGCTCGATCTATCATTCATTTGAAATTGTGTAATATCTCTACAATGTATTATCAATGAGTACAAAACTTTCACTTGTGGAATCCGACCGCTTGCTACTATGTATTGCATATTTGTCTGCGCCGTTTCTAAGACCTAAGAGACCGCATAGACCATGTGCATAAAGCGCGACTAGATATATTTCAGCCTTCAAACGCTCCTTGTGAGTGACATGTCCAACGAGTCATTTTGAGGTCTTCAGGATTCCGAAGTGGCATTGCTTCTGTGAACATCTCTCGCGCCAAGAGACCTGGCCAGAAGCCTCATATCTCGTTATCCCATTAGTATGTCAGCCTTGTTGCACGGAGGTTACTGCTGATATTGCGATCCTGCATACTACGAGCGCAAAGATCGTTCTACGAGCCGGTTGTCCACTTCGGGAACTTCGCCGCTGTAAGCGCTTCGTGGCCAAATCACTGAAGCTGTTCACGCCGACAACTGCAAAAGCTTCGGAGAATTCCTAGCGCTGACGTTTCTTCACCCTAGTCGCCGATGTACGAGAAGAGGCTCACAAAGAGTTTAAATAACGCACCAGCAGCCTTGCTGAACGGCCCGAGGAGCCATCCGTTTTTTAAGACGTCTCCGTTTCTGTGAAAACCCTTGTAGGATCTACTGCAGAAACGTCCCGCCAGCAACGTTCCCGATCGGTTTATGCACGGGGTATCGTCATTTGTCCCATTGGCACATCGGCATGAACTTGCGTGCATCCGAGAGGCCGTCTGCGTTTTTGCACGACTTTAGCAGCTCGGCTTCCGGCATTCCTCGTCTAGCAGATTGTTGGTACGACTTTTGACAATGTGTAGATAATGTCTCAAGTGCTTAACAAGAAATCAAACGGGCGCGATGACCGAAAAAAAGAAAGGAAAAAAAGAAAAGAATTTGTCGCCTTGCAAGCTTACTTAGGCGATGAATGACGCCAATTTTGAATCTTTGATGTTGCTTTTCACAGAGCTAAGAGCTAAGTTTTAGGGTGTTCTACTTCGTCTTGCGCTCTTCGTCCCGCGCAGAATTACAAGCCTGCGATGAATTCGTAAGAAAGTTGAAAGCGGAGACAAAACGATGCATTGCTGCAAGCTTATTTTCTTCCGCTGTTCATCACGTCCCGGATATAAGATGACAGGTGGTTGGACCCGATCAACTGGGAGCGAACCCACCACAAAACTCATTTGAAACGAAGATGGTGGTCTTAGATCATGCACCGGTTCCTGTCACAGATCATTGACCGGGGATGTCATGCATCGATATGCCTGCAGGAAAAAGAAGAGAAAAAACCAGGCTACCCACCCCAGCAGTTCACCGGCTAATTATAATGCTTTTCAGCTTTTGCGATGGTCATGCCGATTCAGACGTCGGTTCCGCCTGATCAAAACGGCCAGCCGTCTGCTTTCTTTGATCATCACGTACGCTTCGGAGAGACTTGCATGGTAACGGAATCGGAATTTTTCCCCCTTCCCCGCAAAAGACAGGGCGGCATCACGTTGCCTAATCCATCCATTTCACTCAGTCACATTTGAGAAAGAATCGCCGCACTAGCCAAGTGCGGGTTCCTACTCTGCATCCGTTTTTTTTTTTTTTTTGTTGCTCTGGACGGTCTTGTTCATGGCGTCGTGCGGCGATTGATGACAGCATTGGGTGAAACTGGCGAAACATCACTTGTTTCGTTTGCATTAGTTTCTTACAAACAGGACATGAACGTCGATGAGCTCGTCGAGGTCGTAAGAGATGAGCATAGAGGAATATTACGGATCAGCTCGACAAACTCGGAATTGGATTTTTTTGGAGTCTCTAGTGGCTCTAGGAAGCCGGCATTGAGTGAGGATTTGCCGCCTCTTTCAGCAGAATGTTGCGAACAACTGCTCAACAGAAACCCGAGAAGGTTTGTATCGCCATGTGATAATGACAAAGCTGACTGACTCATGCGGTGATCACAGTAGCTTGACTCGAAATCCACCCCATGCTTCTATGCCTCATCTAGAGATCCATACCCACACTTTGAATCAAATGGTTCAACTTATTGAATCGCTCAACTAGATCATGGTAGCCTAGGCACGTATGCGTTGACACGTCAACTTACCTTCCCTTGAGAGATAGTATTTGCTTGTAAGGCAGCTCTTGCGAGCAAAAGCTGTACTCAAAAATGCACATTAATATACACAGCGCATCTTGGCTATCTGGAGAGTTTTGAATCAAAGCCTCTTGATTGCAACCATCCGTAGATGACGAGACTACCGTAAGCGGAAAGTAATGTCATTGGTCTGTGGAAAGTCAATCTTTATGGTTTACTAAGTCTCCAGCTCGAGCCGATCTGATGTGAGCTGGTGAGTCAAAGTGGACTATCGGCACGTTGCAAGACCCGATTGTCCAGTACTCCACTCCACACCGCCGGTTCTAGCAGCTTGATGCCTGCAGCATCCTCATCCATCCAAAGCTTGCACGTCTTGTCTTCCTTTGCTCGGAACTCGCTTGCCAGCCTCGGTTGCGGAGCGCGTACATCATAGCCCTCATCTAAGGTCGCTCTGATCTCCGCCTTGCGCAGCCCGGGGATGTGCGGGCCCTGCGCAAAGGAGACCCAGCCAGCGCGACCCTCGACGAAGCGGCGGATGCTGCCGGACTTGCCTACGTATTCTTTGTCCCAGTACTTGTCGTCGATAAAGGTACAGTTTGAAGGGAGGCGCACCATTGTTCGTGCCGACACGGTGAACGTGTTGCCCGGCTCAGGCGTCCTAGAGTCAATAAATATGCGAGGTATTGCCGCGGTCTGATTGGAGACCAGTTCACGGACATAAATTGTCCACTTTACGTCAGAATGCTGGCGCACACCGATGGGACGTCGTTTGGAGATCAGAATGAATTGCTTGACTTGGGGAAGATGCTGATTTTGGATGAGTGTGCTGATGTTACGCGTGAACATGTCGAGGTTGAGAATGCCAGAGGAGGAGGAGTATTTACAACAGAGGCGTGCGCTGAAGCCGTGTATGCGAATTATAACACTCTGTAACGATGAGTACGTCGGTGCGTCGGCGATGTTTCGGACCAGTAGCTGATTGCAATATGTCCGCAAGTGGAGATTCAAATGTTCAAGTTGAGGTGCGATCTTGTTGATCGCGGGGCACAAAACGCACGATGACAGTGGGTCGTATCGCGATAGCTCGGAAAGATCAATTGAAAGATCCCGAACACTATCAGGTAGACAGTAGACTAGATCTGCAAGCAAGTTGATGCTAGGGCCTCGCGCCCGGGTGCTGCTGGCTGAAAGTATAGCAGCGCCTGGTGGAATACCGAGTCCTTGAGGGTCCCACGTGTTGAGTCGATGGCCATTGTACGACACAATAGAGAACGTCCGCATCTTAGAAAAGCCGCGCAACACCCGCTTCAGAGCATCGATTCCTTTTTTGGCAATAACGTCCACTCCCGACGATTCAGTGACAGAGAAGACACGAGATCTCGCAGCACCGTAACCGTAGTCCCGACCGTCGCCAGGAATGACTATGCGAAAGCAGCGGGTGAATGGGAAATGCCACGAGGAGTCGTCATTGCGCACCATGTAACGCTTTACAGCCTTCTCGAACCGCACCGCGTCCTTCAGTCTTAGGCTGACATTTCGGTACAGAATGTCGAATCCTATCTCGAAAAACTGGCTGTTGCATTGCATGCACGTAAGAAGGCTGTCTCGCGAGTTGCGGTGGACTTGTTGGAGTATGGTCGACAGAAGTTCGGCGGGAAGCCGAGAAGCCATGAAAAGGTCTGGCAGGCTTGCCGCACGAAACACTTGACATGTATCGACAAGGAAGAAATTACCATGAGCTTCACACGTGATTGCCGTGTCACAGATGAGGTTTGGGAGCCTTGATGATTTGAAATCAGATTGCGCTGACGGCGGGAGTAGCGATAACGTGATTCGGCCAGATCAAGCAGATGGTCGCTTCGATCCAAATATAAGCATGCTCGTATGACTGCCAGAGATCACTATGATCGTCGACGAATCCCAGTCGAAGCAGTGACTCCGCCTAGATGCATAGATTAGGCTTCCAAGACTTACGCTCGCTATAGCACGGAGTCACGGGAAGTCTCGCGAGATAGACCCGACCCAGCCAATGATTGCGGTCGAAGTGACAGATGTATCGCAATCTCCTGGCTGGGAGATTCCTCTGACAAGGCTAGCGGATTTGAAAGGCTAGAGGCGAACTCAGATGTGGTCAAACGGCGGCCTCGACCTTAACTGGATGTGCTGTACAATGGACAAGGGAAATGCTCCGACATCGGGTCGCCGGAGCAAGCCCAATCAACCTCTCTCTCTTCGAGAATCTCATCATATTATGTTTTATCTTTCCTGTAAACCAGCGAGCATCCTTACGACGTAGACTAATCGCGAGTGTTATGACTCGATGTCGTTCTCGACCCTATCACGGGTGGGAGGACATCGAGCTTGGCATGGGTCCAGCACTAGCGAAGCGCGTAAAAGCATAGCCGCATTCACGATCTACTACAGCTTCAATGGCGATGATTTTTGCTCTCTACGCTAATCTATGACCTTCGAAATTGCTGCGGGGCTGAGAAAATCGCACTCTCTCCGTTCAAAATAAAGGTTTCATGGGCTGCAGAGCATCACTGCACCAATTTAAGAAGGGGATCTGCTCCAGTTTTTCAAGTGAAGACGCTTATCATCCGAGTCTCATTCGTATATCTGGAAGATGAAGTCTCAGAGCAGCTGCGCAGACGACTCCTGTCCACTCGAACGCTAGCATGTCGAGGTGGGGGTGTTTATGACGACACCCTCGATCACGAAAGGACTGAATTCCAGAAGCAAGAGGAGTACCATTCCAACGTTGATAAGATGAAAAGGATTAAGGAGAAAAATAAGAAAGGCTTCGATCCAACCTCGAGTTTCGCACGGGGAAGATCGTCCTCTATCGGTTTTCGCTTGGCACCATGATTGACAGGATTTCCAAAACCTCGCAGTCATATTTATGAATCACGTCTAATTCTCAAGAGTGACCGTCGCCTGTAAAAACGCTCAGCACGCGTGGCCAGCTGTTCTTAGCGACTTAGCTTAGGGGAGGTTTTACACCCAGCTTATCAATACATGGTGGTACATTTTGTCAAAGTACAAATGCTTTTCATCTTCGTTTTGACTGCCTCTTCCTTCCTTCGCCTTCATGCACCCTCATTGCGGCAGAGGCTTGTCCATGAAGTGGCTCTTCATTAGCACAACAGGTTCCTCGCTCTTGAGGTTACCGAACCTAGCCAGATCTATCATGTCGACCTCGGCAGAAACTCTGCGCACTTCTCTACGCAGCCAGGCGGTGACCATGGCAAGCCTGACAGGGTCGACGTCTTCGCGGCCGCCGAACAAGTTCCGCCAGATGGCGCTGGCGAGCATGGCGTCGCCTTTGACGAGACCTTCGTCGTATGAGACGAGAGCACCGCGCCACTGTAGGAACAAGTCCTTTAGATACTTTGAACGAATGCCGCGCATGGTGATCCCGTGCAGAGTGTCCATGCGTGTCTCGGCGGCGAGGAAGAAGTGGTCCGTCAAGTTCTGCGACCACGTCTTGGCCACTGGCGCCGGCAGGCAGCGAAGCCGGGTCGTCAGCACGTACATGTGCAGCATCACAAGCTGGGCCCAGTTGTTGAAGGTGGGGACCAGGCCAAGCTCTGTGTCCTGTCAGTGCACCGTTATCGTGGAAGAAAATGGCTGAAAGGACAGCTAGAGGAAACCCGAGACAGGATGAAAGAAGAGAGAAACGGTGGCCAACTTGTGCTAGATTCGTTGATGTCATGACGTGGCTCACCTCTGTACCACTCCCCGTCACCAGTCGCTATGCCCATCTCCTCCCCGCCCTCCAGCTTGGGTGTCTCCTCCTTGGTCTTCACCTGCGGGACGTCATAGCCGACGATATCGTTGATAGCATTGAAGAAGTGCTCCGTTGCGCCGTACGCATGGTACGTCTCCGCTGTTTCGGGGGCGGCCTGCATGATACGTGCGGCGATGCTCTCCGTGGCAGACTTTTTCCTCAATCGCCGCTGCATGGAGGCGATGTCTCCCTGCGACGATTGAGTAGAGTGCGAATTCGCTGCGTCGTTCGACGGCGTTGCTCCTTGTGCCTGAAGCCTAAACGCCGTCGAGGCGAAGGTGCGGTGCGAAACAGTGGCAGAGTGCCAGGTCGCCAGCGTTGTCGGATCGGTCAATTGGGTTCGCTTGGTGCGCAGGGTGCGCAGACAGCTTCTGCACACGTAGTGCGATGCCATCGTGCTCTCACGCGGCAAGATAGCCCAAGAACATGTGCCCGCGACGGTGTGAGATGGAAAAGCGAGCCCAACACGAAACGACCGGGCGATCCATGACGCGAATAGAAAAGTTGAGTCCCTGCCCGTTCTGGGAACGGAAAGAGCCTGCGGCCTCAGGCAGCTCCGACCTCCGACACCCAAGAAAGGAAATATCCTCCACACCTGTCGAACGAGACGAAAGTGTTTGCCAGTCTCATCCTTTGCGCCATCAAAGAACGAAAAGCGAAATCGGGCCTCTTGCTCTGCAGGCTGCCGCCCTCCGAAGATGATCCAGTTAAAGGTACGATGCGTCAATGGCGCTTTCCAGTGGTGATCCGAGACCATGCTGACTGCGGCGGGCGAGTAAAAGACGCTGCTCAATTGCATAGACAACTCCGGTGCCTCCATCGTCGAGTGCATAAAATGCATGAAGATGAAGCGACACGCCAAGATTGGTACGGCTCATCCCTCTCTCCTCCCGCCAAAAGCCCTCTCCTGCTCAAGATCGCACACATAACGAATGTCCACACATGATCGAAACGAAGCCCATGCGCTCTCCCTTCATTGACCGTCGTTCGCGAAGCTGCCGAGTGCACAAAATCACTCTTCACATCTTCGTCCCTAATAGGACACCGCTTTCAATAAAGCAAGCTAACCCGGCTCCCGCAGGCGACCGCATCATCGTGGTCGTGCAGAAGCAGCGCAACTTTGGCGGTGACTTGAACGGCTCGTCCGTCTCGTCGGCGAACAAGGTGCGCCGCGGTGACATCCGCCACGCCGTCGTCGTCCGTACCAAGAAGAAGTACCAGCGCCCGGACGGCTCCGTCGTCCGCTTCGACGACAACGCTTGCGTGCTCATCAACAAGAACGGGGAGCCCATCGGGAGCAGGCTCAACGGCGTCGTCGGCAAGGAGTTGCGGGCCATGAAGTGGAGCAAGATATTGAGCTTGGCGCCTGTACACGTATAGGGCGTACAGGGCGAACCAGCCCTGCGGGGAAGAAAGTAAATCGGTCGTCGATTTTCCTGGTTCTTGATTGTATTGCATAGCATTCGGCGTTTGTTTTAAATCCTTCCTTCCCCGTGGAGTGGATATGATGGGTTGAACTACAGTGGAAAAAAGAAAAACCAATCCAAATGTGGCAATGCAAGATGTTCGTTGTACCATGTTGTATGTAAGTATCTATAGAAGCGGCCTCTCGTCTTCGATGCGTGGTATGTATCCATCGATGAAAGACGTGCATGTACAATCGAGAAAGAAAACAACATCCTAGAAACTGAAAGCTTCACCACTCCTGGCATACATGCCCCTGTTTCCCAAGCGCCAAAATGAATGCAAGTAGATGTCACATCTCTCATCAGTTAAGTGCGCAGCCGCGAGAGGCGAAAAATATGGTGCGGAAGATATCTCCATGTGGGGATTATTCTGTTCATTGCCAGACGTGGCCGCAGTGCGTACAAACGAAATAGAGTTTCTAAATGGTGCACATGAGCTCGTGTTCGATCAGAGCAGATAAAGGAAGGGAGATTAGAAAGTAGACGTGGCGTACCATGCCTGTCTCAGCAGTTCGCTGCTGGGACTGGAAGAAAACTGCCTCGTTCTCGCGGCAGGCCGGGCATGTCTTGTTGATACGCGGCAACTAGGGTCGCACCAACGTCAGTCTCCGTTGTTCTTTACATAGAAAAACCCCATTGCAATGGAGCGAACGTTTCTGAGACCGTAGGCGGCAGAAAGAAGCAATGGTGCGCAAATTCCGCGCTCATGACGCTGGGGTGGCGGTAGTGCTGGTAGGAATAGTTGTTGAAACGGACTGAGCAGGTTGGACGGAACGATTTGATGGCAGTGCAGGTGCTACGTTCATGAAGCGACGGAGTCCTGCCGGTTGCCGCCGTCCCCGCCAGGCTGGTCCGACCGCAGGCGAAGTTGCTGCAGCTGGGTGTGTGAGCTCTCCATCATCTCGCTGGTCATGCTGGCCGGGGTCATCATGCCACTGAGCTGGTCAGCCTGTTCTTCGTCCGCTTCCAAGAAGCAGCCGCGGTCAGACGGTTGGCCGCAAAATTCGCAGAATATTTCCTGGCCGCACATCGTACAAAAATCCGGGACAGCGGTGGCAGCGGCGGTAACGGCGTAGGGGTCGGCAGAGAAATGGACGGAAGCAGCAGGCGAGTCGGCGGGAAAGGAGAAGGAGGAAGGTGGTTGGGAATAGAAATCGGCATTGGGATCGTCAGAGAAGTCATCACAGTCACCCACCGTTGGATCCTCGCCAATGTCCTGTGTGATGCCGGCCGTCTCGCCAACGGTGTTGGCGATCTCGTTGCGGAAGATACACGTCGTCTCTGCGGGCTCGCTGTAGTAGCATGTGCGGCAGGCAAACTCGAGCCTCTGGTTCGCTTTGTCTTCCTTCGGATACAGCAGGTTGGCACTACACACGCACGCATCAGTTAGCACGGAGGATTTGCGGCCAGAAAAAATCTCCAAGATCGGACGGGGAAACTGCGAAAGTTGGGCGTGGCACTTCCGCCGCAGCGACCTCCGCGATAGCGAAGGACCTGGGCATTACGTTGTATATCAGGTCACAGTCTCCGCAGCTTCGTCGTCCAGCACACACGAAGAAAGAGAGAGCACAGAGAGCGGGAAAAAACATACCACTCGCGACAAAACCGGAAAGTGACTTTCTTGGGCTGCTCGCCCTGTGTGGCGGCAGGTGAATCGGCCATGGTTGAATTTTGTTTTCGCTGCGGGAGAGCCGAGGCTGGATGTCCGTCCCTACGGTCGAGTTGATATCAAGGCGCGGGTTGCTTTCTGCGGCGTTGGGGTTCTGTAGTTCGACTGGAGTTCTGCGGCTGGGCGGTGGTGTTGGTGGTGAGTGCACGTTGTTCGTCGATGGTGGTGTTTGTGCCTGCGGTGATCAGAGGCAGGGTCTTTCTGTGTGCAGAGGTTTAGGCCGGTATGATTGGGCCGTTGCCGCAGCCGTCCGGGTCTCTCTGGCGCTGTGCCTTCACGGCCACGGGCGACAGGACTCTTTTGAAATGCCGGCTTTGCTGTGACTCAGACGAGCGGGTGCACGATAGCAGACACCGACCGGCCAGCCACGAGCGGATGACTGCATTGAGGCGTGAAACAGGACGGCGACGGCGCGTTGAATCATCGTCTCCTGGGGCGAGGCTGACCACCTGCGGAGGGCAGAGGGGATGATCAGCGGACCGCGCGCAGGAGAAGCAGCGACCAACCAGCCCGCGCACAGCAGCCAGTGACGCCTGGCGGGGCCTTGAGCCGCTGCACACGCCCCCCGGTCCACTCACGGGCGGCTTCCGCTCAGCACAAACCGCAGGATCCTCCCCCCGCCCGTTGCCCGGACACAAAACTCTTTTCCAAGGCAATCAAGCCGCTGGTGTCCGCGATTTCACGAAACGAAAAGCGGCCTCTGTGCACTGCTGCCCGCCGCTGGTATAATTGCGCTTCCGACACGTCCTTTCTCCATCATCTTCCCGTCCCTTTTCGACGCCAGTCTGCAAGCAACAGCTCGACCCCCCCTTCCCCCCACCCCCCACCCAACCCTTCACGCAGCCACGACCACACATTCTCGCTCGACACTTAGTCCTTTGCTGGAGCAAACATGGTAGGCAATCCTCGTCTGCTAGGCGCTACACGGGAAGGCAAGTGTAATTAACCATGTTATTTCAGGGCTGGACGGCGGACAGCGGATTGCCCGAGCCCTGGGAGGTGCGCATGTCCAACTCCAAAAACCTCCCGTACTACTTCAACCCGGACACGAAAGAGTCGCGATGGGAGCCACCCGAGGGTGCAGAGGCGGAACGGCTCAAGCATTACATGGCGACCTACCACTCACACGCAATCAAGATGATGGGCAACAGCTCCGAGGAGAAGATCCGGGCCGCGCACCTACTGGTCAAGCACCGCGACAGCCGGCGACCAAGCAGCTGGCGCGAGAGCCGCATCACGAGGAGCAAGGAAGAAGCGCGACAGATTCTCCTGGGCCACGAGCAGAAGATCCGCAGTGGTGAGACGTCACTGGGTGAGCTGGCGATGACGGAGAGTGATTGCAGCAGCGCTAGAAAGAGCGGCGACCTGTACGTGGTGGTCCCCTCCCCTTTCAAACCCTTACTTTCCCTTTACCCCCACAAGCGTGTTCATAACAGCGTCACGATGTCATCATTTTCTTGACATCCATATGTTTTCACTTGCGATTTTTTTTTTCGGAAAGTAGAATGATCAGCTGACCAATTCAACAACACACAGTGGATTCTTTGGTCGGGGCGACATGCAGAAGGAATTTGAAGACGCGGCATTTGCACTCAAGCCGGGCGAGGTTAGTCACATTGTTGAAACGGCGTCAGGTTTGCATCTGATCGAGAGGTACGTACAGCGTTGCATACCCGCAATCTTTCCATCCACACAGGGCAGTTTTGTGCGCAAGAAGCAATGGCACTGGGTCATCAAGGGCGCGAGCGACAGCAGACTCATGTAGTTCCTCGCATTTCTGCTCTTTCACTTTCTCTCTCACGCACCCATACGCGCACACACACACACACACACTCTCTCTCTCTCTCTCTCTCTCTCTCTCTCTCTCTCTCTCTGTGTGTGTGTGTGTGTGTGTGTATGTGTGTGTCTTTCTTTTCTTCTTTCTCTCGGTTGCAGACGTGTCATCTAAGCATGTTCATTGCGTGGGCTAACTTTGATTGGCGAACCAGACTTGAGTAGCAACGGACGCTGTGGGTGTTGACACTGTTGCTGGAACACGAGACTGTGGGACATACCCGCAAGTGAGTGGATGAGCAAGTGTGCAGGAGCAAGAGTACGTGAGTTGCAGTGCTGTATGATGAGTGTATTCGCGCAAGAAAAGGCAAAAAAGGCAAAGGCCCGCCAAAGGTCGACGTTCCTGGTTCAGTCAAGTCAGGCTTTCTCGAGTTAGCCTTGTCCTGCCTTTTTTGTTACCCCACAGTGTCTGTGCTGAACCAACCAACCGCGTCATAGCCCAACGTTCGTCGTCCACGTCCACCTCAGCAGTCACTCGCTGCACCTTCACCACGCCATTGCCGCAAAAAAGTTTCTTTTCGCCTTTGTGCAGTAGAGCAAAAAACCGGTTTTAGTTCTGGCAGCACTCCTCGGCTCGGTCGGACTGTCATCGATGCCATGAGAGAGCATGGCGTAGAAAACTCCATTAGATTCTTCTGTCTTGGCACCCTCACTTAATTCAACAAAAACCAGCCCTCCCATCACCTGCGTCCACATGCGAAGGGAGAAGGGAGAGAAAGGAAAAAGGAGAGGAAATCCAAAATCCCATGTCGTCGTTTGTACCTTGAACGGCTCGTTTTCAGACGCCCGTGGAAAGGCGAACGGCGAAGCTACTTCACTGCCTTTGGCAACCACATGCGGTTGTCTTTGCATTGAAAAAATGGCGTAGTTCGAAGCACGCACAACCGCTTTGCATGCTACGTGTGCATCGTTGATCAAACCATTTCTGTTGATATCATTGTAGCGTCGACGTTGCTCGCTCCAGCCCTCTTAGGTTCCAGACAAAAGCGAGCAAGCGCACAAGGATAAGCATCGGGTAAGCCTTCCCTCCTTCTCACACCACCGTCAGCTGGTTTGGTACATGTGGAGTGCCCTTGATGCTTGGGGAAGACACGAGTCCGCGGTCGATTTGTACGTATACGTGCGTGCGTAGTGTGTATATATACCTATACGTGAATGCGGGAATCCTGCTGTACTCGTAACACGTCGCCTTCAAAGGACTGCAACAATCCTGTGCCAAACTTGGCCATCTGCAGTCCGTGACCAAGGTAAATGAATCGCTTTGTCTGCTCTGCTGGGCAGCGTTGCTTCGTTGCTACTGACGCTTGCAGCGGAAACACAGTCCCCGCATCGGAATTTATGTGACCATCTGACGTCCACACTCGGACTCGTCGCTGCCCAGGTAGAAGCATCTGGAACGCTGTCGGCCCTGCCTCTGTCCATTTCAGGCACCGCCACGACAGGAAAAGCACTTTGGGTCCGTCCCAGCTCTAAACACGCAATTCGCCCGCCGCCAATCCCCTGACACCACCCGCTCAACATCATCACCAGTCTCTCCGCACGACCTTCTTTATACCCTCCCGCCGTCTTACGCCCGCTCCACCTGATCTGACCTCCCAATTTACTTTCTCTCTTTTTATTCCATCTTACCACCCTTTCCGATCTTGCAATTGTCGCGTTCCTTTGGCTCTTCGGTGCCCCGTCTCTCCATCATCAGCCATCTCTCTAAGCACACCATCACGTCATCTCCGGTACCTGTTTGGTCCAAATTCACATGTACACGGAGTGCACGTAACATTGTCGTGGGGTTTCCATCACTGCGACTCGCGAGAGCCACAGAAAGGGAGAGAAGGAAAGAGCGAAATAACAAGGCCGCCTCTCTGTCGGACGATCGTATATAGCCGCTGACTGAACCGGACTTCGCAAAGACAGAAACAGGCAACCACCTTCCACGGACCTAGTCATGACAAACGCAGTTCCTGTCCGTGGTGCTGTCAGACGCACCTCTTCTGGCTTCTATCCGTCGTCTCCGACGAAGTTGAGCCGTCTGCCATCGACATGCGAATCCCCAAGGACCCCGTGTCCTTCCGACAGTGATGCCTTCGCCTTCAAGCCGGAGTTCCTCAAGCATTGGGTCATGGATGATGCGCTGTGGAGACAGCTTCCGCCCACCTTGCAGAAGGCCATTTCTGCAGTCCAGCATGCCGGAGCTGCTGTCCACACAAGCTTCGAGCGTGTCAGCCAGCTACGAGAGAAGCTGCCGGAGGAGCCAGCTACGGCGACGCTGCAAAATGCCACTGCCTCCGATGCCATCGCAGCCAAGCTTCACGAGCATCAGGTACGCGGCTTCAATCGCGCTCGTTCACACACGCGCGACGCAGAGGAGTACAATTGCTCGCCCATCCCAAAGGATGTCCGCAATGTCAGCCCCTTCCGCTCTTCGTTGACTGTCGATTCTTTGGGCAGCAGTTCTGAAAGCACTGGCTACGCATCCCCGACGGCCCAGATGTCGCCGACCTCGTTCACGTCGCCAACCTCTCCCCAGAGCTGCGTCTCGTCTGCCCCGACGCCGTTCGAGCTGGGCGACGCTGGCGCCCGCCTCCCAACCATCAGTCGCCGTGAAAGCGAGATTGGCATCGCCAAACACTCTCTGGCGCGCCGCGACAGCGACCTGCCGAGTGGTCCCTCGAGAACTCCATCCAGTCGCCGCAGCAGCCACTCGGTGAAGCATGACGTGCCCCGCGATCCGGCCAGCACCCAGTACTATGCCGAGCTTGAGCACCTGCGCAAGTCGTGCCTCGTGCGACTGCGCCACTCCGCCCGTCCTGTTGACATCGAGTGGGGCCTCGCCAAACGCGAGCCACCGTTCCGCCCTTCCACTGCCGATCCAAACGCCCTCGCCGCGGCCACACTGCTCAGAGAACGATTCGAGCACTGGTGGCTCGAAAAGAAGCGCCTCATTGCTGAGTTGGACGAGGCCGGCAAGGACTTGTGCATCGGCATTCACTTCTCCCTCGGCTGGTCCGACACCCCTGGTTTGGACCACGAGCATATCGAGCTGGCTGTATGATTGCTAGTGAGGTATGCATGTTTTAATCACTTAGGCCTACCAGGATGGCTTTTTCTCTTCGGAACCTCGCTATCGAATGCTGCTGCTTTTTTTGCTGCTTCCATCGCTTCTTCTTGCGAAGCCATGTTTGCGGCTGGCTGTCGTCAACGTCACGGCCCCTTCCTGTGATCGGATTCACGGATAAACACGTACAGAGCCGGAGTCCACCAGACGTTCACGACGGCGCAGCTTTATTGCGGTTGGCGATGGGAATTCTTATTGCTTGAAAATCACGAGAACTTGCTGGCATCACATTTTTTATCACGTCATTCGTTCCTTCTCAAACTAGAAGTCTCAAAATGGATCGCTCCATGTTTCATCACACGAACCACCACAACTGTCATGAATATATGTATGTATGTATTTGTGGAGAGCTGCAGATTTCCTCGACACTTTCCTAACGATTTCTTTTTTTTTCTTCTTCCGGGCTCTCTAAAAAGTGAAATGGTGGTTCCAAAAAGTAATGATAATATGTATGTAACTTTCCTCCAAGGATGACAAAAAAGAAATAAATAAATACATTCGATGTATAACATGACTTCTCCCTACGCTGGAGCGAATGAGAGATTTTGCGTCAACGATAGTTCTTCATAGCAAATAAAGAGAGAGAGAAAAGATGGTTAAGAGAGAGGTTTTTTTACAACATCAGATCAATCTCACTGTGAAGTCTATGACGCCAGCTACAGCTCTCTCTCTCTCTTTCTCTCTCTTTCTTTATTTCATACCTTCTCCTTCTCTTCCTCAGTTTCGTTCTCTTTCTTTCTCTCTTCTCTCATTTTCCTTCAGCTTACATTCCATATCTAGTCGTATAACGCGCCGCGACGACGGAAAAAAAGTAAGAAAGGAAAAGGCTTCCACGTCGTGAGAGAAAGCAAAGGAATAATTTATAGAAAAAAAAAACGTGGTTCGTTCTGGTTCGTTCCGCCGTCCACACTCATGCCCCCTTAAGCGCTAGTCGTGAAGTCGTGCTCGATCGTCGGCGTGACGCTGGCCATGAACTTCAGGAAGACGACGAGGTACTGGTCGACGCGCAAGGCGACGTCGTCCTGCTCCTGATCCAGGACCTCCCACTCGTCGCCGTCCTTCGCCTGCGAGCCGGCGGGTGGGGTTGCGCCGTCGGCAACCTTGAGCTTGCCCAGAGCGTCCTCGAGGCCCTCCATACCCTCCATCTTGTCGGTAGCGCTCGCTCTTCCCTCACGGATGCGCTGCATGCGCAGCTTGAGCGCGGCGTCGGCGCGATCGAGTAGCACCTTCATGACGCTGGCGTGCTTGCAGGGGTGCACACTCGCCATCTTCAGGCCCGAGTCGACGAAGGGGAACGTCTCGAGCGTGACGGTCTTGTCCTTGTAGTCGCCCACGATGTCCTCCATCATGGCGGCCGGTGGCAGAGGCTCCGAAGTCGCCTGGTACCCGGATAAATACAGACGCGGTGTGCGGTAGTACGGTGTGTAGGTGATGTACAGGTTGTATGTGCGCTTCGAGCGGGCGTCGTCGGCGGCGGCATCATGGTCACGGATGATGGCCTCCGCGTCATCCTCCTCGTCCTCCATGTCGGGGATCTCGTCCTCCTCGTCCACGACCTCACCCAGCTTGCCGCTTTCGTCCAGCGTCCTGACCTCACCCGGCCGCACTTCGCGACTTGAAGCCACGCCCGCAGTCCGCAGCCAGCCGTCGTCATCGTCCGCCCCCCCTGCATCTTCACCGCCCAGCATGTCCTTCACCAACTGGTCCTCTGTCCCGGCGTTCTCCGCAAAATGCTCCGCCAACCGCCGGTGGCATGGCACCCCACGCGTCACCAGGAACTGCTTGCCTGCCGGCAGGTACGACACCCTCTTGGACGGATCGGACGCGTCGCTCCACGACCACGTCGGGAACTTGTAAACAAGAAAGTCGCCGCACTGTACGAATTCCTCGGGTGTGATCTGGCCCGTCTCTCGGAAGGTCGACGTGTGCGTTACGGGAGCCCTGCATGGCAGTCAGAGAGAGCGAGATCGATGCCGTTTTTCAAACCAAAGCACTTCCGCGGCCGGCATCTGGTGGAAGAGAGGACAAACAGGGACGAAATGGCGTGAAGCGAACTGCAGGAACTCTGTGCGTGCCATCATGTTAGCCTTTGTTTGGAAGATAGAGGCCCAAGCAGCAAAGACGTACTACCACGTATCGCGCAGCCTGTCGACGGTACCACGAATGATGTTCATCGTTGCCACGCTTTGGCTTCCGCTGCAAGGCTATCGGTAGAGTCTGTTCGAGGGGCTGTTTCCAGTCGTTGCAATGAATAGTAAAGTGGATGTTCGTGTGCTCGGGTGCGATACAATCACTTAATGGCCTGTATAAGCGGAGAGTACGTTCAGCGATGCAACGCGGAGGCTTGCAGGCTTCTGGCAGCCTGGACAAGTCTGGTCGATGATCAGTGTCTGGGTACGTTTGACTTGCCTGGAGGGGTCACGCCTCAGTACTTGGAGGGGCACACTGCAACCACTCGCGGCAAAAGTGGCTTGAGCTGGAATGCACGTGGCGCGGCAGGCCAAGACATCTGTCAGGGCACTGAGGGAGTCAGGCGCGGGGTCTCGCCGCTGCTGCGGGTCCCCGCCATAGTCCCTGGGGGCCCGCTAACAGCGCGGAAAGCTGAGCGCCTAAACTTAGCGGCCTCGGGAGTGTCTATCTCCCTTTCGTCCATTCATACATATCCTTTCCCTGTTCTTCCTCTCCTGGCGGATCATTGCCTTGCTCGTCCAAATCCTGCACCGTCTTGGTTGGAGCAACATTGCCAGATCGCTGCGTTGACCTTCGACACTCCAGGAACCCCCTTGTTAGATCATCATCGAGGGAACAGGCTCAGCCTTGTTAATAGATCGACCTCAATTCTTTTGTCGAGTCTACGCAACAGTCCTATCTGTACCCCTTGTGCAGAATCCCTCGATTCGGTGTGGAGAACGCCCCATGATGGCGAGTTGAGTCCGTCTCACGGGCCAAGCAGACGCACCCATTTGTTTCGTTCCATAGCATATCTGCAATAAACATTCCTTTCTTGTACATACCATGAAATGATACCGCACAGCTCACGTCTCCGTCCAAGCCTGATGGCTTGAGGTTGGCCGTGTGATTGGTCATAGAGCCGAGCGCCCCCAAAAGACTTCTTGACCAGATCTTTAGCTTTTTCAGCTTCAGCTTCACAATCGAACCCCCCAATTAAGCCTTTAAATCGCGTATATTCTTCTTCTAGTATAAGAGAAAGGTGATGACTTAGGGCCCGTACCGTAGATCTTGCTGCCGACGTCCGCTCGATGCTTTCCTCACTCTTTCGCCGACGGAAGGGAGAGATGGACTTCCAGTACGAGCCTTTGGCGGCCGAAAACCACATACGTCTCATTACCTTGCTTCCTGGGAAATGGGACTCGAAGATCAAGTGCAAGCTGCGCGTGGCCAAACTCGAGGAGCCTCCCGCGTATAAAGCGCTCTCCTACGTGTGGGGGGATGTCACCAGATCGGAGAAGATCCTTCTAAATGGCAAAGTTTGCCACATAACTCGCAATCTCGACATAGCTTTGCGCTATATCCGGGATGAGAAAATAGCACATGTCCTGTGGGTCGATGCCCTCTGCATTAATCAGTCAGACAATAGCGAGCGGAACAAGCAGGTCCGTATCATGGGCCAGATCTACAAACGTGCTCAGGTCGTCCTCGCCTGGCTCGGCGCAGAGGGCGATGAGAGTGACTCTGCCATGGAACTGGCTCTGGAACTGGGCCAGTTGGCCATGAGTCTACCGCCCACGATACTCCCATTGACGCCGCAAAAACTTGCCGACGCTGGCTTTGATGCCGGCAGCAAAAACTGGGCTGCTTTTTGGCGCCTCATGGAACGTCCATACTGGAGGAGAATATGGATCATACAGGAGCAGCACTTTGCCAGTGAATTCAACGAGTCGCGGGAACAGCAGGTTATGAATGACAGATGCTTGATTGGCGTAGGTCGCAAGTGGCTGCCGCGCATGATTCTCTATCATGGCTGGATGTTGTTGATGTTCGTCGCCCAAAACAAACACGCATTTTTATCTGACACGGAAGCTATTCAGCGCGGGGCCCCGCAGAGACACGAGCCGTTTCAAAGTTTCTATCTAAACACACCATCTCCTATAACGGCTTTCTTCATCACCTTGTCGATTGCAAATCCGACGTACAGTGGCCCAGAGTGTAAAGAGCGGCTCTCGGCTTTGATTCGCGTCTCAACAGGATATCTCGCCACTGACCCACGTGACATGATTTTTGCTCTGCATGGTATTATTGGAAAAACCAACAATCAGCTTCGGATAGACTATAACTTCAATTTGGACACCGTCTATCGTGAGACGGTTGAGTTTGCCATGAAAGAATACGGGACACTGTCCATTCTAGAGGGCAATCGGTTGAAGATACCCACAGACTACCCAACCTGGTACCCAATCTCAGGTAATCTATCCGTGACGGGTGGAGCATGGGACAATAGACGTGGACATAGAGCTTCCGGTCGACATCGTGCTCGCAAACCTAAGTTCTCCCTGGATGGGAAAGTGCTATTTCTTCCGGGGATTGTCGTCGGTACGGTCAAGGAAGTAATTGGCCCGTACTGGCACACGAAGAACTTGCCGCTGCAAGAGCAGCAAGTGCTATGGAGAGAATATCAGTCCAAGCTGAGGCTTTATTGGAGCAAGCAGGAGCCAGAAAGGAAGGAGATGATGTGGCGGACCTTCGTCCTGGATCAAGAGAACGACGGCAGCCGCGTCGTCAACGGGCGTGCGCCCGAAAGCTTTGAACTCGCGTTTCGTCTGAGCCTGCTTTCCGAGCCGGGTGAACTGCCTCGAGACTTCATGCCCGGTGTAGACGAAGGCGTGAGGCGGTACGCATTCTCAGGTCGGTTTCTGACCTGCTTCGACCTCGCCAACGTCAACTATTCCTTTTTCGACACGGAAAACGGGTTCATGGGCATCGGGGCCTATCATCTGAAGCCTGGCGACGTCGTCACGATTCTTCAGGGCGGTGCGTTCTGCTTGGTTCTGCGTCCGAAGGGAGAGCATTACCAGCTGCTTGGAGAGGCGTACGTGTACGGCGCCATGGAAGGCGAGTTGGTGAAGGAAGATGATGACGGCAACCCTATCGGGCTCCAGGAGTTTGGTATATGCTGATACGAATACGCGGGGAGATGCCGAATGGAGTATGACAGACTTCCTCTTCCGGGCCCAAATCCTGGTGTTCGTGGATTTTCTTTTGTCGACTCTATGCCTATTTATATCTTTGATGCACACTTATACTTACGATTTGCTGGATGCAGTCACACACAATGCCGTGTCTGGTTTGGGGATGCGGGGTTGGCTGGTATTCACTCATCTGGGGTCTATAGTGTGTCACGAACGGTTGGTTGTATCTGGCGTGATTGTCAGCAAGTTACGGAGTTATAGGTAATAAACGAGCCAGGCCTGGCCAGGAATCAGCAGTTGTTGTCTACATCGAGCCATATCTGCGCACGTGGTGTCTCATAAGTGGATGATTAGATAGCCATGTTACTGATGAGCATGCATTGTTTCGTTATTGCCGCGGTAAGCTAGTTGGGGAAAATCGTCGACTGCGCACCGGCGCGACTGCCGAGATGACGTGCGCCCTGCATGTCGAGTCTGGGGACACGATCGGAGTCAGGGACGAACTTTTTTTTCGACTCACAACGCCCGGTCGAAGAAGTTCTTACAGGCACTTTGCGACATGTGGAATTGGCATCGCATTTCCTCTAACAACAGCAGCTCAGTATCATGAGTGCGTCTCCTGCTGGCGGCGCATCGCCCACCAGTGGAACAAATCCCAACCCTAACAAGCCGCGCTACCGTAAGATAATCCTTTTTTTCTCTCGCATGCCCCGCATCACGAATCTCATCGTGTCGTGATCTGACACTTTTGCACAGGCAGATTGACTTCGCAGCCTGAGAATCCGTTCTCGGCTCTTATTCCGGATCAATCCATCGCCGTCGTGCCTTCGTTCACTCTCGAGTCCGGCGTAGAACTCCGAAATGTCCCCGTCGCGTACAAGACGTACGGCAGGCTTTCGCCCGCCGCTGACAACGCGATGGTCATATGTCACGCGTTGACGGGTAGCGCTGATGTGGGCGACTGGTGGGGCCCGCTTCTCGGAAAGGATGGCAAGGCCTTTGATATCAGCAGGTTTTACGTCGTCTGCATGAACAGCCTGGGCAGTCCATACGGAAGTGCGAGCCCGGTCACGTATGCGGACGGAGACCCAAACAACCCGCACTACGGACCCGAGTTCCCCCTCACGACTATCCGCGACGACGTCAACATCTTCAAACTCATCCTTGACGACCTGGGCGTCAAACAGGTGGCCGTAGTCATCGGCGGATCCATGGGCGGCATGCTCGTGCTGGAGTTTGCATACTTTGGCAAGAACTATGTACGCAGCATCATTCCGATCGCCACATCGGCCAGATACAGCGCATGGGGAATCAGCTGGGGGGAAGCGCAACGGCAGAGCATATACAGCGATCCTAAATATGACGACGGGTACTACTCATTCAGCGACCCGCCCAATGCCGGTCTCGGCGCGGCGCGCATGTCGGCACTCCTTACGTATCGTAGCAGAGATTCCTTTGAGTCGAGATTCGGAAGGCAAATACCAGACGCGTCGCGGAGGCAGACCATCAACGGCCGTCAAAGAGTAGAGCCACAATATCACGAGCATTGGGCAATCCACAACGATGGCCACCGGGGTGCAGGCTCGCCTCGACGATCGAGAGTCAATAGTGCAGCAACCACACCTCATGTACCTGCAGCAGACGGCGGCAGCGGCACAGTTGATCCCGAATTCAGCAACACGCCACGTGCTGGCACGCCGGACAACCTCACCCCGCCTAGAACAGCAGAAGCAAACAAAACGCGCACCCCAACCTATTTCTCAGCGCAATCCTACCTGCGCTACCAGGGCGAAAAGTTCATCAAGCGTTTCGATGCCAATTGCTACATAGCAATCACACGAAAACTCGACACCCACGACGTGTCACGCAATCGTCTGCCAACCACAGAGCACTACCCGACGCCAGCGGAGCAAGTGCAGGCCGCGCTGTCGCAAATCGAACAGCCCACCCTCATCCTGGGTATTCAAAGCGACGGCCTCTTCACGTTTGCGGAGCAAGAGGAGCTTGCTGCCGGTATCCCGAATTCGACCCTGAAAACTATTGAAAGCAGCGAAGGGCACGACGCGTTTCTCCTCGAATTCGAGCAGGTCAACCGCCACTTGGTGGAGTTTTTGCACAAGACGCTACCGGACATCATGAACAGAGAGCCCGTCGAGGATGTGGAGAAGGCAGGCGTAGAGGGCCTGAATGCCACGAAGACGAGCACGTTTGGCGAAGCCGAGGTCGACGACATCACGGCGTGGTGAAGAGCAGGTAGACACCTTACGAAGCACCTCCGCGTATGTGTACTTATAGAAGACTTTGTCAATGGTAGAGTTCTCATGTTATAACCCCTCGTAGAAACGCTCATTCATCTCTTTTGATCTATACGTTCATCTCCCTTCGTACTCGTGTGAACTCTGCTTCTTCATGTGTTTTTTTTCATTCTCATCAAAATCAGAGTGGCAAAGTAAAGGAGCTGCTTCTTGTCCTCATTCACACTTACATCACAGTCATGGCGGCAGTGGAGTTACAAGAGAACACTACCAAAACGGGTGATTCTTCCACGGATAAGATCGCGCTTCAGCCTCCAGGAATACGAATCTGGCATGGATTTGATAAATATCTTCGACGTCAGCGTGAAAATGATAGTCGTCCTCAAGCGAGCCTGTAGCTAAATCAGACTGTAGCAAGAGCAACAGATCACCATTTCGCTTCAGCTGGAGTGCTAGCTCAACGCGACGGATTCAGATACATGATATGCCAAAGGAGACGTCGAGCAACTATTTCGCAGAGAAGGCGTGCTGGGCGAATTCAAGATGTGACCAAGGCTCGTGAAACTGGAACGTTCATCAAACAAACGACGGACGGGCGATTTTTGCCCCGGATCTCAGCTTAAAGATGTCGGCGTCCAAAAGTGAAGAGCGCGTTGCCTGACGTGAGCATAAGCGAAGCTGGGCCTCGTAAGACCGGTTGGTCTACCTCGCAGACTCGACTCGCTTTGAACTCCGCTAGCTCAAAATTGGAGTGCTTGTGTCGCATGTGGATGTTGTACAGATGCCCTCGTCGAATGGACTAGAAAACGTCCCGCGCCAGTTTATTTCCCGGGATGTGTCCAGGACGAGGCTGGTTAGTAAGGTCGTGCGTTGAACATAACTCTCGAACCTTCACGTAGTTCCGTGGCTTTCCTCTGCTCCAGAATGAAATGGAGAAACAAACGCCGTGGTGGGAGATGCTCGCAATACGACGCACCGGAGGGGGCTCGCCAACAAACAACCTTTTGTGGAGCTGCGCATTGCGAAGAGAGGCCGATGCACGACCTGGCGGATGGATGACGGAAGATCTTGGCCCGTCCACAGGTGTGGACTTCGCACCTTCGCAGGGGTAAGTTACTGCCAAAAGCCCCGAAAGATAGACTTGCGCCTCAGCTCAAAGGAAAATGAAGTCTTGATCATCTGTCCTGTTTGTTGTTCAAGCTTGGCTGTAAACATGGTCAACCCTTGCCAAATCGAGCCTCCACTAACGGTTGCCGGGTGAATATTTCGTCCGATGGGCCAGTGGGAGGGACGAGACTGATTATGTGGCCGGCTGGGGCCTTACTCCGTCTCGAATGTTCTTAAATACGTCGAGAGCTCGCAGTTCTAGCACGCCATTTCTCCCACTTATTTCGCAATCAAGACATCTGCAACAATGGCGACCACACTTGCTATCCAAGTGCCGAAGGAGTACGGGTAAGCTACATACCTGCAGCAGGGGCTGGCGGTTTCCGTTCAAGCCTTGCGTCCGACATGCGAACCGCGCCCTTTTCTTTTCCGAATGCTAACGAATCTGCTTCAGCTACACTCTTGTCAGTGCCGCCGCAAGCTGCTTTGTCGCGGTGTGGCATGGCATGCGCGTCGGTCCATTCCGCAGAGCCGCAGGCGTTCCTTGTAAGCGCTAGCATCTGCGTTCACGTTTACAATCCCTGCTGACCTTATCGAAACCCGCAGACCCGAATGCGTACGCCTCGCAGGAGCAAATAGCCGCAGCCACCAATCCCGAACAGAAGAAGGCCCTCTACCTGTTCAACTGCGCCCAGCGCGCTCACTACAACTTCCTCGAGAACTACGTCGCCGTCTTGCCGGCCATGTTGATCGCGGGCCTGGGATATCCCAAGACCACTGCGGTTACGAGCGCGGCGTGGACTGTGTTCAGAATCTTGTACGCGACGGGATACACCCGAGCAGACAAGGAGAAGGGGATGGGAAGGTATCAGGGGGCCGGATTCTGGCTTGCGGAGGCCGTGTTGTTCGTGCTCGTAGGAAAGATGGGAGTGGATATGATCATGGCATAAACGTTTGTAACATAGGTCAAATATCATGTGAAATATTGGAATCATGAAAACCAACCGCGTCTCAGCAATTTCTCTCTGTTCGCCGAGTTCAGCGGTTCAACAGCGGCCTTTAGCTTGGCCAACACGCATTAGCCGTGCGGTTTAGCTGCGAGCTTGTAACATAAATGGGGTGTGTAATGCGCTCTATAACCGTCCGGATCCTATATTGAACTTGGCACGTATCAGGCAGATGAGCGCACGCTGTTTCGGTCCTTCCTGTTGGCTCTGCAATACAATATTCAAAAGTGACCTCGAACATGCCACGTCTAGGCGGCTGGGAAGACACAAAATCCATTTCTTTAAGAAAAGAAAAAAAGGCACATTGCACCGTGAAAGGAGATAGATCTTCTGGGGCTGGTCCCAGCACGTGTTTACACAGCCACCAGATCATCGAACATATGTTACGCGTGGAGCCACTAGTTTCGCACGCATGATGATACAAGCTATTATGGACGAAGAAGTCTCATGAACGTGGTATGAAATATAAGCGGTGCAGTGAGAGCAGATCAAGAGGACTCCAGACGCCGTGTTTACCAAATTACGGGAAGTGGGCTTCCTTTCTCCTTTGTTGCTACCTCGTTCTTGAAGACCATGGACATCACAATAATAATCCCCTGGGATTGGAAAATCGGCGCTTGAACGCAACAGAGCAGTCCACAGACGTGCGATGATTCGCAGAGAATTTGTTAACGTGCTGTGCTATAAGTGGCTGCTTCAGCAAAGCGTCCTCATTAGGTAACCCATCGATTGATGTATATTCGGTTTGGTCAACTTGTGTTTGACGAGGCGAGAAAGCTCGCTCGCCGAACCAGGGGCTGGGGTTCGTCGAATGTCCGAGGATGTGCAGAGAAAAAAAAAACACTCTTTCGTAGGACGACGACTGTGTCTCTTTTCTTCTCCTCATCCATCGTGTGGACCAATAATCCATGCTGCTGCAGAGCTTCAGATGTTTGAAAGAGGACTAGCGTGACGCGGGAACGCTAACTTAACGTAGCAAGCTGCCGAAATCTGGGGTCGAGAGGAAACAGGAGCTGCTGGAGTGCGCGACGAGCCCTGAATCTGTCCCAGCTCTGTTGTTCCTCTCCCAGCAGTACAAGCCTTCGGCCACCGTTGGCATTGGTAACCTTCGCCAACATGGCCTCCCAAGATTCTACGCTCGTTATCGACAAGGTCACCGTGACCTCCCTGCTCGCCGTTCTCGTCCTGCTCGTCTCCGCCTACCTTAGCTCCCTCCGCCTGCTCCCGCGCGGTTCCAGCACAAAAGTGCGCATTCTTTTCGTGTGGCACCTTTTCGACGCGCTGATTCACTTCTTCTTCGAAGGATCTTTCCTGTACAACTGCTTTTTTACGTCGTTGCACATTGGTCAACGTGCCAAGTACGAGTACTTCACCGGCCGCGCTCCACTGGAACTCTACCCCAAGGATGTGCATTTCCTGGGCCGCAAGGACAGATACTATGGCAGTTTCTACGGTACCAACCCGACAGCGTTGCTCTGGCAGGAGTATGCCAAGGCAGATGCGCGATGGGGCGGCGCGGATTTGGGAGTGGTCAGCCTTGAACTGTTAACAGTCTTCCTTGGCGGCCCGATTGCTTCCTACATCTGCTATCTTCTCACAAAAGGATACGGCAGCACAGGTACTACGGGTAGTAATGGCTTTGGTGGAAAGCTGGTCTTTTGGATGACCGTACTGGCTACTGGCGAGCTCTATGGAGGTATGCTTTCATGTCCCTAAGCTCTGATGCAATCCGACTAACGATGATAAGGATTCATGACCTTTTGCCCCGAATGGCTGACTGGCAGTCCGAATCTTGACACCAGCAATTTCATGTATCTGTGGGTCACCAACACGTTCGTATATCGTTCATGTACTGACAACTCTACAGATGGGTATACCTGGTTTTCTTTAACATGTTGTGGGTAGTCATTCCATTCTGGATCTTGTACGAGACTTATAGATCTATGACGGGAGCGTCGCCATTGAGCGAGGCAGTTGCTTCCTCCAAGGACAGCAAGAAGTTGAAATAGAGTCCCTGTCTGAGAAATTTGAAGTAGTTGTAAAGCCAGTAGTGAACTGCGTCGGTACTTTGACTTTCTATAGTGCTCGAGAACCTGGCAAAGAGCAGAAAATAAGGGCCTTCATGCCACACTCAAATCTTAGACAAGTTACACAGGCAATCGTTGCATACCTCTAGTTAAAGTTGCAGATGGGGGCTTGCATGAACCACAGCACCTGCTCACCCGGTATTTCTCAGGGGCGGCTAGAATTCTTGCAAAAATAAACACTCACGGGAGCTCGTAGGCACTCGGTGCGATGTCTAGTGCCCGTTTCTGAAACGGGGAACTCGGTGATCCGAGACGAGTGTGCCAAGCTCGGACCTTCAACACCTCACCACGTTTCTACCCCCTTTCGCGTGTTTCTGAAGTTGCCGGCGAGCTCGACCATTCGCTGCGCTCGTCTTTTGGCGGAAAATGCTTGTAGTAATTCGTCGCATCTCTTCGAGGATCATGTCTCCCAGCTCCTGGAACCGACCGGCATCCGCACACTCTCCGGATTGCCGCACCAAGAGCTGGTCACAGCCACCACCTGCTTTTTGGAACATTACTGCCGTCCTTCAAGTTTTTGCACCGCAAGGCCTCGCTGATTTCCGTCTCTGGAAACAAATCGACAATCCTCTTGCCAAGACGAAACCTGTTTGTTACGGCTTCAGCCAATGAGACAAGATGGATGCTTTTCGTCCCGATCGTAGAGCACAGTGTGTTTGTCGCAGGTAGCCCTTGGTTCCTGTTCACGCAGAAATGATTCAAAAGGCGTAAACCGTACCTGTCTGATAATCCCAAGTTCTTGTCATCTTTTCAACTCGCACTTCACTCCACTCACTCTCCAACTGTCATTCCAGCGTCCTTGTTCCGAAAGCAAAATTCTTGATTCCAACCAAAATCGTCCATCATTATGCATTTCACGAGCGTTTTCATCTTTGCATCCGTCGTTCTGGGACTCGCCGCACCAGATCCGTCACCTGCTCCAGATGCTGAGGCTGTTGCCCAAGTCTTCGAGAGACAAGCAAGCAGGTAAATAGCACCCCATCCTGCCCAAACCCGTCTTGACATCAGGTTCTCTGGAATACGTCTCTCGACATGACTAAAGATTTGCGCGCTAGTATGAGCACTTTGAGCACTATTTCGATCGAGATGGGAAGCAAAGGTTCCGCAACTGCTACTATGCCTGACATGCCTGCGGGTTCAACAATGACAATGTCAACGGGCATGTCAAGCATGATGACATCTACGAATGAAATGAGCAAGATGAGCACCATGAGCACCATGAAAGAAACCAGCAGCATGAGCGGAATGACAATGAGTGTGGCCACCTCCAGTTCTAAGAGTTCAACAGCCTCTGCTGGTGCATCGATGTCGACAGGAGGTGCTGTAGAGATGAGAGGGAACTTCCGTGGGATTGCGGCAGGAGTTGCCGTTGGTGGACTCATGCTGGGCATGTTGTGATTTTTTTTGAATGTGTATGTAGAATTCCTACAGTAGAAGATGAACTAAAGGACTTCCTCGAATCTATCACAGGCATTGAACGTAGCTCAAGCCACTCTTGTTATCAAACTGTATAATACTAGCATATTAGCGTTCAACGCGGAGTCAAGGATTCAATTGACTCAACTATGCAAAAATTATCTAGACCTATCAATTCTTCTGTGCTCCTCTAGATAACTTCCTAAAGGCACCTTAATTTGAGAAGCAGTTGCTGAAAAGTAGCTTCAGCTGCACTCGTTTGATATCCTAGTTGATTACAAGTCTTTGGTGTTGAACTCTCAATTTAAAGGATAGGCATTATCATGTCATCAGGCCCACATGCCCATATGCAAAGATATTTTTCTTCTCATATTTAGATATAGTTCATTTGCACTTTATTCGATGACAATGCAAGCAGTTCTCAAGTCCTATTGCCCAACGCACTCTTTTTTTTCTTTCAATGACACCCTCTGCTCGGATGAAGTGGCCGCGTCTCACTCTCCTGGACCGTTATTAGGATCATTAGTCACCGTCATTGCCTCTCTGCGGCATTGTGACACCATGGACATGTGTTTCCCATCTCTCGCGCTCTGTGAGATTTACAAATTGTTTTCGGGAGGTCGAATTACTTGTAGAGTCCATTTTAGCCAAGCTTTTCTCAACTTTTTTCGATGCAAGGCAGATCTGGCAATGCCAATGCCAATGGAGTCTATGGCGCCTTTTTGAGCCTTTAGATGTTCGAATGTGGCAGCCATGTTATCGTAATGTGTAAAATGAGCTCCGATTTATGTAACCGTAGTCTGGAACTGGATCTCAATTCCTGAACCAAATTCGTCTGCTACGGGGCTATACGTATGGGAAATATCTTCGTCATACCTGGAACATGCCCTCTAGAATGATTGCAAGTTGAGCCATTTAATGCCCGCCTCGTTTACCTGCCTCTTACCCTTTATAATTGTTTGAATTGATTGTGCTTGGCCCTGTTTCAATTAATCACAAATATAGGTATTTTGCACATAGCCGCTGGGGCGTACAATTTGCAAATCCGCGATCGCTTCCATCAGCGGCATATTGAGACAGAGCTGAGACCTGACCTGGATGAGCAAAGTCTTCGCCTTTAGTGGAGAATTAGCTCTCCCCTAAGGAACGAAGCTTAACGTGGGACGGTGGCTTCGCTGCCTTAAGTTCATTTTGAGTGTATGCAAAGGTGAGATTAGATTTGGTTTTCATTTTCAGGCCGACACGCTGAGAAGACGCCCGAGATAGGTCTCGTATGCCGTGTTTCAATACAGTACCTTATGTAAGCGCCTTAAGATGCTCTGAGTTCGACCCACAATGCCAACCTATCTTAAGAGTCTGGGTAAGCAAAAAGGTAGTTTGCGAGCAGTAGATATGTGCTTAGGAAGAAGATCCTATAAATAAAAAAAATAAAGACTTGGTGGGTGTTACAATCAGAGAGAGAGAGAGAGTATTGCATCAAGTTATGTGGCTCTGAGAACAAACAAAAAAAATCAGTTTTGGATCATAGCACAACAAGTCTTGATTAGATAAAGAATAGTCCATATGAGCGAAAATTGAGCGGATGAATTCCCTCTCTGCTCAAGAGCGAGAGAGCATGCAGTCAATAAAGGCCACACCGTAGCACAAACCCAAAAAAATGGGTGGTGGTCCCGAAGGACCTCTTTGAGATCTAGTTCTTTTGTTAGCGTATTCAATGTAATTTATGATAGCGAGGCGGCCAAAGCAAGTTAGTATCCTGGATCCTGGGTCCTGAGTCTTTGGTATCCTGGAGACCGGAGCGAGCAGAGCAGAGCGGTTGAGCCATCGGAACCTGCGAATTTGTTAGTGGCAGGCTAATTGTAGCAATCAAAAGATATAATGTTCTTACAAAGACTATCCAGGCTAGCCCCAATGTTCTCATACAATATTGAGGCACTGTAACAATCCTTCATTCTGAGTCTTCTAATTTCAGTGTTCCACAACCTTAGCAAATAAAACCAGTTCATGCTCTTCAATTTACGAAAAGATGTCTACAGCATAGCCAAAGACATCTAATCTATCTTTCAAGATGCTAAGCATTCCATGCTTGGTCTTTAAGATGTCTAGACTTGGCGGTGTAACCCTCGCATGGGCGTCTACATAGTCGACACCACATTTTCTTTATTCCCGCAAGGTTTATTGCAGTCAGATGATTGGCATGAAAGTAAGTAAATGGTTATACATACATATATGAGTTCCTTCAGACTCCTCTACTTGCGCAGTGGTTCTTCCTCGGCTTTGCCTCGCAGCATAGTTGTAGCACCAACCACATCGTGGCCGACAAGTCGATATCTTTAATGCGTCGAAGAGTCCTCCATATATCATCTGTCTAATGATCCGTTATTACCAAATTCTTGATAATTTCAGTCGCAGCGCACAAGTTCCATTGTTTTCCATCGCGAAGAGAGGAGTTGATTCAATTGACCACAATCATGCAATCATCGCAAAGCCTCAAATTATACGCAAACTCATTTGAACAAATGCAGATAATCGGCAGAGAGCAAATCGGAAAAAAAGGATAGAGGACCAGACTTACGGCTAATAAAGAGTGCTTCAGCACGATACACCCTTGCTGACCAGCAATACAGGCATATTGAACTTATCCAGCAGAGTGCTATCCATAAGTGATCCTCCAACCCTTTGCTGCGCCATATGCGACGGTCTGTCAGTACGAGAGCTCATCAGTAGCAGCATTATGGATTATGAATATGTACACGGCTCGACTCATACAGGTCCCACGGCAACGCCTGCCTCCGACTTCGACAACCTTACTGGGTGAAGAAGCAAGATGCATAACTTAAATAATCATCTAAATGAGAGGGCGTTTGTAGCATCTGAAAGAGCATCGAGACTACAGTGGAATACAAGATGAAATTCTCGACCTCGATGTGAGATTCGGGTGCTTACACACGCAGAAATCCTTAGCTCTTTACCGTGAAAATTTTACAGGGAATCATATTGATGCAAAAACCGAGGTGCGGAATAGGAGGCTCATCTGAACAGACCATATCCAGAAGGGCGAAGAAAGTGAAATGCCAAATACTGCTTATCACCGACGATACCAAGATCCGGAATTGACCCTAAGCATAGTAAAAGTGCGAGAGAATAAATGCCTTGGAACGTTACGATGAAGTACTAAACAGTGGCGATCGGATCGTCGGGGCGGCCACACTAGGACAAGCGAACGAATGAGCTGGGAAAGAACGAGCGAACCACACCGGATCCACTTCTCGACCAGACGTCATTCCTTGCACCTGCGCACAGCTACAACAGGACAAAGATCCAGATTAAGTCTTTGATCCTTTGAGAACTGGAATGTTACATATAAAGAATAGCTCCGCCAAATTTAAAGTCCAGAATCCGGGGGCTTCATCTGGAATTATGGAAATATTGAACCTCGACGGTTTCTAAGAAACTGGAGTGAATTTGCAGTCTTATTCACCTAGATCCATTACCGAACACGAAAGCTTGGAGCTTTCATCGGGACTTCTGCATGCGCGGATATCAAGAGCTTGGAGTCTCCTTCGTTTTGATGGATCTAGTTCTCGTTCTTTCTCCGTGCAACGGGCCGGTCAGTCTAGTTCCAGTGTCCTCCGATGTTTCCCAGGCTCTTTCCATTGCTCACAAACATCTTCATCAACATGGAATTTCTCTCGGATACTTTACAGAGCTCTGCTCAAGGCTTATGGAGCGCTACGCCGCATCATACCGGGAATTCGTATTTTAACTAATCGGAATGATTAAATAAGTTAAATTCAAATCATATCAGGTATAAATTCCTCGAGGATTCGATGATGACCGTTGTGGAAGGTCTTTTTAGCAGGACTTTCTGACTAGGATGTTGAAAAATGCGCCAAAATTTTAGTTAACATGAGAGCTATACGTGAAAGAGCATGGGTTACGTTCACACAAATGACATTATCCCTATCTTCGAGGGACGAATTAAAGGCTTTCATCAGTGCTGCCCTAAGCACCATTGGCGATATTTACCGATATGCCTGTTGATGTCTGACTCTTTAAGCTCTGTGGTGGTAAACGCCCCTTCCCAAGCTCTTTTGTTGCCTATCCAAATGTGAAAATCGGCATTCAATGCATCATTTTTGGAGTTGAGTATACGTCCGTCGATGCTGCGGCCGGGTCGAGTCAGAGAAAGCTTTCAAAAGATCAATTTTTTGTCGTCTCCTCTTATTTTGTGGCTCTTAGGATTCGTTCCCTTGCGTCTAATTGCATCATCCTACCTGGGATAGAAGATCAACAAAGTAAATGTACAAAGGGACTAAAGTACTGACTGTCTGCGCCTGCACTTCTTGCACGAGGATAGACGCTGCTGCTGCCAGGATTTCCCCACTGCTTTATCCTCATTACAGGCGAATTCGTCCTTCAAAATACCTAAGCCGCATTATGGATCTAAGCCTTGTGGTGGAGCTGAGATACTTCCCAGCAGTGGTCTTAGAATGTTGCAACAGAATGCTGCCACTCATGTTAGCAACATAGAATTTTTTAAAATACCCCATGGCCATGATGCTCAATTTCTGTTGGCCCGAAATAAAAATTATGGCCAATGTGAATAACCTCGTGGTCGCCGCAGCGGCCAGTTGAAATTTGGTCCATGCCTCGACAACTGTTCATACGCTGCTTGTGCGCGTAAAACGATAATCATCTTTCCGAATGAATTAATAGAGGTTGCTATTATTGGAAATCGGAAGATAAACACGTAACTTCATGGTTGCGAGGCGGTTGAAACAGTGGCTTCTGTTGCTTGCTGTTACACACAATCCGTTTATTCAGACCGGAGGGAAGTACAACATCAATATTTGGGATGGACTCTAATATCGATGATGAATAAACAAATAGAATGGAATACTGTCACTGCTTAACTGCAGCTAGTCATCTTACCTATATGCCCTCCGTTGGTAAGTACTATGTTTCTCCTGCTTACGAAATGCAGTTTAAAATAAGGCCGATGGAGGGAGTCCTCTGAGTTGAAGACTTGAGGCTGCTCGATAATTTATAACGCTAAAGAGTATTGAGTGTTATTATTAGCACTACATATTTGCATCGCGCATATGACATGCTAAAATACAAGTCGCTGGCGTGGTGGGTGGGCGGGCCGGCGAGGAGGATTAGGGCTTACCAGGTACGTCTAACCTATTCTGCACAATACACATGCAACGTGAATGAGTGAGCGGCGAGACGAGCGGAGCGACGAGACGAGCAGAGCGACGAAACTTCCTGGATCATGAAATATAGCATGTACGTACTCCTTTCTCCCTTCCCTAGGTTATAATTATAACCGGAAAGGAGGCCCATTCCTGCGGGAATGGGCTTGCTTTCTTGCAAATTTGGGCAAGGTTTCCAAAAGCCTTGCTTTTTTGGTGTTACTCTCGGATACTTCTAACTTTTGACTCTTTTTGCTTTTTGGAATGTTGGTTTGACATGACTAAAATGTCCTTCAGGAGCTTTAGCTCAGCTTCAGGAGTGTCGAAGCCTTGAAAGATCTCAGACACTTTGTACCACGACTATAGTGTCCAAATTCTGATTGGGACGAAATAATTCAATTATCTTCAGCCTACACAAGTATGACATTTCTTTTTGTCACTGGGAAGCGGATCTTTTGGACGTCGCTTCGTAGTTCTTGTTCACAGCATTGTGAAAACTTAGTTCTCAAGGGCCGCCAAGTCATTGGCAGAAGAAATGAAGATTTGTGAATGGAGAGTACACGAATCTGATCTCAAGCGAACATTGGATAGTACCATGTGGACGACAGGGCCTTAGTTCGACCCGCACACATTGCTGATTTTAATGACAAATGAATGCAGAACTGGCCTAGCAGCTTGTTAACATTGCGAGCAAAGATTTCTGACTTTGATTATGCGATGAAAGGACCGATATTCTCATGCTCTTATCTTCATTCTCTATGAGACTTACAACGAATCATGTACATTGCAGGATTTTTTTCTATGCCTTTAACCGAATGGTGACTTGAATTTCAAATCCTCAGAAGGCAGCGCGGGCTCAATGCATGAAGAAGCATCGAGGAACGAATGATCTGAGCCCACATCCGTTGCAGTTCATGTTACTCGATTACTACCAAAACTCAAAAATGGGCTATATCGAGATGTTTTAATTACCACTGCAGCCTATTATCCCCTGAAGCAAATAGTGCGGAATATGGCTACGGATCGGATGAACAGAGTCGAGAAGTCACTCCTTGGAAGACTCTTCTGGCTTCATACAATTCATTTGGGTAAGAGTCAAGAATGGTGGAAAATTTCGCCAAAATAGGTGAGTTTTTTGTACGAAAGTTGGCGATCTAGAGGTCGCTTTCAAGCAGGAAGTTTCACTACAGATTGCTTCACCAGCCAGTTCTCTCAACAATTACGCTTCGACTCCACGTCAACTTCATACTCCAGACCTTCGCGTTTCATTCTCGTCTTCAAATAAGTAAGGATGTTGCATTCACATAACTCATGAAAGCTGACCAAGACGATACGAAGTTCCATCGCCTGTCATTATGAGTGACTATTTCACATTTCCCATATATCAGATTTTTGGAGAGGCCCAAAATATTTGGGGTGCTAACATCAATAAGTGACGAAGGGCTTTGCAAAAGTGGGATATGTCAGTACGAATGCTTTTATGTAAAGTTTTGTTGAAAGTAGAGTAAGTCTCTGATGTTAAACATGCATACTACGATTAGACCATATTGATTTGTTTTGAAGGAATTTACTTACCACAAATTTCACAGAATTCTTTTCTGGCATTTTGTCACATTCTCGAGGCTGGGATGCGAAGATCGTCGAGCTGACATCAGATATAGAAGTCTCACACAACCTTTGCCTGCTCCACTCAAAAGTTTGGAACGGCCGGATTTTGGTAGCTCTACTCAAAGGTGTTGCTGATGTTGCAATTATGGTCTGCCGTAAGTTTGTCAACGCTATGTCTTAAGAGAATCAATTGATTCAAATCTTAACATAAACCGATTTTCTTCCTAAGCTAACATTTGCAATAGATGATGAAGGACGACAATAAATCAAATAAATATTTGCAATACTACACGCTACGTCCTTGGATAGTCCTCCAACTTTAGAATAGAATATCACTTGCGATCCAAACTTCTATCTTATGCACAATGAAGTTGAGGCACAAACATGCATCAGATGAGCTCCTTCAGTCGATCAATTTTACTGTCAAAAGAATTCATGCTTAAAGAAAAATTTCCCTTTAAGGTCGGAAATTCATTTGGTGCGGCCAACGTGTTATCTTTTCTTAACCAAGCTTCTCCATTCTGCAGCACACGAGGACCCAAAGAATGACATTTCAGTACAGAAAGAGTATTGGTGAACTTATCAAAGTGGAGACGAAATTTCATGCAGATATTAAAATGCTTCTCCAAGTACTGCTTCTCCCAAGAAAACATTTGAGGACAAAAAAATTAACAAATGCATTTGGTAGCAGTCACTCACGTAGAACTTCCAAAATCGCTATATGATACCACGTGCCTGGCATTGGATCACACGCATGCTTAGATGTTTAGATCTCCTCTCTCTGTGGGGAAGAAATCCATGAAATCACAAGAGTCTTTGAAGAAGAATCAAAAATCAAGCTTTTCCTCGATTCACTCCCAGTCTGAGCCTTAGGAATGCGTTGAGGTAGACAGTAATGACGGACTTAGTACCTGCTTCGTACACCAAACGAAAGCAACTGCCGCAATGATGATGCTGATGATGATGTATCCGTGTACGCTGTACGAAATTAGCTACAGGTTGCCAAACACAGAAGACAGAGAAAGGGAAAAGGAGTGGGGGGTGGAGAAGACTGGGAAGACAAGAAGGTAAAGGCTAAAGACTCGAACAAACTAACATTGTTCGCGAGTCTTCACTCCGTTTATTGCCTTTCTCGCAGTCAACATTCAATGTGTTTTTCTTCTTCTTTAATCAATCAAATTAAAAGATAGGGACTAAACATACCTGTTGGGAAATCTGGTTCGGAGATTACGTCGTCAACATCTATGAAATCTGCTTCGTCGTGCGAAACACCTGATTCGTCATCGGCCACTTCGGAAACTGTGTCGGCGACCGACTCAACCGCGGCCACACTCTCGAGCTCGGTAGCTTCGGAGCATTCACTAGGGGCTATGTTTGATTCAGGATATGAGATATCTGGAATCTCAAATCGGTTGTTGAACCCCCCTAGGTTGTCAGGTTCTGCAAGGGAACGTCAGGATTTGCAGGGGTTGCAAAGATCTGGATTAGATGGCATGAGACGTGTATACCTGCAGACACTGAAGCATCATGCACCCAGTGGTTGTCACCAATTCTAAACTTATAAAGGAGTGTTCGTTGCTGCTTAGGCACTGTGATCACGTGCTCATATGCTTCTCCATTTGTACTAGTCATTAGTTGCGGTTGCCAGCCCATTACATCGGTGGCAATGTATATGGGTGAAGATTCATTCCGAAAGGTGATTATAACGTCGACAGACTCAGGCGATATGCTTGAAGGCTGGACAGAAACCATTTTGGATAGAGTGATGAGCGAGGCTCCGAGCAGAGAGTTGAGGTGGGAAGGTGAACGCTGTGGGACAGGAGCCGATGTCCTGCTGTTATAATTCATCAATCGAGCGGTTCTTCAAATTGTAAGAAGCTTGTTGAAGCCTTATCACAAGCTGTGGAATACCAGTGAGATAATGAAGTGCATTAACGACGCCCAAAACGATCGTTGAGCTTTCTGCAGCGCTGGATGGGGTAGCTCGCGCCTGTTGACGTGCGACTTACAGAAGTTCTTTAAGTTTGTTGCGTAGTTACAGAGTGAGAAAGCTATAGTTGAACTGTCCCCGCAACGATTATATTAGATCAACCTTTCAGGGTCCTCGAGGGTCTTGTGGGGGAATAACAATTCTTGTTGGGAGCAGCTTGAATGGGGTGTTATCAAGGCTATCAGCACAAATATGCAGCTTGACCAGGGTTAACACGAGACTAGACCGACCTTACAACGGCACCGTGCTTGTCTGATTGGGTCAGACCGTGAGCGCCACAACCGTTCGCAGACCCGCTGTTAGATGTACGTCAACTAACCAAATGCGACGCGGAATTCATTCACATGTCAACGGCTGCGCCGCATTTGAGAAGCTCTGGCAGCATATTAAGCGTCTCAGTTTCAGCGTGGTGTCTTGTATTTCAGCAAAGGGCAACTATAGCACTACTCAACGCAGCCACTTTGTCCTTAAACCTTATCGACAGAATGGTCGAATCCCTATTTTGCCATCGGCACAGGTTCCTGATCCTTAACAAAGTCCATAAGGCCTGGACGTCATGCTTCCAGAATATTAACAACATACCATGGCAAACAACTTTGAATGTGGATCTCATCGACAACGACATGCTACGCAGCTAGGACTAGAAAACATTTATATAACAACATAAATTCGCGTCCCAGGTCGCGAAGATAGCGATAGCTCACTCTCTGGCCTCTCTTCATCGAATGGCTGGGAATACTCGAAAGCCCTGCCGGATGTAACTGTGACATGTTTAATGTGTGGACATTCTAGGGACTTTTTACTCTTTCGAGCCGTTCCTAGCAAGCTCTGCTCTCCATCTTGGACCGTATCGCCCAACAGCCCAGAGCATCGGAATGACAGCCACATAGAGCAACCCAAGGAAAGTGAAGCACCAACCAGGGTTCATAGCCTCGATCATGGGAACGATCGCAGCTACGCCTCCAGCCGATATTAGGCAACGTACAAAATTTACTGCTGCTGTTGCTGTTGCGGGCTTGCTCCGATGCAGATCAATGAGGAGTGTATTGGATGTGTTGAAGGAGGTTGAGATACCGAAACCGATAAAAAATAGAGTAACCAGGACGCCGGCAATGTGGACTCTGTAGTGAACTAGCCACCCAAACACAATAAGGAAGACCAATCCAAGTACATGAGCCGGCACGATTACTTCGAGACGCGCCCTTTCTATCGGAAAATTTGTAAGGTCTTGTTGTCGGCCCTTCTTGAGCTCCATGCCCAGTTTTACAGCGTGCTATGCGAACGCATCAGCTCTGCTTCACCAGGTGAAATTTCACAATGCTTACCCAGCGAAATCTCCAGTCAACTACGCGCCCCATGGCCATCGCGGAGAGCAGACTGCCACATCCTAATGGCAGGAAACAAAGCCCAATCTTGAGTACATTATAGCCGTAGTATGTCTCCAGCATGTGTGGTAAGGCGGTCGATAAGGCCATCTGGCCATTGAAAAATAAACCATTGTAGACCAAGAGCATCGCACTTTCCTTCTCTCTGAGGATTTTCAGCGTAAGAATTGGATTTGGCCACACAAAATTTTTCTTCTCCGGCAGTTGTTGCGAATGACTTCCTGGCTTTCTTTCCTGCTTTCGACGTTGCCAATATCCAAGAACAGACATGCTAACGCCTCTGGCTGGGATAGACCCGTTACCTACAACATTCCGACAAGTCTCTGGGACCAAAATAACGAAAATGAGCCCAAAGATTGCTCCAAAGATAACTAAGAACCAGAATATTGCTCTCCAACCAAGATACTCCGCTAGTAAGCCACCGATTGTAGGCCCAAAGGCAGGTCCGACAAGAATGCCGCCGGTCGCGTATCCCATGAACTTTCCACGTTCTGCAGAGGTTGCGACGTCTGCAACTACAGCAATTGCAAGCGCAATTGTTGGGCTACTTCCAGCTGCCTGAACGCAACGGAGGACCAGGAGCGCCGCATAATTGGTCTGGAGTGCCAAGCCAACATTGGCCACTATGTATATGGCAAAACATATGATGAAAGACAACCTTCGCCCGTCTTGGTCTGATACTCCAGCGATAAAGGCTGGGGAAATTGCTTGGGCGAGCATGTACGTCGTAACAGAAAGAGTAATCAATGAGTCCGAGACGTCCAGCTGAGCTGCGAGTGCGTTCAGGGCGGGATAGAATAGCGTAGCGGCAAATGGAGATATCAATGCAGCACCCGCAATCATGAGAACAATGAAGAGCTTGGTCTTGCTGCTAAAGATTGAATATGGAGGTCCTGAGACTACTCGATCCAGCGAAGTGTTCTCCGGCTCTGTCTGTGTCATTTTTTCCTCCACCGCTGCACCTCCTTTGCTCGATCCATCTTCAGATGAAGGCCGACGAGATTCGCTTGCTTTTACCTCTTCTTGCATAATTTCTCAAGAGAAAAAAAAATTTAATGTGACTGAGTTTATCTGTCTCCTCAGACAGATGATTACAATCTTTTTCTCTCGAAGTAAGGTGGCCAAGAACATGCGAAAAATAAGTCTTCTCGGGGATTGCAAATACGTGTTGCGGCGAACGCAACTGCCGCGCTGCGTCTCCAGGGTACGCGAAAATGAGGAGATCTTATTTCCGGTTTGGGATTTACATACGGTCGTTATACCGCTATGAGAAATGCGGTGAACACCAAGCTCCAGTATCCGAGAAAGAAAGAAAATGCAAGAATCGCAAATTGGAAAGAATGCGAGACGGGGAGTACTTAATGGAGGAAAGGAATGTCGACGTTGCTGGCCGAGCGCCGAACTCCACAAAGGCATGCCGCTGCCATTTTGAAGCATTGTACCAGCGCTAGGGACCTCATGCTTGTTCAGTGGCCGATTTACCCGCTAAAGACGATAGGAGATAATGCCCGAAACGGCTCGTTCTGGAGTTGTAGATCCGATGTGGGTACTTGCTTGCCGGTTTCGGCAACCTCAACATCACGTGAATCGGTTTCTCAGCTTTCCTCAGCGTTCTCACTTCTAAGCCAAACTTAAGCTATTGATAGCTATTGAGGCAGATACTGAAAAATTTCATGGGAGTCCCGTTTCAATTTGATGTCTTGGGCTGCTAGAATCGAACCTTCCTCTCGTCCACTCATGCAGCCGTGGATGATTATCTCTGAACATTACCGAACAACATTTTTATTTCATCATAAGGTTTGTGATTCTCACTTTGTCTACATCGATAGACTGCATTCGAAGCTAAAATTGCTATACTTCAGCGTAGTAGTGCTGCTCTTCCGAGCTTATTTTTGGGACAAGATTGGATATAATTCGTTTATAAGTCATATTGACCAAGTGAGCTTATCCTTTCGGATGGCCTCCATATTTACCGAGCCATTTCCACGATTTCAGTTCGTAGAATTGGCTCGCTGATGAGATCGACAGTTGGGATAGTTGCGTGGTCGTGACGTAGAGATACCCTGCATCTCCTTTGTAATCGACCTACATTCGGAGTCGTAATATGGCCGGTTGAATCTGACATCATTTCCGTGTACTGTGAGGGCACCACAGTTATCCATGAACATGAGGTTAGACGCTTTGCGCATAGGGTTGACACGTCTGCCCAGCGATTCCTTCCAGATTTACACAGTAAAACCGGAAATCTCATCAACCAGCTCTTTCAGCTCTTCTTCCAGCGTTTCTCGAAGGAACTTGAACATCCTTCTCGTCTCTCCTTTCAAAAACCATTTGTGGGCCTCTAGCCTCTTTACGAGTAATGCCCAAGCAGCCAATAGGACGAGTGCACACGGGTGACACGATTCTATTAAGGCTAAGAATTCCGTTGATATCATTTTCGGCCACGCTTCCACCCCGTTCCACTTCGCCCAGATCTCTTTGCTTATGTAGGAACGATCGAAACACGTGAGGAGACACGTATAGGCATGTCTAATGGCTGCGAGATTAGTCTCGTCGGTGTTATGTAGTACAGTGCTGAGTCGAGAAGGTATTGACTGTATTTGTTCAAGGAGAACAGGTGGGATATTTGGATATTGCGTCGGGGATGGAGCAAGAAAATAATTCACAGCGTCGAGTGGTATGCTTTCAAGCCCGATCAGGACTTCTTTAGGCAGCCTTAGACCTGAATCGTCTGGTAAGTCTGGCTGAACCGCACACCACATTTCTGTTGTTTTACGCAAAAGAAGTATGCATTCCTGGATAGCAAGTAAGGGAGCTATCTTCCCCTCTGCGTCCGGCCTGAATGCAGAGTCGGTGCTGTCAGGATCTAGGTGATGCTCGGCGCAGCGTGTCAGACACAACAGACGATTGAAAGCTATGCTGGCCTCTGGCTGCGCATTGACGCTCAGCGCCTGTCTAAATCCTGCCATGCTGTGGCCTTGGTATTCTAATCCAACTTTGCGAAACTCATAAAATTTAGGGGTGTGTCTGTGTTCTGATGCGAGATGAAACGCCGCTGCGCTCAAGCAGCCAAACATGAGGAAGCTGTTGCCGTTTATGGCTTGAATGGTGATGTTTTGCGTCCAGAAGTTCGGTGGCTCTGTGCCACGATCAATTGTGTAAGACGTTACAGTTGACCAGTGGTGCATCAACTGCAAGTTTAACATGTTGAGCTGTGTTGCTGTCAGGAGACTAGTATAAGCCAAATTTTGACTGGATTCCATGTTTGACCTGGAACTCCCAAGTTCTGATACTGAAGAGCCAGAAATGGAGACGCTGTCCGCCAAAGAATCTGATATCGTAGTTGGACCGATTTCGTCCTCGTCCTCAGGTAGCGGGCTCGGTATGCTGATCGGTTCGGAAACTTCAAAATATCGAATCTTATTTCCTCGGAAGAATGTTTGTAGCCAGGCAGGTCTTGCAGCAACCTCACGAGAACCATGGAGGTCGCTCCAGTGCTGAGCCATACGTTTCTCCGACGCACACGCATGTCCGCAATCTGGCGACTGGCAAAACCATCCCCTATATACAGGTAGCTCTGCTATTGCCTTTGCGTCTGGACCTGGGTATGTGACTTTTTCTGGTTCCCTCAGACCAAGTTCCTTTAGTCGCTCTATTAGCTGTCGTCTTTCGCTACGATAGATTTGATGTCTAAGCAGGTGACTTGACAATGCACTCGGTTGAATTGCGAACTGGCACGACTTGCAAACCAACACTCCATAGTCTGGAAAATGCTTAAGCAAATCCTGTTCTCCCAAATCGGTGAAGTTCTTTGGCATCTTGCGAAACAAAGTTGATGTTTGATGTTTTCGGCCCCAATCTTAGCGTTCCACTGCAATGGTAAATGCCCGAAATCCCGTGTGTTAGTTCGACAGAGATGAGTACTAGTCAGATATTTTGGCAGTCCGTAGATATAGTTTAGAGTCTGCGCTCAGAATAGCTGGCGCGGTCGTGCGCTCTAACTGTCCTGAAAAATACGACAGATTCGAGTCCTCATCAATATCAGAAGCAGCCGTCGAAGACTACAGGTGAAGAGATATGGGAGAAGTGATGATTTTAACAAGTGATAGTCGACTATCTCGCTAGACCGTGGCATGATTGGCCATTTTGTTATCCTTTCATCGTTCGTACTGCGGTGTATGTTCCACGCTCCCTCTGGCTTCACGGAAAGATTATATAAGGCCCAGTTTCACAGCCACCCGACCCGGCCTAGTGCTGAGTTTTATCATCTAGCTTCGGTGGTTAATTGGATCGGTTGATGAGGCTTGGCATCTTGGTGCCCCCGCCGATTTCACTAGTTCTAGTCCAGAGCAAGCCAAAGGTGTTGCTAGCGCAAAGATCGGTGCGGCGGAGGCGAGATCCAGATGCTTCGAAAGTTTGGAAATTTGAATCCCCAGAACTGGTTCGCTTAGATCAGGCCCAGACGGGGCAGAAGCGACGAGACAGAAACACGTCCAAATTCATAGTTTCCAAGCGTAAGGTTCACCTGGTCTTTCCCAGCGAGCTGGAATGGGACCACGCGCTCGAATCCTTGCATCTCACTTCTCAGGTACTCAAGCCGTCAGCCTTACGCATGACTAATGATATTCAAAATCACCCGATTTCAATGCTTCGCCTGCCTTTTTAAAGAGTTTTTTAACATCAGCAGGGCCCGAATGTCCTTATAACAGAGCATTTCAGGGTCCAACAACTGTCTTCTGCGTGATGTTGGCCAAGGTTTCCAGAGGCTCATCTTGATGACAGACGGGACTATTCTATGGATCAAACTAGCAAGAGATTGATGTCCATCGGATGAAGCGTATCGCTTAAGCCGAATCCTGTCCTAGCCTTACCCGTCGTCCATCAACGGGACCCATCAGCATCCTCAAGGGTCTAAACCAGGACGTACTTTCAGCGCTTGCTATCGAGCAAAGCAGACGAATTATTGCCTATTATAGCTCTGAAGCGGCACTAAGTGAGATGCTTGTACTTGTACAGCAGTGACAGAGTTCCTTCTGCCGTTACTTCATCAACATTATGTTCTGCATCTTCGAAGTCGACGGGCTGAAAATGGAGAGCTCAGCTTAAAAAACGGTTTTTTTTTTCTCTTTAGCGTCTTGAGTTTACTGGATCTGCAAGTCTTTTGTCGGCAACACCGCAGCCTATCCTTACCTCGTAGCTCAGAAGGGGTCAGATTGAAGAATTACTAACATATAAGATTTGACCAATGATCAACCTGTCTGAGAACTTGGTGCCTCATTCAACATTTGCTATCAGGTTTTTCGAAGCTCCCTTGCAATAGACCATCACTGAATGTGAATACTCAACAAATGGAGTTGAACTCGCTGCACAGTACACCGAATCTCCTGTAATCAATGCGCAGGCTAGTTTCGGGTTGACTAGACCTGAGCAAGATTGCTGTTTCTCAATGCTAGAACGCAGGACGGCTGATTTCAGAAATGAGGCTTGGAGCAGTTGCAATTGAACGAATTGCGAACCATATATCTGTAACACGGAAGATGCTGCACAGCGCAACTTATGCACCGAATCTTTAATAGGCAGAGGGAGGTCATTCTGAAGCAAGAAACACATCGCTTTATCTCTTGAGGAAAAGGCAAGAACGAAGGCAATTGGAATGAGCCTTTAATCAAGTGATATAAAACACCACATCAGCTAGTAATAGCGGCAGTCCCGTGCCAGAGCGCGGCCGACATAAGTCTAGAAAGAGTATTGCATAGAATGCTCTCGACGAGTTCAGGCTTAAAAGCTAATCACGATGATTACAACGATGTGTGCCAACTGCTAAGTTCATCATTCATCGTTTGATTTGCGGTAATCATAGTTTCTCTCACTCTCTCAAGACCCCAGACGCGCAAAAATCGAAAAAAAGGCCTCTCCGAACATGAGAAAACCAACGATACTACCACACCACAAACGAGGCACTATGCATCGGCTCGATTTTACTTCTGCATCATCAACTGGACGAATTCATTGTCTGCATTCATTAAAATTAGTAACAGACTCTAACAAGTCATATCGAAGGTCAGCAAGGGCCTGGACCGCCTTACAGTCAATTCGGCCATCACCGTCTTGATCGGCCTCCCTAATCATCTCGTCGACTTCATCATCAGTCAACTTCTCGCCAATGCTGGTCATCACATGGCGGAGTTCAGCCGCGGAGATATATCCATTGTTATCGCGGTCAAAGACCTTAAAGGCCTCGCGAATCTCTTCCTCGGAATCGGTGTCCTTCATTTTGCGCGCCATCATCGTCAGGAATTCTGTACACAAGTGTCAGCATTGCCAAGGGAAACAGTGGATATGCCGAGATGACATGTAAGTTGTGCAGGAGAAAAGACGCACCTGGAAAATCAATAGTGCCGTTGTTGTCAGCGTCGACCTCGTTGATCATGTCCTGCAGCTCAGATTCGCTGGGATTCTGGCCCAGCGAGCGCATCACAGTACCCAGCTCCTTTGTGGTGATTTGGCCTGTTCTACAAATTTAGCTCGTGTGCCTAAGGGCTACGTCCGGTAGCGACTGGTCCTTGTTGAAGATGACGTGCAGGGTTTCGCGCAAGGTAAAGCGGGAACAGGTGCGAAATCTGGCACAGCTGAACCGATGTAGCGAGTAAGGGAGGACATGAGACATCGTCCTGGAATGACACGCTTCCTTTGGCAACTCACCATCGCCGTCCTTGTCCTGCGCACCAAAATCAGCATTCGTCCGGTATAAATGCAAAGCGAGTGCTTCTGCGTGCCAGCCCCACATTTGAAACTGGACACATTCAAAGTGGAACGGATTGTTGACGAGAAAGGACGTACAAAGAGGGAGAATGCCTCCTTGAATTCGGAGACTTGCTCTTCGGTCAGAGAATCAGCCTGAGGCGGCCTTGTTAGCATGCGCTGTACTCGTTCCAGGTCCCTAATGGCGAGCGCAACGCCTTGGGGTGCCAGTCTCTCGCGGGGCTGCCTGGAGGTTTGAACGCACCATCTTTAAGCAGCACGCGTACGGAGAAGGGGGGGTTCGTAACAGTCGCCTGTGGAGGATATTCACAGGTAGCTATTGTAGGTGAAAGTGAAGAGTATCTGTAGGTGCGGGAAGACTAGGTCAGCTGTGAATGTGTGTTGTGTCTTTAAACCCTCAGGCCAGCTGAATTGCACGGGGTCGGGCCTCAAAGAGTGGGCAACGTTGTGCTTGCCTTGCAGCCTTGACACAGCCCAGCACCCCAGTCCAAGGCGCCTTCCGGTTTGCTGCACCCAAGCAGGAAAGTAAGCATCCAGCGCCTTATTTTTCCTCGACAGCAGAAGGAGCGAGCAACCCTGGCCACTTACCCATTTGGGGAGCTCTGCCTTTAGGTTAACCACCTTGCGTGTGCTTGCCTCGTCCACGTCGATGAGCCTCAGAGCCACGCTCTACACACCTACTCCGTTCGAGCAAACCATGCTACCAGTTTTCACAGTCTGCGGCCCCGAGAACAGCACATGAGACGGTGAAATTCTGCGCAGCGAGCTTGGAGTTCCGGCTCGCACATACTCATCATGTGGCGCGACAGGACAAACCTGTAAGTTCCTGCTGCTTCCCAGATTTCTAGCCTCCTGCCGCAGTTCACCGGACGCGCTTGTACTAATGCGATCCGAGGGCTTTAGTTTCATATCATACCGACAGTCGTACGCCCACCACCCGCAGAAGAAGCAACGTTATGGTGGAGGCTCCAATGGCTTTGGCGACACTTCTATGTTATCTGAGGAACGTCGTGGCCTCATCTCTGCAGGCGCATACGAGGACGATGGAGACACTGTCATAGAGATGGATCTATTACCGCCCAGGTGGCTGGATGTTCAGGATGAGGTGTCAGACCTGCTGGCAGATATCGCAGCGCAAACTCGCAAGCTTGAACCGCTGCATCAAAAGCATGTGTTACCGGGCTTCGACGATGAAGCCGTCAAGAAGAAAGAAGAGCAGGAAATCGAACGCATCACTCAGCAGATAACACGGCAGTTCCACAATTGCCAGAAAGCCATCAAGCGCATCGATGCTATGGTCCACGATTCGAAGCAGACAGGTGGTATCAGTAAGGGCGAAGAGATGATGGCGCAGAACCTCAAGATCTCTCTTGCGGCTAGGGTTGGTGACGCAAGCGCCCTGTTCAGGAAAAAACAATCAGCCTACCTCAAGAGTGGGTTCTCTTCGCTCGTGCTCACTGTAAAGCGTCATTTACTAATTGATGAATCTCATTAGAACTCCGCACAATCGGTGGTCTATCTACCCCGTTGGGAGACCGTTCAGGCACGCCCGCTGTCCAAAACCCGTACAGCGACCCCTCGCTCATCGACTCGGAAACCGACCGCTCCTTTTCCCAAGCAACACTGCAACAAGCCAAAAGCAAGCTTCTCAACTCAAACGACGCCGTGATTGCGCAGCGTGAGCGAGAGATAGAGGACATAGCCCAATCCATCATTGACCTTGCGAACATCTTTCAAGAAATTCAAACCATGGTTATCGACCAGGGCAGTATGTTGGACCGCATTGATTACAATGTCGAGAAGATGGCGACGGAGATGAAAGCTGCCGACAAGGAGTTGACCGTTGCCACAGGTTATCAGAAACGTAGTATGAAGCGAAAGATAATATTGCTGCTAATCATTCTGATCGCTGGTCTCTTTATACTCTTGGGTCTGAAGATCAGCTCAAAGAGTGGTAAGAGTGGAGGTGGAGGCATGAATGCGCAACCAGATCGGATCACGGTTGATGAACCTGCGGAAAATGCACATGTATCGATGATAAGGAGCAGAAGTATTTTGTTGGAGATAGGCGATGATCTATTCCGGCGAGATTGGAGGAAACGGAGAAAGCGCCGTTTGGTGTAAATAAATTTTCTTAGCTTCCAATTCTTGTATAGAAAATTCCACCGAAAAAGATCATTCACGTCCGAACTATGAGTACGAAGCGTTTTTACGGAGCAGAACTACGGTCACCTTAAAAGGATTCAATGTGCTGGAGACAATCCGATTGTCTGATTGCAGCAAAGTATATCCCATTTGGGGTGTGTGAAATCAGAGGTGCTGTTACGAGGTAACATGGTGATCACGTGAAGGGAGAGCGATCATGTTGATCATTCATGATCGAGGTGATCAGTCTGCATAAGCGAAAGGTTGTGATTCGCTCAGAAGGATTGAACGAATCAGGAATGCAGTTAGTGATCAGTCTGATCATTCATGATCAGAATGATCGCTGAGAATCAGGCAACAAGGACACTGGAACAAAGGTCTATATAAACATCCTGTCCCTACTGGCATTACACCTCTTTGTGATTCAACTGTCTAGTTTACCTAGTAGTTAGTTTGAATAC